CTAAAGCAACCATACCCGCTAAATTCCCACAGTTTTGGATCAATCGTCAAGACGACGTCGAGAACGAGTCCTTGCTTCTTGGCCTTTTCATCCAGTACAATTGGCTGCTTCTCCTTCCGGGTAGTAGTCGTTGCTGCCTGCATTGATAGGGCGAGGTCTTGTGGAATTACAAATGTGTGCATGTAGTCCGCAGGTCGTACAATTTCCCAATGACAATCAATCTTCCGAGCTCTTAGATAGGCATCCTCCAGCTGAACAGGATACTTCGACAGCATCTCCATCACGCGCTTCAGATTTGAGGTGTTTCTGGCCCAAATCAGGAACTGATCCAAAGTCACGGCAAGTTCAGTGGGGTACTTGTGAACAGCAAGACGGTCGGCTTTGAGACTGATCGTAGTTTGCCTCAGCTGTTTCGGAGTTGACCTTGACTTTGCTTGGCTTGGTGGCTTAGGAACTCTAACGACATCGACCTGGCGCACGCGCGACTCTGCGTCAGGCTTCGTAGAGCTTGAAACCTTGTCACAGCTACTCATTCCGCAGCTGTCATGAGATTTCTCGTCGATGGGGGGCGAATTGGAGATGACTGCGAAAGGTGTGTGCGTTGTGTCGGTATCATACTTTCGTCGGACTCGTAATCGCCATAACTAATGGTCATGGGGCTGCTTTCCAATGCGTCCATGAGCGTCATAGTCCCCATTGCCTCCACGGGGTCCAGAATGGAGTCTGAGACAGGTTCAGATACATCTTCTTCTTGCTTGCTATCTTCAGCAGATTCTGTAGAACTCGGTTGGGGGGCAGGGTTGACACGGTTGAGCCCTATGTCGATCGTTTCCTTCCAGGCACTTAGCTCTTGGTAGAAGTCTGCACTAGACAAATCTGACAGGTGTTCCAATAGCGGTTCCAGCATCGCTTTTGCGTATGCGTATTTTTCAGCTGAAGACAACACAACCTGGTTTGCCCGTTCACCTCGCCGTAGCCGTACGTACGCAACTTGCTTCCTAGCTTTGGTTGGCGAAGCGTTACCCCCCGCAGCGTAAAGTGGTTGTTCTGGTTCAGCCCCAGTGTCGTTCGGCAACTTTACTTTCGGCAACCTTAACTTGGACATCTGCACAATTGGCTGTAACATTTCCGCTGCAGCCGTCAATTCGTTTTTCACTTCCAAGGTCTGGTACGTACTCCACCGATCATGAATAGCCATAGCTGGAAGCAGTTTGATGCCATGCCCCTCGCGTGCTAAGCGCATAAGATGACGACATGGTAAATGGTGACTGCTATAAAATAGACAAGTACACGTCCACTCCACATCGTGACAGCGAAAGGTTTGATTCCCGCAATAAATTTTCCATTGTGAAGGACTCGACGCTGTAGGCTCACAAGTCGCATCTGCCATGAAGTTCACAAATCGTTCCCACTCTTTTCTCACTTTCTCGAAGATGTCAGGGTACAGTGGAGTTGCTACCGTCCGGAGAAACATCGGTATGGTTTTAGGAACGGGCGATGTCGAATGGTGCTGCGCGATGACGAACCCGATCTGCTGAGTTATCATGATTTGATGCTGCACCAAGCCCGCAATAGTCTTGTCAATTCGTGTCTTGTGCCCCAACAGTATTTTCACTTGATTCCAGTTTGACTCGATCCTGTTCGTTGTAGTATTCCCAGCCGTGAAAAATTTGCTGCGAGCAAAGTTCGCCCACATGTCTCGACACGAATCCCAGCTCTTTTCAAAGTACGAGAATAAAGCTTGTTTCTTGTTGTCTTCGCAGTATTGCTTCAATGCACCGTAACTAGAATCGTAACCTGTCTCTGTGGAGCTGCATATGGTTTGTTTTTCCAAAGTTAGCGTTACCACAAGAATCATAAATAGAACCTGTTGCGTACCTGTACAGCGTTTTTATCATCAGGTTGAGTAACTCGTCGCGTTCAGACACCTTCAGCTTGTATGGGGCCCGCTGCATCACCTTCTTCCAGTACAAAATGGCATGGAATTGACAAAGTAAAACTTTCGCAGCAGGAAATAGTGTTTTCAGCACCCTCCACTCAACGAAATCTTTGTCGATCACGATGGAGGATATCATCCGCCAACTTGGGTTCTTCTCTTGGAAATACTCCAGGATTGTTGTCATCATCGGAGCTCGTTGGTTGAGGCATATGAAGTCTACAACTGGGAACCCTCTACCAGTAGCGGTTGTGACGACCAGACTCTCTGAAATATCCAACACACAACAGTAGAAAATCACTTTGTTAATAAGGTTGCTATATCATCGATATGGTTGCTATAACTACGCAAGGTTGCCGTAACAAAGATAAAGTTGCTATACCGAACAACTCATACGCACCCAAGTGATAGCCCAAATTGTTCGTGCCGTGAGTGAAATCCATCGTAAGAGTGTCGCCCCAGCGCTCGAACATCAACTTCTGCACCTTTGTTTGCATCACGATACCGCATGTCACGTCCATTTGGTCTTGAATAACAAGGACGTCACTACCGTCTACCTGGCGGATAGCTTACAGCATGTCTTTCAAACGGGCCTCCGCTGCGTCGTGCCCCATAATACTGCGGATCAGATTACGGGTCTGTTGAGGTGTTATTTTGCAGCCTAGCAAACACACAAAGCGCGAACAGTAACGTAAGTATCACTTCAGCATATCATATATAAAACTACGCACCGATTCTCTCATTCAGGAAGTTCGTGATGTGCTTGGAAGAAACACTAGCATCAGTTAAAGTCTTAACATCTTCGAGATCTTGCTCGTCCAACGAAAGTGTCTTTGTTGTCAGGTACAACGATGCTTGCGTTCGGGCGGTCGGGTGCGTGTGGGTAAAGTTCTGATTATCAACAGCGACATGTGAGAAATACTAACAAAGCAAACAAATACACGAAAAGACAGATACCTCGATTTTATGACAATTCGAAATTTGCCATTTTCCATCCGCTGAACGGTTGGTGTCATGCGTGCAGGACACCCGCAATAGTTGCCTTTTCTATTGCGATGTCCCTTGGAGCGCGACGCTTGCGAAACACCGTGTGTACAGCGGAGGACCTTGTGACTCCAATTAAAACGTGAAGGGATTTGGTCCCGATGATTGCTGCATATGAAAGGGGGTTTCGTTAATAACTTAAATTTCTCATCAAACAGAGGTCGCACATACCTGTTGTACTGATTTCGTGTCTCCGAGCTTCGTACTCGAAACTTGAGGTGTTGCTTCTGCTTGTATATTTTCAAGTGTGCGTTGAACTTGCTCCAACTCTTGATAATCGCTGGGGTAAAGGGCGGAACGGGGTTGATAATTTCTTCGCGCTCCTCGTTGATCTCCCGCAACTCATCAAGGTGCTTGCTTGATCGCTTCTGCGGTATGTACTGCTTGTTCCGCTTGGATAAACGTGGGGCCAAATCAGCGTCAACAGACTCGTGAAGCTGCAGCTCCGCCTTACGCTTTTTTGCGAAAGATTGGGCTTCATCCCCAGCAGAAAGCTTGCATTTGGCCAGAGCGGTAGCTATCGATTCCAAAGTGAATGTCAATATTAATGATAGCGCAACCTTTTTGCTTAAAGCAACTTTAACGAGAACACCTGGTGTTTTCTTGCGTGCTGTGGCTTTCTTTCTCGGCTCGGGGCTCTGTTTGCGTGTCCTGCGTTCTAAACAAACTAAAAAATACACAATACATTATCAGTTCAACTCAATAAGTATCAACAATAATCCAAACGAGTCTTACCCGCTTCTGCTTCGTCTTCTGTGCTGGATTTCTCCGTCGTCGTCTGCCTCCTGTTCATCGTCACTCGCCTCCTCTTCATCGTCGTCACCCTCCTCTTCATCGCTATCGCTCTCCTCGTCATCATCGACCTCTTCTTCGTCTTCCTCCTCTTGGTAGCAATCCTCCGCCTCTTCGTCGCCGTTGTCTTCCTCATCCTCCTCATCCAGAACAAAGTCTTCGTCTTCGTCGTCGTCTTTTTCAATCCCGAGAGCGGCGTACATGTAGTTTAGCTCCTCGTTTACGTTCCGCAGCTTTCGGCCTAAACAATACATACCGACAGAATTCAAACAAAATGTGAGGCACGTATATACTCTCGTTGCCACCAACATGGAGCATACTGATTACCGTTTATAATGCCCCCCCCCCCACAGGAGCCATCGGTCCCCCCTCGCCGTTTGGTGCTTGACTCATTCGCGAGAGGTGCGTGCCCCACGTGGCCTCCGTTCAGCAGCGCGATTCTTAGGTGGCGCACTTAATGGCATCGTACCTAATCAGAAGCGCACTTTAGCGTGATTTGCGTACCTAAGGGCTTAATGGTGATTTGGACATTTAAATTACGCTCGTAATTTTTGAAATCCCTAAAAGCAACCATACATGTCTCAGAATGGCTAAAAGCAACCTACTTATGGTTGCTCTAACCACTCCCGGGCCGCCCAGTGGGCGTGTTCCCCGCGCTCGGTCTTTGAGCAATTCCCAGCTGAGCGGATGAGGAGACGAACCGACACCGGACTGCAAACACTGAACACTTCGAGTCTCCGCCACCTTCTTCACTTCATGCCCCACATGGCCGAAGGTGTCGCGGCCACCATGGGCTACATACATGGCCATCACTGTATTAGCGCCAACATGTCTCCCAGCGTTTGGTCGCGGCGGCGAGTGGAAGTGGAGGGCCCTGCTGTTTAGGGCTTGAAGCGGCGGCGGCACTGTCTGGCGTCCAGCGATAGGCTGTCTGTGCATCAGCGGCTGGCGCGATACTCAACCCCAGTCAAAATCTGGACACGCGCACCTCGCAGCTCAGCTCACCTCTGCAGCGGCGTCGGCGTCTGTCAGTTCGACTTTTGCTTCCGCGCGCGCCAATCCCCCGCGCCTACTCCCCAGCACCATTAGCTGGCAGAGTACACACACACACACACACAGGTTCGGAAGACAGACAACAGTTTCGGGCCGTTGTCCGCCTGCCTTCCTGCCTCCCCCCCAGTTCCGTTTTCTTCCTCCATCCCCCCACCACATGCCGCACGTGGCCATGATGCCCGCGCCGACGTCACTCTCCATCCAGGTGCACCCGAGCCTCAAGACCGTGTACGTGCGCATGAAGGACCGGTCGGGCACCGTCGCCATCGACATGACGCCGGCGCTCGCGTCCCCCAAGGCGCTGATCACGCGCTTCCACGAGCTGGCGTTCGGCAAGTCGTTCGCGGCCTTCGCGGCCAACTCGAGCCTGCTCTCGCGGCGGCGCAACCAGGAGACGCTGGTCTCGAGCCTCGCGGACCTGCAGGACGGCGAGGTGCTCGTGTACAAGCCGTGCGAGGAGCTGCGCACGCTCGTGGAGCAGGGCTGCATCACGCCCGTGCTGGCCACGCACTCGCCCGTCGAGGTGAGTCCGTCCTCTTCGCCGCTCGGCCTCAAGCGCAAGGGCCGCGCCAAGTCCGTGACCAACAACGTCGAGCGCGTGCACCGCTACGCCTCGGACCTGGCCAAGATGGACGTGTCCCCCCGGGAGCGCGAGCTGATTGAAGACATGCTCATCGTGGGCGACGAGCAGGTTGTGGACGCCATGGAGCAGTTCGTCGTGCACCGCAACCCGGCGCTCGTGCGCCGCGTGCTGCGCGGGCCCGTGGCCAAGAAGAAGAACGCCGCGCTGGACACGCTGTCCATGGACTTCTCCTCCATGGACATGGACTCGCCCGCCGTGCCCACGTCCGAGTTCAGCGACCCGTTCCTCATGGGCCCGAACCCCTTCGTGCGCGCCGCCGCAGAGACCGAAGCCCAGAGACCGTCGATGACCGAGAGACCGTCAATGACTGAGAGACCGTCAATGACCGAGAGACCGTCAATGACCGACAGGCCGTCCATGACCGAGACGCAGAGACCGTCGATGATGAGCATTGACGACAGCTTCGACGTGGCAGCGTCGACGACCTCGGCGCCATCGGACGGCGGCCGACCCTCGCTGCTGTTCGACGGAGACGCGCTGTCCAACCCGCCCATTTTCCTGCAGTCTATTAAGGAGAAGGTGACGCCGCCCGCCGGCCAGGGCCGGATGTCGCTGTCGCTGTCGAACGACCTGGACCCGAGTGTGAACGCGCAAGCTCCGACGCAGCTCTTCTCGATTGAGAAGCTGCTGGATAACGTGCCCGTCGCGCGCGACTTCCACGACAAGTATAACGTGGGCGCCGTGCTCGGATCGGGCAAGTACTCGGTGGTGAAGCGGTGTTCCAAGAAGGAGACGGGTGAGCAGTTCGCCGTCAAGATCATCGACAAGCGGCAGATGATTGAGGTGCGATTCCTCAAGCGAGAGCTGGAGATTATGTATGGACTGCGCCACGACGGCGTCGTGCGGCTCGTGGAGCTGTTCGAGAGCAACGAGAGCCTGTTCCTGGTCATGGAGCTGTGCGGCCAGGAGCTTTTCGAGTTTATTGACCGGAACGGGCCGCTGCCCGAGTCCACTACCCGCCCGCTTATCCGTAAGCTGGTGCGTACCGTCGCGTACCTGCACGCTCAGTGCATCGTGCACCGCGACATCAAGCCGGAGAACATCCTGCTACCCCCCAACAGCCAAGATGTGAGCGACATCAAGCTCTCGGACTTCGGCATCGCGCGTAAACTGGACGGCCACGGCCACGATAACGTGCTGACGCCTCACGAGAGCCTCTCGGAGGTGGCCAACCTCCACGACGCGCCTTCCACCAACGCCTCGGGCTTGCCGTCGGCGACCGATATGGTGCGCAACCGCATGGCACGAGCACACACCAAGTGCGGCACGCGTGACTACATCGCGCCGGAAGTTATGAGCGGCAAGGGCTACGGCACGGAGGCCGACCTGTGGAGCGTGGGCGTGGTGACGTACGTGCTGGCCAGTGGCTGCGCGCCCGTGTTCCTGCCCACCGCCGAGGGCGTCAAGAAGGTGTTTTTCTCGGACGAGGCCTGGAGCGGCGCGTCCGAGGACCTCAAGCGCTTCATCGAGGCGTTGCTCGTGCGAAACCCGGAGAAGCGTATCACGGCCGCTGATGCGTTGGAACATCCGTGGCTGAAGGAGTAGAGCACTTTAAGTAGATAAATTCCAGAACAAATTGTAAGCTGTCATCAAACTGTTACCAAAGTTCATGCAGGCAAGCGAGTGTTTGTTTGCAAAGAGACCGAACCAAATACTATGTATTAAAGTCGAGCATCTCGCTGTGAGCATGTGCATATCACTTAGCCTTCTCTGCGTTGCATACTTGGGCTCCAACCATGAGTAACTCTGCATCCACTGGGCTGTTCGCAGCCATCTCTGTCCACAGCGTCGTGCTCTCCACTTTCTGTCTAACCTGGCTCGCCTGCTGCAACGCTGCACTCTCTCATCATCTACGCGAGTGAGCGCAGCGCTGCGACCTGGCTACGACCTCTCTCTTTATTCCTCGTTGTCCTCCTCGAACTCCTTGATGACCTCGGGGGTGGCCTGCACCAGCTCCACCATGGTGGGGTTGTCGCACAGGTTGAAGAACTCGACGCTGCTGCCGTCCTCGCTGGGCGGGATGACCAGCACGTCGTGGCCCTCGGGGCCCTTGACGACGCCCTCGCTCGAGTACGGCACCTTCTCCTGCTTGAGGTAGCCCTCTACCTCGCCCAGCTTGTCCACCCAGAGACTGATGAAGTTGGGGTGGCCGAAGCGGTTGCGCAGCACGCGGTTCTTGTTCTTCTGGTCCGACTCGACGCGCGTCGGGTACTCCCAGTCCTGCACCTCCACGTCGCGCACGCCCACGATGCGGAACGGCCGCTCCGCGGTGTCCTGCAGCAGCAAAATACCGACGAATTAGCTTAAAAGAGCTCCTCGAATGACGCATTAATCTCTCTAGCCAATACGTACGTCCTCGTCGTGCTCGAAGTGGATGGGGCGCAGCACGGACTGCGCCGGAGACGCCTTCTTGGCGAAGGTGCGCGTGGCCTGCGGGCGCGCGAACACGGCGCGGGAGCGGAGAGCGGCGCGGCGCAGCATGACGACGAGCTCGGCGATACTTTAGCTGATGATGTGCGGCGGTGAGGCCACTCGTTGCGTGGTGTAGCGCACACCACTGGTTACGACTTACGTACCCCTACATCATAACCCCTAGATATTCGTAACTCAACGAAAAAATCTGCTCAAAAATCTACCAAGCTCATTATCCAAGGGCGACGATGGCGGAGACGGATGGGGCGGCGCTCAAGCAGCTGCAGGCGACGTGCAAGGCGCTGCGCGAGGAGATGACGGCGCTGTACGAGACGCGGCAGGCGGGCGACGGGCGCGCCAAGCAGCGGCGCTGGCGCGTGCTGCTGCTGCTGAGCGCCATGAAGAGCGGCCTGCGCGACACCTTCCTGGAGGCGGACGCGCGCCGCGTGCGCGTGCAGGAGCAGAAGGACGTGGCGGAGGCGCACCAGCTGCAGCTGCAGAACCTTCTCTATGAGAAGGACCACCTGCTGCGCGAGATCCGCCGCTGCCGGGGCTTCAGCACCAAGGAGATGGACAAGATCGAGTTCGCGGACGGAGACATCCCCATCGAGGTGGACCCGGACGTGCACCGCCGCCACCTGGACCAGCTCACGCAGGAGCTGCACGCGCGGAAGAGGTAGGCGGGGACTGGCTGCAGCGTACAGCCAGCGGGGGTAGAACGACGACACCACTCACGTGCTTATTGTAGTCTGCAGGCGGAGCTCAAGGAGATCAAGCTCAAGATCGCCAAGGTGGAGGACGCCACGGAGACCAAGCAGGCGTTCTTGAACGCGCTGCCCGAGCACTTGGCGGGCATTGAGGCGGCCACCACGGGGCTGCAGAAGTACATGGGGGAGCCGGTGACGGCGCAGCGCAACAGACATCGTGCGGCTGGGGTGGAGCTGCCCACCCCGCTCTACGCGCTGTACTGCGAGCTGGAGGCTTACCAGACTGCTAGTGGTGAGGCGGGCAAGCAGTTGACGCTGGAGATCGTGGACTCGGTGGGCGTGAAGCACGCGGGCGCGTTCCGGAAGCGCGGATTCCCGGCTGCGCTGGAGCGACAGGAGCATGCAACCCCTGCGGTGAAGAGACTCAAGGCGCCCTCACGTTCGCCCTCGGCCAGTGTGAAAGGAGCGACGCCGCCGCGCGCGCCGTCTCGCTCGCCGTCAGCGAAACGTGGACTGGGTGGCGCGGCTCAGGAGCCTGAGAGCGGGGAGATTGTGGCAGCCCACACTGCTGAGAAACTGCTAGAGCTGAGGCCGCATGCGTCCCCTTCAGAGGATGAGGAGGCCAAGGAGGAGAGCTCTGAGTCCAAGCACCCTCACCACGAGCAGGAGGAAAACGCGGATGTCACGCATGTGCCGGCGCAAACCCTGTGGAAGCCGCACGCAAAGGCCCTGCAGCTGACTGTATCGGTTGCAGTGCCAATGAATGCTGACAAGAGCGGAGCTGCAGCCAAGACGGGCTCGTTCACTGTGATGTTCCAGTACTTCCCCGTGGCCAAGGTGGTTACCGCTGAGGTTGTGAAGACGGTCCCCGCTAGCTTTAACCACGGCAGCCACCAGAGAAGCATCCTGATGAACCTGTTCCCAGGCGACGACGGACTCACCGTGCCCCATCTGGCCGTAAACTACGCTTTCCAGGAAGACAACGAGGAGCGCGCGGAGGTGGAGTTCCCAGCGAACGCAACCTGCCGGCCGTACTACTGGGCCCAGTGGATCTGCGGCCTGGACCCTATGAAGCGGCCAGACCCATCCGAGATGGAGGTCGATGCCACGGAAGAGAAGCCTCGTCGTCGACCGGAGCCTTCGGTGCGTAATGTTATGAGCCAGCTCGTGAAGCGTTTTGTTGCTACTGCCGTGCTTATGAAGCACTTGGATCAGTTGGCAAAGTCTAGCGGTGGTTCTCACCGGTCAGAAGATGGCGATGCACACTTCGTACACCCACTAGCACGTCACTTGTTCCCACATGAAGTGAAGACTCGACTTGAGGAGTGGAAGGAGAGCGCGACGCCACCGCAAGACATGTTCCAGCTTTTCAGAGAGAGCGCTACGTCTTCAGCCCGCCCTCGTGCCGAGTTTCACCTCCCGACGACTGGCTGCCGCTACTTCCGTGCCAGCTTCAAGAATGGCAGCACGCACATCTCCGCTATGGTCGAAATCTCGCCGGAGTACCCGGTTCGCGCTTCACGTTTCATCTTCCAGCCGCGCTCGTCGTCGAGCAGCAGAGCTCCAGACAAGAACCAGTTCCCCGTTTACGAGAACCAGCTGAAGGTGCGCTCCGAGTTGCTGCTCTCACCCTGGTGTGTCAACTGATAACTAACTTGTCTAACTTGCTTTTGATTAATTGTAGGAGCTTGAGATCGAGGTGAACGCGTACTATGACGAGTTAATCCTTAAGGGCTGCGAGCACAACCTGCTTCTCCACCAACTTCGCAAGATCGAAGTGTGTTTCGACGTGCTGTGCAACGCCGCAGCTGACGGCGACGCCGACGTCTCTCTCTGCTTTGGCCGTGAACGTCGCGGCAAGGACCGACGCCAAGCCATGGTCATGGACACCGCCGCCAAGGAGCTGCGCCACCGGTAGATGAAACTTCAGAGTGAGGCCACAAGAGGGGTAAGAAAAAATGTCGAGGAGGGTGTTTTGCATATAGTTTATATCCATTTTGCCAGCTCTTGTGTGTTTGATACAGCCGGCTACTGGAGAAATTGAAGGAGAGAGTGATGGAGATGGAGGAGTACGGGGCTACGACGACGTTTGCTTCTTCTTGGTGAGCTGCACGGTCTCACGCTTGAGCACGTGCAGCAGCGTCTGCGAGCTCTCGAGGATCTTCATGTAGGCGGCCTCTGTCTCCTGGATGGTGCGGTCGTACTCGTTGCGCGCCTGCGTTTTCCTGGCCAGCGCCTCGTTGATCTTGCTGAGTCGGTCGGTGAGGATGGTCAGGTCCTTCTGGATCTTGGCCTTCTCCTCCTCCTCCTTGAGCATGGCGCGGTTCACCTCCTCGCGCTTCTCGCGCAGGTCCTCGATGCACTTGACCAGCTCGTTGTTGTAGTTCTGCAGCGTCGCGCCCTGCTGAGCCATTGTCGATCGCGGCAGAGAGGTAAACGGCACGAGGATGAAGAGGACGAAGACGATGGAGACCGAGTAGGAAGATGAAAGCTGCTCCACAGGAGGCGTCGCGTCCTTCCGTTACACTCAGGAAGTTGAAGTTATTCCGGGCGTGCCGGTTATGCACCCATGCTCTACAACTGTCAGAAGCTCTCTATGCTCCACAACCGTAAAATGCTCTCCATCTGAACAGCACAGTTAACCGACATGCTCTTAAACCCAATTCGAGTGCTTGGCGAGCTCAAAAGTTGCAGGCGAAAATGGGCGAGCAGGAGCGCATGTTCGCGGGGCTGTGTCTTTGCTCCACGGGGCTGGAGCTTGACATCAAGGTGTGCATCTTCTTCCTCTGCGTCTCCTCTATTCATCGCACTACTTCTCACGCTCTAAATCTCTCCCCACCGCCCACAAATCCATATAATGTAACCATAACTCCCTAGGAACAAGTGCGCAAGATCGTCGTGGCGTGCGGCGGGCGCTTTGAGGACGACCTGAACGCAGACACCACCACCCACTTGATCGCCGAGGCCGTGGGCTCTCTAAAGCACCGCGTACGAGCCAAAACCGCCTACAATTCGCCCCAAAGCATGCCTTATACAGTCCCAATAACCTCTATTTCGCTGTTATTTACCCTGTTTACAGGCTGCAGTGGCCCACGAGCTGCCCGTGGTGTCGCCCCGCTGGGTCTTTGAGAGTTTCCGGACCCAGAAGCTGCTGGACGTCCAGGACTTCGGCCTCCGGGTGCTGGAAGGCATGGGCATCTGCACGGCCGGCCTGACGATGGAGGAGAAGGAGACGGTGGCGCAGCTGGCTGAGACCCACGGGGCTCAGTATGATGGGCGGCTGGAGCTGGGCTTCACGAGTGTGCTCATTGCTCAGCACCCGGAAGGAGCCAAGTATGAAGCGGCTGTGGCCAACGACATCCCCGTGGTGCATATCGGCTGGCTGTACGCGTGCTTGGAGGGCCAGATGCTGGTGGATGAAGAGGAGTTCGCGCTGCGCCCGGAGGCGGAGGACCCAAGTCTGCAGCCAACGTACATCGCTGTGAACCAGCAGAAAGATGCCCAAGAGCTGGTGAATGAACTGCCGGCGATCGTGAGGAGATATCGTCGCAACCAGAGTGAAGAGGAGGACGACGGTGAGGAAGAAGACTGGATGGATCTGTTCGACGGCTGCGTGTTCTACTTGCTGGGCTTCCCGCCGCAGATGAATGCCCTATTGCAGCGTCTTGTACGCACTGGTATGGGTACGATTTATCATAGCGTGGTGATTCGGCAGGTGACGCATGTGGTTGTGAGCGCGTCGCTGTCGGATAAACACACGCTGGAGGCTGTTCGATCCCGTGTGGTTGCTGGAAATGCTGAAGGTGAAGTGCACTTCGTGTCTGCGAGTTGGATCCTAGACTGCGTCAAGTGGTTGGACCTTCAACCGGAAGAGCTTTACCCTGTTGAGTTTGACGTGCACGCTCCGGAACCTGCACCAGGCGCTGTTACTGTTGTTCCAAAGGCCCCTGTGGTAGAGCGACGAGAAGTTGAGGTGCAAGAAGAAGCGAACCGAGAAGCACTCTCGCTGTCCGAGGACCTGCTGCAAAACGGCGACGGTAGCAGCATTTTGGCGACCCCAGAGAAGCCCTCTTCGACGAAGAAGAGGACCCACATCTTTGACGGCTACTCGTTCTTGTTGCTATGTCGGAATCCAGAAGACAGGCACATGGTCAAGCCCATGCTCAAGGAAATTCGAGGGGACAGGGGAGGCGCTGAGGCTATTGCACTTGCCGCCATCGATTTCCCGCACGTGGACCCGGAGCAGTTCTCGTTCGTGAGCCACGCAGTAGTATGCACCGGTGCGGTTTTGGACGAGCAGGAGGCTTTGAGAGTGCAAGAACGTATTCACAGCATCCAGCGCGAGCAACGCAACAACGAAGTTGAAGAGGAGAATAACGCAGAAGGGGATGAAGCCGACGGCAGACCGCGAAAACGAGCACGACACAAGCCTCGACAGCGGATGTTGCAGTTCGTTTCAGACTTGTGGGTGAACTGCTCGCTGGCGGCGAGGACGAAGCTGTCGTTTTCCTCCCATGACCTGTTCGGGGTCAGCTTGAACTATCCGCGCGCGTTATTTACCTCTCCGGTTCCTTTGCCCGGTTTCCACGATGTGGTAGCTTCCACCTCGGTGTACATCGGCATTGAGCAGCTTGTTGTCGTGGAGTTGCTTCGGGTTGCCGGTGCTCAGGTGACGAGGAAGCTCAACACGAACAATACTCACCTGATTTGTCTCAAGCCATTGGGGATGAAGTTCGACAAAGCCACCAAGTGGGGTCTGCACGTCGTGAGAGCGCGTTGGATAGTGGACTGCTTGTTGCAAGGCAAGCGTCTCAGCGAGGACTTCCCGGATTTCCAGGTTATCGAGGGCGACGAGTCCAGCAGCTTCACGCACCTTACGAGCGAGGAGACTATGATGTCGCAGTCTTCCCCGCGTTCTGCTACGACGTGAATTCAACGAAGTATGAATCGAATTGAAAGGTGGTTAATTGGTTTTGAGCTGCACAATCACGTAGTTACAGGCGTGCTCTCAAGTTTCAAGTTTCAAGTTTCAAGCCTCGCTCAGCTCGAATGAATGGCGTTTGGTGTACACCGGCGTAATGACGGCGTGCATCTCGAAGTCATCGCTGAGGCGACGTTCACGGTGCTCGTAGTGGTTCCTCTTCTTGTACAAGACAACGCCGGCAGCGGCTATGATGGCGCCCACAGCGACGGCAATCGCGACCCAAGCAACCACAGTACTGCTACCGCCAGCCCCCGGATCAGCACCGTTCGTGTCTGTTGTGGTTGCAGCATACGAGACGTAGCTCTGACCCGCTAGCGACGACGTGGTGGGCGAAGACGTGTAAGTCGTTCCTTGTTGCACTTGTTGTTGTTGCACTTGTGACGAGGTGGACTCTGGTGTCGCTGTCGGAGTATCGTACTGGTTTGCCTGCGAAGACGTAGATGAACTCCACTGAGTTGGTGTCGTCGTTGGCTCGGTTGTGGTTGGTATTGGGATGTCCGACTCTGGATACGGCGTATGCGTGACTGGCGTCGATGTAGTTGGCTCTGTTGTGCTCGGGTAAGGTGTCGCAGGTGAAGGCGTTGTCGGCTCGGTCGTGCTTGGCATGGGAATGTCGGATTCTGGGTATGGCATGTGCGTGACAGGCGTTATCGTAGCAGGCTCCGTCGTGCTTGGGCAAGGTGTCGTCGGCAGTGGAGTTGCAGGCTCTGTTGTATTCGGATACGGCGGGGCATCAGTCTCTGGGCACGGCGTGGTCGGCGATGGCGTTGCAGGCTCCGTTGTGCTTGGGCAAGGTGTCGTCGGCAGTGGAGTTGCAGGCTCCGTTGTGCTTGGGCAAGGTGTCGTCGGCAGTGGAGTTGCAGGCTCCGTCGTGCTTGGGCAAGGTGTCGTCGGCAGTGGAGTTGCAGGCTCCGTCGTGCTTGGGCAAGGTGTCGTCGGCAGTGGAGTTGCAGGCTCTGTTGTATTCGGATACGGCGGGGCATCAGTCTCTGGGCACGGCGTGGTCGGCGATGGCGTTGCAGGCTCCGTTGTGCTTGGGCAAGGTGTCGTCGGCAGTGGAGTTGCAGGCTCTGTTGTATTCGGATACGGCGGGGCATCAGTCTCTGGGCACGGCGTGGTCGGCGGTGGCGTTGCAGGCTCCGGTGTTGTTGGAGTCGGTGTTGTTGGCTCTGGTGATATTGGAGTTGCTGTTGTAGGCGCTGGGGTGCTCGGGGCTGTAGTCTCCGGCACTGGCGCCGCCGTCGTCGGTGCTGCCGTTGGTGCGTCGGTCGTCGGCTCTGGCGCTGCTGTGGTCGGCGCGGGGGTCGGAGCTTCAGTGGTCGGCGACGTCGTGGGTGCCGCCGTGGGCTTCTCTCCGCAGTTGTACAGCTCCCTCACCGCCGACGTCTGCACGAACCAGCTCTGGTCGTACTCCTCGTTGCCGTCGAACAGGTAGCTCGTGTCGATATCCACCGCCACGTCCGACTCGCTCACGTCCCACGTGGGGCACTCGGTGGCCGGCTGGCCGCAGCCGACCGACGGCAGGACGCAGCCCCACGTCGATCCCGTGACCAGTCGACACTCGGCGTCTTCGCGCGCCACGCAGCTCCCGCCCACGAAGGACGGCAGGTACGCGCGGCAGTCGGAGACGGCCACGTCGCCTTTCAGCGGGCAGGCCGACCCTATGGGTGCACTGCCGCTCCCCGAGCAGACGCCACCTCGACTCGAGGCCAAGTCGTACGTGGCGTCGGCGCAGACGCTCACCTCAACGGCATCGGCGGCGCGATGAGGGTGCAGAGCTAGGAACAGCAGTGGTGTCAACTGTGGAGCCCTCATTCGAAGCGTCTTCTCTTCTTGGTGGAGCAGATTCGAGACTGGCAGGAGAAATGCACCCAAATGAGACCGTGTCTCCGGAAAAGGCAGGCACGTACGTAGTAGTACTCACGACGAGTTGCTACCGGGTTCTGCTCGTACTATTTAGCGGCGGCCTCAAGACGTGATTCAAGTACGACTCAAATACAGCACGTGGCGGGGACTGCATCGTTCCGGCGTGTTTCTAGTTGCCTGATCCTGCCACGCCGGATTTTCACCGGCGGTTATCAATGGGATAGTCGGGTGACTGCACCCGGCTGCCATGCTGCTGGCCGTAGCGCCAGCGAAGAGGATCTCGGTAGCGGAATCGATCGCCGCTGAAGGTGTCCTCCCAACTGTAGCCATGTTGAAGTGAGGCGTCCACCTGACTGAAGCGCACCTATGCAGCCGGCTGAGTCGGGTGCCCCCAACGCCACGGAAGGATTCGTGCCGACCGAGACCCAGGGCCCTCGCATCGGTGAATATGGGTGCCGCTCTCATTCTCATGCCATGGAGGTGCTTGTAACCTTCGGCCAATGTTAGGATTGGGTGCTGATTGGGCAAATCCGGCCGTGTATCTTCCCTGGATCAGACATCTTGGCTCTTCGACTCGACGTCACCATGGGCGAGGACTGGGCCTACATGGACTCGCTGCGTCCTCCCGTCTACATCTGCCTGCGCCGCAAGGTCTCCGATACAGCAGGTTATGAGCCCATGGCGCTGGACGGGCGGTACGTCGTTGTGCATCTTCCTCTGCGGCGTTGGTGACTCGTACCTAACATGGGATAAACCGTCGGCAGGGTGGACAAGGAGGACTGGGCCCATGTGCCGTGGTCCGACGCCTTCGTGGACATCGAGGGACCCGAGCGGAAGCCCGCGGAGCACCCGCTCACGAGGTTCAAGATGATGTACGACGACGACACGCTCTACGTCGGCGCAGAGCTGATTGAGCCCAAGATCTGGGGGACCATCACCGAGAAGAACAGCACCATGTACCACGAAAACGACTTTGAAGTCTTCTTCAACCCGGACGGCAGTCGACACCACTACTAGTAAGTGTGAAGCTCCCTAGTTTTTTATTATTATGCTTACTTATTTTATTTTACTTGTTTTGCTAGTGAGCTGGAGGTGAACTGCTTGAACACGATCTGGGAGTTGCTGCTGCACCGGCCATACAAAGATGGCTACAGTATCGAGAACCCGTTCAACCTCGTCTCCCTGCGCTCCGCTGTGTTCGTGGACGGTCTGACCAACTCACCGGAGACCGAGTGTGTGCGCTGGTGCGTGGAGATGAGCTGGTCCCTTGCGGAGCTGCAGCAGTTCGACAAGTTACGCTTCCGTAGTGAGACGGGAGACCCTCTGCGTTCCTCAGCTGGTCTACAATCAGGAAGGGCGACTCCCCGACCTCCTTCAGCTTCTGGACATGCGTCTCGACCTGCTCTGGCCACTACCAGCACCGTGGCAGGAGACGTGTGGCGAGTCGATTTCTCCCGTGTGCAGTACGAGCTAGAAACGGTGGTGAACGTTGATACACAGCAGCTGCAGTACCAGAAAGTGCCCGATAAACGCGAGGACAACATCGTGTGGGCCGCTACTGGGGTGATTGACATCCACCGTCCCGAGAGGTGGGGGTACGTCTTCTTCAGTAGCGAAAATGAGCTACCAGGGGGTGAGTTGGAGCTGTCGAGCGCCATGACTGGGTTTCTGGAGGAGCGCATGGCTATTGAGCGGATCCTGGACGCTGTTTACTACCGACAGCGAGCGTTCCATGCCTTCCACGGTGGCTTTGCGTCGAGGATGGAGACGCTGTACACTGATTTGGCATCTCCGACGTCTTCGGAGACGTCGAATACGGAACTGAAGGTGTGGACAGAAGCGTTCCCGCTGTGTGAATTGCTTCGGCGCTATGAACTGGACTCCCCAGTGATCTCTGCAAAGAGTGATCTGCACTCCAACGACCCTCCGGCTGAACAAGACAAGACTGTTGGGAAGTCTGCTGAGGTGGCTACACCTGACGGCACCCATAGAAAAACTAGTCGACACTACGCTCCAGCGCTGGACCAGCATGATGAGGATTTCGATGCAGATTTCAACGCGGTGCCTAGTGAGGAAAGCGTTGAGGAGACGGCAAGCCCGTCGACTGTGAAGGAGGTTTGCACTCCACCACCTCCCAGTCCGATGTTACTGGAGATCCAGAGCCTGGAGACGCGCGGGCTTTTCTCGAATTTCACAGTGACGGTGCGTAGTGCGACGCAAGAATGGCACATGGCGCACGACGGGCGGCTCTGGCAAACGCGATAATTCCCTGGATCTGACAAAAGGGACCTTTATTCACCTCGGCAGGCCCATAATCGGATGTGATTGTGGGCCGATGCGACTGGTGAACAAAAGATGATGCACTCGAGCTGATTACAAGCCACGGAGATCCCTAGTTATCGATGCTGTCAAATGCGTACATGTACTGCTTCTGTTACTCAACCACTAACTTGTGTTGCTGCCTGCTTCATTTTTCGTTTTGCTCTTTACTGAGCTCCCGGTCTTCTCTTCGCTCCTGCCTTCAAGACCCCTCGACTCGCGCGTCCAGTTTCGTCGACATGGATGCTAAATCGCAGGAAATCGGCTGCGAGAGTGGCGAGCACCTAATGGCAGCCGGCTCACAGGCTCTGCATGATCACGTGGCGAACCGGTTAGAGCGATCGCTGGGAAAGCCGCTGCGTCGAGTGGAGGTGCGCTTCGAGAACGTGGCTGTGTCGGTGAGTGCTGTTGTGCGCGACGACAGCGAGGTCACGTCCGAGCTCCCGACGCTTCCTAACGTGGTCAAGACGGGGATTCTCAAGATGTTCGCGAAGAAGCGAGTGGTAGAGAAGCAAATTCTTCGCTCTGTAAGCGGTGTACTCAAGCCGAGGACGATGACGCTGGTGCTTGGTCAGCCCGGGTCTGGCAAGTCGTCCTTGATGAAGCTGCTGAGTGGCAAGTTGTCGGCGTCCCGGAGTGTCAGTGTGGAAGGCGAAGTCTCGTACAACGGTACGCCACAAGAGGAACTGCGCACTCGACTCCCCCAGTTCGTCACGTACGTGCCTCAGCACGACAAGCACCTGCCGACTCTCACGGTGAAGGAGACGCTGGAGTTTGCGCACGCGTGCAGTGGTGGTGAGTTGTCCAAGCGAGACGAGCAGCAGCCCAAGCATCACTCGGACGTGGTGATTCGCCAACTCGGGCTTGAGAACTGCCAGAACACGGTGGTCGGTGACGCGATGCTGCGTGGTGTTTCTGGTGGCGAGCGCAAGCGCGTGACGACGGGCGAGATGACTTTCGGCAAAAATGACGTGATGATGGACGAGATCAGCACGGGACTGGACAGCGCTGCGACCCTCGATATCGTGTCGACAATTCGGAGCTCCGTCAAGCAATTCAGCAAGACGGTCGTGATTTCGCTGCTGCAGCCGTCTCCAGAGGTATTCGCGTTGTTCGACGATGTCATGCTACTGAACGACGGATACGTGATGTATCACGGCCCGCGAGACCAAGCTCTGGGCTACTTTGAGAGCCTAGGCTTCAAGTGTCCTCCTCACCGCGACGTAGCTGACTTTTTGATGGACCTCGGTACCGACAAGCAGCGCCAGTACGAGACGGGTCCTGCCCCAAGCACCGCAGAGCAATTTCGTGAAGCATTCGAGAAGTCGGAAATCTGCCAGCGGATGTTGGAAAACTTGCAAACTCCTGTGGACCCAGACCTAGTTCGTGACCATGCACTCCATGTGGCCCCTCTTCCGGAATTCCACCAAAACGTTTGGAGTGGAACGTGGACGCTCATACGGCGAGAAATGGTCGTGACAATACGGGATACTGCAGCCGTGAAGAGCCGCTTTTTCATGGCAATTCTGCTTGGACTCTTTCAGGGGAGCACGTTCTACCAGTTCGACGATGTGGACTCGCAACTGGTTATGGGCATCGCATTCGTAACGATTAACTTTGTGGCTACGAGTCACATGGCGTTGATCCCAGCCGCGATGGCCATGCGAGAGGTGCTCTAGAAGCAACGCGGGGCCAACTTCTTCCGCGTCTCGTCGTACGTGATCGCGCGTCTTGTGAGCCAGATCCCCGTTGGTTTGATGGAGTCTCTCATCTTTGGGTCGTTCATGTACTGGATGTGTGGCTTCGTTCCCAGCGCTGGGGGCTATTTGCTGTTTGAATTGGTGCTCTTCTTCGTGAGTATGGTCACGGCGGCGCTTTTCTTCTTTGTCGCGTGCGCGTCGCCCAATCCGAACATCGCCTTCCCCGTCACGCAGTTGTTACAGTTGTTCTTCGTCACGTTCTCGGGCTACGTGGTCACCAAGGACACGATTCCGGACTACATGGTCTGGGTCTACTGGTTGAGCCCTCAAGACTGGGGCGTGCGAGCTCTCGCGGTGAACCAGTACAATGACCCGCGGTTTCTCACGTGTGTGTACGAAGGTGTCGACTATTACGCTCGGTACGGCATGCAAGCTGGAGAGTACTTGCTCAGCGTCTACGGCGTGCCAACCGAGAAGCACTGGCTCTGGTTTGCCTTGGTGTTCTTGGCCGGTCTTTATGTGACGCTGGTGCTGCTGTCGTGCTTGGTACTCGAGCACGTGCGCTACGAGAACCCGACCAGCTCTTCTCTTAGTGAAAGCACTACCTTTGAAGCCCCTGATGAAGACGGATACGGTCAGCTGAAGACCCCAAAAAGTGGAGTTACAAGTGATGGTAACGTGGTGGTTGCAGTTCCTCCGACCAGTAACTTCGTTCCGGTTACTCTCGCGTTCAAGGACTTGTGGTACTCCGTCCCGAACCCCGTCAATGTCAAGGAAGACATCGACTTGCTCAAGGGCGTCAGTGGGTTTGCTCTTCCTGGCACGATGACTGCGTTGATGGGGTCTTCGGGTGCAGGCAAGACCACGCTCATGGACGTGATCGCTGGTCGCAAGACGGGAGGCAAGATTCGCGGGGAAATTATGCTCAATGGGCATGCCGCCACGGAGTTGGCAATCCGTCGGTCCACGGGCTATTGCGAGCAGATGGATATTCACTCGGACACCGCCACCTTCAGGGAGGCTTTGACTTTCAGTGTGTTCCTCCGCCAAGGCGCCGACACTCCCGACAGCCAGAAGTACGACTCGGTGAACGAGTGTCTGGACCTCCTGGACCTGAACCCGATCGCGGACCAGATCATTCGAGGCAGCTCCATGGAGCAGATGAAGCGCTTGACCATCGGTGTTGAGCTCGCTGCTCAGCCGAGCGTGCTGTTCCTGGACGAGCCTACGAGTGGACTGGACGCTCGGTCGGCCAAGCTCATTATGGATGGAGTGCGGAAAGTGGCGAACACGGGTCGTACCATTGTGTGCACGATTCACCAGCCGTCGGCTGTGGTGTTCGAGCTGTTCGACAGATTGCTGCTTCTGAGGCGCGGGGGTGAGATGGTTTACTTCGGAGATCTGGGGGCAAAGGCTTCGGAACTGGTGAACTACTTCGAGGCGATCGACGGCGTGGCCAAACTGGAGTCGGGCTACAATCCAGCAACGTGGATGCTGGAGGTGATCGGTGCAGGAGTGGGCAATGCAAACGCCGACCCGACCGACTTTGTTGCTCTCTTCAAGGACAGCGAGAAGTACCGACAGCTTTAGTGCAATCTGAACTCGGAGGGAGTCACGCGGCCGTCGCCTTCACTGCCTGAGCTAACATTCGGTCGCAAACGAGCTGCCAGCAACACGACACAGGCCAAGTTCCTGAGCAAGCGCTTCGTCAACTTGTACTGGCGGACGGCGTCGTACAATTTGACTCGCCTCATCATCTCCGTGATCCTAGGCTTGCTGTTCGGCGTAACGTACATTGGGGCGGACTACAGCTCGTACCAGGGCATCAACTCGGGCATGGGCATGATCTTCATGGCGGCGTCCTACATCACCTTCGTCACGCTGAGTGGCGTCCTCCCCGTCACGTTCCAAGAGCACGTGGTTTTCTATCGCGAACGCGCTGGACAAACATACTCTGCACTTTGGTACTTCGTTGGCGCCACCATCGTTGAAATCCCGTACTGCTTCGTCGCGACGCTCTCTTCCTCGTCATCTTCTACCCCATGGTGGGCTTCACGGGCGTTGCCAGCTTCTTCACGTTTTGGTTCTGCCTGGCGCTGCTCGTGCTGATGCAGGCCTATCTGGGCCAACTACTGATCTTCCTGCTACCAACCGTGGACGTGGCCTCCGTCTTCGGGCTGCTCATCAACACGATCCTCATCCTGTTCACGGGCATGAACCCTCCAGCGGCATCGCTCCCTCGAGGCTACGTGTGGCTGTATCACGCCGCCCCGAACAAGTACACGTTCGCCAGCTTGACGGCGATCGTTTTTGCGGCTTGAGACGGCGACGGAAATGGCCCGGGATGCCAAGAAATGACTGGTACTCCCCCAACGCTGGCGGATGGCACGACCGTGGCCGAGTACATGGAGAGCTTGTTCTGGATCAAGCATAGCGAGATCTGGTCCAACTGCGGGTACGTCGTCGCGTGGGTCGTCTTCCTGCGAGTTCTAGCTCTGTTGGCGCTGCGGTTCGTCAACCATACCAAGAGATAAGGTCCGCCGAAATGCGAACGAAGTCTTATTGGTGCGAGCGGTCGCTGTGGCGCTCAATGAATTCCCCAAGTTTGGTATCCGATAGACCACTAACATTTTCTTTTCGTGGTACTTCGTGGCTGGCTGCGCTCAATCAAGAGACTACCTGTTCATTAAATGTCTTTACATGAAACTGACCAACCATTTGTTTTTATTGTTGCTGTAAGTTCCCTGGATGTTGCCTTTAGATTATCCCGGTCTTCCTGTTGTACGTGTATCCTGCCTACGAGACGCTGTTCCGCTTGAGGAAAAACTCGTACTATCAGCTTCTAGTGATTTTACTCCTGCCAGCTCTCAAGGTGATCGTCAAGAACATTGTGCGGCGGTGCACTATGCACAAGGAAGACTTGGTGCCGGAGTCCGTCATCTTCACTGTGGACTTCTTCAACGCGATTTACGTCGCCACGTGCATGCAGAGCTCCTCCTCTCTCGTCGGTCACGAACGTGACAGTAGCTACGAAGAGAGAGCTATCGAGAATATCCCCGGTGTCGCGAAGATCGTGGAGAAGTTGACGCCCGACAAGCAACAAGCTGCGAACAAGCTCTTCTCCAAGTTAAAGCTCGACCAAGCCACCTCCGATCTTCTCGCGAGTCGCCAGTTCCAGAAGTGGGTGAAATCCGTGACGAAAGCCTACAATAAAAACCCCGAACAAGCGACTGTGACGATGCTTTCGACGTTGACGGGTAAATACGGCGACGAAGCGCTGGCCAAGATGCTCGCTACCGCCAAGGAAAATCGCAACACGGAGACAATTGCCACTCAGCTGGAGGCCCAAACTATTCAAGAATTGGGCGAAAGAAAAGAAAACGGCGGGCGACGTGTTCAAGTCCCTTGATCTGGACCAGGAAGTGAGCGTTCTCTTCAAGAGTCCCTCGCTGAACTCTTGGGTCTCGTACGTGAATTTCCTCGACGAAAATCCGTACGAGTTGCTGCTCACTAGGTTGAAAACTCGCTTCAGCGATGAAGGACTTGCCACTGTTCTAGCTCTGACGAAGCGATACTACACTACAAGGAAGATTGCTGAGAATTTGGAGAAGGCCCAACTGGATGGGTGGCTGCGCCATGGCGAAGATGCGGAGTCGATTTTTAAGCTCCTGAAGCTCAACAAAGAGGGCGACAAGCTCTTCGAGAGCCCCGTGATAAGCACTTGGGTCTCGTATGTGAAGAAGATGGACACGGAGAATCCATACACTTCGATGCTATCGACGCTAAAGTTACGCTACAGCGATGAAAACCTTGCGAGTATGCTTGTGGCGGCGAAGAAGACTGGCAGTACGAGATTAATCGCCGAAAACGTGGAGACCGCGCAGTTCAAAATGTGGAGGAGCGATGGAAAAACCGCGGACGATCTTTTCACACTTCTTCGTCTCGACAAGGAGGGAGAAGCGCTGTTTAAGAGTACGATGTTTAACACTTGGGCCTCTTACGCGAAGCTTCTGGACAAGGAAAACCCAGAGAAACTCATGGTGTCGGCAATGAAGACGCACTACAGCGATGGAAACCTGGCGAGTATTATCGCTGCAGCAAGAGAAAATTCGCGTACGGAGGCTGTTGCCAGTCGGTTGCAGCAGGAGCTGTGGCTGAGTCAAGATAAAACGTCAAAGGACATTTTCAAACTCCTGAAACTGGACAAGGATGGGCAGCGGTTCATTGAGAACCCGCAGTTGGGTACGTGGGTCTCGTACTGTTCCAAGCTCGCCAAGACCCGGGGCGACTTCAGAGCAATTTCGATGCTGGAAAAAAAGTTTGGAAGCGAAGAGCTGGCGATGAAGATTTCTGCCGCACTGCAGCATGCTTCAGAAGGCAACCAAAACGTCATTCGTGAGTTACAAAAACTGCAGTTCCAGCAATGGGCGCTACTGGACAGGAACCTCTAAGTAGTTACGGCATTGCTGCCCCCACCGACAAGAGGAGGAACGGTGTTCTTCTCGCGCTCAACGATTTTTTCAAACCCAACCACCCCTGAGTTGGGGCTCAGTTTATGGGAACTTGAATAGAAAGAGAGGGGTTTGTCGACCTGCGTTTTGCGTGTTCATCTATCTCGTCTAGAGGTACTGCGATTTCTACACAACCATCTTTATGACTTTTTCAAATACGTTTTATGTGGGCTTAGTTGTTACTTAATGGGTATCATCACAGCTGGGTACAGGGGTCATGACCCGAGTCACTATCAGATTTGGGACCTAACTATGATACTTTTCTTTTTTTACCTGAACTCATTCGAGACAACACAGAAGGTCGCAATATGGGGAGGAAGTCTGGCATCTCGATCCACTCCTATGCGGCAGCAACGGCAGCTTCGGGGCAGGGGCAGCAGGCTGATGACAGTGCGGTGCAGATGCAGATAGAAGCGAGCGAACGGGCTACCCTACAGGCAACTCTAGATACGCGTCCGATCAACACGAAGAGAAAGTATGAAAGCTATCAGACTGAGTTTCAGAGTTGGTGCAGTGAAAAGCATTTCTGCGATGGAGCTACGGTCACATAAGGGAAGCTTCACCTTTTCCTGACGGAGCAGGTGGTAGGTCGAGAATCCAAGAAGAAGAAGGGCACGTTCGTTGGCGGTTCGACTGTTTGCGGCTACGTGAATGCAATCATCGATCTCTACAACCAACAAGTCGCGCTGAAGATTAACTCGAATGTCCATCCCCGGTCTGCTCAAGTCAAGCAGCTGATAAAGAATGTACAAGCCCAAACAACGGAAACACGGAAAAAGAACTACCAAGATCGTGGTGTTGGTTCGTTGCTCGATGGGTATCACTCTAAGGAGCAATTCCGACAGATTTGTGACACCTTTTTTCTTTTGGGCGATCTGCGTGGGCGGGCGGCGTTTCTGGTATCGCACTTTGGGTTGCTACGCGGGGAGAACGCACGTGACCTCGAGCTGGCCGACATGTTCTCTCAGGTGCTGGATGGAGAAGGATTTCAGACCTGTATCGCTCTGGTGATACTAATCCAGCACGGAAAGACAAACACGTACGGTAAGCTCCAGCACGTCGGCTATATTCGCAACAAAGATGTTCACGTATGCCCTGTTGGTGCAGTTGCGTTTTACCTATTCGAGCGCTTTCATATCGATTTGGAGCCCTTTCCTTTCTTTCGTACAGCAAAAGATTGATATGACGTCAAGTTTTTGCGTGGTCGCACTCGTACGAAGTCAATTTCGTACAACACCCACAAAAGACGTTACGAGAGTGTGTTCAATCGTCTCGGATTAACTTTTAACAAGAAGACGCACATCATAGACAGCAGGGCGTTCGGCAGCTTGAACGCTGCGATGTGGACAGCTCCCAAACTCGTAGACATGGCAGATGGGGGCAAGACACAATGGAGGGTGTATACTCAGCTCCGCTCGCACGGGAAGCTATGCGCGCCTTGTCAGGGCACCCCGCACGGTCGCGGCTGTACTATCTGGAGCGAGCCTGTGTGGATCCTCCCCAAGACCTGCAACGGAAGATTTTCCCTGATCTTGAAACATACAAGAAGAAAATATTGGATGGAGACTGGGAACAAAATTTGGCAGCACGTGGATTTATCGAGTTGCTGGAGTACTTACGGATCGCCGTGCTTGAGGACGCTGCGTTCCTGTATGAGCTCCTGCCCACTACTGTTCAACAGCATGAAATCTTTGGTGAACAGTTCCAGCAATACCGCTCTGAGGCACTTGCCAGGGCCAACTCAACTGAGCACCCCGTGGAGATGCAACTTCAAGTTGCAATGCCTTTACTCGCGCAGCAACTAAGTACACAGCACTCCACAGTCATGGATACGATATCATCAGGTCACCGGCAACTAGTCAACTTGGTGGAACACTCGGAGCAGCAACTTACCTCGTTTCTCCAGGGCGAGGTTACTTTCCGGTTGCAACCTGTGCCGGACTCCTCAGGCAGACTCCACAGCCAGACGACAGTACGAGGTGGTGACGGAGTTGAACAATCAGCTGATACCCAACAGCAGCAACAACTGACCCCGCCTCTCAGCTCATCGGCTGTACCACAATACAGTATGAGTCGTCAAACATCAACGGTAAAAGAGCTGTGGGTTGAATGGCGTGAAGGCTTGGCCAACCGACCTTCTATTGAATATCTAGAGTCGACATTTGGGACAAAATGGAGATCATCAGCAAAGGAAACGAAGTATTTCTCGAGACGGTTGTATGTCATCAAGTACGTACGCAAGTTGGTTGAGGGGGGATGACAGCCGATGTAGCCATCGCCAAGGCTGACTCTGAACGGGGGCGTCGAAGCATAGATGGATTCTCGAAGTTACTGCGCAGCAAACAAGTTAATTAGTACCCTTCGTGTAGCATAACATCATACTAATAAAACAACTTCTTACCTGACTGGAGGCTTGAGTGTCTAAATTGAAGGGTCAATCAATGGCTTCTCATCTTCTGGTGTCCATGTCACCGAATCCGATAATGCGTTGGTTAGCCTCCAATTAAAATTCACCGACACTAGAGGGCCTTTACACCCACCCACTTACATGCTGTGCTGCTGTGTTGCGCGCTGGGCCTGGTAAGTCGAAGTCCAGCGACTCGGTCTCAGGTAGGCACAGCACCACAAGGTAGGTGTGCTCATACAAGCGTAGTTTGCTATAGTGCACGTCCAGCCTCATGCTTGTGGATACATGCACACCTAGTGAGCTTGTCCTGCAGGTCGAGCGGAAGCAAGCCAAACTGCAGCAGCACCTGCACGAACACCTGCACGAAGTGCTATGTAAGCTTTCCCTCACATACAGCAACTTAAACGTGATGGGGCACGACGATCACCTTCTTGTGGGGCTGTCGCAGCCGCTTGGTGGCTATTGGCCACGCGTCGGCGCTCGTGATGTAGAGGACGGTCCCGCTAGCAAAGCAAAATGAGGTAGGTTAGATTCATCACCACGGCTACGAAGAGAGAGCCGAAAAGAGTATGCATGCACAGCAACTCACCGTCCATAACGGGCGTCGTACGCGGCGGCAGCGTCGCGGGGTCGACTGGTTCTGGAAGAGTTGTTGAGAAAACGCGAATGTTGAGCCAATAGGAACACAGCAATTAGGTCATGACCTGATTTTGATATTTGCCAGGTAACACGGGGTTAATGTGGTGATACCTACGAATACCATGTGTCTAGGTCATGACCTAGTCGTGACTTGGCCGCTGATACTTAATAATACTTCATGCACTATTTCATTTTTTTTCATTTCATTTCAAGGTTGAGGTTAGATTAAGTTCATTTATCCTAACTAAGATAACGACCGACGCATCCACCGTCAACACCGAGCTCATATCTCCCGATGCCCCGCCGAATAGTTGAAACGGTCTACTCGACTTCCGTCGATTTGGTACCGCGGACAGCGAACGCGGTCCCGCTGCTCCTTCAGCAGCGCCTGCCCTCCGAAGCTTGAGTTCTCCACTGCATTTTCCTGGGCCGACTTGCGTTCCTTCTTCCCAATGTGTTGCAGGCCACCAGCGAGCGCCCCAGCAGCGCTTTATGCGGCGACGTGTCGTCACCTTCCCCGAGTCAGCCGTATCTGGGTCTCTGCCACTGCGATTTTCTTCGCCCCGCCGCGCCATGAGTGCACCATGAGAGGACCACCCCGTCGCAGCCAGCTCCATGTAGCGCAGGCCACGTTGACTGACAGCATGCTCCCGCGCGTCACTACGAGTGCTGTGGAGGGTGTGCGCACGTTGGAGTGCCGCACACCCGACGATCTGGTGACCTGCCAGTATCGCACGCAACCTTTGTAGGCTATGACTACCAGGAGGGCCCACGGCGTCACCCGTGGCCTGGTTTGTAATGGGACACGGCGCGGTGGGCTACATGTAGACCACCGTGGACCCCCCACAGGCCCCGCCTTCCGGCTGACGGTCAAAATACCGCCGCAATACGCCGCCGCACACAGCGACGCAGAAATCCAGCTTGGTCCGCGGCTTCACCGCCGAGCTGCCCAGCCGTGGCATGCAAGCACGCCGGCCAGGTGCATGCCTTTCGCTGGAGCTCCGGTCGCCAGGAACGACTGGCTCCACAAGGGAGTCGCCGTCGTCCAGTCGTGGCCAATCAGAGCGCTCTCGATGCTCGCCGGCGCTCTCTGATTGGCCGAACCGCTGGGTCAGCTGGCTCTATGCCGCACTGCCCGCTGATTGGTCCTCCCGGCGACTTGAGCTCCACGGTGCAGATTGACGAGTGTACTACTTCATGCACTAATACGTGTACATGTACAATAGAGCTAATTTCAATCCTTAGCCTCCAGTCGAGGTTTGTTTGTGAAGTCAAAGATGCCGCCGCCGCGTTGTACTGAGTATGATGGTGTAGAAAATTTCGCATAAGCTTAGATAGCCTGGTCATTTAGCTAGCCAAGTACTCCAGGAGTAACCGTTTCGGGGGATCCGTATCCAGAAGTTGAGAACTGGAACGTGAAGTCGACACCTACGCGCGAACCACAGCAGCTAATCAGAACACCAACCGACCCTGTGAAGGAAGTATATAAATCAAAGCAAGCTTACCGAAATGAACCACGCGGAAGCTTAGAGTGAGAACCATCCACAGCATGAGCTTGCCCTGCACCAACGCTTTCTGTGTCTCCAGCATAAACGCGAGCTGGTACAGCGCCTTCATCCTACAGTTGCGTTTGATAACGGCTAGCAGCACCACGAACCAAACCACTTGAACCAGTCCGAACAAGAAAACCGAGAATACTGTGGATCCAGCATTGTCACGGCTGAGGCCAGCCATGTCGGTATGGTATCGCGCGCTGGGAATGCGCACCATCACACAGACGTACAGGCTGTAAAAAAGCGGGACGAGCACTTCCAGGTACGCGGTGGCAATGAGGCACTCTGTCGTAAAGAGCACCGCCAGTAGATCTTCCTGCAGCGTAGAATTATCCTCGGTCGAAGCCGGTGAGGGCTCTGGCGGCCGATTTTCCTCTGCAGCCTCGAGCTCTAGCGACTTGATAGAGTCTGGAGACGGTTGAACAGTATTTCGGCCCACAAAGCACCGTTTGCATGGCTTTATCTTGCATCTAAGCTTGTTGAACACACCCCAGCTTGGCCTTGGGTGGGACGATGCTTCATTTATCGTATTCTTCGACGAATTCTCAAATACTGGCGCTGTTAACATCTCCGGATTCGGACACAAGAAGAGCAGATGGCTCAGTAAATCGTCTTCGAGTTGACTTCCTCTCATAATCTGGCGCGGCTTTCGAGTCACTCCGGTCGTTTGGCGATACAACCCGTAGAATGTGAACAAAGCCTGCGAGACGTCCGTCAAAGTGAGGGCCAGAATACCGACGAGAGAGGAGGAGCTCTGCATGCACGTGGCGACGTAAATCGCGTTGAAGAAGTCCACAGTGAAGATGACGGACTCCGGCACCAAGTCTTCCTTGTGCATAGTGCACCGCCGCACAATGTTCTTGACGATCACCTTGAGAGCTGGCAGGAGTAAAATCACTAGAAGCTGATAGTACGAGTTTTTCCTCAAGCGGAACAGCGTCTCGTAGGCAGGATACACGTACAACAGGGAGACCTGGGTGGCCACAAATACTAGGAACCGAACCAATTGCTCACGCTGCGCTAGCATTTCGTGGAACATCCGTCTGCCCAGTGCAACTCGAAAGCCAATAACCTGGAGACTATTGAAGATCGGGGCCATCGTGAGGACGACGAATGGAACGGGGAAGGGGAGAACATCTCCAAGAGCCATTAAACACGCGAGAATACTGAGCGCTACCCCTATTGACATGAAGATCAGTCGGCGTGCGAGCATGGATACAACATCGATGAAGTGTATCGCTTGACATCCAGTTGTATGCGATATCAGGAACGTCATCACCACGCACCGAATCCAGATGCCATAGCTCACTCTCCACCCTTCCCTCGGGTCCTGCAGCGGGACAGATTCTTGTGCGAATTCGCGGATGATCATGGGCAGTGGAGTCCCAATTCACACGATTAAAACTCACAGGAGAGAAGTATTCCTCGTGTAAGTTTCTAACGCATCCAACCGCTGAGTGGAGTACTTGCCGCCGTAGTTGCTAACTTGCAGTCGCTTCCAGACGCGAAGGAGTGCAGACATCTTGTAAAGCACCATCCAGCCATTGTCACGAGAACCGAGTCACTCAGTAAAGGACGCAATAGGGGGAGTCGAACCTTAAAAATGGCGACAAAAATATCAACAGAGACGGGGCCGAATAATCAGCAACGTTCTGCCCCAAAAATCAACAAATCAAAGTAGGGTACTCACTCTCAGTTTTCGCATGTAGTTGGTGAAAACAGCGAATTATCACTTCCTTTTTCGCCAGCACGCACAGGCTCTTGCTTAGTGCATATACATCTTCTTATATTCAGCTTTATACCTAGCAATGGCCGACTCCAACGTAACACTGTCCAGCAGCTCACAACGTCTCCATCATCGCGAGTTGACATCTAAAACTTGTTTATAGTGATAGTGAACATGTTTATTTGGAGAGGATTCGTGTGAAAACTTGCCTAAACACATACACAACAATTTCTAGTTGAGGAGGGACTTCAAAAACAGCTGAAATTGTGTTAGAGGTCGAGGAGGGAACAGCAAGCGGTACCACTTGAAGTTCGAAATCATCATGATGATTTTTCAAATCAACAAGGTTTCGCCGAAATAATCAACATCAAATCGCCCTAAAAATCAGCACGTTTTTTGCCAGGTTCGACTCCCCCTAATAGCGTCTTCCTGAAAATCAGAGAGGGGGGGGGGCGGGGGCAGGGGGGGGGGGCTTGACCGGTATTGTCCGGAATATCCCGGGACCAAAAGTCACCAAAAGTGACCGAAAGTGACCGAAAGTGACCTATTCCTGGCAGTTTTCCTGCTTCCCCCGACAACAATTTTAGCCAATATAATTAGCCCGAAAGCAAGCAGGAGCTTACATCACAACAAGTATCCAGGCAAATTACCAAGACAGCGAAGCTCCGCATAGCTCACTAAACGTGACAACCAGCTCGAGAGAGCCGCCGACCATGACGAGATGGCACTAGTACTGACGCTAATGCTGCGTCTTCGCTCAACGCGTCAACGAAGCTCGCTGTTCTCAACGTCGAAGATGGCGACTATCAGTGTGGCGCCTGTGGACGGGAGCAAGACCAGCTCTCGGCAGACCAAGCACCTAGAAGTGGTTTTCATGCGATAACATTAACCCACCGCACCGGTAAGCGTTCCAATGCACCCCCACCTACTCTGAACTGTCTGTGTACTTATGTGTTGTTAGCAAATCGAACAGCTTGAATACAGCAGTATGGAGATTAAGGCATTCGGCGAGGGTTTGGATGCAGCTTTATTCAATCGAGCCGAGCCATTTGCAAGTGCCAGTGACATAAAGAATAGCAGGGCTTTTGGTACGAAATCAATAACATGATGCTCTCACAATTTGACACAAATACTAACTTGGTCGAAGATGTTTGCATGTAGTATTTATTTATTTTGATACGAAAAACGTGGCGATGGACTGGGTTTTAGCTTTCTTTCGCTTTTCGCAGTCTGGGTTCTTGCTGTTTGCGTTGCAACCTCGTTTTCGGGTCCGACAACTCTCGCACGCGGGGCCGTTATCGTTTTCATTGTCTTCCGCTGCTGCTAGCTGCTGCGGCTCTGGCGGCTGGGCGATCTGCTGGAGTGCAAGACTTGGCTGGACAGCACGCGTCACTAGTGCAGATTGTGGCATCCTTTCTGCTACTACGGTACTGCTGTTCACTCGTAGCTGCTTCGCATTCCGACTCCGTTGCTTGAGTCGACAGCAAAGAGCATTTTGGTTTAGAGTTCCAGCCGGGTTCATCTTCAAGTACAAAGCATGGATATTAGCCCACTTGCCGTGTGTTCCTTTGGGTATAGTGGCGGCATATTCTAGCAGCGCGGTTTTCGTTTCTTCGCCGAGAATCTCGTGCGCAGGTCTTGTTGGCGGAGTCACCGACAGATTCGGCTCCCTTGTCGACGGAAAAGTAGGCGCGCCAGACGAGGACAGCTCTGCAGATGAACGCATCGGGATCACGACCGCAGTAGAATCTTGAGGCCTTGGCTGAACGGGTTGCTCGCAGACTCTGCCTTCGACAGAATCAATTTTTGGCTGCTTCAATTTATTTTCTCCAGTTTTCTTGTTGCGACTGTAGTTTTGAGCTCGGCGCAGAGACTCCCAGCGCCGCTCAAGAAACTCGTCACTCTTACGATTAATGTCGGGACATGTGCATACTGCAAAATCATATACCGAGCGGTATACTTGCTTTACACTTTTGATGCCCGTCGACAATCTTAGAATCTGAAACAAATTTTCTTGAAGCGAGCTCTCGCCTCCGCGATTTTCTTCATCGTTGACCATCTTGTTTTGCACCATCAGGGTCTGAGCCTCTTTGCTTAAGGCTTTAGGCGCGCACTGCGTCAGCTGCAAATCTATAGAGGCTAACCGCCGAGCAATCGCTTGGTGACTGTGCTTCCTGATGGCTAAGCTGGGGTTATCCATCCGCCTGGCCGCTGAATTATACAGAATCGTTGTGCCCACCTCACACTGCTCCCACTTTGCTTCTTTAGAAGCAAGTTGCTCAGCACGCACTTGTTTCAACAGCGCAAACTCGTGAGCAGAAAATTCAGAGGTACTCTCGTACTCTGGCTCCAGACCCAAGTTCTCGGTGAAGTCGTGCTGATTCATTTGCTTGCACCCTCGATATGCGAATATAACATTGTTCGGATGTCGTCGAGCGCAGAATCGTTGCGGAGCATATTCCCCTCAGCATATTCAACCCGCAATGGAATCATGTCGTACAGAGTCTCCCACGAACGATGGCCTTTCCGCCTTCTTTAAAACGTGTGAGCTGATGAGGCACCAAGTCATACCCCAAGGGCCTTGGTGCCGACCACCCGTGGCGCACCATGCCGCGCCACGCCATGACGCCGGTCACGACGCTGGACGCGCAGGCGCGCTACGCCGCGGGCACAAAGGAGATCCTCGAGCGCTTCTTCGACGGCAAGCCGCAGCGACCCGAGTACCTCATCGCCGAGGGCGGCAAGGTCACCAGCCCCTCCTACACGCACGGAGACGCCACCTCCGGATCGCTCTAAGTTGGCGAATGGCGTATTGGCGGCGAGTGCGGGGTTATCGACGATGGCCTTGGCCCAAGGCTAGCAGCTACCTGTCTCCCGCGCTCGGACGTCTCCAACTTTGGGAACGCATGACGCAGTGTCGACTCACACAAAGCCATGTTCGTCTTCGTCTTGGCTACATTACAACCTCCGGGACCTTGCTCCACATTTGCAGCACAGATCTCGAAGCTTAGCTGCGAGAGGGAAATAAACCTCCCGTGCATGTACTCAAACACCGCATCCACGCCTCGTCCATTTCTCGACGAGCACATCCGGAGCCATCGTTTGCTGAAGAAACTCACGGTGGGCCCGAGACTCGTGCAATACTATAGTACATACATGTACTGACGTTGGGAGCAATGAAAGCCACTCGAATTGAATACTTCGAGGGTGCTTTCATAAACAAAAAGATTAGTAAAAGTAGCTTCGTCGGCAAAGTATTCCAACTTTGTTCTTTTTAAAAGCAATACGACACGTTCATTTTCCAAGTTACCCAACTCTTTGTTTCGGCCTTTGGTTGTGAGTATACGGGACGCGACTCCTTGAGCCCGTTGGCGTATAGTAGTTTGCAGCTAACACAGAGGGGGGGGGGGTTGGCACCTTCGAGGTTTTCCCTCCTCAATCCCAAAGTTGTTCAGTGGGAAGCACGTGTGTTCCTAGCGTCGCCTTCCTGCTCACTAAGCTCTTCCTCCTACCGACACTCGCCTGCGCATCGTGCCAGGTTATGAGCCCAACGCTCTGGGGCTTTGCGAGCAGTTCTCGTGTAGCTCGTAGAGATGTCTGGACCAAGTGGATCGTCGTCTGGTGGCGGCACGCCAACTGTAGCTGCTCGCGGCCAAACTAGTGCTATTTCGTCGGGTTTTGTGGTGAGCTCAGTAGCTGGAGCGATTGAAATCGCTCCTCCGGCAACTGTGATGACTCCTGCAGCTACTGGACCGAGTGTTGGGGTGAGTGTGACGACATCTGTCCCAAGTTTGATCTCTGCTGGCTCGAGTGGAAGTGCTGGCACGCTGACTGGAGGTTTTACGTTCTTGGGGACAACTGGAGGTGGTTTTGCGGGGGCGACTGGAGCTGGTCGACTTCCTGGGGCTAGAGTGGCAGCTGTATCGCCTGCGGCTTCGACTGCATCGAGCTTTGCGGCCTCGCCGTGGGGTACAGTCCCGTCGCTGCCGTCGCTGGGTTCGCCTGCATTTGCATCGTCTCTGGCGGGTGCTAGTGTACATGCAGCTCCTATGATGGCTCCTCATTTCGCTAGTAGTGGCTGGTATGGAATGAAAATGGAGAATAAACCGCCTGTAATGTCGGGAAGTTTTGACTTGTATGCAGAGGAGCTGAAAACTTTCTTGACCAACATGGACATTTGGGGTGTTGTGGACAATGCGTCAGCGGTTCGTGCAGCTGTAAGCTAGGAGCAATTTCGTCGAATGAATAATTTGGCTCGTGGTGCAATCTTGCGAGGCGTTCCTAAGGCCGATGCTGAGTTGATATGCCATCAGCAGAGCGCGCAAGATATGTGGACTGCATTTGTCGAAAAGCAGACCAAACGCGAGTATGCAAATTACATCTTCGCTCGACAAAGGTTGATTGCGAACGTGTACACCCCAGGGAGGAACATGAATGACTGGCTTCGTGAGATGCAGCTCTATCGTAATGAGCTACTGCACTATCGAAGAGGGGTTTCTGACGAGGAATTCGCCGAGATTCTCCTTGGTAACGTGGTGCAGACACATCGCGACGTTGTTCGACAGTTCTCCAAACACTTTGACCCTGGTTACCAGCGATCGACTCCGTCGTCGGCTCAAGTGATGAATGCATTGAGAGCAGAGTCGGAGCTCGACGCCAGGATGGATGATCCACAGCAAGGCCGTGATATCTCTTCCGCGCAGGCTGGCAAGACGCAAGGCCAGCAGCCGCAAAAAAGGCAAGAAGCGTGGTCGAGGTAGATATAAGGCTAAAAGTGGTAATCCGAAGCAAGTTGGAAAGAAGCCTGGTGGTGAGGACAAACGTGAGTGCTGGAATTGCCATCAAGTTGGCCACATCCAGACAAATTGTCCGAATCCCAAACGCGATGACGATGAGTCTGATTCGCAGCTCCCAGAGCGGAAACGCTGGCAACATAAGAAGAAAGCTGGGAAAAACGGCGAGAAGCGTGATGTGAATATGCTTCTCGTTGTGATGATAGTTCGGCGCCTACGGCAACGCAGAGTTCTCTCGATGGTGGAGTTGAGTGGATCTTGGACTCAGCGAGCGACTACCAATAAGGACATGCTTAACGATCTACGCCAAGATGATGGACCTATGGTGTTTGATTGGGAAGGCAAGCCGTCCAAAAGCAGAGGGTTGATTGGAGAAGTAAATGTTCAAGTGAAGAACGAGAATCAGCCTGATATCCCTGTTTTGCTCTGTCTGGGTAATGTGCTCTACACAGCTGGCGGCACAAACAATTTACTGAGTCTGGATAAGCTTGAGAAGGACGGATGGGACTTCGTTAAGCTGAAGAAACAGAAGTGTGCGTGGCTTCGTAAGGGTAGAGTGCTGCTGAGACTGATGAAGACTCGCGGACGATATCGCTTGCAGTCGGCGGTATGTCCTACAAAGCAAGTAGAGGCAGTCGAGCAAAGCAAACCGGACAAGGAGCGAGCTTTGGTACGGTGGCACGCCCGTCTCGGCCATCTCAACTTTGCTGCTTTACAACGAATGGTCCGAGAAGGCACTGTGACTGGCTTGGAGTTGAGTGGGAGTGTGCGCGCGCCCGAAGAGCAGTGCTGGACGTGTGTGCAAGCCAAGATGCGACGAATGTCGTACAAGCAGGTGACCACTGATAGAGCGCGGGAGCCGTATCAGAAGCTCATGTCTGATGAATGCTTCCTTATCGAGCCTACCTACACTGGTTATTTACATTTTCAGCTTGTGCTGGATGAAGCGACTCGTTACGTGTGGGGCTTTCTTCTGAAGCGAAAGGAGGAAGCTGCCGATGTTGTGATGAAACATGTGGCTTGGATACTCGCACGAGGGCATCGAGTTGAAGCTTTTGGCTCGGACGGAGGAGGTGAACTGATCAGTAACCGGTTTAAGACCTTCTTGAGAACGAATGGAATTGCGCTGGCGAAGACCAACTCATACAGTCCGGAGGAAAATGGACTCGTTGAGCGCATGCATGGGGTGGTGTTGTCCCGTGTGCGGAGCTTGTTGACAACGGTGAATCTACCTAACCTGCTCTGGGGAGAAGCGTTTGATTTTGCGGTGGAGGTGCTCAATATTAGTCCAAGCCCTGCACTTGACGGAGAAACACCTTACACTCGGCGCTTCGGAGAGCGGCCGGACCTATCCAACCTGAGGACGTAGGGTTGTTTGGTCTACACCTTCACTGCAAAAGTTCTAAGGAAGAACAAATTAGAGAATCCTGGACAGCCTGGACTCTTCCTCGGGTACGGCAAGAAGTCGATGAGCTACCGTGTTCTTGATTTGAAGACTGGAAAGGTGAAGGAACTTAGGACAGTTGAATTTGCTGAGAACTGGACTGTGGAGTACAGTTATGATGAAAAACGCCTGATCAATCGATACAAGCGTGGCAAGTATCAGCTTCCGTCTCGAATTCCTTTTGTTCGGCTAGATGACTTGATGTCCCAGTCCAGCTCGAAGACCTCTCGGAGAGCCTGAAAAAGATCACAGTGATGAACATCGCGATAAACGGCGTTGCAGTGAGGACTTACGAGGGCAAGCCAGTACTGTAGTTGAAGGTCCGTTTGCTGTGGGTGGGCCGGCGTTGGCTAGCTCTCCTGCAGGCAGCACGTCGAGCGCGAATCCGACGGGTGGAGGTGAAACTGTAGCTCGGTCGTCACGTGCGCGTGGACTACGAGAAGTGGATCATGTGCCACAGCATGATGACACTGATGGAGACGGCGGTGCAGAAGGTGGAGAGAACCTGCCTCATTGCAGTTGTTCTGCACCTTTTGAGGACGGTGGAGGGCTGTCTAACCGCAGTGGCTCTGCGTCTTCAAGAGACTCGCTAGCTCTCAGTGACTCAGATGTTGTGGATAATGACCCAGATTGGAGTGACTCGGATGATGATCCTGTTGATGTTGTAATTGCGAACGGTGATCCGGTAGAAGAAATTCCTCGCTCAGTGGGAGCAGGAAGAGAGACTGATGACGAGGTAAATGAAGGAGTTGGTGCTTCGTTCCGACGGTCGACGCGCATCCGACGACCGAATGTCTGGCTGAGCGACTATGATGTAGATATCCCGGCGTGCTTAGTGATTCAGGCAGTGAATGAATTGCTAGAGCCGACTTCAGTTGAAGGGGCTTTGTCTGCTCCTGATGCTAAGGAATGGATTAAAGCTCTGGACACGGAACATCAAGAGATGCTGCGCAACCATGTGTGGGAACTTGTGGATCGACCTGAAGGAGTAAAAGTCTTGAAGAACAAGTGGGTCTTCGTAAAGAAGAGGAACGCACAAGGAGAGGTAGTGCGCTACCGAGCGCGACTTACGGTGAAAGGTTGCCAACAAGAGTTTGGAATTAACTTTTGGGAAACCTACGCTCCTGTCGCGAAGATTGAATCAGTGCGGTTCTTACTTCTGCTGGCTCTGGAACTCGGACTGCTGTGCAGACAAGTTGACTTTGTCACTGCAGTCCTGAATGGACCCATAGGAGAAGCAGACATATACATGGAGCAGCCAGACTATGTCAACGATGGTTCGGGTCGTGTCTGCAAGTTGCAGCAAAGTCTCTACGGTCTACGACAAGCACCGGTACCGGATGCTAGACAAGTATCTGCGCAAGTGCGACTTCAAGCGTACCAAGATGGACGCTGGCGTGTATGTGAGGACCGTGGGAGCGAACAAGGTCTATGTGGCTGTATACGTTGATGACCAGCTTATTGTTGGGAAAGAGCCTGACATTGAGATGGTGTTAGCTGAGCTGCGAAGCAAGTTTAAGATTAAGGACTTGGGTAACGTGAAGCACTTGCTGGGGATGGAGATAACGTACGTGCCGGGGCGCATGTTGACGATCTCGCAGAAGGGGTACTGTGAGAAGATCTTGTCGAGATTCAAGATGCAGAAAAGTAAACCGGTACCTACCCCACAGGTGATAGGGAACTTCCCGATGCCTGGCAATCCAGATGTGGAACCAGTGTGTGTTAATGATGACCCGGACATTGACTATCGGCAGATTGTGGGATCACTGCAGTATTTGGCACAGTGCACACGGCCAGATATTGCAAACGCCGTCCGGGCACTGGGGAAATTCCTGAACTGCTTCACGCACGAGCACCACGTGCTTGCAAAGAGAGTGCTTCGGTACCTGAGAGGGACTACAGATTACGGTCTAGTGTGGACACGATCTGAGAAACCCGACTTGCAATTTGCAGCCTACGTGGACGCATGGCGACCCTCAGTGAAAGATCTGAAAGTTGTAGCGTATGCAGACGCAGATTTGGGCAATGAGAAGGATGATCGGCGATCGGTCTCTGGTTTCGTGCTGCAGATGGAGGGATGCACCTACGCATACTCGAGCCACAAACAGCGACTCATTACAGATGACACATGCAGCTCGGAATTTGTTGCTGCAGCAGAGTGTGCAACTATGATACTGTGGACTCACAATCTCTGTAAGAAGCTTGGATTCCACCGCAAGAAGACGATTCTCTACGACGACAATCAAGCTGCTATCGCTGTAATTACGGCAAACACTGGGGACTACACGGTCAAAGGAATTGATCTGAAGTACCACAAGATCCGTGACTACGTGGATAGAGATGAGTTTACTATCGAGTATTGCCCGTCTGAGGAGATGATTGCAGACATATTGACGAAGCCTCTTGGGCCCACGCAATTCAAGAAGCTGCGACCGCTCCTGAATGTGAAGGCAATCCGGCATGAGCAGCAAGCAGCCATGGCCGTCGCCAGTGCCACGAAGTGGGAGTGTGAAGAAGGTAATGACTCTGGCTCCGCCCCAGCGTGCCTGACTATACAGTATACACCTGGGACACCCAAGGTTGCCTTTGGTTGTGAGTATACGGGACGCGACTCCTTGAGCCCGTTGGCGTATAGTAGTTTGAAACTGTGGTTGTGAGTATACGGGACGCGACTCCTTGAGCCCGTTGTAGTTTGAAACTACTATACGCCAACGGGCTCAAGGAGTCGCTAGTAGTTCAACTACTAGTTTGCAGCTAACACAGAGGGGGGGGGTTGGCACCTTCGAGGTTTTCCCTCCTCAATCCCAAAGTTGTTCAGTGGGAAGCACGTGTGTTCCTAGCGTCGCCTTCCTGCTCACTAAGCTCTTCCTCCTACCAACACTCGCCTGCGCATCGTGCCACTTGACACCTGTGAGTCGAAGAGGTACCACCAGCACATACCCCTAGGCAATCGACCGCCACCGATTTATCGTTCGTCAACTTAGAGCGATCCGGAGGTGGCGTCTCCGTGCGTGTAGGAGGGGCTGGTGACCTTGCCGCCCTCGGCGATGAGGTACTCGGGTCGCTGCGGCTTGCCATCGAAGAAGCGCTCGAGGATCTCCTTGGTGCCCGCGGCGTAGCGCGCCTGCGCGTCCAGCGTCGTGCCCGAGTAGTGCGGCGTCATGGCGTGGCGCGGCATGTTGCGCCACGGGTGGTCGGCGGGCGCCGGCTGCGGGAACCACACGTCTCCGGCGTATCCCTGGATGTGGCCGCTCTCGACGGCCTTGACGAGCGCGTCCCTGTCCACGATCTTGCCGCGCGCCGTGTTGACGAGGAACGCGCCCTTCTTCATCTTGCGGAGCATCTCGGCGTCGAAGAGGTTCTCCGTCTCCGGGTGCAGCGGGCAGTTGATGGTCACGACGTCGCACTCCTTGACCATGTCCTCGACCGTCGGGTGCCACTTGACGTTGAGCTCCTTCTCGACGTCGGCCGGCAGCCGCACCTTGTCCGTGTAGTGCAGCTTGACGTCGAAGGGCCGGAGGCGCCGCATGACGCGCAGCCCGATGCGGCCGGCGGCCACCGTGCCCACGTGCTTGGCCTCGAGGTCGTGCGCGTGGTTGGCGATGGCCGCGATGTCCCAGTGGCCGGCCACCACCTGCTGGTACGCGGGCATGTAGTTGCGCACGAGCGAGAGGATCATCATGACGACGTGCTCGGCCACGCTCACGACGTTGGAGCCCGTGACCTCGGCCACCGTGATGTTGCGGTCGCAGGCGGCCGCCAGGTCCACGTGGTCGGAGCCGACGCCGGCCGTGATGGCCAGCTTGAGCTTGGGCGCCTTGGCGATGCGCTCGCGCGTGATGTAGGCCGGCCAGAAGGGCTGCGAGATGACCACGTCGGCGTCGTGCAGGTGCCGCACGAACTCGGACTGGTCGCCGTCCTTGTCGGACGTGACCACGTACTCGTGGCCGCGCTCCTCGAGGAACTGGCGCAAGCCCAGCTCGTTCTCCACGCAGCCGAGGATGTCCGGGTTGCGCTTGCCGGCCTCGCCGCCCTCGTACAGCGCGCACACGACCTTCATGTGCTTGGGCGCGCTGGCGGTGAAGCTGCGCGTGGCCATGGCGGCGGCGGAGTGCGAGGCCAGGCGCGCGGTGATCTTGGTGGAGGCGAACATGCTGGGTGGGAGGAAGAGAGAAAGGCTGCTGGAGCTGGGGAGGCTTGCGATGCGTGGACTTGGGCGCAGGTTGCAGAATGACTCGGAAGTGCCGGCGGTTGACACGCTAACGGAGCGATGGCAGCGCCATGACCAGAAAGCTGCGACGACTACCGTAGACAAGGCTTAGAGCAATGCCGCCGGCACGAAATGACTGCTTTAGATTTGTCCAAGTTGAAGTGAGGCCCAGCTCGTCCGGTGATTTGCAAGGTAGCCGGAGAGGATTCAGCCAATCAGAGCCCGTGATTACTTAAATGATTATTGCTCTACCGACATTTTACCGACAGTTCGTGGCCGACGGGCAGTTGTCTTACTTTGTACTCTGTCTGCAGCAGTTCAAACCGCCGGCAAGCAACGCATTGTCGACTGGCAGTGTGCCGAAGTTATCTTGAACATGGGCTTGGCAGTCAACGAATTCTGACCCGTACTGTAGAAGCAGGAAACTTGAAACTTGTTGGGTGCCTATAGTCAGAGTCAAGTAGCACTTCGCATACGATGAGGGCTCCTAGTTCTTAGGATCATAAAGTGGAGGGTAGGCATATTATAGCAGTCAACAAGATCCGATCGCTGTCTACTTGGCAATCGGCGGCAATTGGCCGCTGGTTCGCGCGTCCCAAGTCCAAGCTGAGAGTTCAAACTCCAGTCGCCGTAGCCCTCGTTTGATTGGAGGAGCTGCTTGAAGTGAAGCTTTGCCCATCGCACTTGACGCATCATCCTATTATTCTCTGTGCCGCCATGTACCGCCAATGTACCGCCATGTCGGCACACCAAGCAGCACATCTTTGGCGCTGCTATGAGCTCACTACTGAAGCGTCCGGAGCGCTGGTCGCTGCGACTAATACAGGGGACACCAGCCCCACCCACGACGCCCGACTGCTACTTGCAATGAGTGCCACGCGCGGGAGCTGCAGGTCGGCCACCATTGGGTCCGGTTCGGCGTCACCTACGCACGACTCCGTCACACGAGCCGCCACGCGCTGGCTGGCGGCCATGAACGACTCAGACGCGTCCGAAAGCGAGTTTGAGGCGACCGTGACGCCCCAAGTGCATAACAAGCTGCCGTCGATCGCCAAAGCTCAAGAAATTGCAAGTGCGAACCAAAGCGGGCAGTGGCAGGGCGGGCACAAGCGCCAAATCCAGGAGACCAGCGATGCACCGCCCCAAACGCCGAAGAAGCGAGCCAAGCGCAAGTTCCGGAAGTCCACGATCGACATTCGCAAGGTAGGAGCGCCTATGGAAATGTTTTGGTAAGTGTAAGGGGTCTTAAAAGCGAATGTGCTGTGTGTCGATGAAAACGATGCAGGAAGAGATCGCGAACCTTTTGAAGGAGTTGGCAGGACTGCATAGTCGTATGGAGGAGCTGAACGCTCGAGCGATGAAGCCTTGTACAAGAAGCGAAACCCCAACGGAGGTAGCCGTCGCCGATAGGGTGCTTCGACGCGCGATTCAGAAGCAGCAGCTCGAGGTGACGCAGTTCCATGCGCTCATGTCGGAGTACGCTCTCTTCGTAAGCATGACTACTATGCACTTGTATGGTGCAGTCTCAGCAACCTTGTTCACTAACGGTACGTGCTCTTTGTGCTGCAGAGTATCCGCGTGGGCAGTCCAATCCACAGCGAAATCCGTCTGACGAAGGATAGCGAGTCACGACGTGCTACGTTAGCAGCGATGAAGATGCACGCTCTGCAAATGGGAGCTAATTTTCTGAGAGATCGCTGTCCTCGAATCGATCCCTGCAAACCTATACGAGAGGATCACGGCTACGAGGCGCCCAACGGCGATTTCTACGCCACGTACTTCTCGAGAACGCAGTTCGAGAACAATGTCAAGAAAGTGTTCGACATCCTTCTCTGCTACTTCAGCAGCATCGAAATCTGCGTGTCGGAGAAGCTCGGCAACGTCACCATCCGCGAGGACGACGACAACTTGGCCCCTGGGGTCACGCAAAATCGCCTGATATCGACGACAATGGGTGGACTGCGGATGGAGTCGAACACCGTCTACTTCTCGCACTACGAGGAAGGCGGAAGCGAACCGGGTCATGAACACGGCTACGGACTGTTCGTCGCTGACTTCGTTGACGAGGACGCCAGGAATCCGTATCACCCGCACGAGCGCATCCGTCGAGACTTCAGCGCTGTTCTCGAACTCACTTCCTACCCGATCCAGCAACGCATGAGTGGAACGAAGGCTATGAGCAGCTCAGGAAGCGGCAACGAGGAAGCGAGTGACTCGCTGGGTGCACAGCAAGGTGCACCATCCACAGTACGACATTCCGCACTCCGGATGGCACGAAATGCGAGAGAACACGGAGCGATGGATCCAAACGCTGCACCATACGATGATGGAAAGGTACTTCTCCATGGTGTAAACTGCTTGAATGGAATAATGAACACAACGTCAGACATTTAAACGTCAACTACAGCATCGAATCGAGTGCACGCTTTCCCTTTCGAACCCTGCTCGTTGAAGAGCTTACTGCCAGCTTTTTCGGCGGTACACTGTCGGCCCAAGGCCGGTAGAGGTTTATGCCGCGAGCTCGTCAATGCGTGCCGCCACCACTTCTCATTGGCTGGCGTCACAGCTGGCTACTCACCACTTCAACTTGGTCCAGCAGTTCCAATAGCTCCGTTAGCGTGTCAACCGCCGGCACTTCCGAGTCATTCTGCAACCTGCGCCCAAGTCCACGCATCGCAAGCCTCCCCAGCTCCAGCAGCCTTTCTCTCTTCCTCCCACCCAGCATGTTCGCCTCCACCAAGATCACCGCGCGCCTGGCCTCGCACTCCGCCGCCGCCATGGCCACGCGCAGCTTCACCGCCAGCGCGCCCAAGCACATGAAGGTCGTGTGCGCGCTGTACGAGGGCGGCGAGGCCGGCAAGCGCAACCCGGACATCCTCGGCTGCGTGGAGAACGAGCTGGGCTTGCGCCAGTTCCTCGAGGAGCGCGGCCACGAGTACGTGGTCACGTCCGACAAGGACGGCGACCAGTCCGAGTTCGTGCGGCACCTGCACGACGCCGACGTGGTCATCTCGCAGCCCTTCTGGCCGGCCTACATCACGCGCGAGCGCATCGCCAAGGCGCCCAAGCTCAAGCTGGCCATCACGGCCGGCGTCGGCTCCGACCACGTGGACCTGGCGGCCGCCTGCGACCGCAACATCACGGTGGCCGAGGTCACGGGCTCCAACGTCGTGAGCGTGGCCGAGCACGTCGTCATGATGATCCTCTCGCTCGTGCGCAACTACATGCCCGCGTACCAGCAGGTGGTGGCCGGCCACTGGGACATCGCGGCCATCGCCAACCACGCGCACGACCTCGAGGCCAAGCACGTGGGCACGGTGGCCGCCGGCCGCATCGGGCTGCGCGTCATGCGGCGCCTCCGGCCCTTCGACGTCAAGCTGCACTACACGGACAAGGTGCGGCTGCCGGCCGACGTCGAGAAGGAGCTCAACGTCAAGTGGCACCCGACGGTCGAGGACATGGTCAAGGAGTGCGACGTCGTGACCATCAACTGCCCGCTGCACCCGGAGACGGAGAACCTCTTCGACGCCGAGATGCTCCGCAAGATGAAGAAGGGCGCGTTCCTCGTCAACACGGCGCGCGGCAAGATCGTGGACAGGGACGCGCTCGTCAAGGCCGTCGAGAGCGGCCACATCCAGGGATACGCCGGAGACGTGTGGTTCCCGCAGCCGGCGCCCGCCGACCACCCGTGGCGCAACATGCCGCGCCACGCCATGACGCCGCACTACTCGGGCACGACGCTGGACGCGCAGGCGCGCTACGCCGCGGGCACCAAGGAGATCCTCGAGCGCTTCTTCGACGGCAAGCCGCAGCGACCCGAGTACCTCATCGCCGAGGGCGGCAAGGTCACCAGCCCCTCCTACACGCACGGAGACGCCACCTCCGGATCGCTCTAAGTTGACGAACGATAAATCGGTGGCGGTCGATTGCCTAGGGGTATGTGCTGGTGGTACCTCTTCGACTCACAGGTGTCAAGAAGGAGGAAAAAAGGAGTTGGGTAACTTGGAATATGAACGTGTCGTATTGCTTTTAAAAAGAACAAAGTTGGAATACTTTGCCGACGAAGCTACTTTTACTCATCTTTTTGTTTATGAAAGCACCCTCGAAGTATTCAATTCGAGTGGCTTTCATTGCTCCCAACGTCAGTACATGTATGTACTATAGTATTGCACGAGTCTCGGGCCCACCGTGAGTTTCTTCAGCAAACGATGGCTCCGGATGTGCTCGTCGAGAAATGGACGAGGCGTGGATGCGGTGTTTGAGTACATGCACGGGAGGTTTATTTCCCTCTCGCAGCTAAGCTTCGAGATCCGTGCTGCAAATGTGGAGCAAGGTCCCGGAGGTTGTAATGTAGCCAAGACGAAGACGAACATGGCTTTGTGTGAGTCGACACTGCGTCATGCGTTCCCAAAGTTGGAGACGTCCGAGCGCGGGAGACAGTTAGCTGCTAGGCTTCGGGGCCAGCGATCCGAGACGAGTGGAGTTGCGGTGTTCGGTTGGGATAACGAGGAAGGTCGGGTGCTAAGCGTGGGTAGTGAGTCAGACTAGCTGACGCCCATGTTACGCTTGTTTGGCAACGAGGGGGCTTATCTTACGCTAGACGGTCAACTGAATATTCAATAGTCCGCACCAGCTTCAAAGCGCATCGTGGCCTACTGTGACACTTCAACGCTGTTTGGGGAAATTGACCTAAACAACTATAATTCTGCGGCATTACCGTATTGTGCCCGATCAATCCATGTTCCTGGACTGCTACGCCACTTTTTCTTCTCTTAACCGTCACATCTAGTGCCCAGCAGCGTTGTTCCCGCCTGCGTCATGTGTGTGCGCTTCTTCTTTGAGCAGCACTTCAGGCCTGTTTGAGGTTGTCACGGCTTCTGGCAACGAGACATTCCCTTACTTAGTATCCGAAGCGAACCCGTCGTTGCTCCGGGGTTGACGCGAAATGGAAAATCATCATTAACAGGGCCGCATCCAGGCGGCCCAATGCACGAACAGCTCCTCCAGTTGATACGTTTCTGTTCCATCCGCTCTCAACTGCACTGATCATCGCAGCTTTTGCCTCTTTTGGGAACTTTTCCTTCGTTACCGGGAGGAACTCGCCATTGAAAACACTGAACCGCTTTTTGTCTTCACACTTGGAAGGCGAGTTATAATGCGGAACCACAGGTCCGAAAATACAGTACTATATTGAATTGAGTACGAGATCAGACCGTAATAAAAATTACAATTCAGCAAGGAGAAATAATAAAAATTGCCGCAATATAAATATACTGCTCTTCAATTTGAGGCATTTCTACAGAAGAAATAAACCACTTTCTGTGCGTCATATGATTACAGAGTCGTTTAGACACACTTTTTGGGGTGTTGCTTTAATAATCTTTGCATGGTGGATGCTTGAACAGTAATACGTGAGCGAGATAAATCTGGATCTTGCTATATATCGTAAAGCTGGTGTAGTGGATTCCAGGGTTTCACCTTAAGGCCTCGATAGCATGTCGCGGCGGTGACCCACGCGAGCCACAGGTAATGAGTTCACTGCATCACGACCAGTCAAGCTTCACACAGACACACTTCATAGTGTGTGCACCTGGTATGAGGTTACAGACTAAGCATTTTGTATGATCAACCGCTTCGCGGACCCACTTCGCTTTTTCTCCTACAATTGCCTCAAAGGCGTAATCACTATATCAAAACATTAAGCTCAAGTCCCTAGTGGATTGCCATCCGCTGCCGTCCCCTGATGTGATGTGTTCGGCGGGATTCACTTCATTGATGTTCTGACTTGCGTACATATTGGTTTCTAAAGATGTTGATTGCCGATTATGGCTTTTATCACACCTCAATCGTTGCGCATGCAGACCGAACTATCATTTTATGACGTACTTTGCTATGTTTGGCGCCGTGCAACCATTTTTCATTTTAATTGTCAATAATTGGTACAATACTGTATTGTATTGAAATCGTTGATCTCGATTAATAAAAATGAGTATTGCAAAACCCAATTATTTATTGGATCGCAATTATTATTTCGGACCTCTGATACAACCTTACTAACGTTTGCCTCATTCGTAGCGTAGAGTCCGTCAAGCACGTCACCAACGCGGACAGATCCTCTGAACAATACACGTACATAGTCATGATGGGCCATCGGCGCAACGCGTCGTTCGGTGGAGACACACGCACTCCAAAGTGCCTCAAGCGGAGATCTTCCAACTCCGGACAGGCCGTCGCCAGCATACATAAATCCACCTGCTTCTCTCGACTCCTAAGTGAGAGTCTGCGAAGTCCTCCCCCAATCAAGCTCAGCACCAATCAAGCTCAGGAGCTGTATCAGCACGGTTTCGCTTTCAAAAGGAAAAAGGTCCAACGTAAGGGAGGTGATACTCTTGAGCTGGCCGAATGGAAGGATTGGGCACACCGTGTCCTTTACAAAATTCACTTCATCCTCAATCTTCGTAGTACACATTCCAAATCCAGGGACAACCACATCCACCGAACCGTCCGTAGTGTCCGGGCAGTAAAGCGCTCGGTATCGCACGCCACGCGTAATTTCCAATCGGATACCATTTCTACCGAATAGTTGCGCTCCATCGTGAATGTCCACAAACCCATACTCTGGGGGGCGATGTAGGTTCTGCTCCAGAAGCGGTTGTGGGTGGTTTCTCCGCAAAACCTCTTGAATCATAATAATATCTTGACTGGTCAAGGACGCAAGAATCCTTACAGGCTCTCTTGAAGCACCGGAAGTACCGCAAAATAGCGCATATACCAACCACGCCCACCGGATAGGCCCCGTGGTTTGCTCGAATTCCCCTCTGAATTCAATATTCAAACGGTCTGCCGACGATGCCTCGGCCACGGCCGAACACAGTGAAGAATGTGCTCCAATGTCTTCCATAGTGCCAACCACATCCAATCGGGATAAGTACTCCCGCTCTCCATCTTTCTCGTACGGAGTGTAGTTCACACCCAGATATTTCGGAACCCCCTTCATGTCGACATGGTTATAAAACGAATCAGCCTTGCCGATAGCTTCTTGAATTAGTGACGATAGGGCTGCCTGGCCCACCGCCGCTGTCATTTCGGTGACATTAGGAGAAACACTTGCAATGTGCACAATAGCCTCGAGCGTATCTGCTTGAATGTTCCGGGACATCCCGCCATTTGGGTGTGTGTCTGAGTGGGGCGGCAGTGTCGAACAACACTCGCACTGACAGCAAGGCCGGATTCAGATGTTCATAAAGTGTCTGCTGGCCCGAGATCTGAAAGCCCGGGAGCTCACACTCCCATCGCACCGTGGATGGACCCAGCAAACGCTTTCTGCTTGCTCCATCAATTCCCAGCGCTTCCAACTGTTGTAAGGCCCCCCAAAACGCTTGGGAATATTCCCACGGATCGTCCGGAAATCCCAGCAAGCTTCCCCACGTGACGGGCGACTTCATTGAGGAGGTGACGCCTCGATGTGACAGCGTACCTTCGAACCAAAACTCCCAGGTAGGCTGGCAGTAAGCGCTTTTGCGAGTACGAGACGGAGACCAAAACTGATTGCGCGATTGAGAATCCATATAGTTCTCCATCAACTCGACAAATACGGCGTTGTCAGTCATCGCGAGGAGAGAAAAGAGCTCGATCGACTCACGTAGGCGCTGTAACTGCACAGGATCGCCTCTATCTTCTGGGTCCAAGGGGAGCCTGAACACGAACAAGACCTCGTATTGAAATGAATCACAATTTGGGGGAGTACGCCATGATGCCCGTAGGCGCGGAAACGGAGACCCCTGCCCCCACCATTTAACCAGTTGGCGACAGAGAGCTGTGTACCAAGGGTCCAAGATGCATTCATTTGAGCCTGCAATATTCTCCACTACGATGCTTTATAAGTGAGCAGATTGGAGTCAAACACAATCTCTATCCATCTTTCAGACAATAATGATTGACAGTGTCAATCATACTGAGTTTGATGGACCGGAACCATGCCCATATTTCCAATTTTGGTTGTGGAGACTACTACAACAGGCTAAAACCATGAATGCAAGCTGGCACTTTCTGACCCCTTGGTATGCCGCCCTCTATCGCCAACTGGTTGAATGGTGGGGGCCGGAATCTGTGTTTCCAGCCCTGCGTGCATCATGGCTTACTCCCTCGGACCCAGATACATCTCAAGTGGGGGTCTTGTTCGTGATCAAGGTCTCCTATGGGGATCGTGTGCAGTGGCAGCGCCTTCGCGAGTCGGTCGAGATCTTTTCTCCCCTCGCGATGACCAACAATGCCGCATTCATCAAGTTGATGGAGAGTTATATGGAGCCTAAGAAGCGGCACGAGTTTGTGTCTCATCCAGACTTTTACTGCCGCCCCAAGTGGGAGTTCTGGTTCGCACATGCAGATATCCTCTCCTCAGCTAAGTTGCCATCCACGTGGGGAAGCTTACTCGGCTGTTCAGATGATCCGTGGGAGTACTCTCGAGCGTTTTACGCGGCTTTACAAAAGTTGAGGGCATTGGGAATCGATGAAACAAGCAGAAGACACTTGAGTGAGTTGTCTACAGTGCGTTGGGAATGTGAATACCCAATTTACCCGGACTTTCAGATCTCGGGGAGTCAGCGACTTTGTGAGCCGCCGAATTTGAGAGTGCTGTCAGCGCGAGTGTTTTTCGACGCTAACGTCCCGCTTGATATCCAGCTTCGCGTGGGTTTGAATGCATGGGAGCACTCTCATACACTCTCAAATGACGCGATCTCCCGGTACATTGAAGCGGGTGCGCTCAAGGCTGTTGTGCACATTCCAGTTTACAAGAAGGAATATTCCACGTAACGCATCCACGACGACAGTAGCGGCGAGCAAGACTGCTCTATCGACGATCGTCGCTGATGCTAGAAGCTATCGGCAGGGTTCATTCATCTGACTTCCATGTCTCCGTGAAGGGACTACCGGGAAAGCTGTGCATTATTTACACCCCTCACCAGAGGATTGATAAATGGGCGTATTTATCTCGATTGGACGTCGTTTGCACCATGCAAGACATTGGGGCGAATTCTTCGCTGTGCTCGGTGTTGGCAAAGGCAACGGATGCAGACCGATTGAGTATTGAATTCAAAGAAAGGTATCGAGCAATGGGGTCTGCCCAATAATGGGTCTGGTTGGCATATGCGGTATTTTGCGGATCACCATGTGCGTCAAGAAAGTCCCCGTCTGTTTGTACGTCCCTGACCAACGAAGACGTTGTTATGATTGAGGAGGTGTTACGGAGAAAATACCCACAACCGCAAAACCAAGATCGTCCCGCAGTGTTTGGGTTTGTGGACATTCACGAAGGAGTTCGACTATTTGGTAGAAATGGCAACCAGCTTGAAATTCTGCACGCCGTGCGTTGCCGAGGGCGGTATTGTCCGGCCACTATGGGAGGTTCGGTGGATGTGGTTGTCCCTGGGTTTGGGATTTGCGCGACAAAGATTGCTGGTGGCGTGAATTTTGTCCCGGATACGGAGTGCCCAATTATCCCATCGAGTCAGTTCGAGAGGCTCACCTCGCTCACGTTGAACTTTACTATATGTATTCTCGAAAGTGAGGCTGCGCTGGTGCAACTGCTGAACTTGATTGGGAGAGGACTTCGCACTTTGGCGCTTGAGAGTTCAACGATCCATATTGATCTGTGTATGCTGGCAACGGCCTGGAGAAACTTGCGCTGAGGTTCAGCAGCGTTCATGTGTCTTCCCCCAACTACGCGCTGAGTCGATGACCTATCAAAACTATTCACATATGTGGCGTGAACGATGTATCTGCCTTGGCGACTTGCTTGACCGACGATACGCTACGAATGAGAAAAACGTTGGTCGAGCTGGATGTGACTCCTCTGGTTAGCGCTGGAGATTTGTATAATCAAGATAAAAAGCGGCTAAGTGCGCTCGATGGCGAGTTCCTCCTGGTGACGAAAGAAAAGCTCCCGAAAGAATCCAAAGCTGCGATGATTAGCGCAGTTCAGAGTGAATGGAATACTGGAGGAGCAGTGGGTGCATTTGGCCGCCTGGATGCAAGTGTATTGGGTTTAATTTTCACGCTCGCGTCAACCCCAGAGCAACGACGGATTCGAACGAGGTAACGTCGGCTTGAGAGTATTTCCGCAATTCACATCGACACGACCTTAAATGACGCATATTTTTTGTTAGAAAGATGTGAAAGGCTTGTATGAAAAGGGTGAAAAAAGATAGTCGTTGCCATTAAGTCCAAAGAAACCACCGTCTCCTGTGCAAGCCGCAGCGCTTTCACTTCCTCGCGTAGGCCCCGAATCCTTTTTTCATCATCACTCCGCTCTTGTCGAAGCTTGTTTGTAGTTCTTGATAGCTGACACTTCAGATGTAACAACGCCATTTAGTAGTTTGACTGTTGTGCTCAGCTCAGCCGCATCACCACTTAGCTTCTCGATCGTTTTCTTGCTTTTGACACATCCTTCACTCAACTGTTTACAGTCGAAGCGCTGGATTGAAGCAATTGTGGCGCCCTTGACGCGAAGGTCGGGAATTTCCTCCTCTAAGTCGCGCATTTTGGATTCCAGCACGTCAATGCGCTCGAGCGAAATCGGCTCCATTGTGAATTTGTAGGTCGCCAGGCAGGTTTGCTGCATCACGTTGACTTTCGTCGTCAGCTGCAGTTGAAACATATCCGCTTTGTGCCGCATAAAGGAGACCGAACTGGTATCCACGTTTTCCTCCGCACTATTGAGTATCTTGTGGAAATACTACAATAAATAGTAAAAGGGTTAGCAACGAGTCATGTTTGGTTGATGATCGTAGAGGTTCAAGCTTACCTTCACATAATCTGTAGCCGTCGCGTTAGGCAGCGCATTGGTAAAATCGACGAAGCCTTCGAGTTTCAGCCTACCTGTGCACCTACGTTCTCATAGTCAGTTTTTACTTCATGGAGTATGTCAAATTGCGACGATACTTACCACTGTTTTTTTGCTGTCAAGGTCCTCGAACCAAATACGCAGTCGTTCACTCTGAACTGACAGACTATATCGGTAGCGGGGTGCCGGGATTGACCCAATCGTGGCGGTACCTTCAAATTCGAGGAATTCATTCGAGCTCGAGTCGACTTCCGAATCGGGGGTAGACGTCTGGGAGGTGCTTGCTTGAAGTGGGGAACGTTCAGGTATGTTCGGCGACAAATCTACGGGAGGATTGCGGCTGGACTTCGTTGGGAAACACATTTCGAGTAACTTGGGTGACACGATGCAAAAGGACAAATGAAGCAATCTTCACTGATTCTCTACATGTAGCTGTTGTCGAATTCAATCAAAATGATGATTGATATCTACGGCTCCGAGACTGAATTGTTCTTACAAGTTAATATGTTGCAGCACTTATTGCACAATTGAGAGGGTGGTAAGGCGCGTGTACAGCGATTTGTTTCCAGATTTCAGAATCTCGTTGAGCATTTGACCCTTCAACCCAGTCGCAATTGTCTTGGTGGCCGGGTTTTGGGCTGCCTCGAAGAGCATTTTCACGAGTTCTTCATCCGTGTACGTTCTCATCAAAATTGGCAGGGCTGAAGCCTTTTTGCGAGGAGACACCCGATTGTACTCGTCCAAGAACTTCATCCAGTACACAAACAGCGGGTCCTGGAACAGTTGATCTCCGGCTTTGTCGAGTCTTAGCGCTCTAAAGGAGTTTGATACGGCGTTGCGTCGATCCATCCAGTTCTTAAACAGCACGCTTGTAACGCGTTTGGCAGTACTCGCAGAGCTCGGATCCTGTTCCGCCGCGAGTATCATGTTGACGATGGAGTCTATCTGTGACTAAACCACTGCTGGATGTGCGCTTCTTCCAGATTGGCGGCTATATTCCTTGTCGCATCAACTTTTTTTCCTGCATCGATCATCATAACCACAGCCTCGTCGACGTAATAACCCGTAAGCGTCCCGATCATTGTCCACTTCTCGTCAGGGTACTTCCGGAGGAAAGTGTTCAAATAGTTGGTCCAAGTGCTCAGAGCTGGATTCGCCAGAACGTCATCCCCGGCGCTGTTCAGCCCCAGCAGCTTGAAGACGTCGTCGGGAGTCTGCTTCCTGCTCAGCCAATACTGGGCTTGCGTCGCCTCGATTCGTTTCGCTAAACCTGCCATGCCTTTCACCTTCTTGGCCGCTTCGACCATCCGAGCCAGAGCGTCGTCGCCATAGTGAGTCGTCAGTGTTGCGTACACCGTCGCCTTCTTGACTGGGTTTCGCTGTTAAATAACTGCATGTACTTGGTCCAAGTGTTGAAGAGAGGACTGCTCAGCAGGTCATCCCCCGCCCTGTTCAGCTTAAGCAGCTTGAAAATGTCGTCAGCCGTGTTGCCACCAGCTAACCACCTCTGCATCTGAGAGAGCTCGAGTTTTACCGCGATTTCTTTTGTCTTCACGACCTTCGAATCTGCTTGCAGTAACTTCGCCAGTGATATGTCTCCGTACTGAGTTGTCAGTGTCGTGATTGCCGACACTTCCTTTCCGGTCTTGGAAGCTAGCTCGTCGGCATAATTAAGCCAGAGAAGGAACTGCGGCTTCTCCAAGAGCTTGTCGCCTGCTTGGTTGAGCTTCAGCCGCAGGAAAACATCGTCGAGCGATTCTCCCTTCTTCAGCGAAGCCTTGAGTTTCTTACGTGCAGACATCGTGGTGAGAGCATTGGCCTTCTGAGCAATAAATGTAGAGATCTTCCCAGCCCTCGCTTCATAATAATCATCGTCCGTGGGTTGAGTCCTCAAGAGCTTCCTGCCTGTCCTTGCCGTAACTTGAGTAAAGAGTATTGGTATGGGAAATACCGTAGTTGCCACTCTGCGCTTGGGAGTAAGAATCAATTCTTGCCAGGGCCAGCGATAGCAGTACAACGTAAATGACCCGCATTTTCAGGCTCAACCTGACGCTCGACGAGTGAAGTTGCAAAGTGAACTGCTGAACACGGTTCAGTTGTGAGAAAATTGCTCGTGCATCATCATACGATGGGGTGAGGGGGATTTATGTACTGAAGACGTCGTGCAAGTCATCGCCAATTGCGTAGCACTGCTCGTGAGGTCGGGAGAAACGAATCCAATTCATATTGTGGTTTTCCAATATTTTGCCGCCCGATTTGACGTGTTATCTCGGAGTCCGATTTATATAAAATGGAGCTCCTACATGATCGGTTAGTCCAATTTAGCTATATCTGGCCTGAGTTAGTAGCATAAGGCTCAGAGGGGAGGCATTCCAAGCTGGCCAATGGCCAGCTTGTGAGGTGAGGAGGTATGGCCAGTGGCCATACCTCCTCACCTCTCATGACGCATTAGAACTGCAAGACATTGGGGACAATAGTACACTGTATATAGCCACTTCATAGCACTATGGTCAGCTAAATCACCTGTGTGATCATCTACGGCCGCTACAACCTCGATCTGAGAGGGCCCCAGACATGTTTTCGCGGCGGTCCCTTTTGCCGGCGAAAAGCGGCATTTCTGGCCCCTGCTTCGCAACTCGCAGCCCCCAGACGCAAATCGGGCCAGATATAGTTTGCTTCCCTCAGCCCCTCCTGCTAAATCGGAGCCCTCCAGCAAATCGGGCCCATATAGCGGATCTTGGACCACCCGATTTGGATGAAAGCCACAATACTGTATATTACAGTGTGCGCGTTCTTAAAGTATGGTGCGAGTCGCACTAGAACTACTGTCTGGTAGGCCATATATGTTTATCAGCATGCATAATACTGTAGCAAAAGCACCACATTAGTATCAATAATAGTATGGATAACGTTGATATCACTATCATCCCATAATGATATTATGTTAGTACTTTAATTACCGGTGCTATTATCATAAAGTATTAAATACTACAGTATTGATACTTCTGTGTTTTCTGAAATTTATTTCAGAGCTAAGGGAGGATCGGGTAGCATACATGTATAAAAATTTGTTGATGGGGTACAGTGTCACTTCCCATAATAAATATCCGAGAAACTTCATAAATTACCTGAATGTTGCCTGTGTCGTCGCCCCCTCCGCTTATGTACGATCTTGATGTTGCTTGAAAGTGTGTTGAAGCCATCGCTGCACTGTCCGATACATCATTCGGTTGCCGCGTATTTGTGTTTTACACGGAACTCCGTGTGTTTTTTTGTGGGCATACTCAGCCCCAGTGCGGCGAGGGGGCACATAGTCCCGTGCACGGCGCATGGATACTGGAACCAAGTCCGAACGTCGACTTGTGTTTTTCGAAAGAAATCCGAGTGCTTTCGAAGAGCACTCAGAGACGCGCAAAACGCTACATTAGAACGCTGGAAATATGGATGGCTGCTAGTCCACACCAGCAAGAACGTTATGTGGTTGCCGATGGCTACTGCAGTGAGGTGCTCGCAGCACAACCGGTCATCCCTGTCGCTCTTACGAGCCTAGCCCCCCCCCCGTCCCCTGCATGGGGGGGCACCCGGTTTAACGTGGCGCAAGAGTTTGACCGTGTAGTCGTCAGCCGGAGCGTCGACGACGGCAAGCGTCCGCCGCTGCACACCGAGAAACGTCCACGATCGTCACTTTCGGTTTGAGCTGCGCCGTGCCGTGCCGACTGCGCTCGCCAAGCACACCGACAAAGGTCTGCCCATTTGGCAAGACCCACCTCCGCTCCCATCACAACTATGCCACTCTATGTAAAAGCTGGTGGGTCGCGGAACGCGACTCCCGCAGCACCAACCCCAATAGGTCGGAAAACCAACTCTGCATGAGCTAGCGGTTGCGTTAATTTTTCATTAAACCAGCGGAGCATCACGGTCGCTACGCTCATGTTGCTTTAGGGGTCGACCCCCAAAACTATGCTGACCACAGAGTTTTGGACGACGTCCCCACTTGAGGAATTTGAGTCGCTTGCAAATTCTAGCGCTTTATTTCCCCTTTCACGCTCCCCGATTTGCTGGCTATTTTGCAAACACACAAGTACCATTCATACGTTGTTATTAACGGTAGACTGATACACCTGACCTGTGGTTCGAATGCCAGAACACTTGTATTTTACTTACTTAGGTAAGTGTAATAGCAGAATGTGCACACTGGCACAATGAAAAGTGAATAAGGGGTTAACTTTCGATGTTTCAATTTCGTGGTGTGTTCATGTTCAGAGTGAAAACACGAGCGAATTATTCCAGTAACCTTTCGCGATCCATGTTGAAATTCTTCCTCCAGATGTCATCTACACCCAGCCGCAATGGCCAATGTTGCTGCCGCGACTATGACATGCACGGCTGTTCAAGCGAGGATGACTGACTGAAACACATAAATGTTTCATAGTGTCGTAGTGCAACTAAACTTCGCTGATGTTGAAGCCGAAGGTTTGCGTGTAATCATACCAAGATCTTGCTTACTGTATGACAAATGATAGCGAACCGTGACGGAAGTACTGCTGGTGAAAATGATAGTGCATCCCCATCCAAGCCTAGTGTTTACCGACAACATTTCGACTAATCAGAGTCCGTCCAATCGTGGTGCTTGGATGGCTCAAAAGCTTTTCGAACTACCGCTGCTAGCAAGTGCACACTACAGCGATCTCACACATTCCCATTTTACGGGTTCTCAAGAGGATCGAGGCCAATTGTACAAGACGAAACATAACCATGAGTGGCTGGCTGACTCTTCTCTACGTGGCGACTGCTCTCGGCCAAGTCATGCTCAACCTCAGCCTAGGACCGGACATGTACACTATCCATCGTCGTCGAAACATCGGAGAGCTCCTTCCACTCTATGCTCGTCAACTGTCACTTGTGGTAAGCAACTATGTAGTTATCCATCACCCTTATAGTCACTGACACTGGTTCGTTGTCAACAGGATGTGCTATGGCATTTTGCTGAACAGCATCTTCCCGACGGCAGCCTCACAGGCGGTCGGCCAGCTCGCTGCGATTGTGTTCAACGCCATCTACTTCAAGTGGAGCCCGGCACAAACGCGCAGGGACGCGTTCAAGCTGTACGTGGGAGGAGCCGTACTCCACTGCTACTTCGTCTTGGTCCTTGCTCGGGTTACAGGCCAAACGAACTACGAGGCGAGTAACGTCGTGGGATATGCCGCAGTCGTCATCAACATCTGCATGTTTACCTCCCCACTCGCCACGTTGAAGCACGTGGTGACGACCAAGTCGGCCTCCTCCATCCCGATCAACCTCAGCGTCATGATCTTCACGTCTTCGGCGCTGTGGGTTGCGACGGGTCTGCTTGATAGCGACTACTTTATCACGGGGCTCAACGCTGCTGGCGTTGTGCTGGGTGGCATACAAATAATGATGTACTATATCTATAGACCCGGTCGAGGTGTCAACGTGCTGCCGGACCGAGAGTACGGTGCGATTAGAGATCAGTTGTCCGCTGTGTCGCCGACATCCAAGAGCGCCATACAAGCCCTTCTCATCGCCGGTTGATAGAAGACGGTCTAAAGAACCGAAGAGCGCAGACAGGCAACAGAATGGGTTGGGTCATGCGAGGAAGACAGGAAGATACCGTATAATGGAAAATCACCCATATCTTTGCGCCATGCAGGAGTTTCCGTTCGTGGTATACCAAAAGTTTTGTCGCCTACCAAAGTATTTTATGTCTTTGCAAGGATGTGTATCTCATACTCCTATTGATGGTGACCGCCGCTCAAACGAAAAGCACAGCACGATGTGATCAGCGACAGTGATGTGCTGAGCTATATGAGCTCAAAGTGCATGAAGGCAGCCTCCTCAGAAAACCATAACGTATTTGTCGATCTGGCTGCGCGTGAGATTCAAACTACAGCAAGCGTATCTATTCATCGGAAACGCTATGGTTAGTGTTGGTTCTTCATCTTACACCGACGGGCTGAGCAGCAATCTACCCTTGAGGTGGGCCGAGGCAGGGTCGAAAACCAATGCCAAGTCCTCAACGTTACCCAAGAAGCGAAGCATCGGCGTGATCACGTCCGCCTTGTGGTGCAGGCTTGATACGCGGTCGTTCTCCTTGTCCCATTCGAAGTAGATAGACCCAGCGATCTCAAAGCGCTGTCCCTGAAGTTTCGTCGCAATGTACTCACCTCTGTCCGATCTAAACAGGTTTGGGAACATGGCTTCCAGTGTGCTTCGACACATGACCATCTTCGTCTTCGTGGTAGCCACGATGGAGCCGTCGGGGCCACTCTCCAGTCCGACCGACTGGATCTCAAAGTTGGGCTGAACCTGCGAGATGAACCGCCAGCGCTCGAGAATCGCCTCCACCCCGCGTTCTCCATCAACGTCGACGTCCTGGGTCATTGTGGCGAGCAAGAACTCTCGGTGGACGTGCGACTCGTACACATTCTCCGAGTCGGAAACACTGCACCGCTCTGCACACGGCACGTACGCCGTCAGAGCGTAGCGAAAGAGGCGGAAATATCCCGCCGCCACACTGAGAGGGGTCTTGCTTGGGTGCAGGCGGGGAGCAATTTTCTTGCGCTGAGTCTCGAGCTTGCGCACTTCGTCACGGAGAACTTGAACTTCCTCGTCCAAGGTTTCTCCGCGGTTCCGCAGCTTGGTCCTGTAGCGAACTTGCGTGAGCCGGCGGCGCTCTCGGTGGCGTTCCAGTGCGTTGAGCTCGTTTGAGTTGTGGCTATCGTCACGGCTACTGCTCGCACTTGAACGCCCTCCTCTAGTAGTTGAAGCGGCTCGCGCTTGACGCTTGGGACTGGGAGGGCTGTCGTCACGAAGATCTTCGCGGTACCCTTGCGCCCTCGTCGAGTCATGGATCTGGAAACGACGGGCGCTCGGCTCGAATGAAGAAGTTGCGTCCTCAAGGCTGTCGTCGTAGCCGGCTCCGAGATCCGCGTAGTAGGCGCGTTCCCTCTTGCCCAGAGATCGATTCCGCTGAACCACTGAGCCGATGACGTTGTCACTCAGCCAGTGACCGTTGGGCGGATATAGCGCGCTGTCTGTCATTTGTGTGGCCTTGAGAAGTCGTCGGTTGTCGGCGAAGAGGTGGAAATGGGAGTGATGTGGGTCGGGCCTCTTCACAAGAGTTTCACCAACGCGAGCGAGGGGGTCATCACGCAAATAGCGCGTGATCAAATCGTAAGATGGCAGCTGCTGCGTGTGCTACACTATCTAAGGTCTAACCGCTCGCAGCGTATACAAGCACATGGCGCTCTCTGTATCGAAATAGATGATGACCACGGCAAGACACACGCACAGCATCTCCAAATGCGTTATCCTCCGCCGTGGTAGTCGGTTCTGCAGTACAGTGCATGTACAGAATCTGTATATGTAGTTTCATCGTCGTCTTCACAGCCAGTCGTGACCCCTTCAGTGGGCTTGAAGAACAAGGACAGTATCCGTTCTGCCAGAGTTGTGGGACACATAGTTGTGGGACAGTACTTTTATATAGGATTTTGTATGGGGGATCAAATACGGCATCCTCGATATCTTCGTAAATCCCGCAGAACTAGCCAAGCCAGTACGGGTACAACCTAAACTAAAGTAGAAATATCGCTTGGGCAAGATGTGAGGTGGAAATATGCTAGGTCTATCAACTCTCGCAGGACTTGACAAAAAAGGCCGATACGGTGGTTTTGGGCGGCAATACTGCATGTTTGTATGCAAAATACATATGCTCGCTAATCTTGAGCCAAGCTCTATATGAACACATTTGCACCTCTCCTTCGCGACAGAGCTCGTTATGAGACGCAATAAGCACGGATTCGTATAATCTTGCAGCGATCTATTCACTGAAGCTGGTCATTTGGTTTAACCCTTTAGCTACGAGCCTTCGTACGGGTCCAGCCAGACCTATACGGCAGCTCATACAGGGTTGCAATTGGCTATAATACGCTGTGAGGGCTAGGTAGAAGCTGGTCGAGTCACCCAACAGGTCCAAGGCGACCTGTACCACAGCCATACATGAGCACATCAACAAGCAGATGCTGTCAATATAAGACTCGGACAGGTTCTCTTCCATTCTCAGACTTACTGGCTCCAACACAGAGCGATGAACGACGACATCACCGGCGACTGGGAGGTTCAGAGCGACGACGAACAATACCATGACGGCGATGGTAGCCCAACAATGGAGGAAGACGGCGATTTCTCCGACGACGACATGATGTTCGAGTTGCCGCTCGATCGCGGCAGCAACGACGCTTCGCGTCCCGATCCAGTGCGCGCACCATCGCCCGATCGACCTGTAGTGACGCCAACATCGGCGACGCTCGATGAGAATGCATACATCACCTCAATTCAACAAGAAACTGGTCTACATTTGGCGATGGACACCAGAGTAAGGAAAGCGTACGAGAAGCACGGCTCGTATGGGCTGTTCTCGCTGTTCGTCACGGCTACACTGAGCGAAAGCATCCGCGGGTGGACTTCGACTAAGTTAGAAGCTGCGTGGAAGAAACCTTTGACCGAGAGCGAACTCAATGCGTACCTGGGGCTCGAGATAGCGATGAGCTTGTGCCCACTCAACGACATCGCCGACTTTTGGTCTACGGACCGGTTCCTCGGGCAGCCGGCCCATGACACGCGACCGCTTTCAGCATATTTGGGAGGCACTGCAATTTCACGCGCCGGAACCAGTCACATTCAAGTCCGTGCGTGACTCGCTTTGCCGCTGCAGATGGCTGCTGCAGCATTTCCAAAAGCGCTTCGCTGAGACGGCGGTGCCTATGGGTGCTAGCAGCCTCGATGAGATTTCGGTGCGCACGAAAGCGCGTAGTCGAGCTCGGACGTATATGCCCTCAAAGCCAGACAAATACGGCCTTCGGTTCTATGCGGTGGTTGGGTGGGACGCACTGTATGTTCACTCTCTTTGGGACAATGGATCAGGTAATGCTACCCGGTCTACCCCTGCGGAACGGTACACAGAGCTGTTCCCGTCACTCCGGACGCCACTGCACAACACGCTATCGCTACCAGAAATCAATATTGAGCCGAAATCAGCTACAGCGCTGTGGGAGGCTATGGCCGGTCACCAAACAAGAACGTACCGATCGCCCAGTGGTCGACGCCTACTGATTTCAGACAACTTCTATACACGGCATACTTACGCCCGCGCGATCAGTGCATTTACGGACGGCGAGGTTAGACTGCTGGGGACGGTACGAATGAACCTCGTAGACCGATTCAACAAGTTTGCGCTCGAACCTGCTGTAGAGCGGATTGCAAACCAGGAGCGAGGCTCTTGGGAGCTCGTGGCTGCTGTGGACCCCGAGGAAAACTACAAAAAAAATGCCGCTGCTCATGACAAGAAACAGAAGAAGCGCCCGAAGCACTTGCGTACAGAATATATGCCGACGCTCACGTACGCCGAGCATGCCGGTTATATAGTCTTCAAGGACAGAAAGGTTGTCGTGTTTTACACGAACGATTTGAAGGCTACAATGTCGGCTAGCACGCTACCTTCAACCTCACCTGAAGCAGTATACTGTTGCCATGGCACTGTACCACTCATGCGCTGGACGGGGGACATCGCAAAGCTCTCGTGGCGCCGGCGCTAATAGCGGCCTACAATAAGTGCATGAACGCTGTTGATCGACTGGACCAGCTAAGGAGCACGAATCCTACCCGGCGCCGCGAGAAGCGCTTGCACATGTCTGTCTTCACATGGTTGCTGGACATCTCAATCATCAACGCGTACGCACTGCAGCGCGTCATTAGCGGATCAACATCAGCCCGCGTGACACCTCGAGAGTTCAAACGCGAAATTGCGGACACACCGACGCGCAATGAAAAAAACCTGAAGCAACAGCGAGATCGGCGACAGCAAAAACGAAAGGCTGACACACTGGACGAAGCCGTTGGCAGCGTGGATTCACTCCATATCATCACTCCAAATTCGACAGAGCACAGTAATGGAAAGCTGACGTGCTACTTGTGTAGCCTGCGGGGGATGGCAAAAAAAGCAAAATACGGGTGCACCAAGTGCGAACGCGGCTTTCATGTCGAATGTTTCAGCGCCTTTCATTACGAGGGTGTCTTTCGACCACACCAATGCACCACAGCTGCAGGACGCTTTAGAAGCTATTGCGCGCGCGCCGACGGGTGATCCTGTCGCATTCACGAGAAAGCGTAGCAACAGAACGATTACACCCATTAGTGAGCTGAAGCTACCGCAGTAGGAATAACACCACACCGAATACATATTCTACCTTGTCTGAGCTTTCAGAGCTGTCTGGCCAAAGCTGCAAAAGCTTTTTGCTCACACAAGCAGGCAATTGGCCGTGCATCCTCCCTGTTTCAAGATACATAAAGACACGACCGAGGGCCGTGCGAATAGACCGCTGCAGGTCTCCACGAGTGAGTCGGGGATGCATACGGGCTGCTCGCTCCTTCATCACAGCTTCGTGCGCGTCCCACGCGCATGGCGACCGCCCGCAGAACCCGCACAACGCGTCGCTGGTGTCGGGGGGGCATCTTGAGATCACGAGTGCCAAATCACTCTGAAGCCAAAATAGACAAATAGAGGTTTGTTAGTGGTACATGTCAGAGGCGACCTCTACTGCAGAGCTCGTAGCTAAAGGGTTAATTGTGTGGCCTAGAACCAAAAATTGCATTATCGGTAGGTTGCTGCATGTGGAAGCCCCCAAATAAACTTGGATTTAGTATTTTACAAACATATGTTTGATTATCACCGCTGGAGGACCGGTAAAAGGTATAGAGGATCCACAGAGGATGCCACAACTAGCAGTTAAGAGCTCCATCGCTTCGTGCGACCCGGTACTTCAAGGTATGCGGCCTCTGATTTGGCAACTTTAGTAGTTTTAGATTTGTTTTTGTATGAGCTTATTCAGAAGGTACCTCAACAAGCAACCTTCTTTAAATCCTGGCATATACCACGAACCTTCGACATACAGTACCTGTGCAGCTTTGATATTTAGAGAAAAAAATCGAGATTGAGTATGACAGGTGTCCAGTGTAAGTGTAGTGCACCACTAGAGGCAGCAGTGTCCCACAATCGCGTTCGTGAAATTAGCGCTTTTTCAGATGCAGCATTCTACTGTTTTCATGTGAAGAACAAGCAAAAGAACAGTACAACACAGTTTCCTTCTACTTTCTAAAGATGTCGTTTGGTCACCGCAAATCGTTCAGCAAAGTTACTTTTGGTGTCCCTCTCCAACTGTCCCGTAACTCTAGCAGAACGGATAGAAGCTGTGAAGATCCCGCAGCGGTCTTACTACGCTTGGCGCGTAGTCGGCTCTGGTGCTTTGACGGTGACATGGGTGAGCAAATACGCGAACTGGGCGTGGATCGTCGGAGCGTCGAAAGCTTCCGGGTTATGAGCCGCACTCATCTTGGCCGTGATGCGCGCGGTGTCTGGGAAGAGGAAGTTCGGCAGCGAGTCCCGTCGGCGGGTGTTGGACCTCGGAGCTAGTGCCAGCACCGGCTGATCTCGGACGTACTTGATGCCTTCCCACGGGGTCACAATGCCGTCGCTCTCCGCTGCGGCGTCATGCAGTTGACGCATGAGATGCCAGAATCGCGCCCACACAAGCTGCGACGACACTCCGACGTACGAATTGCGTCGACCTAAGCCCCCTGAAAGCTTCTGCTGCTGCTGGGAGAGCGCAAACTCGCGTCTCATCTTCTGGAAGCCGATGTATCCATCCAAGAGGCATTTCAAGCAGCCGCATCCAGCACCTTCACATATGCGCAAGAAGTGCGTAGGCGGGAGATCCCGAGCCAGAGCTTCCAGTGTTCCAACGAAGAATCCTCGGACGTGAGCCCACGTGGCTTCCATGTCTGTCACCTCGTTCACGACACCGTACAGATCTCCATCACCTTGCCACACCACGCGATCCAGTTCATGCTCGCGCGCAACCTGCAGAAACACTTCGGCGTTGAGCTGGTCGCACTGCGTGCGTCGCAGTGTATCACTGTACATCAGTAGAATATCGCCGAGATCCCGAGACGCGTCGATAGACAGCACGATTTGCGTGAACTCAGCCGACGTCAACTGCCCGTCGCCGTTCACGTCTCCAGCACGGAACGCGTCCAGCAAGTGGCGCTCGCGTCGAACCTGCTCCAGTCGCCACTCAGCGATCGCTAACTGCAATAAATGATCAACATTCAGCACTTGGTCCCCACTCGTCGGCTCTGCTGGTGCTGGTACTGCAGCTGCAGATGATAGCACTGCTGTTGAGTTGCCTTGAGCTGCGATCATTGCCAAATTATCGCAGAACGTGGCCACGTTCGCCTTTCGCATGTCTCGGAAGCAGAGCTGCGCGATCTCCTGCGCTCGATCGACTGAGATCGTCCAGTTCTCCTTGTCGGGAACGTTGAGGCGAGCACCGAAGCGTGATCGTTTCGTGTTGACAGGAGGCGTGTTCTGCGCCATGCCACGTGAATTACCAGTGTTATTCAGCATACTTCCTCCTCCGTTAGCAGAGGACGGCATTGTGACTGGTCCTGAGAGGTGGCTGGCCATCATAGTCCCTGTCAGATCGTCCGACACGATACACTCGAGAAACTCCAGATAGTTTGTCAGCTCCGACTTGGGCACTTCTTCGAAGCAGAATTGAGCGAACTGCTCCACACGCAGATGCTGGGCGCGGTAGGTCTCGATCGCACAGGAGAAGGCTAGGAGATGCATGTCCGCGATCCCTGGTAGTCCATAGCTGTGAAGGAAAGACTGGTACACGATCTGAGAGAGCGACAGCGTCCGCCCGCTGCCTCGTGGTGTAGCGTACGGCACTCGCTGCTGCTGGTTCTTACGCTTTGTTGCACTCAGCATCTCGCTGTACGCGTCCGCGATGATCTTGAGGACATTCGCCAACGACTTTTTGGCGAACTGGATGAGCTGGTCCGTGTTCATGCGCCACGAGGTGATCAGCCCAGAAATTGCACGAGGAACCGCGACGCTGTTGATCTTCTGGTACCTGTCCTTCTTGTTCTTGCCACCGCTGTTCTTCCCAAGCAACGCAGTCAGAGTCAATGGTGCAGCTTTTACGGGAGACGCGGGCACCCGAGACGATTTACGAGCGGAGGAAGCGCCGTTTGATGAAGCTCCACCGGACAAATCGCCAGGTTCACTCTCACTCTCGAAAGTAGTCTGACAGCCAACATCAAGACAACCGACTTTGACGTACTCCTGCCATTCCATCGGCTCGGACACAGCGGTGACAGCCGTGAGTCTGCGCTTTAGTCTCCGCGACAAGTTCGGCCCTTGCGTTCCTTCTGCCTTCCCACCTTCACCATTATCCGCCGTGCTCTCGTCGAGAGGATCAAGAGCATCTTGAAGGATCTCCAACACTTCTCCTTCCTTTTTCTGGTCGAGCAGCGACTTCAACGCCTGCTGGATCTCTGGACTAGCTACTCCTTGAAGAGAGAATTGTTCCAGCTCTTGAACAGGCGACGCCGCTCGGTCGACTACCTCGGATTGAGCCTTATCAATCGATGGAGGTGCAAGCTTCGCGAGCAGAGCTGCTCTATCCGCAGCGCTCAACTGACCAAGCAACTGCTGGATGGACTTTTCCGCAGACGCGAGAGTAACTTTGCCCTGTTGTTGTGGAGGTGGCGGCATTTTACCATTCGCAAACGGCTGGAGAGCCTGCTTGAGCGCTGCCAGCCTCGCTGAGCCCTCCGTCTCGTTCAACACGTAATCCATGATCGCCTCCAGCCAGCGCACCTTCAGATCCGCCTTCATACGGGAAATATGCACCGCAGGGTCACTGAGATCGGGAGGAGCGTTCTTGGCTGCTGTGGCGGCGCCTTTCAGGTCTTGGATCCTCTTCTTGTAGCTATCCGTCGGGTATTTAAAATTGAGCCGGTCAATCCACGCAGCTCGCTCCTCTCGCGACAACATCTTGAACAGTGTCTTCAGCATCTTGAGACGGATAGCGGCGACGTATTCGGAGTTGACGTCTAGCGGTGAAGCAGGCGTCCTCCCGTTGCCCAAGTCTTGCACCACAGCCAGAGCCTTGGTCCACTGTCCTTCCAGAGGGAAACGCGCCCAGCATTTGTCAATAAGCTGGCTGAGTTCCTTCTCCTCCAGCATCAGCAAGAACGTGCTAGACATGAGCTGCAGTAGCTGCGCGCTGGACAAGCTGTGGTGGCGCAGGTAGTTCAGCATGATCATCTGGAAGCGCTCGATCGACGCTGCTGTAGACGACTGTGACATGGGCCGCCCGTCGTTCGTGTCTTCTTCGATCTCAATGTTAAAGTCCGACCCGCTCATGCTGGCGCGTCGTTGCTTCCTAGTCTTACGCTCATTGTCGTTCTTCTCGTACTCCTTTGAGAGTAGAAGCCACTGCGCCTCGGTCAAGTACGCGGCCAGGTCGCTCAAGAAGAAGAACTCCATGTCGGCGCTCAGCAGCTTGAGGAAGAACACGTCCTTGGGACTAGCACGCGGCACTATCTCACCTCCCAATGCCTTCTCGTCCGGTAGATCTCCGACCCTGCCGGAGCACGTAGCGAGGTACAATCGGAAGAGCGACTCGCCCGCATTGGGCAGCGCGTCCACGACAAGCTCCAGCTGATCCATGCCTTCAGTGTAGGTCAGGTTATGCAGGAAGCACATCTTCCCGTGCAGGTCGAAGTGCTCAAAGACGTCTCGAAACGAGTCGGCGTCTACCAACCCCACGATAGCGCAGAGGATCATGTCTCGCCCGCTCGAGCTGAAGCTTGCGGCGTTGTGTGTGATGGCGCGACAGATCTGCGCACTCGTAGCCAGCGGAACATGTACAGGGTAGTCTGGATCATCCATCCCCATGCCTTTCCGTCTCAGTAACAGCAAACCTTGTTGCTCTTGCAGGGCGTTCACAAGCTGATCCAGCATGGCCGAGTTGGTGGCGTAGACCATTGCGATCCCCGCTTGGACGTGAGCGAACGGAACGTACTGGAAGATCCGAGCCACGTCATCCACACTGACGGCACGCAGCACGTTGGGATCCGTGATACTCCGACTTGCCAGCAGTGTCTTCTCCAGCTCGCGAACGCGCTCGAAGTACGGGGTGCGAGCGTAAAAGCTCTGCACGAGCGCGGACATCGCGTCCGGCGAGGTCGAGTCGGTGACTATGGATGGCAACGAGGCGTCTGGAAGGTAGATGGCGCCTTGGATCCCCGCCGACATCTTCTCCAACAGCGTTCGGTAGCACCCGACGATACCCGGCATCTTCAGCAGCGTCGCACAGCACGCCGCTGCTTCCACGGCATTTGGGCGGCCGACTTGCTCCACGTATCCCTCCTGCACCTCATCCAGCTTGACTTCAGTGAAGACAGCGAACGAAGCAAAGTTGCCTCGCTCCTCTTCGTACGACCAGATCCACTCTTCGACCGTCTCGCCCGATGCCAGGTGAGCATTCAACCGCTTCAGCTGGATCATTTCATCGTCCGACTCTTCAGGACCGTGAGCTCCTTTCGGTGCGCGAGGTGAATGGGGATAACGGGACGGCGATGATGGAGCAACTGAAAGATGTCGCTGCTGTTGATGGTGCCGTGGATATCGCGGAGACTCGCTCTCGAGAGGGTGGAGCCGCTCTCGAGCGTTCTTCTTGCGCTTAAAGTTCTGTCGCAATACCAAACCAGCGTGAGTATGTTTTCCAGACGCAGGGGGAATAGTGCACGCACGCACCTTGATAGAGCTCACGAGTCCACTGCCGCTACCAAGTGTGCTCGAATCGCCAACAGCTTCAGCAGATCTCGGGCTCAAAGCATTCGGCGACACCGGAATATGCACGCGCGAACTGGAACTCGAGGCTGTAGTAGCTGCTGCAGAAATCGTCGACACCTTGTCGGAGCGGGACAGCCCTGTACTGCCGTTCATGCCTCTTTCCCTCTCCTCAATGCAAACCTGTCCAACGAAGCGCTCGCTTCGACGACTTGACATCAAGAGCCCCTGCTGCTCGTTAGTTCACAGGCGTTTCAGACCTCAGCAGAATTAGCACCTCAACTCTGCACAACTCTGAACGAGAATGATACGTGTTAGTACGGATGGGGGCAGCTCACCTACGATTTCCAGACCCCGTTAAGCCTTGATCGGTCACCTTCTCCTGCATCTTAGATCTGCTCAATCAAGGACGCGTACGTGTCACGCAGCACCTGCTCCAGAAGCTGTCGCTGCTCTTGGGGCTTCCCAGTCGCCTCCGCTGCTGCCCTCCGACTGCTGTCCCTCTTGCTGCTACCCGAGCCACTCTGCAGCTGTCTCTGCAGCTTCAACAAGAAATGCACCAGCTCCGCGCTCAGGTCGGCGTTCTGCGAGCACGCGTGCACGATCCAGGGCAGCACTTCGCCCAGCAGGTTGACGTATCCAGCGCTGTTCTCGCCCGAGCTTCCAACGCCGTTGCGCAGCTTGTTCCAAACTACGCGCAGCGCCTGCTGCATCGCCGCGCTCTGCTTGCTGCCGGATAGATGCGCGGCACACAATGAGAGCACCACGCGCAGTCGGAAGCGCCACTTGGGGAGGTCCTTCTCAGCGCCTTCAGCTACGAACTCCATCAACGGCTTCGTCCCAGGCGTAGCCGAGCGAGACGACGAAGAACCTGACGAGTTGGACGAAGTTGGCGCCATCCAGTGGTCCCACAGCAGCTTCATCGCCGGCACATGAGCGACTAATGTAGGCACCAGAGTGACATCGTAGCCCTGCGTGTGGATCGCAAGTAGCAGTCGTGGTGGCGATGGAGAAGACACCTCGGCGTCTGCAGTCAGCAGCTCGTTGACGATGGTACAGAGCAGAGCGCGACTCTCCTCGGCCACTTCGTTGTCGCTAGACTCGGAGCTCAACGGCTGTAGTCGCTTCAGAATGCCATGCACCAGTAAGCAGTCCTGAAGGAGCTGGTGCTGCTGCACACTGGCAGTAGTGGATGCAGCCGCAGACATCCCCTCTACAGGCACCAAGCTCGGGTCGCACTTAGTCACGTGGACATTCGCCGCTGTTCGCACGTCGCGCACAAGTCCGAGCAGCACCCGCAGCAAGGCTGGCTGGCGGAACACGCCGTCGTGGGCGTCTTCGACAAGGCGGAATGGCTCCTCTAGCACCTGCATGTATGTCAGTAGCTGCAACGTCCCTTGGTTTGTCTGCACTTGTTGCTGACGCCAAAGCGCGTCCGGGAAGCAGAGTGCGTGGACCAACCGCATCAATAGCGAGATACTCGCGCCTTGTTCGCGACGCGCGCGAGTCTCATACAGAGCTGCCAGCTGCGCGCAGAATGCAGCCACTTGTCGACACGATGCTGACGACTTTTGCGATGACAGCACTGCGTACGGAAGGAATCCATCGACCAGCACCGGCAGCTCGCGCATCACAACTTCAATAGGTGCCGACTGCAGCTCCAGTAGCAACGCCTGGACAGCCGTCCAGGAAGCAGGAGACTGAACGACGCGGATGTCCGGCAGCTCGCCGCGTTTCCGACGTCGGCGGAACCAGCTGCTGGCCAAGTCACGCTCCGCTTCGTCACGAGGGCTTGCTGCCAACGGGAGCAAGTTCAGCGTCGTTCCTGACGGTACTGATGCTGTAGCAGCATCGAAAAGCTGCGGGTGCTCCTCCATCATGAGCTTCAGTAGAGTTGGCGCCACGTACTCAAAGGCGCCGCCTTGGTCGCCGTGGGCGAGGGCTTGCGTCACGATGTTCCTCAGCGGGAAGGCGCTCAGGTCGTAGTGAAGACAAATGTCGGCGCCTGGCCCCAGAGCGGCCGACATCGACGCACCCGAGACCACCGACGACGTAGAAACCAAACTGCTCAGCTTGCTACCCGCCACCATCGTGGCGTGACGAAGGCGCTGATTAAACTGGAGCGCGTACGTAAGTCCCAGCACTCCACGTGCCCACACCAACTCATGATCCTGGCCTCTCTTGGGGTCATATGAACGAGACAGGCACGGCGCAGCAAGCCACTTCGACAGCGTAGAGCTGCGAAGCGGGACGATGGACAACTGCAGCCGACGTGGAGCTTGTGCAACGGGGTACTCGAACGCCATGACGTAGTTCTCGATCCATTCCAGCAGCAGACTCACGAGCAGCGGGTGAACCGGCAAGGCAGCTTGCTCTCCGACCTGCGTAGCCAGCCAGCTCTCCAGCTTGTGTGCGTGATGGTGGCGCAAGAAAGACTTCTCACAGAGCAGCCCGTGCAAGCCACGCAGCGTGAACTCGTGTTGGCCATGGCCCGAGGACACCGCATCTAAAGCCGACACTCGAGCCGCCGGAGGGAACGTCAGCACCTCACGCGCAAGCAAGTTCTCCGTCAGGACCGGCTTGAGCACCACATCGCCGAACACGTGAAGGTATTCCGCCCGAAGCGCCTGCTGCACCTGGATGCCACATCCCGCAGCGGACGTCGACGCAGCGTTGCACGTATCACCATCAAAGCCAATCACGGACGCGAGGAAAGGCACGAGCGCTGGCGCCTTCGTGTAGAACAGCACAGCAGAGACGACGAACAGCGGTCCTGCCCTAGCACCTCGCGCGTGGAATAGCGCAGCCAGTACTTGCTGCGATAAAGCCACCGCAGTCTTGGTGTGCTCGTCTCTCTGGCCTGGCGTCTTGCTCAGCGCCGGTGCGAGCGGGTACCACACGAGCACCACCACAATGAAGGCCAAACTGATCGCGCGCGACGAGGACGACCTCTGTGCGAGCTTGTCGAGACTCTGCAGCAGCCGGATGCGTTCACTCTCCGTCAGTGGGAAGCTGCCGAGCACTTGAAGGCCGACGCACACGCCCAGCGCAGCCGTAAGTTCATAGGGCGTCACACTCGAGTCCGCAGTTCCCAGTACATCCAGCAGCACTCCTCGAATCTTGGCCATGTTGGTCGCCGCATCCTGTTGGAACTCGCTGGTCGCTCCCGTCGCCTCTCGACTCGCCAGCTGCACATACGTCCTGAGCGCGGATCCGGGCGCGCCGTCCCTCTTGAGCCACTGATACAGGAACACACTGACGTCCTCCCGACTCGTGCACTCCGTCAGCAGCTGAGCCATTGCCGCGCAGTGCAGCGACGCGGTCTGCGCGCTGAGTTTCTCCCTCAGTCTCGCCGCATACAGCGGCGTCAGCTTGGCCAGCTGCACGCAGGCCTGACGCGCGTTCTCCAGCAGCGGCGTGGACGCCGCCAGCGCCTCTTGCTCCTGCTGGGCCATCGGTTTGTTGTCCGTCGCTGTGGCATCCACCACGGCCGACACCACAGCGTCAAAAAGCTGCTCGACGTTCGTCGGGTCGTTCACCGCCAGTCTGGACAGCAGCGTGGGGCCCACAGGCACCGCCAGGGCACGGCGTGCCACCGCCTGCGTGCCCAGAGGACTCGGAGCACCGCGCGGCTGAGTCTGCAGCTTGGGGCTGGTCAGCGCGTGCGCCAGGATGGCGGCCACTTCCTCCTGGTAGATCTCGGTCACGAAGAGCTCGCTGCTGTCCAGACTTCCGGGCGCGGCGAGCAGCCACTCACACAGCACGATCTGCACTCTCTCGGCTGCTGATCCGCGCTCGAAGCGGCGGAAGGCGGGCTCTGCGGGCGAAGTTATTGACCCTTGAAGCTGGGACGGGCTCAGATCCGCGAACACTTGGGCGTATTGACGCCATTTCGACGCCTTTTCGACGCGCAGAAGCGTGGCGTCCAAGGCGGTGGGCTTGGGGATCGAATGGGACGTATGAGAGGCGCGGCGCGAGGTCTGGAGACGCGTGAGGAGGGGCAAGAAGGGCGTCAGAAGGTCGTCCAGAGACTCGCTCGCGTCGGCTGTAGTGACGGATGGAGGCAGCGATGGTAGCTCTCCTGCCGCGACGATGGAGAGCAGATCGGGATCCACAGAATGGGCTGCAGGTGGACGAGTGGACCCGTCGGGAGCAGCGGGGGGACCCATGACAACATCGCCGTCCGGGTCCGTGGTGCTCATGGCTGAACGTAGTTTCCGACGAATGAGGTTTTCGACGAGGCGGATGTCAATAATGGTGTGTACTTTTTGACAAAATATAGATTTGTAAGGGGACGATTTTTTTAAAGTATATCTTTAAAGCGTAGGTCTAGCGAGCTTGCTCTTCAGCAAACACTTGGACGTCTTCCATCTGTAGGAAAAGTCCTCCTCGAAGAAGCTAGCTGCTCGACGTCCGCGGAGATGCAGGAGGACCTCCTCGTTGTACTTGACCAATGCAGCGGCGGAGAAGTTTGCGGAGCCCACGCATACGTCATTGCCGTCTGCCACGAGGTATTTCATGTGCATCTTCTCGGACCTCGCTCGGCGGTAGTTTATCTCGATCTTGTTGCTCTCGATGAATTTTCTGGGCCATTTCGGACTCTTGTACGCTTGTCCGTGATCCAGGTAGATCTTGATTTTCACGCCTCTATCCGCCGCGCCGAGGATTGCCTGCCCCAACATATCTTCCGTAAAGGAAAAGACCGCCACAATCAGCGTGTTTTGGGCGTCTTGGGCGCCCTGAACCAGAGTCGTCCGTAGTGGGGTCCGATCTCTCGCTGTAGCGGCAGCCGCGGTCTCGGAGCTGGCGACCTCCTTCGTCTCCTCCTGACCTACAGGGCCGGCAGTAGCTGCGGGGCTGGCGTCCTCCTTGTTCTCCACTTGGGTTGCAGGACTAGTAGTCTGCAACAGGTCGTCCTTTCTTGGCGGGTGAAAGAGGACATTGATCAGTGAGTCGTTCTCATCACGAGGGGGAATGACAACTGGAGCAGGGCGTGGGCCGGGGCGGTGGGGCACAATACTATCTCGGCGTTCCCATATCTCCGAAATCGTCGTGCGGTGGTGGCCGAACTCGTTGCCCACTAACGTGTAGGGGGGTCGGCCCCGTGCAACGTGCGATAGTCGTAAATGTGGTGGATGATCGTCAGCCGTTCGTGGATCGAGAGCGGTGCGCCTGGGAAGAGTCGGGCACCTCGGGGTGCCTCCTGATCCGCTTGGGCGATGAAGCGACCGCGCATGATGCCGCGGCCACGGCCCCTGTTGCCCCTGTGACGCCAGCGCCTGGCCCTACGGGGAGCGTTCGTGCCGGCGGTGGCGTCTCCGTTGCCTGGGCTCATGTTCACACCGTCGTCCCCGTTCATGGTGTCCCCCGTCGATCTTTTTTCAAACTGGGCGAACGTCTCGCTCTTCAAAACTGGCGCACTTCAATCCGAATGCATCGGACATGTCGCGCTTCCACTCTAGAGTTGGTCAGCCCTGGATGAGTCATGTGCATGAAGCACGAAGCTGTTGCAGAGAGGAGAAGGACGCATTTGTTTTGGCGAAAGGTCCAAACTATACAGCTTTCAGTACGAAACATACACTGGTACATATTGTGGGTTCTACTCAAAATTTCCGAACCGAGCCAAATCGCTCCCAATCGCCCCGGCCACTTGAATTGTCTACTGGAACTCGATTAAGTACGATTTACATATGGCATTCTTGTTTGGAGCGGTTTCGATCTGTACTTGAATTTGTATTGGTCGATTTTCGAAATCGGCCCGATTTGGAAATTTTCAACGGAATTGACAATAACACCTTGCGAGCGCAGCGAGCCGATCCCGGCACCTAAAGTGTGACGGCCACGAGCTCCGAAGAACTCTCTCAGTGGTGCGTTCCAACCAGTGCCCGATGTCACTGGCCGCGTGCTGGGACGCATGTTGCCATTTGTCGGCGGACAGTAGCGGCAAGTTCGAGGGGCGTTCGTCTTGGGCCGACCGACCTTCCTTGGAGCTTGAACGGGAGCAGGCGGGCCAGCGACGCGCTTTCCGTTTCGTAGCAACTTGTCCATGAGCTAGATAGTGCAGCGTGTTGAACGTGAATGAACCGGAAATGTCGCCCCCTAACGACAGCGCAGCGACGCTGTCATAAACTGTCAGTTTTTTTCAAGGTGTTTCTGATAATTTTGTCGGCGAGTGCCAGCATTTGTCGAAGGTAATCATAATTTGACTAGATTATTGCAATAGTGCCAGCATTTGGCAAAAGTCCGCCAGTGTCGGAGCGGTGTAATGCTTTGAGTTCTCCGTGCGTGTACGAAACGTATAAGCACCGGGACTTCCTGCGGAAGACGATGGCTCCAGGCGTCATTATTGAAGATGATCGTGGGGTGGAGGCGATGCTCGAGCACTGGAGGCTCGTCTCAATCTCGCAGCCGAACTTCGAGATCAAGGTGGTTCGCCTGGAGAATGGGCCCGATAGCTCCATCATAGCCACGACCAAGATCAACATCATCATGTGCAAGAGCATGCTGCAGCACACATTCCCGAATCTGGACAAGTTCGAAAGAGGGAGGCGACTGGCAGCGAAGCTTCTGGGTCAGCCATTCGAGATCAACGGCTCCATTCAGTTCAATTGGGATAATGAGAAGAGCTGCATGCTGAGCCTACAGCACAAGTCGGACGTGATGATGCCAATCATCCGCTTCCTAGGCGACCTGGACGACGTGGCTTTCATCTTCGACCAGCAGTACTCAAGGCTACTAGCCAGGCGGTTGCTGGCCCCATCGGCTTGAGACTTTTTGTAAAGCCCGACGCTAAGGCTGTGAGCGTGGCCCTGGATATACTGCAGTGGCTACGACCAGGACACGGATGGTGGTGGGCGAATCGATGCTGACCAGCGCGTTCCGAAAGCTGACTCTGTCTGATGGGGGCTCTGGCCGCGAAGGCTATCGGACAAGGAATTTGATGTTGCAGGCTCGGCTATTTCGAGTGGGACCGCGGGAGACGCGTGCTGAGTGTGCTAGACTCATCAGATCTGGCGACGCCTGCTTGGCAGCCTCGAAGACCTGGCACTGGTTTCTTACGGGGCTCGCGTTACGCTCAATGGTGGACTGAGACTGCGTTCATCTCGAGAGATCGCGTGAGGCTTCAACTACCTTTAGACTAGGATCATGCGTGATAGACTATGGAGTGACTAACAACAGACTTAAGTTAGAGGTTATCGATAATTTTCCATGGCAATCGTACTTTTCACAGCCTGAAGAGCACTCTGTACGCAGAGTATACTGCTTGCTTGCGCTGAATTGGCCTCGTCAAATTGCCGTTTTGCCGAATAGATGTGTAGACAATAACGGCATTGATAATTGATGTGTGTGTTCATGCCAACTTGGGGCCTGGTTATCCTTCACAGGTGGACGGACTAACCACACGGCTCAGCTTTTCTTCGGAACCGCTAGCGTACGCCTCCGCCTCCGACGCCAGTTCTCCGAGATGCCTGAAAACCTATACGTAGTCTTTTAGGCTCGCTCTCGAACTCTCGCCTCACAGGATGTTAAGCGTCGACACGCTTCGGCTCATGGTCTGCATCGCTTTAAGGTTGGCGGTCCTCCAGCCGCTTCTGTCGTTCGGGTACAGTATGTAGTAAGTATACATGCACTTGAGACATCGCGGGCGCACATCCGTGAGAGTAAACTTCGGATCGACTTGAAGCGGTCGTACATGAGGGAGTACCGTCTACACCGTAGTTCATAACAAAAACACCTAAAGTGTTCTCTCAGCACCGTAATTCCTCAGATTTGCACCACAGAACTACTATCCGTACAGATTTGAAGGAGGCCATGTGCTCACCTCCGTTGATCGACCACTTTTGGTGAGGGTTTTGGAAGGCGTCCAGTGGCAAAACCCTCACCAAAAGTCGCGCATAAAAGTTTAATCACGGGAAATTGTTTGATGAGACCAAAAAGTGGTCTCATCAAACAATTCTAATGCGACTCTTAACTAGCAACGTGATTAAACAGGTGACTGAACTCCACTATACCCGAAGGTCGCATTCCAGCAACCGTTTTGGGGCGCATTAAACGCTTCGGTAATTTAAAATAAATTACGGATTAAACTGATCGAACGGTTTTATATGGGTTTTGGAAGGCGCCCACTGACTGGTCTCTCGAAACGGTGTTTTGCTGGTTTTGCAGCGAAAACGGACGGTGTTTTGGTATTTACTCGTCGTACATGTGCACACCACCTTGCGAAGAGTATTCACCGACCGTCAATCGCGCAGTCATCCCAGCAGCAAGATTGGAGTCCTCCACGATAACGACGTTCGTGATTGCACGCCTGACTGTACATCGGATTTGACTACCCGACATCACCACAAGTAAGCACTCCATCGATGAGGTTTCATCGGCTGCAGGTACCGGTATGCACAAGACAGCAGGCGTGCAGCGTGGGAGAGGTAATGTATAGTGAGATAGCCGGTCATCTGCCATCATAGGATCTGATCATCTGGCGTAAGCACGTTTCGCGTTATGAGCTCACTCTCGCTCCGACTGTACCGGTCACTCAGCCACTTGTCTTCTTGTCGAGTACTCTTCAAGCCCCAATGAGCAGCGCCCTCTACCCTCCCAACGCTCGCTGGCTCAGCGACGACGTCATCGACACCACGAGATGCGAAGTGCCATCCCACCGCCGCTTCGACCGCGCTCCAGCCCTCTACGACCAAAATCTCCAATACACGTCTCCCTACGAACATGCAGCGACGCGTGATGTCATCCAAGCACCGACGACTTCAGACCACGGGACTATACCTCGTTATACCGGCAAAAGGACGGCTCCTCCTGCAGCACCCGACACTCCACCGAGACAGCTTAAAGCTCCCAAACTCCAACAACAACAACTCAAAGAAGAAGACGCTGCAAAGCTGAACCGAGAGCGTCGTCGTCTGACTCAAATCCGGTACCGACAGAAGCTCAAGGACCATGCCGACACCCTCGAGCAGCAAGTCCAAGCGTTGCGTCAAGAAGTGCAGAAGCTCGAGTTCCAGCACCAGACCATCTCTCCACGCATCATCGCTGAGGCTACCCCCTGGAGTGTGGTGGCCGACTACTTCCGGATGTTCCGCTTCGCCATGACGGCATACATCCCCATCTCCGAGCGTTGCAATGCTCCTGGATACAAAACGCTGCACGAGTCGCACACTCACCGCGAGTTTCTACAGCGAGTGATGGCCCCGGATGTGATCGCGGGGGATGAACGAGGACTTGATGCGGTGCTGGAGTACTGGAGGTTTATTTCCCTGTCGCAACCGAGCTACGAGGTCCGTGCTACCAATGTGGAGCAAGGACCCGAAGGCTACATTGTCGCCAAGACGAAGAGCAAAGTGGTTGTGTGCGAGAAGATGCTGCGCCATGCGTTCCCAAAGTTGGAGAAGTTGGAGCGAGGGAGGGGTCTAGCTGATAAGCTACTGGGTCAGCGATTCGAGGCGAGTGGAGCTACCGTGTTCGGCTGGGACAACGAGAAAGGTCGGGTTCTGAGTGTGAGCAGCGAGTCAGACTTGATGACGCCCATGCTTCGCTTGCTAGGCAACGCAGAGGACTTGGCGCTTGTGTTTGAGGGGGCTTGCCTTACGCTAGACGGTCGACTCAATATCCATTAGTAATCAATTCAATTTGCATTGACAGAGCCGATATGCACGTAACGTTGGTGTCATTATGTCAGGTGAACTCGATAACACACGTACGAGTCCACTTGTAAAAATGAAAATGTCCGACTTGGAAGATCACGACTGCAGTATACAGGCCCCAAACGTTTGATAATACTTCACGCCAATAACGGTCTAGCAATGTCCTCATCGAAGCTTACGACGTGTACTTGAGTGCGTCTTCAAACGCGCATAATTGGACAACTGGCATTTTGACATACTACTTCTGCACCGCTGATCGAAAATTATGGTCCTTGAACGGCGCAACGATTAACTTCTCGGGAATTCGACTAGAATTTCCCTGTGGTCGTGCGCTTCTTGTCGAATACATGTAGCGACACGCACTTGCCTTTTTTTTTCCTTTCAGGGCTGGAAGTCTGACTTTATACTTTTGATTACCAAGTCCCGGTCGCCACCACTGCTAAATACAGTGTGCAGCGCTGCCCCAATTCAAGCATAACGCTTCATACATGTGCACTTCTTGTTTGAGAAGCCCCTCAGGTTGATTTGAGGCCGTGTCGCAGCTGCTTGGGAAGAGCTACACTTTCACTCGCTGTCTTTTACGTAGGTGGACGAATTGTGCCTTTCACTTATTCTGCCGTGATAATTATGGCATAACTCTAATCCCTTATCGACCTTAATTATGCCCCGAGTTAGCTAATTCCCATGTTTTTGTGGGTTTCAACTATTTTGCCGCCCGATTTGAGTGTTATCTCGGAGTCCGATTTATATAAAATGGAGCTCCCACATGATCGGTTAGTCCAATTTAGCTATTATATATCTGACCTGAGTTAGTAGCATAAGGCTCAGAGGCATTCCAAGTTGGCCATACCTCCTCACCTCTCATGACGCATTAGAACTCCAAGGCATTGGGGACAATAGTACACTGTATATAGCCACTTCGTAGCACTATGGCCAGCTAAATCACCTGTGTGATCATCTACGGCCTCGTGCCACGCCGATCTGAGAGGGCCCCAGACATGTTTTCGCGGCGGTCCCTTTTGCCGGCGAAATTCGGCATGTCTGGCCCCTGCTTCGCAACTCGCAGCCCCCAGACGCAAATCGGGCCAGATATAGTTTGCTTCCCTCAGCCCCTCCTGCTAAATCGGAGCCCTCCAGCAAATCGGGCCCGATATAGCGGATCTTGGACCACCCGATTTGTCAAAACGGATGAAAGCCACAATAATTCCGGGTCACCTATTCGTGGCCGACTTAATAGCGGCGATGGTGAGGCCGAGTTAATGCGGAATAAGCTAATCCAGCCTGCGTTAGGCGGAAACAGAGCGATTGGCGGTTTCCTACCCGCCAATCCATGCCATCCTGCTCGTATCTCCGTCGATTGGCTCTCAAATGCTGATCGCGGATGTTAGGGGAAGCGCTGACAATCCTTAGGCAGAATTAGCACTAAATAAGCGTTGATCGCCCTTTTATGACTCTAATTCTGCCTGAATTAACAGCTCACCCGCCAAAATACGTGAAAGGCACACAATAAACGCAAATTAAAAATTCGGCGCCATTGCTGCCACAAAAGTTTGTGGCTCAATTGTGGCTCAAATAAGGTGAAACAAAAATGGCACTATCTGCGAGACTTTATACTGGGATAGGAAGCGACGAAGTGCTGATAGCCCAGTCCAAACAGGATTAATTCGGGCGATGTCCCCCCGTCCAATCGACACCGGTGATGAACCGGTAACGTCTTTAGGTCAATTTACAGTAAGTGATGTCTATTGACCGAGTGTTTTAGACTTCTCAAGAATGATGGAGGCTGCTCCAGTTCATTTGCAAATTCGTCGAGTTAGATTCGTCATTGATTTTGCTCTGAAATCGGTTGTACGTCGTGACCATAGCGGCGATACATTGTCGGGCAGATTCTGCGGCTGCGAAGCAGGCGCAGGAGATTCCCGTGGAGCGTGCGGATTGAGTTTATCAATGGCGATCAAAGGTGAGTTAACCAATCCTATCCCAGCCTTCGCGAAGCCCTAGTTACATATGATAACGTATGGCATTCGAGTTCCCATATGACTACCGAGTTACCATAACATGGCGGACTCACCGACTTATCAAAACGCGGCAAGCCCACCAAGCTACCGGACGTTGGAGCACACTAGAGCTGTTGCATGACCCTCGATGCATGTTATACCTGCTCTGCAATCTATTTTGGATGATCTAAAACGGACATTTGAATCTCAATCGGTGTGGTTAGCGTGTGCACAAGGCAACATGCCTCCTAAGCACATAGCCGGTATCGGCAGACATCAACAAACTAGGATATTGTGCCTAATGCCCATTTGGACTTGAAATCGGCCCTTTGGAAATCTTGAATTAGGCACCATACAAAGATCTATATATTAGTATGGTAACCTTTTAGTGAAGCATATGATTTAGAGAATGTGTTCTACAAGTCGCTATTAACAATGTTTGTGTTCCTGGCAAGAGATATATTCATGGGGCCGAGTGTGAATCGTTCTCACACCGGGAATAATTCACGGGTAGTCCCGACACTGCGTCGATCAAGAATTTCAGTCTGTGTGGTGGTGATGCCAGGTCCACCAAGCTAGAGAGCTGTTGTTACCCATAATATGTGATAAATTCCATGATGCGCAACAGAGCGCAGGTACAGTGTAGCTGCTCCTTGCTCGTTCTGTGGTATCCACAAGCCAATGTAAGATATCGAAGATTTGATAATAAGTCGATTGCCAGGTTACATGTAGTTAGTTTATTATACTGGGATAGGAAGCAACGTTGTGCTGCTATCGCAGACCAAATAGGATTATATCCGTGGTACGTCAAGTCAAAAGGTGACCCCTCCTGACGCCTAACTGGTACATTGTCCTGAAACCGGTGTGACCCCGGTGCCGCACTGGGCCGTTTATATGCGTGGGCAAGCTGAACTGGTAGAAAACCCATTACCAGACCACTTTAAAAGTGGCAAAATCAGAAAAATTTCCACCTTTTCCACTTTCTGGCGAACCTTAAAGGTGGAGCAAATTTTGGTAAGAATGACCAGAATTCAAGTCCCTTCTGAACGATACCACGTACAATAGCACTTACATAGCTGTCAAAAGGGCGCTGACACAGTACAGATGCATGCCATATATGGCGGAAACTGCGAAAATGCTGTTGGAGTCGACGAACACGACTGTGCTTCTATTCGTAGCGAAATACACTTGAGGCATCGCACGTTATAGCTCATCAACGCAAGCAGTATGATTCATCGACGCAAAGGCGTCATAGGTGTCCTATGCGGTAAACGAAGCTAGGAAGCAAGACGGGGTTCCCGTACAGCCACGAAGGGGGACACCATGCCGCCACGCGTATGCAGGTATGCGGTTGCCGCTGTTGTCAATCTATACATTTGCGTATTTTAATCGATGTAAAACGAGGTTTGGAAGTGGCAGCGGGGGCAGCGATCCGATGCACAGCGAGCTCGCAGTCTAACACAAAAGTTATCCATAGATAGGGTTAAGTACTTACTACTGACCTGCAATGTGTCTGCCACCTGTAGGCTCGTACTTAGCCAGACGGTTAATAATTATACTTGTATGGATTCCACTTTTTCCACTTCCTGCCGCGAAAATGTGCCACTTTAAAGCAAAAAGTGGCGAAATTGACAATTGCCACTTTTAAAGTGGTCTGCCCATTACACCGGTATGGTATAATACCCAATCTATTCCAACCAAGGCTTGTCCATGTCATCCCCTACTTGTGAAGTCCACCAATGAAAGTGCCGGGTTACGATATTTTTATCCAATGATTGGTCTTACAGAAATTGTCCAGCATTCCAACCGATCCGACCATATTTGGTTGGAATTTTTACAGAATATTTCTTATGCTATACAAATTCTCATATAAACACATATTCTAAAAATATCGTGAAGTTTCCAACCGAGGCAGCTGTATTTGTGGTTTCATTAGTAGAGAAGAACCAACAGCGCAAAAGCGATGTCGATCGCTTCCCTTGCTCCAGCTAACAGCAAGAAGTCGAGAACGACGGCTCTCAACTCCTTCAACGCGTTCCTCGAATGTGAGAACGTAACAACCGACGCCGCTCATAAGCTTATTGACGCTGACAAGACCGGTAAGGTGCTGAAAATCATGTTAGATAAGTATGCATACTCCCTAGCTAGATCGACAGACAAAGTGTTATCAACAAATACGTGTCTTGCGTATTTCGGAAACGTGAAAAACTGGTTGCTGGATAAGTATCCACAACAGGGAGCAATCGTAAAACCACAGCTGCAAAAAATCCTGTCTGGGCTTGGAAAGTATTGCAGCAACCGCGAGGACGGTGCGCTGGAAAAGAAGGCCCCACCGTGTTCCAAACAAGATCTAGAAACTATAGTTCGACTGCTGTATACGTCGGATTCGGCGGATACCATCTACTTCGACGCTGCCGTTGTCGTCACGATGTGGCACCTGTACGGGCGTAGCTCTGATGCCGAGCAGCGCGAGAAACATCAGCTCTCAATTCTTCCTGGCAAGTCTTGAAAGGATAATTATTGCCATTGTTTTATGTTTCTACTGATAAAAACTATGCATTATTAGGTGGCGTACTCTTCCTTCGCTTCAAGAGACTTAAAACGGCTCTTCTCCAAGGAATTTCGCTGTTCAAAGACCCGGAAAACTTTTTAACATGCCCTTTATTCGCTATAGCTGCAGCACTTTTAATGCAGAAGGCTCCGTGCAAGCGCATGTTCCCGCAGTTTGTGGATACGAAACGGAGTGCCGCTAACGTGGAGGACGTTGAAGAGCTCAGCCTGGTGGAGCTCCTTGAGGCTGATGATGTCCCGACAGCACTGGTTGAAGCCGAGCAGGTGTCGGGGAAGCGTAAAGTCCCTGGTGCCAAGCCTATGTGAACCGGTTGTTAGTCAGAGTCAAAGATATTGCCGCAGCAACGGACGTTCGACTTACCCCAGAACTTACCTCTCACTCGTTTCGGCGCGGTGCGGCCATGCACGCCAACGACGGAAGCCTGGCCGAGAACTGGATTATCGAGCGGGGAGGCTGGCAACTTGACCGTGTCAACAAAGCCTTTGGGTACTTGCTGGGTACCACGCAAGCCGACCAAAACGTTGCCCGCGTTCTGAGCGGATGGAAGCCGAAGGAAGGTGCCCGCCTTCCTTCGCTGTGTGCACTCGACGACCCCATCCGTGAGCACGCAGGTAAACTACAGGCCCTAGTCTTCTCGAGCACGCTCGGAGGGGTGAAGGCACGCCGGATTGTTTCGCTCCAAGCCAGCACCTCCGACTCTCCTATGGCCCGAGCTTCCATGGCTTCTCGCATCCGGAGAATGAAGTCGTTCTGGTCGGACAGGATCAGCATGTCGGGGTAGTGCATCACGAGTGTCGCCATCAAGATATCAACTACACCGTCATCAAGATTGAGTGCTGTGTCGTCAACCCCCCCCTCCCAAGGTTGAGCCGCATGCCAATGACGCCCAGTCCGCAGCTGTAGTAGCGCTGTTAAAGCGCCAGTCGGAGCAGATCGATGTCCTCATTCTGCAAAACAAACGGCTTGATGAACGACTGTTAGCAGTGGAGGAGCAGCTTCGAGCATAGTCAGACGTAGCAGCACCAAACGCGCTTGAAGGAGCTTCAACGTCAGGCGGGCTGAGCCCTGTCACCGTGCAGCCACCGGCCACCAAGTCCGTGCGCCCGAAGAAGAAAGGTTCGCAGTCGTTGTCGGCACTGTGGTACGAGTGGCTCACTGCCGAGCCTCGTGTATACGCATCACGCTCTGTCAAAAAGACAACACTGTACGAGTTTAGACACGCCGTAGGATACATGATGCTGTTCTTACCGAATGGCTTCGCACTAGACGTAGCCGCCTCTGCGTTCAAGAACGAGGTGCTCAACATGGGGCAGCATGCGCAAGCGAACGCTCTCGCCTTCTTGAAAGCAAACGGATCTTCGGCTCTCGCTGCCGGCACCGCGTTGAAGGCTCTGCGCAAGCTACACAAGACCGGCAAACTGGATGCCCTGATCGCTGACTTCCACGAGCGCGTCACCAATGGTGCCATCGTTGATCCAACCCCTGCCGCCGCACTTCCAACCTTCATTCGACTACAACCAAACCTATAAACCCTACATCATGATGCACAACAATATAAAACACAATTAAGTAAAGACGATGACCGGATTCGAACCTGCCTGCAGCGAATGCTGCTCCTCCACCAAAAGGCACCATCGCGGGTACGTACATATGCACCGCAGCTACGCCATCAAATAGCAGCAGGGCAGTTGAAACCAGGTAGAAGAGAAACTGGTAGCATGTACGTACACTGACAGCAGCTGTCCACAACGCCGTCGGCCACTCTCAAGATACCACTGCTGGCCTCGAGCGCCATCACCTCGCCCGAGGCCACGCTGATGTCCAGGCACCCGCCGCCCCGCACGACCTTCTGCACCTCCACCGCCCCGCGCGGCAGCACCCCCGAGCTGCTGCTACTGCTGGCCTCGAGCGCCATCACCTCGCCCGAGGCCATGCAGCTGTCCTCCTTGCCGCCGACGCCCGTCTTGCTCTTGGTCCTGCTGGCCCGGGGGTCCTCTCCACGTCCGAGCAGTCGTCCGTATTGCCGCTGCCCGCTGCTGTGTCCGGCTCCGAAGCTGAATGAATGAATGAAGGGGATTCAGTTGAGATGTCATTATAATGAAATAGATGTCACTAAAATGTTTTGCTTCAGTACCGGTACTGGTTGGACTCCTTGGTCGGACAGTTGGAATTTTGACGGTATGGCCGCGGTACCACACTGGGCCCGTTTATCGAAGTGATTAACGCAACCTTAATAGGAACATAAAAAATCCCAGAAGGTTGCTCGAGCAACCTTATATTTTTTGTTAAAGTTGCTTGAGCAACCTTGCCATTTACGATAAATTTCCTCTACTGAGTAGCTTACCGCAAAATTTCTACTTGGGGTAAGATATTCGTACTGTAAAATTGTCAAGGTTGTCCAACGCGGCCGGAAGCTCGTGTGAAATATGCTTCATTTCGCAAGATCCAACGTGGAAGGCAAGCCGAAGACGTAGCAGCAAGCGCCATGTTACCCCTGCTCGATGACGTGTAAGTAAGTGTGTTTGCCATGGCTTGGGGGTGCGAGTACATCTAACCTGTGCCTCTGGACAGTCAGTAGCCACGTCCAACGGCCAAGCACTGGACGGAAGTGGACGACAGCCAGCGACTGGATGGCCGGAAGACGCTGCGAGGGCTGTGCGTGGATGCCCACGCCAAAGAATGTGCGTGGAGGGCTGCGGCGAAGACTGTGGCAGCGAAGCGCACCTGGAGGCATCTTATGGTACGTTGCACTGTGCGGAGAAAGTTGTAAGGTGCTTGCGTTCGTACTCCAACGTGTACCGCCTGTGCGCGTTCGAGCAGACATGAAGATCACGGTTGCGGTCCGGCAAATCGAGATCACAGCCAAACCTAGATGGGAAGAAGCGAAAGCTAAGCCGCGTAGGGCGTAATATATGGTGTGGATAGGGCTTGAACAGCTATGTTGGCTATTACTGTATGCTTGACGGATTGGGTTTGACCGGGAAGTCCTTAGCAACCGGAGAAACCAGTGCTATGAGACGACGGTCTTGGTAGATGTAGGCTGCACTTGTATATACTCGATGTCTTGGCGTGATGAAAATGAATTCTGTTGGCCCATGGCCCCATGCTCGAGGCCGATTGGCTTCGCACTTTTGATCTAACGCAGTGCCAACAAGTGGCATGCTTGCACCAGGTAAATGTGCTGCTTGAGTTGCGACTATTTTACGCCGAGCTTCGCCTGCATCTCTCTCCTTCTGACACAGAACTTGCGGTGCTTTTAACTAAGACTACTTCGTGCTGCACGCGGTACCCGTAGAACCTGGCGGGCTGCTGAACCACGGCGGATAGCGTCGTGGTGGTGATAGTCTCGCTTGATGCGGTGCAGCTCCTTCCTCTTAGCGTAGCCCGTATGATCGTCAAATTTTGATCTCAAAATTGACGCCGCTATTGTCATTTTCTCCTCGATAAATTACCGGTTGCTGAAGCAACGAGTAATTTTAGGGTTGCCAAGTCGTTTTTAAGGTTGCGGAAGCCTCTTTAAGGGTGCTGTAACCGGTGCCGTTGTGTCGAAACAAAGTTGCTTTACGGACTGCCCCCGTTTATACGCGTTGGGAAGCTGAACTGGTAGGATACCCATCACACCGGTATGACCGCGGTACCACACGCGGCTTCCAATGCGTAATATATATAGAATAGTAGGAGTGAAGTAAGGTGAATGATTGAAGCGGACGGACTGCTGCAGAAGCATACAAAGGTAAACATTTTTATTTTCTACAAGCTACAAACAGATGTCGAGCAAGGTTCGTTTTATCACTGTGTATAAGCACCGCCAAGGCATATCATGCATCTACAGTTTTGAGGTGAATTACAGGGCAGACGCTGCGGCTGCTTCGCAGCCGCAGGAGATGCCCGTGGTTCGTAAAAAACAACTCATAATAATAGAAAGCGATTATACCAAAACCCTCCTATCCCAGCCTTCGCGGAGCCCTAGTTTAAAATACTTACTTTGGTATATTGGTCTGTTACGATTGCCTGGTCGACCCAGCCCCATCTAATAATTTGGCAGATACGGCTGCCGCGGAATGCGCTGTCATGTATGAGAGCTTCATTGGTGTGCCAAATGCACAGAGCAGAGGGAGGTCGAGCTAGCACGAATTATATTGGCGCGAAGCTTGAAGGCATAGTGACGAAAGTAACGGGAGGAGGGTGGTGGCAGTGGTTATTGTAGCGGCGACGGAATGAGTGGTTCTAGTAGTTCTAGCCCAGTTGCTACTGCGCTAGATAAGATAAAAGCACCGAGAAATACATGTACCAACGACATAACCATCAATGGACCACTATTTACTATAGAACCGAGCCTGAAACCATTCTCTTAAACAAGGACATTTTGAAAACTCCATTTAGGTACTTTGGATTGTTTATGTACCAAGTGCCTAGTTCTCTCAGCTCTTAAGCCGAGAGCACAGAGTGTTCGCAGAGTCGGTTCGCCAAATTTGTGAATGTTTTTTTTATGAAAGAAGCACTGGGTTTCACTATGGTCGCGATCGGAGCGCTTCATTTAGCTTCACTATGCTTTCGCAATTTCTAACGTAAAAAACACCTGTGTGCAAGCACACCACATCGCGCTCACTTGCCCCTGCTATACTTGGCGTCTCGCATGGGACAGCGAAAAAAATCTGCGACAGAATTTAGAAACGTAGACTCGTTTCAACATTTCCCAGGTTAGGTACTCGATACTTTTGCCTACTTGAACAGGCAACAACGGTACTCTCCCGCTCAAGTTCATGCGCTCCGCACTCAATATGGCGTCGCACCACCGAAATTAAACTTGAGCGGTAACGTGCGGTCGCGGAAACTTCCTTACTTAAGTTGCGTTGCCGACCCGTCAGCGGCCAATCAAAGGGGCGCGCAAATATGGATTCCGGGCTCACTTGAGCTTACTATGGTTTAGAAAGGTGAACCCATCCAAATAGAAATAAATGCCATGCGACTGCGCGGAAAGCCAGCAGGTTTCCCTACTTTTGTTACGGCGACCCCTCAGAGCTGTCACCGGGTGACAGTTTCAGGGCGCCCCTTCGAGTAAAAAACATCGGCAGCTTGGTTTTTGTATGCGCGGGTAGTGTTTTTTACTCGCCCCTTTGATTGGCCGCTGACGGGTCGGCAACGCAACTTAAGTAAGGAAGTTTCCGCGACCGCACGTTACCGCTCAAGTTTAATTTCGGTGGTGCGACGCCATATTGAGTGCGGAGCGCATGAACTTGAGCGGGAGAGTACCGTTGTTGCCTGTTCAAGTAGGCAAAAGTATCGAGTACCTAACCTGGGAAATGTTGAAACGAGTCTACGTTTCTAAATTCTGTCGCAGATTTTTTTCGCTGTCCCATGCGAGACGCCAAGTATAGCAGGGGCAAGTGAGCGCGATGTGGTGTGCTTGCACACAGGTGTTTTTTACGTTAGAAATTGCGAAAAGCATAGTGAAGCTAAATGAAGCGCTCCGATCGCGACCATAGTGAAACCCAGTGTTTCTTTCATAAAAAACATTCAAGGCATGCCAAAAGTAAAGTCGAACGAATTTCGAAAAACTGGCTTGACCAATCCATTCTTAGAATATTATTATTCATTAAGAATAATATTCTAAGAATAGATTGGTCAAGCCAGTTTTAGAATATTATTATTCTTTAAGAATAATATTCTAAGAATAGATTGGTCAAACCAGTTTTACGAAATTCGTTCGACTTTACTTTTGGCATGCCTTTCTAACCAACACTAGACTATTAGGCATAATGTAAAGTCTCCCGTATTAGTGTGACTTGCATATTAGCGTGGCTTTATTATTGGTGTGGGTGCGTAATTACCGTAGCCCGCACTAATAGTGTAGACTGAGCCAGATTTCGGGTGGCGCAAATACACTATTGACACTTTTTACTGTAACAGCTTAGTTTTAGTTTAGGGGGTGGCGTTCCTCAGCTAGCTTGCATGCAAGCCAACTAGCTGGCCGACTTTAAGACCCACCACACCACTCCCGGGGTTGCCTCGCACAGATTCACTGCGAACCCGCTGCGAGGCATGCCTTCGGTGATCTAAGGGCGTTGCCTTTTGCCCCAAACGTGTTCACGGAGAAGGTTGAAAAATAGTGCGTTCACAAGACCTTGTTCGCTTTTAGCGAGCTGAGAGATATCGTGCGCGAAAAGCCTCGTAGAGACTCGAGCAGCGCTACTGTTTGTTGATGGCTGGGTATCGGTGTTGGGAGATGCCCTCCATTGAGTGTTCGCCAGGCCACAACTGAGTGCGCCTCGCTATTAATACAAGACGGGTCGTCTGTTATACAGAGACTGATCCATTTCCGGCAGAATGCGACCTTGTACGCGATGGTGAAGAGCGTGAGGTGCCGACCATTACACCGATGGCAATGTGTCGGTCTCGACTGACGTCGTGTACACCACTTCAACGCACGACGTATCCCACGTGGAGTGCATTCTTTGCTGCTTTTAAGTAACCACTGAGCACCTGCAATCGCTTCGATTTACTCTGTTCGTCGATGGCCTGAGAGCAGTGCATCCATACTTCAGTTGCAAATAGCACAGTGCAGATACACATTAAATACACAATGCACTTGCTGCCTTTACCTCTGATTGTGGCTGATTGTGACTCGGTGTGGCTTGTGGTGGCTGACGCATCGGCCCAATACGACAAACCTGCCAGTCCAGAATGGTCTTCGCGGACAATAATAAGTTGAGCCACAATTGAGCCACACTTTTGAGTTTTTTATGCAGATCATTTGGAAAATCATTGTGGCAATAACGTTACAATTGAGCCACACTTTTGAGTTTTTTATGCAGATCATCTGGAAAATCATTGTGGCAATAGCATTTTTGTATTGATGGTGATTGCTCGTGTGTTCGTGACTCTGATTAATCTTTTCCAGAACTGTGCTACGAAGGGCCATGGGACGTCGAATTGGATCTACCACTATTAATAGTAGTACATGTAATTCGGACTACAACGCTGAGAAAGCAACAATTTAATGTTCCCCGATATAATAGCAGGCTCCCACATTCTCAAGATTTGATCGCGTGGAATATATTCAAGTTCTGCGTTAACACGCACATATTCTCTTGCAGCGTCAGCGTCTCCTCTCGCTCTGTGTCCATCAAACAGTCGCTGGCATAGCGACCAAGTGATCGGCACGGTCAGGTGCAGACCTCCATCCCGTGGGCGTTCGATCGGAAGAGAACAAGCTTCTTGTACTGGTCCAGCGGCATAATCTACAAATTCCCAACACTAAATCTCCACACCGACGCCATTCCCACAGGGACAAAATACTCCGTCGGGCATCTGAACCAGCTCGACCCAGATTCGACACAGCCACAACCAGCGACCAAGCACCCCACACCCGAGCAAAACTTCCCCGACCAACAAGCCCTCAAGCTGACGCGAAAGCGCCGCCGTCTGACTCAAATCCGGTACCGACAAAAACTGCGAGACCACGCAGACACCCTCGAACAACAAGTCTAAACGCTGCGTCTAGTAGAGGTACAGGCTCGAGTACCAGCACCAGACCCTCTCTCCAGTGGAGAGTCTCCACGCATCATCGCCGACACTACCCTCTGGAAGGTGATGGCCGAGTATTTCCGCCTGTTCCGCTTCGCCTTGACGGCATACATGTATATCCCCATCTCGGAGCGCTGCAATGCTCCAGAATTGCAGACGCTGTGCGAGTCGCACGTCCATTGAGCTTTCTTGCAGCAAACTCTGAGGTCGGGCGTGATCATCAAGAGCGGTCGAGGGGTGGATTCGTTACTCGAACGCTGGAGTTTCATCTCGATATCACAGCCAAACTTCGAGGTTGAGGTCGTGCGCTTCGAGAACGGCCCGAGAGATTGCGTTGTGGCAATTACCAAGACGAAGATCGTTTTGTGCGAATCAATGCTGCGCTACGCCTTCCCGAACCTGGCAGCGACGGAGCGAGGGAAAAGTCTTGCCGCCAAGATGCTAGGAAAGCGAATGGAAATCGATGGCTGCACGATGTTCGGGTGGGACAGCGAGAACGGCCAAGCATTGAGCGTGGATGGGAAATCGGACGTGCTGTCCCCATCTTCTTGGTTGTCACAGAACGAGTCTTGCAGGTCCTGAGGTGCTGTGTGGACTCGGCTCGGAACCATCTCTCCTTAACAGAGTCATTTTTCTTAGGCGAAAGTCCTGAGCTCTCAATCAGAAGTTTTCCTGTCTGCTCCTCGCCGCACAACTCAAAACCGCAAGTGATATGGTGTGGTTTTTTTGTAGATTACAACTGCGTTCGTCAGCACCAAGAAGACAACCAAACGTTTGCGGATCTGGATGTTCGCATTCACCAAACAACCCAATGCAAGCATCCTGCCAACACGTTCATCATGGTCCGAGCCTGGAGGAAAGGGCGCGACGGTAAACCAGCACGCTGGCTGAGGGTAACGATCCGGAATGCTGGAATCTCCTAAACGGAGAGCTTACCCCTGCGCTTTGAGCTTTGCTGACGGACGAGAACCGGTTAGATCTTGATCAAGAGGTCGGCAAGGCACAGTTCGCCTTCCCTGACCACCGCACCGCCGACGATGTCCATGTGATTGTGGTGTTCCCTCCACACATGCGACAAAGTCTTTGGAACAGACTCACATCACTACGGAGTTGGTGACGGTCTGCTCAAGAGTCGTCGCGGTCGTCTACTACTCGCACTGAGCGTCAACTACAACCAACACCGAGGGTTCCTGATACGGTGAATGAGTGAAGATCGTCACGACATCGGTTTGGTTGGGTTGAGTTGAGTTACGATCGACCACCCCTGCGGGATCAACATCACAGATGTTGGAGAAGTTGGCTAATTCTTGATCAAGACCATTTAGCCGGAGTTCGAATCGCTCTCTGAAGACCTCGCGCGCTTGAGTGTGGACCGGCAGCAAACGCGTGAAGAGAGCTACAATGTGGAAGTGGGGCAGGGGGGGAAACTGATGAAATTCGATAAACTTTCACTTTGATTTTGGAAACTTATCCACTGCCTGCTATGAAAACAAATCACGAGTGCTGGTTGGCCAAACTACAGTACACCGCAGCCCCTCTATAACGTTAACGCAGTGGGCATGGACTTGATCCACGAAGCACTGGCAACTTATATCTCGAACCGGATGCTTGGCGGCACAACTCGAAGAAATTACTTGTCTTCCTGGGAGTTGTCCCAAGGCGACCAAGCTGACGACAATTACGCTGCGTGGCGAGACTGTTGGAGTTCTAAACGAGCTGGTAAAATAACGGATAGCTAAGGTCCGTTTCTTCTTCTTCCCATATTCTCCTTGCCGTTGGGTATTCGTGGAAGCAGGTGCTCTCACCAGAACGCTGGTCTCACTTTAAGATTCACCCACCAGCTCGTTCATGCCACCACAAATGTCCGACCCGGTGAAACCTGAAAGCATTTCATCCACCGAAGCCGTGGCCACTCCCGGTGCTCTAGAGCAGCCCGAAGCGACTCCCCCTATGCCTCCGCCCAGCGCTCCACCGTCAGCGCAGGAGTTCCTTGACTTTGAAGGAACCACCATCTTCGCACCGTCGCCATCCACGACGTATCGCTACTCGCTTTCGCTAAAGAGTGGGAACCTCCGCATCTGGCTGGAGAACGGCGATACCAAGAAACAATGGTGAGGCTCGTGAGTGCCATATTCTTAACCGCGTTAAATGCTCACACACTGTCTATATTGCGCTTTGTTCTGACTGCAGGTGCACGACGGAGCTAAGTCTGCACGACTATGTTGACGCCAGCAACGTGATTCCAGATGCCACGGCGTCCGACTACGTCGAGGTGCGTAAATTAAGCCGTTGTGCTCGATGGTGGCTGGAGTTTGTTTTGACATTATATTCTTTACAGTGCTTTCAAGAGCTACTGAGCACTGCTGCTGAAGACGTGGCCAACATCCCGGGTGCCTTCCAGCGGGGCCAAGATGGAGTATTCCAGCTAAAGCTGTCTGTGAAAGTCCAGGTGCTGCGAAAGGCACGCGTGGCGACGTACACGTTTGTGCTGGAGGAGATCTCAGTGGAGAGAATCGACGTGTTGGAGTCAAAGTTGCGCGATCTGCAGGACAAGGTGAGCACTCTTCGCATGGGCGACGAGGATCTTGCTGCTCGCCGGAGTTCCGCTGTGCAGAGACTGGAAGAAGACTTGAAAAAGCTTCAGAAGAGTCTGGATGGCCGTGACGTAGTAATCTCGCAGCTCAAAGATGAGGTGAAGGCGCTGCAATTGGCCCAAGAAAGCTCGGTCGTCATTCCAGTTCAAGCCACGACTAAAGCGCTGGGCGATTTAGTTTGCTGGAGGAACGCTGCGTTCATATTCGGTCTGAACGCCAGCGTGACCGGCCTTGATGGCATTGTACGCGCTGAGTCGCCTGGAACATACCAAGTGACTGCGGTGGTGAACCATCAGCCAGCGGGACTCAACTCGTCCATTCAGATGATGAAGGGCTCGGATTGCATTCAGTCTGCGTACTGTGGACACGCTCAAGGCAACTCGGGTTCCACGTCGCTCAACTGCACGGCTCGCTTGGACAAGAACGACCAGCTTACAGTGAAATGCCCCGCGAACCTCACTGGAACCAGCTACCTGACGCTGATCCGACTCGGAAAGTGAAGTCGCACTTGTGCGGTGGGTTATTGCATTAAACTTCGTTAAGGAAATACATTCATTTGGAAATTGATGCTCCTTGCTCACGATATTTTTTAATGTCAAACTTTGGCGTTGTATAATTTATTCTTCACGATCCGCAAAAAATAGCCGTTGGTGAGCTCGTTAGAATCCAGCACCGTGAAGAGATCAACTTTTTACATGGTGATCTGCTTTCAGCCTCGTTGTACGCCCAAGAACTCCTCTATATCAGCTGCGATGAGAATCTACGTTATGAGGACTTCCGGAGGAACATCCAAGAAAGTTGAACTCAAGTTCTTTGCAAAGCTCGATCTGTCTCGTGGACAGGTTGAGATCGAACCGTTGCTCATCTGATGGATGTAGTCAACGGGTCAAAGGGGGTTTTCTGTCTGGGCCTTTCCTCCTCGTGCAGTGCGTATATTATAATGAATTACTTTGAAACTGGAACCCTACTGCTCAAGTGTCTTCTCATCTCGCTGTGTTTACCTTCGATAACACCGTGCTGCTTCTTAGCGACCAAGTCGACACTCCCCATGGCGCGCTAAAGCTGCTAGGTTATGAGCCCAAAGTGACTGTGTATTGGCATCTGGCGTGTGTGTGGCGTTAAACCCTGGATGGGCGGGCAGTCAAGGTTGTGGGGCATAGCGGTGACTGAGAGACGAAGCCTCGTGTATGGTGTTCTCGTCAAGATTGGATCAAGTGGTGGATTACTTAGTGATGTGCCAGCAGTCGGAGGTGCTGCGCGGAGACCTGATGGAGCTAGCAGAGGAGAACGGACAGCTGGCCACGCTGCATGTCATCCCGCTTGTTATAATCATGTCAACAGTAGTGAACGCGGGTCGATTTTGGAGCTGCTGCTGCCGGGACAAGTTGCTCGTCGTTAGCATGCACTCCGATCAAAAGAGCGATGGTAGCGACGTAGATCTTGCTGCTGCTGAGATTCGTAGCGGGGCGCTGCTGGTTGTAGAGGGTGTGGGGTTCGGTTATCGCTCGACGAAGTGAAGTCGAGAGTAAGGAATGGATTAATCGGTTCTGGAGGACGGACGTTGCCGTGGTAAGCGTAGCGTCGGGCGTCGAGCGAGCCACCATTGTCCCGCCTGGCACAACCCCAACTTGCAGTCAACAGAAGTAAGCGTTGAGGACCAGTTGCAACCGAGTGATATTGAAGTCCTAGTCACGGTCCGCCCGGGGCTGGGACCCCACTAGATGGTTGTTGTAGGGTGACATTGAGCGGGTGATTTGGATTCTCAGCGGCGTCAAAGTGAGACCATGCATTGAGTATCGTGAAGTGATGCTGTGCACAATGGGTGTACGTGACGAGAGTGAAGTTTCTACTTGTGGTAAGGAACTCGAAGACGGTTGACTACAATGGTCGTGGAGAGCTGTTGAAAGAATGGAATATCTTCACGCAATTGGCTGTCGGCTGAATCATTATGGGGGTTCTGTCGGGGTGATTTCGGACGAAGATTCGTGCACTTATGTGGTGTAGCCATCACTGGATGGACAACATTTTCGTGGAGGTGGAATGTTGTAAGATTGCTAGAGCGGCAACGAGGACGCGGCTTACCGGTAGTTTGGGCGACTCGAAAGCAAAGTTGACGCGCTTGTGCGAAGTGGTGACGGTGCTGTGGGAGAGAGCAATGACGCCAGAGCTGAGGGCGGCGTGGCTGTAATGGTAGCGGAACGGTTATCGGTGAAAATCGTTCGCAGTGGTTTGCAGCGGCGTCGGGACGAATGCGACGATTGTGGTGCTCAGAGCGAAGTTTGGCGAAGGTATGTGGCGACACCAGGTGGCGCTTGTGTGCGCACGAGCCCCAACGAAGTTACGAACGGATCGCCGAACAAGTTTACGGGCGTCAGAGGCGCGGATGCCAGAGCACCAAGGATATAACTGGCAGCATTGTAAATCAGGAGAGTATCAACGAATGAGTGCCAATAGCGAGCTATAATGACGCTGCTACGGGTGCTCATGGCGGTCGTGATGTGTTCGTGCATTGCTGACGAGCGTGGATGGATACTACGGATGCAGTTGCGTGAGCAAGACTGGGTACAATGAATACGACGGAACATGTTCGTCTCCATGAGGATGTTGACAGATGATGCGGACGGGTTATGCCTTATCCAGTGCGAGTGGAAGTGTTTATTGCTGCTGGTATTGACGTTGATATCTGTGAGCCCCCAGGAAGGAAATCATGATGACTCGCAATGTAATGAGCGCCAAGAGCGAGATGTGAGCAATGATTGCCGTCGAAGCAGTGTGGGTACTTTGGCGAGTACTGGTAGGAGAACAGGTTCGAGTACTGCGAACACCTGGTGCCGTGCGTTGTTACTTTGAGAAGCACCCCGCTGCACCTGGCCGCTGGCGTGATCGACAGGAGAATGAGTGACTATGTTGGTGCTGTTGGCGAAACTTCAGGCAACGAAGTTGTCATGGTGCCGCAACGCTGCGGGTGTCATGCGGTCGTCGTTCTGGTGGGGTCATGTGAGACAACATGAGCGGACCTAAGCCGGTGGCGCTACCTGGCAATGCTGGGACGGCTTAGGGTTGGGTAGACGTGAATGATCCTGGGCCACGAGGCGGTGGATGAATGACGCTTGGCAACACCTGCGGTAGCAGGCAAGACGGTGTGCACACGAACGCCTACTGGAGGCTGTGGGAAGGACACCCTATGACGGCAACGCGATACGAAAGTGAGCTATGTGTTGTCGCCTCAAGTCTTTTCTGGAAGTGGCTAGTCTGCTCCGAGAAAGATGGAGAATATTGATGAGATGCATTGCGTAGTTCGGGCATCCGAACCAGCACTTATTACGTTCGTGCCGGATTCGAAAAGTGCTGCTTTGGACCGCAGTGCAAGCGGTGTCTGTCGTCCTGCAAGCGCACTCTGAGATCTTGTGCGTTTTGTGCCGTGAGTTCTCGTGGGAAACACTCGCAATCTACTCGACAAGCGGATGGGTAGGTAGAGATGCGCTTGGTGCAGCGCACGCGGTGACATGTGAGTCGGCTGAGGGTTAGCTTTAGCTATGAGGAGCTAGCGGTCGAGTATGACACGCAGGCTGACCACCTAAATGGTGAGTCGGAAGTGATGCAAAATTCACAAATGTAGAGCGGCGGAACACGAAGGGGAAGATGGGGAGCCCTAGTGGTAACATCTTGCTTGTGGGTCAGCTCGAACTCTCGCACTGATACGTTGGTAAACAATCACAACGGTAGCGATGCCAGCGCGACACACAGCCCGAGTTCAGGGGGAGTGAACGGAACCATCCAAGTTGAAAGGAACATTTTCGAAAATGATGAACTCGAGGCTTTGATCGCGACTGTGTGACGAAAGATCGTCGCCTATACGATGAAAGATCGTCTTAGTGAAGATGGCGATTGTGTTGTGCAAAGGAACTTGAGTTCAGGGGGAGTATGAGGATTTCCGGAGGAACATCCAAGAAAGTTGAACTCAAGTTCTTTGCAAAGCTCGATCTGTCTCGTGGACAGGTTGAGATCGAACCGTTGCTCATCTGATGGATGTAGTCAACGGGTCAAAGGGGGTTTTCTGTCTGGGCCTTTCCTCCTCGTGCAGTGCGTATATTATAATGAATTACTTTGAAACTGGAACCCTACTGCTCAAGTGTCTTCTCATCTCGCTGTGTTTACCTTCGATAACACCGTGCTGCTTCTTAGCGACCAAGTCGACACTCCCCATGGCGCGCTAAAGCTGCTAATCCAGCACCGTGAAGAGATCAACTTGGTCGTCGGCTCAAACTATGGACATGATGAAGCGCGGACCGGCTGCTCACACTGAGTTATCGTTTACATGGTGATCTGCTTTCAGCCTCGTTGTACGCCCAAGAACTCCTCTACATCAGCTGCGATGAGAATCTACGTACCAAGAAATTCAAGCTTTCGAACAATTCGTTTTATGAGTACACCACCTAGTTTCGTATACTTAAGTATTCGATTACATGGTAGAGGAAGTAATGGCGACTCTACCTGGAGCTGTGTGTTCTTCCGATGCGAATCAATGTGAGGCAGCTTGTCCACGCCAGATTCGCGTTGCAATGAGTAGAGAGCTGATCGGCTGCTTCCAGACTTACCATGCACGTCAGCGTAGTGCAATTGATCCCACCGTTCACATAGCCACAATGGGCCTTCTGGATGCACTCGGCGCCTTTCATCATCGATATAAACATGTTGTGGTTCGATTGACGATGGCTTGATACAGGCCTGGTTGCGATACTCGAATGGTTCCGTTCCCGCCGTTTACGTAGAAATCTCCGGTATATCCAGGCTTCTCCCAACGAATAAGTTCACCCACTTTAGCTGTAGCTGTGAAGTTGTAGGTTGGGTAGAGTTTCGTGCTGGGTGCGGAACGCCTTCAACTCGTCTCGAAGGGCGGAAATTATCACACTCCGACTCTCCAAATCCTCGCGAAATGATGAAAGCTCCTTTTGAATCTCGTGCATCACGTAGTAGTTGTCCTTTCCGGTCTCCTGGGCGTCGAGACGAAGCGCTTCCACTTCTCCTTGGAGGTCTTTAACCTTCGCTTCAAGTACGTCCACCCGCTCCAGAGATATCGGGTTCAGGTCGAACGTGTACACCATCACGCGTGACTTCCGAATGACTTGGATTTTCACTGCTATCTCCAAGCGAAAGGTGTCCCCCTTGTGTTGCTGGAATGAACTCACAATGCTGGACACGTCGTCGTGTGCACTGTTTAATACCTCACGGAAGCACTGCCAGTAGAGTGTGAAATGTTAGAATAGCAATGATCTAGCGGGGGCATAGCGATATTTGGCGTACCTCGAGGTAATCGGAAGCAGTAGCGTCCGGGATGGCATTCGTCGGGTCGGCGTAGGCTTCAATGCCTAGCTCAGACGTGCATCTGCGCCGGAACCCCAATGGTTAGCATCAGTATCATGCTTCAGCGTACTTTCAGGACGTGCGAGCTTACCATTGTTTCTTGCTGTCGCAGTCCTCGAGTCAGATGCGGAGCCTATCGTGCTATCGCGTAGCGGTAGGTAGGCGCGGGCGGCGGTGCAAAGATCGTAGTGCCAGTGAATTCGTGCACGGGTTGGGCGTTGACGGCGGCAGTCGAGGCAGTGGGGCTTGGGGGCAGTGTGGTGACGCATGCAGGGTGAACAGGAGCACTAGCGTCGAGAAAGGTGCTAGAGGATGGCGTGCTCCTGCAGTCAGTCTCGCTGCTCATTGTGAACGTCGGGTGGGTGTGCTGTTGCGCAGCCTTCAAAAACTTGAGTGAGAAGAGATGTTGAACGTTTAAAACATGGTACGGCCAATACCATGAAGAAAAATTTGGGGCTATGATCACGAAGAAGGTGTTAGGTAGCGGAGGCCTCAGAGCAAGCATGCGGGGGCTGAGGGGTTGCAATTTGAATATCTAAAGGAGAATATAGCATAAGACTACGAGGTAGACTTTTTTTGCATAAGACTACGAGGTAGACTTTTCATATAGGTATTCCCCTTTAGATATTCAAATTGTAACCCCTCATTTCATTGTGCTGTTAAAATGAAATGAGGGGTTACAATTTGAACATCTAAAGCGGAATATCACGCCTGAAACAAACCAAACCAAACCAACCTCCAGGTTCATAGTTCAAACCAAACCAAAATTACCAGCAAACCAGGTTCATTACGGTTTCACGGTTTGGTTTGAAGTGGTTCGAACCGAAACAAACCTCTAGCATCGGATTGGTCTAAATCAAGCTCTTGTTGACTACTCGCGTGCGGCTAATACAGAAAGTTTTGCGATGTCGCAGAGCATTGTCAACTAGGTTGCCTTCGACTTGGCTGGAAACACCTACAACTAAAACTGCTGCTACATATTGGTGTTGGTACTATAATCGTGCTAATTGCCGTGACGAGGACGTGCCCTTGCGGGACCACACCCATGAGTATCGCGTGTGCCGCAATTCAGTTGCTGAAGCTGGCGCGTGGAGCTTGAATGGCGATATGCACTTCGCCAAGCTACTGACAACTGAAACTTTTCGTTGAGGCTGCTGAGTCGACAATCTGCTGGCTGGAGTACACAAAGCTTAAGCCAAGCCGAGTTACGCGTTAAGTCACGCAACTAATCTGTTGGGGCCACGCCCTCATTCTTTGGGTGTTCGCGGTTTAAGCGGATGTATGATCCACAGTATTAAAGTATTAAAGTGCACACAATGCAGAGGTAGTGTATGGCTGAGCGTGTTGAGTAGTCCGAATACTCAGATCAAAAATAATGAATTATCGCATTCGGGTTGGTAGTACAGGTCGTGCTTTTCAATACAACGTTTAAGACGTTTAGTGCGATTTGCCTTACTGTTTACACGAGGGTGGGTGGCGCGCTCCGTGCATTCGCCGCAAATACCTACCTGCCTAATCGGCGATTAGGCAGGGGCGTGTCTGCGCAAGCGAGTGGAATACGAGAAAGAGACAAAGATAAACGAATTGTGTATTCCCTTAAGTGCAACGACGATAGTATGTACGACCCAACGCCGATGTTATTGCCCGACACCAGCCATGTCGGATTGTCGGGCGCGACTCATCCACAGGTTCACTCAGGCCTTGTGAGGCATGCGGCTTTTTGCGAAAGATAGTTCGTCTGTTTTGACCAACCAGAAAGCCCGAATTTCGAGCGGCCACGGCGTAACTCCAAACCAATCCGCCCAAAACCACCGCAGTTGGTTTGGAATTGCACCATCCCAGTAATAAACTAATAACCGGCGGAAATATGGTTCAAAGGTAGCGTAGTTTTCACTCGAACCTTAAGTTCGCACTTTGGTTGGTTTGTTTCAGGTGTGGGGAATATAGCGTAAGACTACGAGGTAGACTTTTCAATTCAAGCAACCCCTCAGCCCCCGCATGCTTGCTCTGAGGCCTCCGCTGCCTAACACCTTCTTCGTGATCATAGCCCCAAATTTTTCTTCATGGTCTTGGCCGTACCATGTTTTAAACGTTCAACATCTCTTCTCACTCAAGTTTTTGAAGGCTGCGCAACAGCACACCCACCCGACGTTCACAATGAGCAGCGAGACTGACTGCAGGAGCACGCCATCCTCTAGCACCTTTCTCGACGCTAGTGCTCCTGTTCACCCTGCATGCGTCACCACACTGCCCCCAAGCTCCACTGCCTCGACAGCCGCCGCCAACGCCCAACCCGTGCACGAATTCACTGGCACTACGATCTTTGCACCGCCGCCCGCGCCTACCTACCGTTACGCGATCTCGCTCAAGCACGATAGGCTCCGCATCTGGCTCGAGGACTGCGACAGCAAGAAACAATGGTATCCTCGCACGTCCTGTAAAGTACGCTGAAGCATGATTCTGATGGCCGCTATTGGGACTCCGACACAGGAGCACATCTGAGCTAGGCATTGAAGCCTACGTTGACCCGACGAATGCCATCCCGGACGCTACTGCTTCCGATTACCTCGAGGTATGCTAGTTTGCTCGTTGGCAATTCTCTTGTACTATTGATTCTTGACCAAATATGTGGCGCTCTCCCTCTCCAGTGTTTTCGCGAGGTGATGAATAGTGCTGGAGAAGGAGTTGGCAAGATCGCGAGCACGTTCAGCCGCGTCAAGGGCGATACCTTTCGGTTGGAGATCGCTGTAGCCATCCAGGTGCTGCGTAAATCCCGCGTGATGTCGTACGCGTTCGTCTTGGAACCGATATCGGTGGAACGTATTGACGTGCTAGAGTCCAGAATGAGGGACATGCAAGGCGAAATGGATAAACTGCGCCTGGAAGGTGATACGAAATCAGCTACGCTTCAGACGGAAATCCGAAATGTCAAGGCTGAAGTGAAGAAGCTGTACCAAGAGTCGGAAGCGCGTGCAATTTTGCTGACCAAGATGCTGGGGGACGCGCAAGCGCAGCTCAAGGAACAGGAAACTGTTGTGTTTGCCCAGTCGGTGGGGACCAGTCGAGTGGGTGACATCATCCGCTGGAACAGTAGCAGCCCCACTAGTGTGTTTGGAGATGATGGCTCGATTCGGATGCCGCTTCCGGGACTGTACCAGATTCTGACCGTTGTCAATCATCAAGCGAACCGTCCAGCGGAAGCCATTCAACTGATGAAGGGCTCTGCGTGTATTCAAGTCGCATGCTCTGGCTACGCGCAGGGGAACTTGTGCTCTACTAGCCTGATGTGCGTTACGCGGATCGACAAGAACGATCAACTTACGGTGAAGTGCCCGACCGAAGTCGTTTCCAGCAGCGCAATTACACTCATTCGCCTCGGGAGATGATGGTTTTGTTTGAGCTCCTTTGCGCGGAAATGGGACGCACAGCAGACATTTGCTACTCGGCTGGAGGCTCAGCATAAATAAATAGGAATGTTTGAAGCGAGCGACTGGTGCAGCACAGGTGTAGCGCGCCTAAGTTGCAACGGAACACGTTAGAAATTTATGTATGGATTTCAGAGTTATTATTTTCTATGGTTTTATGGTTGACAATCAAGTGTACTTAAGTTTTTTTTATTAGGCCGTGTTCGACTTGCATCCAATCCAGTTGTTTTAGGCCAAATGCAGCCGGATTTGCTTCATCCAGCTCGTTTGCGACCTGAAACACCCAAAAAGCGATCCAGCTCGATAAGCTCAAAAGAGCTGGATTTGAAATTCAGGTCTAGGCAAAATTATGAATCGGGCTGGATAAGCCTGCCTTTTCTACGTGCCTTCCAAACCAACAATTTGTCCGAAACCAGTCCTTTTTGAATCGAGCTCGAATGGGGTGTGCAAGTCGAACACGGCCTTAATAACGTAGAAGTATAATAGAAGTTCTGTTAAAAAAGAACTTCTACGAAACCATACAGATACGTTTAAGAAAATCAGAGCTTCACCGTGTAAAGCACGGCATTAGTACTTAGTTGATTAAGCGAAAAAATCCGATGGATGCCGCTTGAGTGGCAGATAGATTAGATACCACAGGTACGTATACTTGATTAGAGGGAATGCAAAATAATACTCTGTAAGTATACTTAAAAGTAGGTAATTTGGCGTAATCTCAGCCGGATGGGTCAACATACATACCAGCATAATTTCAATAGTTCGCAGGCTATTTGGTACAACAGGTAAGTTAACAGTAACGGACAGGAGCAATCAAAAAATATATTCAACAGGTATTAGATACGAGAATAATGGCCTTCGCCCATGGACTCTGGATAAAATGCAGAGAACTGTCAGTGCTCAAAGCAACCAATTTACAGCGGTATTGATTCATAGGTCGATTCGCAACACCAGACAGTATTTTTGATGGCGGCCACCGTTACTTTTGAGAGCTGTATCATGTGCACAACTAAACGAATCCAGGCACTAAAACAAAAATCTGCTGAGTGATTCCGATGAGTATTGATCCCAATCCACAGCTACATGCAGTGTCGGTCTCCTTTCTTCTTTGCACGAATATCCAGCAGCTCTTCGCGACTCCGCTCAACATTCGCATCCTAGTACATCGCAGCAGAAACAAGTTAGCTCAGCACAGCTTCCAGCACCCCCCCTCTCCATCTTCTCCTCGTACCTCCTTGACGATCGCGTATCCTCCGTACGCGCCGCTCTTCTTAACTCTGTACGTGATCTGCCCGCCCTTGTCCGTCCCTCCAGCATACGTCCCAAAAGCCGTCTGCTCGTCCATTCTTTTTTTCTTCTTCTTTTCCTTCTCTTCATCTTGATGCTTCTCGTCCTCCGGTGGGGCCTTGATAAAGTAAAATGGCGTGGACGACACCAAGTCCGAGCTGAAGGCTGAGCTCACGCTGGCCGACACGTCGCTCAGCACCATGCGCACGATGCGCGTCTCCTCCAGCAGCGACGTCGGGTGCTGGATCACGATGGCGTCGCCCACGCTCAGCTCCTGCAGGAACTTGGAGCCCACTTGGCCCATGAGCGTCGTGCCCGAGCTCAGCAGACGGCCGGAGCCGCGGGTCTTGACCAGCTCGAACGGCTTGGAACGAGAGGCTTCTTCATCGTCCTCCCGCTCCCTCTTCTTATTCTTCTTCTTCTCCTTCTTGTGCTTCTTCTTCGCGGGCTTGAGCGACAGCCCGCCCTTGAGCTGCAGCTTGCCCCCCACCGTCTTGCTGTATGACGACATGGCTACACCCCGAATATATCAACTGGTCCAATCAAATGCGCATGTGGATTGAGCCACCGTATTCATTATTTCTATTCATTCACCCCTCCTTACAAGATATTAATCTCCACACAACCCGACGGTTTCCAGGACGGATGTCATGCGTATCACCCACCCGACCATCCCCGCGTTCCCCGCCTCCAGGTCACTCATACCCGCCCAGTCAGTATCCGAATTTACCACGACCAACCATGGGCAAGAAGCAGGGCGGCGTGAACACCAAGGTGGAGGCGGCCAAGGCCAAGAAGGCCGTGGCCAAGGCGTCCAAGGACGCGGCGAAGGCTGCAGCTGACGCCGCCGCCGAGTCGGCCGAGTGGGTCAAGGGCGCGGACGCGCGCGGCGCCGCCCGCCGCCAGGAGGAGGAGCGCAAGCGCGCCGAGAAGGAGGCGCAGAAGGCCGAGAAGCAGAAGCTGCTGGCGCTGGAGGAGCACGCGCTGGACGAGAACAAGCGCGAGATCCGCAAGCAGAAGAAGGCGGTCAAGGACGTGGCCAAGCCCTGGGAGGAGGCGCTCAAGTCCGCGGCCAAGAAGAGCAACCGCGGCTCCAGGAAGCCGTCGCCCGGCAGCGGCAAGCTCACGCAGGCCGAGATGGCGGCGCTGAGAGAGGCCGAGGAGGCCCGCGCGGCCGCCAAGCCCGGCCGCAAGGCCATCAAGTTCGACAACAACTTCACGGCCAACAGGAACCGGAACCAGGACGAGGACGGCGAGGCGCGCAGTCTGGACGCGGCGCTGGACCTGCTCAGCGTGGGCGACGAGGAGCTGGAGAAGCACCCGGAGCGCAGGGCCAAGGCCGCGTACAAGGCCTTCGAGGAGGTCATGATGCCGCAGGTCAAGGAGGACTACCCGGGCCTCAAGCTCTCGCAGTACAAGCAGAAGCTCAGTGAGATGGTACGACGCGATCTCTGGTGGCCATGTGTGCTGCTGGAAAGGTTGGGTGCTGATTGGTTTTTAATTTTTGTTGTGGTTTTTTTAGTGGCGCCGCTCGCCGGACAACCCGCTGAACCAGGAGAGTCTGGCGTACAACGCCAAGAAGCAGTAGAGTGTGGTGCCTGACACGGAGGGGTTCGTGACAGACGCAAGGCACCTGAACTCTGACCGGTCGGGTTTTGTATTCGCTTGTGTGCTGGTGCATGCAAGCTCTTGTTAAACGCGCGGCTTGAGGTGGCAAGCTACGACGAGAAGAATAGACGTCTAGCTGCGCTCTGGCCTGACATAACCTGTTGAATTGCTTTTTGTGTACTATGATAACTAGAAGGGGTATCCGTCCGCCTTCAGAGGCATCTTAACTGCTGGTTTGCCGCCGTCGATGTTGAAGTCAGCTTCGCGGGCTGCATCAGTGAGCTGCTCCCACTGGATCAAATCTTGGAATTTCGCCAACTTTCGATGTGATTCGAAGCCCCTGCTTGGCTCCCCAGTAAGTTGAGTAGGAGTCGAGTTCTTGAACCGACGACACGCTCCGGTTCTAGAGGGACCTCGTGGTGAGTCGCCGCCGATGGACGTTGTCACACCCACGATGGTTGATCCATTAGCCGACGGACGACTGAGCCAGACGATCGCGAATCCCCAGGCGTGGCGGTGGCCGTCGTGGTGCTTGTGAGCGCGCGCCTTACCCTTAGGAAAGCACCAGGCATGCATGATGGCATATTTCCTGTCGTAGGAATGAGTGCGCGAGTACACCTGGGAGCCCCAAGGAGACCTCTTGCACTCACCATCGTCGTCACCGGACCACTCCAAACCACCACCAGCGGATGATGTCACCCACTCGACTGGTCCCCACCGACTGGGCAAACACAACAGTTTCCTGTTCCTAGAGCTGAGCTGAGCTTGCGCGTCCCCCAGCATCTTGGTCAGCACAATTGCACGCGCTTCCGCTTCTTCACTTCTGCCTTGACATTCCGTCTGGAGCGCAGCGGATTTCTTTTCACCTTCCAGACGCAGTGTATCCGTTTCGCCTTGCATGTCCCTCATTCTGGACTCTAGCACGTCAATACGTTCCACCGATATCAGTTCCAGGACTCGGTTGGAGGCTCAGCATAAATAATTCTTATCTTCATGTGAACCAATTTAGCAAAATTTAAATAGGTAGTTTTATCCTGGGAGTGCTGCCCAACCAGGATTAATTCGATGCACCTGATATGTGGCGCACATGAAGTAAAAGTATACTGAAATCAAGTAAAGTGATTTAATAATCTAAGCAATCGCATGGTTTCTTGAAATTCACGTAAAAGCAGAGGCTTTTTCGGTGGAGTGGCAAACTAGTTCAGTAGGATATTCGTTTCCAGAGCTTAAGAGTAAACGTTAAGTACGAAGGTGCCAGCTCTGAAATGTTTGGTATTTGCCGATAGCGTGCAACCCGGTTTTCTAGTTGCTATGCAAGTAGTTTGTATAGCAATATTTGATCTATCTACAAAAGCGCGGAGGATGTTTGGCGCGCAGGAGGGGAGGGGGGGGGGTCTGAGTGTCGGTCCGTTCGGTAGTTCTGCGGCGAGGTGAGTCCAGCTAGTTCGGCACCACAGCAGCGGAGTTTTTTACCGTGAGCACGGGGGGTTGACTGCTGCAGCGACCGAAAAAGCTGAACTGAGGACCGGGACACCGCTCGTAGGTGGTGGTCGTAGGAGCGCTCTGTAGTCCAGATCACTCATCATTTTCATCGCGTTTTCATACAACTTTTCTTAGGATTACTTGGAGAAATTAATTTTGTGGCAACGTTGGATTGCCTCAACAAACAACGGTGGCAAGTAAACGAATGGAATATGCTAGTGAGGAATCATTTAAAGCTGGTTTGACTTGAAACCTTTGTTGTTGTTTCTTACAGGTGCACAAGCGAACTGACTATAGGCGACTTCGTCAATTCTACAAATGCTATCCCTGATGCTAGTGTGGTGAATTACGTCGAGGTACGTAGGTTTGTACCATGTTTTGATCGTGCTATTAAGCTTGCCGCTAAATGTTGAAGTACCAGTTTTTCCATGAGTTGCTACGCAAGTAATTAGACAATGCAGACGATTGCCCCAGGAGAATTCGGCCCAGCAACGCTGAGGCGCTACGATTGGAGATCGCGATGAAGTTTCAGGTCTTAACGCAGCTGCGTGTCGCCACTTACTCGTTCGAACTGAAGCCAATTTCGATGGAGAGAATTGATATCTTGGAGGCAAGAGTGCGCGATCTACAGAACGAGTTACTGGTACTTCGTGAAGAGACCAACATCATCAAGGAAGTGATGAAAGCATGCGACGATGAAATTATGACAACTCAACAAACTGTGGTGGGTGAATTGCAAACCGTAGTATCGGAACTACAAGCAAAGGTCAAGGCGCTTGTCGCTGGCCCAAAGGTTATCCAGATGGAGGCAACATCAACTTTAAACGACATCATTCTCTGGAGAAAAGTGGGCGCCCATGTGGATGGTATTGATGGTATTGTCCGCAACTTGGAGTCTGGAATGTACCAAGTTGCACTCACACTACCGATCAATTCGAACCCTGCACAAATCCAACTAAGGAAGCGCACTCCAACAACAGCTTTCGTCGCCCTACAGACAGCTCCGTGTGGTGGCTACGGAACAGCGTCGGTTAACTGTGTTGTTAACGTCACGGAAGGAGACGAGTTCTCCGTGGTTTGCACAGCCAACAATATGGCTGGCTCGGGCTGCTTGACGTTGATTCAGCTGGGCAAATAGAACGAGCAGTTCTCGGGTTACTTACACCCAGGATTCTAGAGGTCGCACCACAGCTTGCTAAGAGAAAAATCTGCATTCTACATTTTCAACCTTTCATGAAATGTTGGATCTAAATCTCAGCCGACACAGAACTCAACAGAGTTGTGGGACACCTCAATGGGCGCACGAACAGTGACTTTGCGGGACGATATATACAATACGTGTCTACAACTGACACTGCTGGAGTGGAAAGGAAATGTACCAATTTTTGCTTTTTCTGGACAGGGATTTGTACGACATCGTCAGCTGACGGCGGTGTAGGGTACACGCGTTCTTCCTCGACGCCGCCGTCAGCTGACGATGTCTGCTCAAAATGATAGCAACGTTATCGTAGCAGTCATTCCTTAAGAAGATAACCCAGGTTCTTAGAAAGTGGGGTGGAAAAAACTACCATCAATGACGCAAAACTAGTTTTCACATGAGGTGTTGATTGGCAATGTTTCCGGACCAGAAAGGAGGTGAGACTCAGGTACCTTCTTATTAATATCCGCTTCGAAGAAGAACATGCGTCGTCACGGCATCAACGCTCGTCAGACATTTTGAAATTAGCATCCTTAATAAGACTCCGCGTTGTGAAATGTTTCCTGCTGCCAAACAGAGCGACCAACGTACAGCCTTCGTATTTGGCCCAATGCCACCCCCGTCAAGCACCCGGGGTGTACCGGCTCCTCCTGTATCTCCATTGGTCGATGCATCTGCCCAACAATTCGTCGAGGTCGAGGGTGGCACGACGTTTACGCTAGCTCCTGCAACAGCCCACCGATACTCACTATCACTGAGGAGCGGGAAACTTCGCGTTTGGCTTGAAAACTGCGACACCAAGAAGCAGTGGTGAGTGAGCGCACTTTGCGTGCGTGAAGTGTTGCAGTGACTGTAATTTAACTTGCTTTAATGATGCAGGTGCACGAGCGACTTGGCTCTCGAGAACTACGTGAACCCTTCCAACGTCATTCCTGACGCTGCCGCTTCAGACTACGTCGAGGCAAGCCTGCGCTCTAAACAACCGAAGTGACCAATATCCGGAGTATCTAACTTTAAATTTTTGTTTCTATGGCTCTGGTCTAGTTCTTCCGGACTTTACTTGAGAAAGAAGTAACAAGTGCCGACGAGTTTCCAAGAACCTTTAAACGGATTAAGGGCGACGTCTTTCGCCTGGAGATTACAATGAAGTTCCAAGTGCTCATGCGGTCTTGGGTGGCGACCTACCGTTCGACCTGGAGCCAATCACCGTGGAGCGGATTGATGTCCTGGAATCAAGAGTTCGAGATCTACACGAGGGCATGGAAACGCTGCGGGTCGAGGCTGAGGCCAAGCGAGAGGCTGCTGTGAAGGGATTGCAGGAAACAATCTCAGATCTACAAGAAGAGGTCAAGACACTGCGTGAGGCCGTGGATGGCTCTAGCCCCGAGATTTTCCAAGCCCAAGCCACCACAAATCCGGGGTCCATCATGCGCTGGGAAGTGGTGGGGCCGGCCGTAGAAGGCTTCAACATAGTCGATGGGGTCATTCGCGATCTGAACCCGGGCATGTATCAAGTGGTGGCGATTTTAAACTGCGTCTCGCATGGCCACCAGGCCACCAGACCCAACTGATGAAAGGGACTGATTGCATTCAAGAAGCGTACTGTGGCCACGACCAGGGACATATTGGCGCCACCACTCTGAATTGTTTTGTGCGCTTGACCAGCACGGATGAGCTTGCCGTCCAGTGCCCTGCTAACGTCTCCACTACGAGCTACCTGACATTGATTCGCCTTGGGAAGTGAGATGGAGATGCAACTTTGGATGTTGCAAAGTGTGAATAACGACTGCTACACATATACGCGTTTTGAACCTGCTCTTCATGTCTTTCTCTTTGATCTGGCCCTGTCATTCTTACCCTGGATCAGATTCCTACCTGCTTTTTATAGCGATCCCCACCACTATTAGCTTTTGGGATGTCGGTCTCCCACAAGTCAATTGACGCCGACACGAGATCACTACGAGCTAGACAGCCCAGCCGATCACTATGTCGACGATACCTTTCGGACTGGCTGTAAGCATGGTCAAGTCCACCCTGCAAACACCGGGGAAGTTCGAGGGCACGACGGTCTTCTCTGCTCCGTCGACACATATTTATCGCTACGCGCTCTATTTCGACAACGGAAAACTTCGAATCACGCTCGAAGACAGCGACAGCAAGAAGCAGTGGTAAGAGTGTTTCAAGTACAATGCATTTATACTCCAAGCTCGTGTTTCCTTCTTTTTAACTCGTTGTTTCTTAGGTGTACAAAAGAGCTGGACCTCGAGGATTTCGTCGATGCTTCGAACTCCATCCTAGACGCCCGTCCGACCGACTACGTAGAGGTATATCCACTTGTCGTGACTACAAAAACAACTTCGTGGACTTACATTTGCTACAATGTTGAACAGTGTTTCCATGAGCTACTCTCATCGTCTCTGGAAGGTGTGAAAACCCCTCCGCGAGCTCTTCGCAAAGTAAAAAATGATCACTTGCTGCTCGAGTTTTACGTGAAGGTGAAGGCGTTGTTGAAGTCGCGTGTAGTGACGTACACCTTCACCCTAGAGCCGGTATCAGTGGAGCGAATCGACGTTCTGGAGGCGAAGCTTAGCGATTTACAGCAAGAAGTCAAGCTACTTCGAGCAGAGGCTGCAGGGAGAAGCTCCGCTCAAGAGATGCAAAAAATGATTTCAGATTTGCGAGCGGAGGTGAAGGCGCTGCGTGGATCCGTAAACGCTCCAGGAGCCTTTCTTGCGCGCGCAACGAGTCAGCGGGGGGCTGAAGGACTGCTTCTCTGGCGCTGCGAAGATCTCAAAGTGGTCGACGGAGCTGTGCACGACCTGAATCCAGGCATTTATCAAGTGAACATCACGGTGCATTTAACGGATGGCAGTGGCAACATGCAGCTGAACAAAGGTACACGCATTGTTTGCTGCACCGATGGTTTTCTGCAGGTTTCTTTGTTCAGTATTATCCACGTACACAAGGGTGACCAAATTTCAGTTCACGTCAATGGCAACGTCTCGAGTGGCTACATGACTCTCGCTCTCCTCGCGAAGTTGACTGTCTAGATTAGCTGATGCTGGTCAGCTTCAGGCGATAGAGGCAGATATTCACCCAAGATGCAGCGATGGTTCCCTCGGTTGTGACAACACGGTCCGATTATAATATGCCATTATGGCTGCCAATCTACGTGTAGCTAACGATTCGATGACTATTAGAATAGGCGCTATTCGCGAAAATGCTTTGTCCGCTGGTCTTACCCAGTTTATCGCCAACGTCTTGACTCCTCACTCTGGCTTATCTGTATTTGCTCAAATCCACCAGAACCGAGTACTTCGAAACCATCTTTGCCGTCTGGGAATGTTTAGGCCCGTTCATCGGTCAATGTCACTACAGAATTACCAGCTTTCAGCTCAAGACCACATTAATCAAGATGTCCAGCTTTGTTCTATTCGCTCTCATCGAAGGGTGGCAAGCTCCGCATCTGGCTCGAGAACTGCGAGAGCAAGAAGCAGTGGTAAGCTGGGTCTATGCTGCAAATATTATAACCGCGGGTGACCTGATCAATCTCTACTGACCGCAGGTGCACGAACGACGTGGTCTTTGTCGACTATGCCAACTACACTCCAGACGTGGGCGCAGTCGGCTACATCGAGTACGCTCGTACTTCTACATCAGATTACATTGGAATGTCATGATTGATCCACGTACCCTTCTGCCTGCAGTGCTTCCGTGAGTTACTTGATCGAGCTATCGAAGACACAGGCGAGCTTCCAACGTCCCTGCAGAGCACAAAGGAGAATCATTTGCGACTGGAATTCGTGGTCAAAATTCAAGCCCTCGCGTCTTCATGCACGCATTCAACTTGGAGCCGATTTCGGTCGAGCGGGTGGACATTCTCGAGGCCAAGCTGCGCGACCTACAGGACGAGGTGAAAGGTCTCCGAAGTGGCGCTGCTGTTAACACGGTAGTGGCAGAGCTTCAAGAGGCGGTGAAGAAGCTTCAACGTGACCTGTCGGAACGCGAAGTGGTCACTTCAAACTGAGCTAAACACTGCATCGGCAGAACTGAGCGACCTCCGGCAACATTAGTCACAGAGCCGCGAAAAATTGATTTCGGGGTTGCGGAACGACATTAAGGTTCTCGACACAGCTGCAGCGCGTCATAAAACCATTCGGCTGGAGGCAACTTCCAAGCAAAACGACAAACTGGTCTGGTCAAAGCTGGAAAACTATTCAAAAGGAGATGATGGCATCATCAGGAATCTGGAGCCAGGGCTATACCAAGTAGCAGCTCGGGTTAGCCACTCGACCAACAACACTAACTGTCTTGTCAGCCTGAAGAAGGGAATTTCGACTGTCGTTTATGAGAACTGCGCGTCTGATATGACTGAGCTGGTGTGAGCTGTGCAAATGGATAAAGCCGACGAACTAGCAGTTTTGTGCGGCGCTGACTTGAAAGGCACCAGCTACCTGACGCTGACACGTCTGCAACAGTTGCGAAGTTAGCTCATCACACGAGAAATCTTCAAACAAATATGCATGTAAGTACTCGAGCGATTTCCCGGTCTAAGCAGTAGCTGACTCTACCAAGTTAGCATAAATGCCGTTCAGTTGCAGCAGTTCCTGGTGCGTGCCCTGCTCCGCGATCTTGCCACCGCTCACCACGCAGATCTTGTCCGCGCGACGAATCGTTGACAACCGATGAGCAATGACGATCGTAGTCCGCCGCTTCAGCGCCACCACCTTGTCCAGAGCCTCCTGCACCACCTTCTCGCTCTCCGAGTCCAAAGCGCTCGTGGCCTCGTCCAGCAGCAGAATGTTGGGGTTCTTCAGGATCGCACACGCGGTGGCGATGTGCTGCTTCTGGCCGCCAGACAACTGCTCGCCCTTCATGCCCACCTGCGTTTCGTAGCCGTCCGGGAACTGCGTGATGAAGTCGTGCGCGTTCGCCATCTTCGCGGCCTCCTCGATCTCCTGCTGACTCGGCTGCTCTGCCAGACCATACCCGATGTTCTCGGCGATGGTGCCGATGAAGAGCGTGGGCTCCTGACCCACCAGGCCGATCTGGCTGCGCAGCCAGTTGAGGTTCAGGTCCTTGATGTTGTGGCCGTCCAGCAGCACGTCGCCCACCACGGGGTCGTAGAACCGCTCGATGAGCGAGATGATAGTGCTCTTGCCTCCACCGCTCGGGCCGCAGAACGCCACAGTCTGACCAGGTTCAATGGTGAGGGTGTAGTTCTTGAGCACGTTGATCTCCGGACGGGTGGGGTATCGGAACGAGATGTCCTTGAACTCGAGACGGCCCTCAACCTTGGCTAGACTGCGTCCATTGGAGCTGAAGGAATCGATGGGGGCGACGCGGTCGCGGATAGCATAAATCGTCGAGCCAGCCCTGAACGCCTTGGGTCCGTCCGTCAAGAATCTGGAGGCAAAACTGACAGTCTGGATCGACATCGTGATAGCCATCAACGTCCGCATCATCTCGGCGAAACCAACAGTGCCGTCATTCACCTTCTTGGCACCAAACCAAAACACCAGCGAATACGTCGCCATCATGATGAAAGAGCTGAATCCCAGCGACAAGCCGTTCACCTGCGCTTCCTTCCTGCCCTTGCGAAGTGGTTCTTGAAGCAGAGTGTCGAAAGGGAAGCTGATAATGCATCCCAAATCGCCCCAAATGTCCCAAATAATGAATTGTCTCTGTAACATTTAGGTACATATTTGGGGCCAAGTATATGACTGCTTTCTCGTAAAACTATCCCAAATATGTACCAAAACGGAGTTGACTGATTATGGTCTATAGTCTATGGGCGAGGGCGAGTGGACGCGAGCGCGAGCCTCACTCGATCGATGCATTCACTAATCGCCAACACCCGCCGATTAGGCGGGGGCGTGTCTGTGCGAGCGAGCGAACGCGAGCGCTGCAACCCGATATATTTTTTTCTAGACACCGCGCCTGGCCGAGACGAGGAACTTAGCGTAAGGGACAAGGGGGTGGGGCAGGCCGCCCCCCGAGCGAAGCGAGAGAGGGGCGCCCCCCCCCCCCCCCCCCCGCAGACCGTCGCTAAGTCCGCAGACGAGAGCCAACGCGCGAGTGTCCGCCCTGTGCTGCTCTTTCATACTGAAGGTTATTCTGTCCTAAATATGTACCAAAACGCTCCCATGGTCTTAAATCATTTGGGAAAAACTTTGGGATTTGGGGCGTTTTCGGGGTGCATTATCCAAAGTATTAGCAGACTTCTTCTCGATACCCAAAGCGGCAACCGTGCGAATATTGGCGAGAACTTCTGACGCGTGGGCCCCGGGGATAGCCAAGTCGTCAGAAATTAAACCGGCGCCATCCATCTCCTTCATACGCGCTACTTCACCGAAAATCAGCAAGGGGATCAGCGCCAGCAAGATCAACGATAGCAGCCAACTCCCGAACCCGAAGGAAATCACAAGGGCAGCGATCAAAGTGAAGACAGCTTGGGTAAACGCAGCTTGAGACTCTCCAGACATCAGGGAAACCTTGGTGGCATTCGTGGCCAGAACCTCTGTCAACGCACCGGTGGCGTTCTCCTTCTCGTCGAAGAATCCAACGTTCTGTCGGCACAAGCCCCTGAAATTGGCAGTGCGCAAGTGTGTGGTGATCTTCTCCTCCATGTACTTGAAGCAGTACATTTGCAGGTACGTGAAGATCGCGATCACTGCGGCGCCAACGAGGTACAGGATGCCGTACAGCTCGACGTCATTGTACAGGGTTGTAAGGTGAGATCTGTCCCCTACGCTCTCGTAGCGCGCGTACTGTTCAGTCATAGACGTGATCATACCCGTGATCAATAGAGCTGAAGCTGGCACCGCAATCCCTCCGACGCATGATCCGATCAGACCAAAGAAAAAGTGGTTGAGCGCAAGTCCGTTGAGCTTCAGTAAATCCAAGAGGTTGAACGGCTTCTTGTCCAAGAAGTTCATCTCCACCGCACTCACTGAAATGTCCGTCTTCGCCGATACTCGCTCAATGTCCGTGTCATCTTCGTACTCTCGAGTTCGTTCTCCGCCTCGCGCTTCTTGGCCTCCTGCTGCTCCTCCTGCGATCGCAACTCCTGGATGCGGTACATGTTCTGGTAGATACCGCGCTCGATCTTCAACAGCTCGTCGTGCGTGCCGCTCTCCACAATGTGGCCCTCGTTCAGCACCACGATCTTGTCGGCGTGGCGGATGGTGCTCAAACGGTGGGCAATTACGAGAGTCGTCATGTTGGTCGTGGCCATCAGGTTGTTCAGCGCAGCCTGCACGATCTTCTCGCTCTCGTTGTCCAGCGCACTCGTGGCCTCGTCCAGCACCAAAATGTTCGGCTTGCGCACGATGGCACGCGCGATGGCGACTCGCTGCTTCTGGCCGCCAGACAGAGACACGCCCTTCTCGCCCACCAGCGTGTCGTACTGCTCCGGCAACGACATGATGAAGTTGTGCGCGTTCGACAGCTTGCACGCCTCGATGGCCTCTTCACGGGTCACGTTGTCGCCGCCCATGGCGATGTTCTCGAAGATGGTGGTGGCGAACAGCACCGGCTCCTGCGACACCATGCCGATCTGCGAGCGCAGCCACTTGACGTTCAGCGTCTTGACATCGCGGCCATCGAGGTAGATGGTGCCGCTGGTGGGGTCGTAGAAGCGCTCGATCAGGGCAATCAGCGTACTCTTGCCACCGCCACTGGCGCCAGCGAAAGCCACCGTCTGACCAGGCTCGATGGTGACGTTGTAGTCACGCAGGATCTGAGCGTCCGGGCGGCTTGGGTACGTGAAGTTGGCGTTGACCGCTTCGATCTTGCCTTCGCACGTGTCAGGAATGATTCCCTCATCTTCCTTCTCCGCATCGATAGCGCTCGCAGTGTCCAGGATTGCGAACAGTTCCTCAGCAGCGCCAGCGGCCTTAGCCACAGCAGAAACACTCGGGGAAACCTGGCCAAGAGAACCTGTTCCCATCATGACACCAAAGAAGGCAGCGAAAACGTCCCCCGGTGTTGATTCTTCTTTTGAAGCCTTCCAGCCGCCGTACCAGAGTCCAACCGAGTACATGATCCACATGCTGGCCAGGAACAGCGCGTACACCACTGTCGCCACCTTGTTCAGCTTGATGTTCTTCGTCTCCGCCTTGTGAATTTTGCTCTCGAACTTCTCAATTGCTTTCTGCTCTCCATTCAACGAAGCCACAGTACGGATAGAGCCCAACGTCTCCTCCGCCACCGATCCAGCCTCAGCATACACTTTCTGTGCAAAGTCCGACATGATGGTGAACGTCTTGATCATCCAGCTGAGCGAAAGGGCCATGGCAGGCATCACACACGCCATCACCAACGTGATATCCCAGCCACGCGCGAACCCAATGGCGAAACCCACGACAAACTGAATCGAGTATCGAAACGAGTCGCCGAGCTTGTGTCCATGCCGTCCTTGATCCTCACCGTGTCGCCCGTCAGCCGACTCGACAACTGCAATGCGTCGTGCGCGTCGTACCAGCTGATGTCCATGTACAGCGTGTGCTTGAGCGCCTCGCCCCTCAACGCCTTCATCTGACGCTCGGCACTGTAGTAGAACGCCACCTACGAGACGTAGTCTGTGATGAACAGGAAGATGGCGATGTACAGATAGTCGAGAGCCGCGCTGTTGACTGTGTCCATATCCACGGGCGTGGTGGTGAAGCCCGTCAGCACATTGCCGAAGACAATGGCCATGAGCGGGAATAAGGCACCATTGGCTCCAGTCGTGACGATACCGATCGCGAGTAGAACTTTGTCGAACGTCGTGGCGTAGCGATACAAGTTGGTGAAGTTGAAGGAGGTTGGGCCATCATGTATCATTTCATGACGAAGGTCCGGTTCCTTGGCAGAGTCGCTGCTCGTGCCGTGGTTCGACGTGTCCAGCTGCTTGGGCTCTCCACTCACATCGACAGCAACAGCGCGGGGTGTTTCAACGCGCTGGTAGGCGGCTGCATCTGCAGGCACCAGCTCCGGCTTGCTCAGAATGACGGTCACCACGCGACTAAACTGGGTCTCGCTTGTGGGGGTCTTGGCAAACCTCGAAATGCCGCTCGATGAAAAATGCTGCATCGGGTAGTACTGACTGAATACGATACTCTTACAAACACTACGACGCATCGCATAATCGCCAGCCGTCGAATAATCAGCGTTTCGTCTATGATCAGCGTATGCAATCATTTCGCTGGTGGGTCGCAACCGCTTGGCAATCAAATGGTAAATCACTGACAGTGAGAAACTGCGAGGGATCACCTCATTGTAACGTTTGTGCAGACAGTGTGCTGATGGCGAGTTGTGCTCTGAAGGTCGCTGATGCTGTCCGCTTAGTCCATGCCTGGGAACTTGACGCACGTGTGGAACTCGCCGCACTCCCCCATGAGATCCACGCGCTTCGCATCCTCAACAGCAGCCTTGTTACACTTCTGGACCAGTTCCCAGTCGTACTCCTGGCCCACCTGCCAGTCCGCGCCAATGCCTTTGGAAGCGAGTTGGTCCTTGTCGATACTCGACAGGTAAATCTTGGCGCCCGTCTTGGAGCAGAGCCGCTCCAGCGATGGCAACAGCTCCGACTCGTAATCCTTCTTCCACACGGGGAAGCGCAGTTTGTAGTCTTGGCTGAACGTCTGCTCGCGCCAAGCCCTGATATCGTCCAGGTGGAGATCGCCAAATACAAGGGACGATACCATCGAAACCGCTCCGTTCTGCTCGTGGCTCTTGCTTGACTTCTTCGTTCGCTTCATGTGCTCCGGAATTTCGCGGAGTGCGCTCCTCAGTGCAGCCGTGTACTCATCTCCCAGTCCCACAGCAACGAGGCACAAAGGAAGCTCCAGAGCTTCGGCCTGCGCGGCGATAGTCTGGGAGGAGATGTCTTGGATAGGGACGACATTTGTCTTCGGGTCGATGGTTGTGAGCAGCACAACGCGAGGCATAGCCTTCTGTTCAGCAGCATACGACTCATACAAAGCACCCAGCGCCAAGAACGAGTCCTTCCCGCCGCTCCAGAACATGACCACGAGATCGTTCTGCGCATCAGAGCCAGCATCAGCACCTTCGGGCCAGAGCATTTGGCCGCCCGGGGATCCCTTCGCGAAACCGCGTGAGCGACGACGCGGCTGTAAGAAGACGTTGCCAGCCAGCGTGTTCTTGCGCCGAGACGGGTCCTTGACGTTCGCATGGCCGTAGGGGCAATGACGACACCCATTGCCACAACAAACCTGCCGCTCCTTCAAGATGTACGCCGTCATAACGGAGTAGCCCGTGGCTGGGTCCGTGTACATGGCCTGCTTGTTGGCGCACGCAGCCCGATGCAGCTCCTCGATCTCCAGCATCTCCGCCGACTTGTTCTTCTCAGCCTTTGAACCACTCGCAACCAGCGACGTGTCGAAGAGTTTGTACGGGAACGTCGAGTCCTTCATCCAGCTGCTCTCCGACTCATGCAGCGCGTGCACGAGCCACTCCAGCGCCACCAGAAGCCGCCGCGTCGGACGGGTGAACATGGACGTGCCGTCCACAATAAACACCTTCGGCTGCGCTTCACCCTTCAGCAACGACGTCCACCAGTCCCCGACCCGTCCTTCCAGCAGCTCCGTCTCCGTCTTGTCGAGGCTCAGTCCGCACAGTGCCACGACCACCACATCCACCTCTTCCCCATCCTCCAGGTCCTCCACCACGTGTCCACCTGCAGCCTCCACGATCTCCCGCATCCAGCCTTTCGTGCCGAGGAACAGCGGCTCGAGCCACTCCACCATCAGCACCCTCGGCTTGCTACCTATCCTCTCTACAAACACTTTAGCCTGCTCCTTCAACTGCTGCAGTCTGCTGTAGTGCTGCTGGGCCATGGCTTCCCCCACCTCCGCCACGCCCAGCGCCTCCCCGAGCTGCTGGAACTGCTTCACTAGCGCGTCCTCGAGGCTCGTGGGGTTGCACGTCACGATCTGCGTCAACTGGCCGCCCGCTTGCAGCTCACACGCCTCAGCAGCTGCGTCACTGGCAGCTCCATTATGGGCCTGCACCAGTTGCTGCAGCTGGCCGTCGTTGCCGCTGTCTACAGCCGCGCGGACGCTGGCCAGGTCGATGGAGCAGACCTTGCACGTGCTCTGCGTGAGGATCACGTCGGGCCGCAGCGCCGCCAGCCGCGCGGCGTCCAGGTGGTAGAGCGACGACGCGCTGGCCAGCGCCTCGCGCACCTGGCTGTGCGTGTCCGCGGAGTTCGTGAAGGCCGTGCGCGCGGCCGTGAGCACCGGAAGCTGCTGCACCGAGGCGTCCGTGGGGAAGTCGCACTCGTGCGAGCGCCCCACGAGCTGCGGCACGGCAGCGGAGGACGGTAAAGAGGAGGAGGAGGAGGACTGGCACGCGGACAGCAAGGCGCAGACGTTCTCGGTTGCGGACGGCAGCAGCGACACCACGCGCAGAGCGGGGCGGCGAGCGGGCATGGTGGCGGTTGGCTGGGCAGCTGGTGAATGGGTCTTTTAATCCGTTGGGTGGGTTTTTGGGGGATGTGGGTCTTAAAAGGTAAGTCTTTATTCAGGGTGGAAGGTTAGATAGCCCATTTTGAGGTGGATTTAATAGGTAGAACTTGGATAAAACCCGTTATGGGTGGACGACTCTTCAAGATCGTCATTGTGAGGTGGTGCTGCAAGATCGTTTCGGTGGTGCAGGCACCGATGGCGGTGCTGTGCTGAACGGTGCAAGTTGCGTCTGTAGCTCGGTAGCGGCACGACAACTCGACCATTTCAAATGAAGTCAAAACGGCAAGGCTGCACTGCGCCAGAGTTGAAAAGGACTTGTGAGGTCAGAAAGACTGCAGACTGGGCTGTACGACATTTTACAGGCGCGAATCGTGCCGCACAATTGACACGTGGAATGAGCTGCCGCGGTCTCATTCGGCTCGTTGGCCTGGAATGAATGCCGCGTGCATTCGCCACGGCCAACGAACTTCGCTGCGATTGCACAGCAGTCAACACAGCCGGCACCGCTGCTGTCGGTCGGAATGTGTGCGGTTGCCCCTGTTAGACCTGATGGCGGGCTGGCTAACTTGCTTTCACTATGCATCCAACATGATTACACTCGCGATTCTGGCCATTTGATGACGCCCAAAGCCTCCATGATCGTATTCCCCATCCTATACGATCTGGTTGACCTTCATATTACTCCTTAAAATACCTTTGTCAATCGATATCCTTGTCCAAATCGTAATTGATGGTTGTCCGGTCGTCAGATGGGCTCACTGGTTATGTCGGCGAAAGTTGACACCAGCACTGTACTCGCCGCCTACATGCCGGCCATCCAGGCAGCATGCCCGCTGTGTGTCCGCACCACAAAGCAGCAACCATGTTGGTTGCACCGCTCCGCACAAAATGATCGCGGGCCAGCAGCGCAAGACGATCGCCATGAGCCCAACCAGCCAACACCTCTCTGAGCCGATATTTGGTGTGGTTTACGCGCCGCTCTTGTCCGCTTTGATTGCCCTTTGCGCCTGTCCATGTCGGTCATCTTACCTCGCTCCAGTCGCGCCGCCGTACCCCATCTCACGAGCGGCTCCGGTGCATCAGCACTGGATCACTGCACACCACAGCAACAGCCACAGCCCACCACTGCTCTGCCATCAACCAACTCCACACCAGCATCACCTCTCGCAGTCTTTCCCTTTGAATCTCGCCAGCCTCCCAGCCCTCATACGCTCGACTTCATTCAAGATCGCGGGTCGGCGCATAGCCAAGCCACCACCCAAGAATGATGGTCTCGCCGCAACCAGTGCAACTTGTGCTCACTTATCAATTCGCCGAAGTGCAACAAGGCGCAAGATACACACAACACAACCGAATCCCGTCCAGCGCGTGCCATGCCGAGCCTGGACAAGTCCGAGCTGGACGGAGGCGACGCCGCCGCGTATCTGCGCGCCGAGACGCCGCGCGGTGGCTCCGTGGCCGTGGGCGTGGACGCGTCCAAGCCCCTGAAGACCAGCAGCGAGTCCGGCAGCAACTCCGACTCCAAGAAGGAGCCGAGTCTGCGCAAGCAGATCGTGCACGGCGGGCCCACGTCCTTCAAGTTCACGCACCTGTACCGCTTCGCCACGCCGCTGGACAAGCTGCTGCTGGTCGTGGGCGTCCTCACGGCCGGCGCGAACGGCGCGCTGTTCCCGCTCATGGCCATCGTCTTCGGCGACGTACTCTCGGGCTTCACGAGCATCCCCGTGGACATGGACACGGTCAATACGGCCGCGTTGGACTTCTTCTTCATCGCTGTAGCCATGTTCTTCACGGACTACATCTCGTACGTCACGTTCTACTACAGCGCCGAGAGGCAGATGAAGGCGCTGCGCAGTGAAGCGCTCAAGCACATGCTCTACCTCGACATCAGCTGGTACGACGAGAACGACGCGCTGCAGTTGTCCAGTCGGTTGACGGGCGACACGGTCAAGATCAAGGACGGCATGGGCCAGAAGCTCGGCGACTCGTTCCGGTTCACGGTGCAGTTTATTGTGGGCTTTGTCATTGGCTTCGTCCGTGGCTGGGATATCACGCTGGTCATGGCCTGTGTGATGCCGTTCATGACGATCTCGTTGGGTTGGCTCATCAAGACGCTGCGCATCAAGTCCGACTGGGCCCAGAAGGTGTACGCTGAAGCTGGATCGGTGGCCGAGGAGACGCTGGGGTCCATCCGTACTGTTGCGTCGCTGAATGGAGAGCAGAAGGCGATTCAGAAGTTTGAGAAGAAGGTGTTCGAGGCGGAGAAGGAGAACATCGCGCTGCACAAGATGACGTCGGTGGTGTTTTCAATGTTCCTCGGAAGTGTGTGGATCATGTATTCCATTGGTCTCTGGTACGGTGGGTGGAAGGCCTCCAAGGGTAACACCACGCCAGGAGATGTGTTCGCGGCGTTCTTTGGCGTCATGATGGGTACCGGTTCCCTCGCGCAAATTTCGCCGAATGTGACTGCCGTTTCCAAGGCTGCAGGCGCTGCCGAGGAACTGTTCGCAATCCTGGACACTGCGAGCGCTATCGATGCGGAGAGGGAAGATGAGGGAATCATTCCTGACACGTGCGAAGGCAAGATCGAAGCGGTCAACGTCAACTTCACGTACCCGAGTCGTCCTGACGCTCAGATCCTGCGTGACTACAATGTCACCATCGAGCCTGGTCAGACGGTGGCTTTCGCTGGCGCCAGTGGCGGTGGCAAGAGTACGCTGATTGCCCTGATCGAGCGCTTCTACGACCCCACCAGCGGCACCATCTACCTCGATGGCCGCGATGTCAAGACGCTGAACGTCAAGTGGCTGCGCTCGCAGATCGGCATGGTGTCGCAGGAGCCGGTGCTGTTCGCCACCACCATCTTCGAGAACATCGCCATGGGCGGCGACAACGTGACCCGTGAAGAGGCCATCGAGGCGTGCAAGCTGTCGAACGCGCACAACTTCATCATGTCGTTGCCGGAGCAGTACGACACGCTGGTGGGCGAGAAGGGCGTGTCTCTGTCTGGCGGCCAGAAGCAGCGAGTCGCCATCGCGCGTGCCATCGTGCGCAAGCCGAACATTTTGGTGCTGGACGAGGCCACGAGTGCGCTGGACAACGAGAGCGAGAAGATCGTGCAGGCTGCGCTGAACAACCTGATGGCTACGACCAACATGACGACTCTCGTAATTGCCCACCGTTTGAGCACCATCCGCCACGCCGACAAGATCGTGGTGCTGAACGAGGGCCACATTGTGGAGAGCGGCACGCACGACGAGTTGCTGAAGATCGAGCACGGCATCTACCAGAACATGTACCTCATCCAGGAGTTGCGATCGCAGGAGGAGCAGCAGGAGGCCGAGAAGCGCGAGACGGAAAGTGCACAGTCGAGCACGAAGATGACACGGACATTGAGCGGAGTATCGGCGAAGACAGACATTTCAGTGAGCGCAGTGGAAAAGAACTTCCTGGACAAGAAGCCGTTTAGTCTTATGGATATTGCGCGCATGTGCAAGCCTGAGATCAACTATTTCATTATCGGCCTTATCGGAGCGTGCGTGGGAGGTATCGCTATGCCGGCTTCGGCACTTTTGATCACGGGTATGATCACCTCCATGACTGAGAAGTACGGGCTATATCAGAGCACCGGTGACAAGGCCTACCTGGGTGAACTGTATGATAAGGTGGAGCTGTACGGCATCCTGTACCTCGTTGGGGCTGCAGTGATTGCGACTTTCATGTACATGCAGACCTATTGTTTCAAGTTTATCGAGGAAAAGACAACAACTCGCCTGCGCAACACCAACTTTGAGGGCCTCTGTCGTCAGAATGTTGGATTCTTCGACGAGAAGGATAACGCTACGGGTGCGTTGACTGCTGACCTCGCCACGAACGCAACCAAGGTCGCCCTGTTGTCTGGGGATTCGCAAGCACGCGTGTTCCAAGCAATCTTCACTTTGGTTGCGGCTCTCGTAATTTCCTTTGGATTCGGCAGTTGGTTGCTGTCACTGATCATGCTGGCCATCATGCCTTTCTTGCTGTTTGGTCACGTGGCGCGCATGAAGCAAATGCAGGGAGGTGGCTTGATTTCTGACGACCTGGCCGTTCCTGGAGCTCACGCATCGGAAGTGCTTAGCAACATTCGCACTGTTGCCTCGCTGGGTATTGAGAAGAGGTCTGCCGAAGTTTTCGACAAGCTACTGGAAGAACCCCTTCAGAAGGGTAGCAAGGAAGCCCAGATCAACGGTGTATCACTGGGTTTCAGCTCTTTCATCATGATGGCGACCTATGCTTTCATCTTTTGGTTTGGCGCCAAGAAGGTGAACGACGGAACGATTGGCTTTACGGAAATGATGCGAACGCTGATGACCATCATGATGTCGATCCAGATTGTCAGCAGCGCCTCGACCTTCTTGGGCGATGCGCCCAAGGCGTTCAAGGCTGGCTCGACAATCTTCGCTATCCGTGACCGTGTTGCCCCCATCGATTCTTTCAGCTCCGATGGATTCCGTCCGACCAAGGTTGAGGGCCGTCTCGAGTTCAAGAACATCTCGTTCCGATACCCCACCCGTCCGGAGATCAACGTGCTCAAGAACTACAACCTCACTATTGAACCTGGTCAGACTGTGGCGTTCTGCGGCCCGAGCGGTGGAGGCAAGAGCACTATCATCTCGCTCATCGAGCGGTTCTACGACCCCGTGGTAGGCGACGTGCTGCTGGACGGCCACAACATCAAGGACCTGAACCTCAACTGGCTGCGCAGTCAGATCGGTCTGGTGGGCCAGGAGCCCACGCTCTTCATCGGCACCATCGCCGAGAACATCGGGTATGGTCTGGCTGAGCAGCCGAGTCAGCAGGAGATCGAGGAGGCCGCGAAGATGGCGAACGCGCACGACTTCATCACGCAGTTCCCGGACGGCTACGAGACGCAGGTGGGCATGAAGGGCGAGCAGTTGTCTGGCGGCCAGAAGCAGCGCATCGCCATCGCGCGTGCGATCCTGAAGAACCCCAACATTCTGCTGCTCGACGAGGCCACGAGCGCTTTGGACTCGGAGAGCGAGAAGGTGGTGCAGGAGGCTCTGGACAAGGTGGTGGCGCTGAAGCGGCGGACGACGATCGTCATTGCCCACCGGTTGTCCACGATTCGTCGCGCCGACAAGATCTGCGTGGTGAATGGAGGCAAGATCGCGGAGCAGGGCACGCACCAGGAGCTGCTGCAATTGAACGGCATCTACGCTGGTCTGGTTGATTCGGCATCCATGTAGAGGCGTACTAAATATCAATACATATTTGTTTGGGATTCTTTGGCCATGGTTTACTGCTGGCTCGTTCGAAGTGGGCTAGTTCGCCGAGCTCCACGCTAATGAGTGAACACCTCTACCTTCGTGAAGTGAAGTGGTACTTCGTCTACTGTATTTTAATAGAGAGGTCCGCCCAAACAACTTGCTTGAAAAGTGCTGTACATACATGTACTAAGTGTATACAGAGCGTTCCACACACTTGCCCTGCCGTCGCCCCCAGCGTGAATCATTAGCAACTCGGTCGCAATCGACTGGTTTCCCGATCGATCGCAATCAATTCCTGCAGAAAACCTGCTGCAGTGCAATTCTACATGCAGAGTCCCGCCAAGTCTATCTTATAGAACCGCACACATTCCATCGCTCGTACATGTACAAATAACGATCGCTCTGAGTGACGATCGCCACCGCTCACGTCGGTCGTGCTGTCGGTTCGCCACCATTGCTTCGCGCCTGCCGACTCGTGATTATTTTCCGGTTTGCTGACGCCAAAAGTTGCAGTTCGCCGCCTCACAATCGTCCAGGATAGAGACACTTCGGTGAAGGCAGTCACTCAAAACTCTCCTCCTAAAGTCTACTGTACATGTATTACATGTTTTCCTCCAGCACTTCCAAGCTAACCGGTATACAACCCCCTCAAGGTTGGCAACCTGCCTGCGAGCCCTTAGGAACGTTCCCCCTCTCGGCACAACAATCTTCTCGATTGCCACGAGCATAAACTCATCTCGAAGTTTATGAATCTCGTTCCTAAATCCGCTATCAACTTTAAGAGGTAGGATGTGCGATCAGTCAGTTCCGGTCTCTCTCTGTCACAGTCGTCCAGTTGCTGCGTCAAACCAACGCCCCGCACATCGTGCGTGTCGTTCATTTTGCAAGTCGCCGGCTCCTTGCGCCAAGAACCAAGCAGGAACAAGTCCGTCGATTGCACTCCAGTCACTTGGTATTTCCATCGCAAAAGATGCCGAGCCTGGACAAGGCCGACTTGGACGAGATCCCGTACCAGAAGGTGGAGACCCCTCGGTCCACAGCTGTCGACGTCAGTGAACCAGCCAAGGCCAAGAAGGACGGAGCCACCAGCAGCGAGTCCAGCTCCGGCAAGGAGCCTACCAACAACCTCCGAGACGAGATCGTGCACGACGGCCCCACGTCCTTCAAGTTCGCGAGTCTGTACCGCTATGCCACGACATTCGACAAGATTCTACTTGCGGTCGGTATCGTCGCGACTGGAGCCAATGGCGCTTTGTTCCCCCTCATGGCCATTGTCTTCGGCAATGTGCTGACGGGGTTCACCACCACGCCCGTGGATATGGACACAGTCAACAGCGCGGCTCTCGACTATCTGTACATCGCCATCTTCATGTTCATTACCGACTACGTCTCGTACGTGGCGTTCTACTACAGCGCCGAGCGGCAGATGAAGGCGCTGAGGAGTGAAGCGCTCAAGCACATGCTGTACATGGACATCAGCTGGTACGACGCGCACGACGCATTGCAGTTGTCCAGTCGGCTGACGGGCGACACGGTGAGGATCAAGGACGGCATGGGCCAGAAGCTCGGCGACGCGTTCCGGTTCACGATCCAGTTCTTTGTGGGTTTTATCATCGGTTTTGCCCGCGGCTGGGATATCACACTGGTTATGGCGTGTGTGATGCCGGCGATGACTGTGTCCTTGAGCTGGCTGATCAAGACGATGCGCATCAAGTCCGACTGGGCCCAGAAGGTGTACGCTGAAGCAGGTTCCATCGCGGAGGAGACGCTGGGCTCTATCCGCACTGTTTCGTCATTGAACGGAGAGCCCAAGGCCATCTACAAGTTTGAGAAGAAGGTGTTCGAGGCGGAGAAGGAGAACATCGCACTGCACAAGATGTCGTCGGCTGTGTTTTCCATGTTCCTGGCGAGCATTTGGGTCATGTACTCGATTGGTCTCTGGTACGGTGGGTGGAAGGCCTCCAAGGGTAACACCACGCCGGGAGATGTGTTCGCGGCGTTCTTTGGCGTCATGATGGGTACCGGTTCCCTCGCGCAAATTTCGCCGAATGTGACTGCCGTTTCCAAGGCTGCAGGCGCTGCCGAGGAACTGTTCGCAATCCTGGACACTGCGAGCGCTATCGATGCGGAGAAGGAAGATGAGGGAATCATTCCTGACGCGTGCGAAGGCAAGATCGAAGCGGTCAACGTCAACTTCACGTACCCGAGTCGTCCTGACGCTCAGATCCTGCGTGACTACAATGTCACCATCGAGCCTGGTCAGACGGTGGCTTTCGCTGGCGCCAGTGGCGGTGGCAAGAGTACGCTGATTGCCCTGATCGAGCGCTTCTACGACCCCACCAGCGGCACCATCTACCTCGATGGCCGCGATGTCAAGACGCTGAACGTCAAGTGGCTGCGCTCGCAGATCGGCATGGTGTCGCAGGAGCCGGTGCTGTTCGCCACCACCATCTTCGAGAACATCGCCATGGGCGGCGACAACGTGACCCGTGAAGAGGCCATCGAGGCGTGCAAGCTGTCGAACGCGCACAACTTCATCATGTCGTTGCCGGAGCAGTACGACACGCTGGTGGGCGAGAAGGGCGTGTCTCTGTCTGGCGGCCAGAAGCAGCGAGTCGCCATCGCGCGTGCCATCGTGCGCAAGCCGAACATTTTGGTGCTGGACGAGGCCACGAGTGCGCTGGACAACGAGAGCGAGAAGATCGTGCAGGCTGCGCTGAACAACCTGATGGCTACGACCAACATGACGACTCTCGTAATTGCCCACCGTTTGAGCACCATCCGCCACGCCGACAAGATCGTGGTGCTGAACGAGGGCCACATTGTGGAGAGCGGCACGCACGACGAGCTGTTGAAGATCGAGCGCGGTATCTACCAGAACATGTACCGCATCCAGGAGTTGCGATCGCAGGAGGAGCAGCAGGAGGCCGAGAAGCGCGAGGCGGAGAATGAACTCGAGAGTACGAAGATGACACGCACATTGAGCGGAGTATCGGCGAAGACGGACATTTCAGTGAGTGCGGTGGAGAAGAATTTCTTGGACAAGAAGCCGTTCGGCCTCATGGACATGCTCAACCTTAACCGACTCGACGTGAACTACTTTATCATCGGACTAATCGGCACCTGCGTGGCTGGTATCTCCATGCCGGCATCTGCTCTGCTTGTTACGGGCATGATCACCTCCATGACGGAGCAGTACGGGCAGTATCAATCTTCCGGCGACAGCTCTCACCTTACGACGTTGTACAACGACGTGGAGCTGTACGGTATTCTCTACCTCGTCGGCGCTGTTGTGGTGGCTGTGTTTACGTTCATGCAAGTCTACTCTTTCAAGTTCATGGAGGAGAAGATCACCACGCGCCTGCGTAACACCAACTTCAAGGGCTTGTGCCGCCAAAATGTCGGCTTCTTCGACGAGAAGGAGAACGCCACGGGTGCGTTGACGGCCGACCTCGCCACGAACGCCACTAAGGTCTCCCTACTCGCTGGTGAGTCTCAGTCCCGCGCGTTCCAGGCTGTCTTCACTCTGATCGCCGCTCTCGTGATCTCGTTCGGGTTCGGCAGTTGGCTGCTGTCGCTCATCATGCTGCCGCTGATCCCGTTCCTGCTCTTCGGACACGTCGTTCGCATGAAGCAGATGGAGAATAGCGGCTTGATCTCCGATGACCTGGCAATCCCCGGTGCCCACGCGTCTGAAGTCCTGAGTAATATCCGCACGGTGGCCGCTCTGGGCATTGAGAAGAAGTCGGTCGATGTCTTTGACGACCTCCTGGCTGAGCCGCTGCGCAAGGGCAGCAAGGAGGCGCAGGTGAACGGTCTGTCATTGGGTTTCAGCTCCTTCATCATGATGGCCACGTACGCGCTGATCTTTTGGTACGGTGCCAAGAAGGTGGACGACGGTACCATCGGCTTCACGGAGATGATGCGGACGCTGATGGCCATCACGATGTCGATCCAGATTGTCAGCAGCGCCTCGACCTTCTTGGGCGATGCGCCCAAGGCGTTCAAGGCTGGCTCGACAATCTTCGCTATCCGTGACCGTGTTGCCCCCATCGATTCTTTCAGCTCCGATGGATTCCGTCCGACCAAGGTTGAGGGCCGTCTCGAGTTCAAGAACATCTCGTTCCGGTACCCCACCCGTCCGGAGATCAACGTGCTCAAGAACTACAACCTCACTATTGAACCTGGTCAGACTGTGGCGTTCTGCGGCCCGAGCGGTGGAGGCAAGAGCACTATCATCTCGCTCATCGAGCGGTTCTACGACCCCGTGGTAGGCGACGTGCTGCTGGACGGCCACAACATCAAGGACCTGAACCTCAACTGGCTGCGCAGTCAGATCGGTCTGGTGGGCCAGGAGCCCACGCTCTTCATCGGCACCATCGCCGAGAACATCGGGTATGGTCTGGCTGAGCAGCCGAGTCAGCAGGAGATCGAGGAGGCCGCGAAGATGGCGAACGCGCACGACTTCATCACGCAGTTCCCGGACGGCTACGAGACGCAGGTGGGCATGAAGGGCGAGCAGTTGTCTGGCGGCCAGAAGCAGCGCATCGCCATCGCGCGTGCGATCCTGAAGAACCCCAACATTCTGCTGCTCGACGAGGCCACGAGCGCTTTGGACTCGGAGAGCGAGAAGGTGGTGCAGGAGGCTCTGGACAAGGTGGTGGCGCTGAAGCGGCGGACGACGATCGTCATTGCCCACCGGTTGTCCACGATTCGTCGCGCCGACAAGATCTGCGTGGTGAGTGGAGGCAAGATCGCGGAGCAGGGCACGCACCAGGAGCTGCTGCAATTGAACGGCATCTATGCCAACTTGGTCGAGTCAGCTACTACTTAGTGTGCAATGTGGCGTCATAAAACGAGTCGACACGCTGCCATTGACTTGAACGAAAACACGGGGACAATGCTGGACAAAGAAACCCAGCGGAAGTCCATTGGCGGAGCAAACAATGCGTACACCTTGTTTGGCAGCATACTGCCACTGCCATCCCCGTAGGTTGCTCACTTTCTGCTTCGCTAACCCAACGCCGTTTTCGCCGTTTCCAACTTCTGCCGAAGTTGGTCCGCATTCGCCTGCAGGTTCGACAGCTCTTGCTCCAGCTCCTCCGCTCGCGCCTTGTCTGCTTGGTCTTCAAGCTTCTTCTTATACTCGTCACAGTGCAGGTTGCTCTTTTCCAGCTCCGCTTCCAAATCAACTTGCGCCTGAGCTTGAGCGTCTGCATGCTCCGCACGCTCTTCGTCCCACGCCTCCTTGAGCTTCGCGACAACCTCGCCTTCGAGAGCCTCCAATTCGTCCACGTCTCCCTTGAAGGACTTAAAATCGTTGCCATCAAGCATTTGCGCGTAGTCAACTGGTCTTCGCTTGCGTCTCGCTGCCGCGTACCGGTGCGCATAAATCTTGTATTGAGTGTCGCTCAGTTTTGTCGGCTCACTCTTCTTCCGTCTCTCATTCTGGCGCTTGGGCCCCTTCGTCCGCTGCTGCTTCTTCACCAGCGCTTTGCAAGCAGCCTCGAGCTCGTGCACTGGCAGCTCAGCGGCCTGCATCGCCCCCGTGCGCTCCAAGTTCTCACTATTGCTTGAAAGAAATACTGGGGACCACCACGTGCACTTATTCATCCAAATGTGCTCACACATTTAGATGAAAAATGTTCACCTGAGTACATTTCATCCAAATGTGCTCAAACATTTAGATGAGAAATGTTCACCTAAGTACATTTCTTCAAAAAAAAAACGCGGATCGTACAGCTGGGATACACGGCGTGAAACTCGAGCCACCATGTTGGCCAGAATGGCGAGGAAGCATTTTTGTCGTAGAAGAGATCAAACGTAGGTACTATTGGGGGATTCGTGCTACACCGGGTAGTCTACATGGTCGCGTAGAATGTTTTTTTTTTGCAGACGAACGCCGCAGGGCGGTCGAAATGGTGGCAGACATGCGCCTCATCGCTATCTATAATTTTCGTGGCGCGCATGATGCTGTGCAAATCGTAGGTAACAGTCTCCGGGTTTTATATTTCCGGCTTAGTCGCTGCACGGTGCGCTTTGGTAGGCTCCTACTTGCATTTCGGCGATGGGTATTCTGACGATCTGCGAGGTGAGTGGCGGCAAGATCGCCGAGCAGGGAACGCACCACTGAAAGGCATTTATACCAACTTGGTCGAGTCAGCTACTGCTTAGACTGGAAAATGGTATGGATGAATAGAATTGCTTTGTGTTAGAGCATGGCAGCTTGAGCAGTACTACATGTATGCATCTCGTGGAGCAGTTTTTTGTTGTTGTCTCCTGAGCGTGTTTGCGTCAAGGCTTATCCCGTACATGACCGATAACTACCGTACTCGTTTCCCCACAAACAAATTAGGGGTTATCACGGTTAGAAAGTATGTTTGGAGTAGGTCTGCTCGACCAATCAGATCGCTTCAAATGTATTGTCTTTTTTTGCTGGGACCCGTCTCTCTCCGCTGAAACCTGCTGGCAAAAAGACTCTTTCTGCCTCTTTTTAAAAGAGGGAAGTTTGAGTTGGGCACGAAGAATCTAGTTGATTGGCTGATTAATTGGGCGAAGGTTTGATTCGATTCGCCAAAACAAATCCGTCGAATAGGAGCACAAAGGGGTAGGCCGAGTCAAACTTACTTCGGCGCGCGGTGCACGCAGGTCTCTTAGCGATCTGTTGCTTTTTGTGAAAAGCTTACAAGCTAAATACCCGCGACCCCTTGGCTGAGCCCCCGGGTCTCGCTCTGTCGAGCTCGCCCCGTGGTGTGGCTCAGCCGGTGGGCGCGGACTAAAATGTTTTGCACTGCAAGCTTATAGCGAATTTCGTTTTCCATCTCGAGAAAGCGCAGGTTTAACTTCTTCAAAGCCAGCAACTTGCTGATCCCAGTTATGCGGGTGTTCTACAGCGCATTGGGTGCACTACACGCAAGTCTCTTCGACGTGCTCACGGAGCCTGATGTCAAGATAACACTACCGGTATCCAGACTGCACTGTGATCGATAACAGCACATCAATGCATTTGCCCCAACGAAGCGGACCATCGAGGCATCATCTACGGATCGCTCGCAATTCGAAGGCGCTCTACTACACCGCTACTACACTCTCTTCCAATACTAGCTTGCAATCCAAGCCGACGCACAGCAACAATAGTAGCTGTAGCTGCCGACAACAATGGCCGATGCCCAAAGGTCGCGGCGCGATGCTGTGAGCTGTATAAAACAAGCTTACGTCATCATCCGAAGTGCCGGTAAAATGCAAGCATTAAACCCTCCGTTTTCACAGGTTTTGGCCAAAAGCTGACGCAATCTTTCGTTTAAAACAAAGGGTGTTACACCCCTGAGCGTTGTGCTCTTAGCCTTCGCTACTAGTAACGTAAGAGTAAGAGAACTTGGGCGCGCTCGCTCTGCTCACGCACGGGATCTCGAAGCTTGAAACGTGTTGCTCACTTCGGCTTTACATGTAAACTTTTTTGCTGGTCTCCTGTTTTTGGAACCGTTAATTCAAAAACAAAAATGGATGTTATATTGAACTTCTAGGCTTATATAGTTTTGCTTAATAAAACTGGGGCGCGCTTCGCGTGCGGGTCTCTAAGCGGACCGAACAATTTTGTGGTTTTTGCTACTAAAACGGTTAGGACGCGCCGCGCCTCAGCGCCAGTCTGCACTTGTTACTGTTATTAACATTCTCACCAATATTTTTGTGAGTACTATACATGAAACGATTCATATTACTACAAGAAACTTAAATTTTCATACTATTATAATTGATGTTGACCAGGGGTATGAATAAAAACTTTCAATATGAAAATTGTCAATTAATATGACGAAAATATGTGTTATTGGCAAGCGCCATATTGAAATTTGTATTATTGGCTCGTACGATTTCAGGGAATTCAAAAACACAGTCAAGGCGCATGGAATTGAAATATTTAATCAGTATAATAATTAGCTTTGGTTATCGTCATATTTAAATCATTATTACTGTCAAGCAATTTTACCAATTCAATATAATACTGAATTGGAGGGGCCCTGATGTTGACAACATCATGTTGCAATTGGTATTTATTGCAACTGCCACTGTCGCCACCACTGCCATGCTACAGCTACTGCGGCTGCTACTGTCACTGCTACTGCCACTGCTTCAGCCACTGTCACTGACACTGGCACTATCGCTGCTGCTCCTACTCCTACCTCATCACTACTTATATTGCTATACTACTCATATTCCACTATTGTTAAAGATATTGCATTTGTTATGCTACCTGTGGCGCGCGTTACTGCTGGTCACAGGCACTATCTGCTTACCACTACTGCAACTACAGCTGGAGCAGCTGTACTACAGCTACTACAACTACTGTTAATGATGTCATAGTAATGTTGTCATTGATATTGCTTGTTCGTATCTGCTGCTATCGCTACTGCGACTGTTTATTATCTGCTGCCACTACCGCTACCGTTGTTATTTACGCTACAACTACGATCTCAGCATTGATAATGGCACTGTAATGATATTGCTCCTGCTTTCTTTTTCATGCCTGAGAAAGACTGCCAAAATCTACTCCATACTGCTTGGCTTGCTGCATAATATCACGGGGCATTTCATGGCTTGCTCAAACTAAATTTATAAGTAGATGCCATCTGAATATCGCCGTCCACTGTAGTGAAAACGACGCGATCCAAACATTATCGATGATCTTATCGTCCTCTACACCCTTGTAAATCACTCTCCTCTTTTCCAAATAATGTGTGTGACTTGTATTGCTGCGTAAGTAATATCAATATGACGTATTGTGTCTTTCACGTATTTTGGCGGGTGAGCTGTGAATTCAGGCGGAATTAGAGTCATAAAAGGGTGATCAACGCTTATTTAGTGCTAATTATGCCTAAGATTGTGAGCGCTTCCCCTAACATCCGCGATCAGCTAATCGACGGAGATACGAACAGAATGGCATGGATTGGCGGATAGGAAACCGCCAATCGCTCTGTTTCCGCCTATTAATAACGAAGGCTGGATTAGATTATTCCGCCTTGAGTCGGCCTCACCATCGCCGCTCCTAATTCGGCCACGGAGGGACGACCCGGAATTAACATGGGAATTAGCTAACTCGTGGCATAATTAAGGTCGATAACGGATTAGAGTTATGCCAGAATTATCACGGCAGAATAAGTGAAAGGCACAATAATTTTTATTCGGTATATTGCTATTGGAATTGTTCGCCTGCGTCACAATCACTGCCAGCTACCACTGCAACTGCCCTACTGTAAAAGCCACCGCTACTGCAACCGCTATTAGTTACTGACTTTGAAACTGATATTGTTATCGCTATTTCTGTTACTATCTTTTTTTTTGCTTACCCCACGATCAGGAAGAAAACTGTCAAGGTCTACAGTACTCCATGGTGCGTGAGTTGTTGCAACCCAGTATAATGTCATCCAACGAGACTTCTTCGCGAGCCGCACCTAGTAAAATACCTCTATTTTTACGAACTACATCTGCAGTTTACACGTTACTGCAGTTATAAAGTACGCGGTGCAAATTGGCGCTAATTTCGCTGCGCCATGCGTTCATATTGCTTTACTTAGGTTCTTGCTGCAGCAAACATCACGCCCATCTAATCGAGCACTCTAAAGTGCACCACCATGGACTTGTCCGTCTATATCAATGTAGATACTGGTACTCAATATGATGCGACGTCCAGAAAACACTACGCATACTACTGTGGTGCGACGTCCGGACACTGCATACACTACTGTCGCGCCATGCGCACTCCGTTTTGGATTCCGCAGCCTGCATGAGCCCCAGTACCACACTATGCATCGTAATGGTGGGTGTGAATTAAACCGCACATTTTGTTTTGCTAAATTAAGTTTTATTCCAAATCCAAAACCACGTCAAAAGCATCGATCCGGACGCTGCGCTGCTTTATACCGGTAATACCATGGGATTTTGGATACTCTAGTTCATTATAAAAAGTACCGAATGTATTAAACTGATGGTCTGACAAGAAATGACGCTGGCTCTAAGCTATCCGCTTAGAGAACTACGGAACTATTCTTTGGCCAGTTAGCTCGTAACTAGGAGACTCAATAACCCTTTAACAATTTTTATGTTAACGGTCGTGAAAGTCTTTTTTAAATTAATACAGGATAAGTTACGGGCAGTTCCATATTATTGTTGCGGTCCAAGGTGACGATGACTCTGAATAGAATCCACAAAAACTTAATTGATGGCGGAGACTGCCCCAGCATTTTTTGTACTTCCTGTAGAGCTGTAGCGTTTGGTGCATACAGGTACTGATATAATAACAGAGGACGCAAAATTAACATCCACCTCTGTGGTGACGCTATGTAACTTCTGGCGCTGAATTTGGCCAGGCTTGTACCAGCGTTCTTACTACTGTATTACTTCTGTTTTGTAAGAACAAAAAACTGGTTCAACTTCGTGGATAACAATTCTGCAAGCTATAACTACGTTGTTTTGCACGAGCTAGAACCAGTACCAGTAGCTAGCGAGCTGACACGATGTGTAAGCTTTTGCCGGACGGACATTAGCCACGATGTGTAGGCTTCTGCCGGACGGACATTGGCTGAGTCGTTAGCTAGACTAAATGACTGTAATGTACCTCACCAAAAACTAAACTGATATTAGTAGAATCCAGGTATTGTGTTTTCACAGTTGCTTTACTCTTTAACTCAATAGTTAATTCGGTTTTTTATGATATCGCAACAAGACTCACAACGATACTATCGGAATCATTTCGAAGCCAGCCTTTGCTTTAGACTCGGTTATGTTGGCTGTATCCACAATTTCTTACGCAATTAAAGGTAAAATCGTCGGTCTAGTCAACAAGACGCTAGTCATATTTGTGCCCAAGTTAAATATGCAACGACATAACATCTAAAAGTACAGAAGGTAGTAGACTTTTGCGATGTTTATATAGCATTGTCGTTTTTCATACGTGCATCAAGCTTAACGTAGCATTTGGATGCCCAGTATTAGGTATGAACAAAAGTGCTTGTCCACTTTGTTGGACGTACTGTACACCATGGTGAGATTGGTACCCACGATGCTCGCCGTCACCTCCATGGCGCCAAGTGATAGACAGCCCTCGTGGAGGTAGTAGTTGGGTGGTACCGATGCATTGTGTGCGCGCATTTGGACACGAAGTGGGGAGTTTGACGGCGACGCTTCACCGCACCACACGGCAGGTTCCACAAGAGCAGGTAGAGCTTTATTGCGTCAGCATTTGCCGTACAGATCAGCGTAGTTGGGGCGCCTGCCAGATATGCAAGCAGAGACCCCCGCCAGGGTCTAATCGATTGGCACTGGCAAACGCAGCAAGGTTGAAGCAGGGCTGAAGCCTGTCACGTCAATGCGTAACTCAGATTCCGAGAGGTCACTCGGAAAAGTAAGAGCGCATGCTCGGTTTAAAACGAGCGCGAGAATGACGGTTGGAAACTACTTGAGATGGCTGCATGGAGGCGATTCAATAGTGTTTGGGTGCGACGTAAAATAGCCAGCTGCGCATTGGCTAAAATGATTTTTGAATGAAACTGCTGATCTTTTCATACAAATATCAAGATGTCGGACCCGTGGATACTTACTGACCCGTAAAAAGCAAAAAAGTGAGCATGTGTGGTATTGACTGCGCCATGCTGAACGGTATCTCTGTAGGGGTCGCCCATAGAAACCGTGGAAAAAGTGGTGATCAATATGTGTCGTACTTAAGCCGTTTCCGGACCCTTATACTAAGGCGCGCTCTGCGCGCATGCTTCTCTCAGCGAATGATAACTGCAAGTTGCCATTGTATCACGCAAATACTACGATGCGTACTATCAGGATCTATGTGCTTCGCTGGAGAGTCTATGAGATTTTGTTCGCCACTTTTTAGTGTTGTAGTAGAATGTGAAGATTTGAAAATTGTAGTTGCCAATGTCACCATAACTATTCTTTGAGCTGCACCAAATATATTAATGCACGTAGCACTTTGTTATTTAGAGCTTGACCGAGTGTATCGTTTCCATCCTCAACTCATTTTCATAGTAATTTCTACTGTTTGAGCTCGCGAGCGTAGACACGGCTAGTAAGACGGTTTATGCTGCGCTTCTAAAAGTTGGCTTTGTGCAAATGCTACTTTGTCACTGCTTGCTTGGATTTATGTACATATTGCACACGTTTAGAGGAGATGATTGGTCCATTTTTAGGGCAAAAACGCCTCTATGAGAAATTTGCGAAAAGGTAACTCACTTATACTTTCTTCGTGTACAACATTCAGCGATAGGGGCGCAGTCGAGTCATGTTGAAGTATTAGCGAATCCAGCTCGAGTGTTGAGCTGGATGGAGCCCCTCCGGCGCAGCCGGGCTAACACGTGACTGTGCCCCTTGCATCATGTCTCGGGCCAGTGAGTTGGCGACCGTGTCGTTCATTCTTGTGTATCGCTCGAACGCATCCGAGGTCCATCTGCCGAAGAGCTGGATGGCGAGACGGTCGACGCCGGCGGTAAACATTGCTGTGGCTCCGCCGCTTCTCATTGAATGCGTACCGAAACGCGTCGGATCGGCCCCAATGTCTTGTGCAGCCCGCTTGATCGCGTTGCTGAGCGTGTTCGCGGCGAGCACCTTGCTTGGTGCAGTTGAGCAGAGAGCTTCGTTGCTGCCGAAGCTGTTGGCACTCTGGACTAGCTCCCATGCTGCTAGAACCGTGTAACGAAGCGCCCGTGCTCTTTGCTCAGGTTGCTAGACCGCTCGACCTTGGTCTTCGCTCAGCCCTTGCACCACTTGACTCAGCCCTACTTAGCGCTGCAAGAGTCCCGCTCAGCTCCTTCCACTGAGCGAACACTCCCACTCCACTTCGCTAGGCTTAGCCGCTTGAACGCTTGGCTCAGCTCCGACTCGGGTCGGGCGAGGCGTGTGTTCCTCACTCTGCGATCCCCTTGGCGGTTCTTTTGATCACGGCTACGCTGTGGGCCCAGACTTGCGTCGGCCACACCAGCTGCTGTCGATGTTGAAGGTCTCCGGAGGTGTTCCCAGACGAAACTCGCTCCCCACTTGGCGAGTCCCAGTCCGCACGTGTCCACAGCCCGAAATGCCCCGGGTTTTCCTTAATGAACACAACACCACACACAATATAGCCTCCACTTCCTCTCTTTGGTTCCGGCTCAGAACCACAACACCCCTTCTTTCCCGGTCGGCCTGGGTCTGGGCCGAGTTCGCCTTTATTTCTCTGAGCCTGGGCGAGGCTCGTACCAGCTTCTCCTTTCTTCTCTTCGAGTCAAGCAACGACCCGGTCTGGAGTTAGTGACTCGGTTTGAGCCTAGTCCGAATCCAAGGCACTCACACACACCCTGGGACTACCCGCGCACCAGGTCCACAATGAACCGATACTAATAATCACACAATGCACCGGGGCACGCCAACGTCCCCAAGCACACAATACAATTACCGTGCCTAAACCTCAGAATGGATCACCTTCCACCCGAAAATATGAAATACACCCTAAGATGTAACAGTAATATGAAATAACCGTAATGCCGTCGCACCGAAGCACTCTGACAACGTTGATATGTTAGCTTGAATTTGTGTGGATGATCGCCAAGACACCTTCTGGCCAAAGACCTCCACCACTTGCGTCCTTCGGGGCAAAACGAACTCTGTTTAAATGTTTAGACATGCACAAACTAGGACTCACTAAGTGGGGGCGCGATATCCCCCTGGGTACACACTGACTGGCTGCATGAAGAGCGTTGGCTGTATGCTTACCAAAGCGCGCTTGAGATCCGCTTGAGGTCCGCTTATATCTTTGTCTTGACCAATGCCGAGGCTCCATGTTGGCACGTGTAGCGTTGGTGCCGTTGAAGCTGCTGGAAGTGTCCGCGATCTTGAGCGGTCGCACCCAATGTAGGCTGATTCATGGCTGATTCACCGGATGAGTGTACTTGCCGGTACCACCGACTTCGCCGTCAGTACCACTGTCTGGACTTAAGTCCAGCGACTCTTCACCCGGCACTTCAACTGGACACCGACAACTCCGCTCACTCCGCTCATGTCTGCAACACTCCGCTCGGCTTCTCGACTTGGGCAAAGACTTCAAACTTCACATCCGAGGCTGGGCTCGGACTCCACGTCACTCCGCTCAGCTTGTCGACCTGGGTGAAGACTCTATGACCACAGCAGACGCTAGACTCGGGCTCGGCACGACCTCGCTCGGACGCCTGCTCCTCGACTCAGCTCGACACCTTGGGCAACGGCTCCATAACCACCGGGGAGGTCGAACCCACGCTCCACCAGGTTCCGCTCAGCTCCTCGACTTGAGCGGGGACTCCGGTCATCGCACTCGAGGCTCAGCTCAGATTCCACGCAGCTTCTCTCGGCTTCCTGGACTCAGCTCAGACTTGGGATTCCCAACACCGGACATCTCGGGTCTCAGACGATCTTCGCTCAGGCCCAGGGTCCGAGCGGAGCTCCGCCCAGACTTCGGGCTCAGCTTCCTTCGCCGCACGGCTCGTGTCCGACAGTTGGTGGTCCAGATCCATCGCGGTCATGACGCACTTGAAGTCTGCTTGATTGATACGGGTCAGCATCCTGGATTGATACGGTCAGCTGGACATGGGTTCGGTGGCGAAATCCACCGGGCCTTTTCACACTACACTGGTCCAAGCAGGTGCCGTCGATCTCGGGGTCCTCCGCCGTGCGGCAGGTCCCCTCCTCCCCGGACAACCCCGGACGGATTGCGCCAACTCCGGCCTCGGGATTACGAGCCCCAGACCGATCCCCACAGCTCCTGGTACTACCCGATTGATGCCGACGCTCAGCCTCCTCGCTCCGACGAGGCACTGCTCAAGCTACTGCACGTGGAGGCCGGATTTGATGACGTCCGCCCGGATGTCTTGGAGTACTTGCGGATGGATGGAGATAACGGCAGCCTCAAAGACGCCGAAGACGCCATCATGAACGAACTGGAGAAGGAGCTGGTGATTCACACTTACCTCCGGGAGCCAGTTCTCGTCGAGATCCTGCGTCGGGTACTCTGTCTCCAGATCCTGGACGAGGTGGAGTTGTTGCGGCATGTCCCTGAAGAGTACTTCGAGAAGGGTGTCGCCCGGGCCCGGGAGTGTAACTGGGCCGTCGGTGTTGAACGTCCTTGGCCCCACATCCCCACCGAGCGCCCGGACTCCCCAGAGCACTCCGACGACGATGAAGATGCTTCGGGAGATGAGCGCAAGCCCCGGAGTTCCGAGGCACAGAAGACACCTCGGCGTAAGCGTTCCAGGGGCTCTAGCGTCTCGTAGGGGGATCCAAGCCCGCTGATGCCTCCTAGTGGGAAGAAGTCTCACCAAACGAAGGCCCCCATTGATTACTCGTCGGGCGTCTCTACGGAAGAAGAGAATCTCCCGGTACGTTACGAGCGCCTGGTGCAGACCGATGACATGGGTCCCGAGGATGCGCACACGCCCACTCGCACTGCCGTGTCCTGGGTGGTTTATGAGATCCGGGTCTGTGCTGCTAGTGGTAGCACCGAGCGGCAGATCCGGGGCTTTCCGGACATCAAGTGCTTTCCCAAGGAGACCAAGGCGGCCCAAGCTTGGTTCCGGCCCGAAGATTACAACGACTTCCTGAACGGCTCGGCTCCCGGAGACGTGATGCCCTGGGACGCCATGTTCGCCGAGAGGATTACGGTGTTCTGGTTCTTCGAGGGCCCCATCAGCCCGGGGCTCGGTGCTGTCCTCAAGGTCTACGTTACGCACATGTTCGTCTGGCGACGGGCCCACTGGGAGCGACTCCATTGGATCGAAATGAACCGCGCCGAGCTCTCGCACCAGCAGCTCTACATCGCACGTCGTGAACTCCAGAAGGCGTGGTCCAATGCGCGAGTCGAGGTGAAGAGAGAGATCAAGAAACTCCCTGAGCACGAGCGCAAGGTATTCCTGACCGAGCCCGGTCTTTGGCGTCGCCCCCGGAAGGTGGCAGCCTGGATCCCCACGGACCCTTCGACTCGCCACTCGCTGCCAGATCAAGTCCGGATCCTGGACGCCCGCGAGCCGACGCGTGTTTACTGGGGGCGGCCCGGGGCTGAGGAACATCTCGCAAGCAGCGTGTATCCGCGGACTTGGGGCTCTCACGTGGCTGATCCTGCTCGGCGCTTGGCCATCCCGGGTCCTGCGGATGTGGACTAGAGGCCCGTTCGTCCCTGACTTCGCCTCCGTCCACGTTACCTTCTTGCGGCCTCCTGGTAGCGAGTCTTTACCGATTCCAGATCCTTCCTTGCGTAACTTCTTTTATACCACGTGATTTCTTTCTTCGCCTTTGTTTCCTGGTCCGTCTTCACTCTTGAGTCTTGTTCGTTTTCCTTTCGTTTCTTTTCGTATATGTATACCTCCGGGGTCACTTCGGCGAGCCATCTCAGCCAAATCCCCGGGCATCCCAGGGGGTATCACCACAGTCGAACTTGGCTCCACTCCTGGAGTTGCTCTACTGGGTCCTTCCGGCCCGGGAATCTTGGGTTCTTCAATTCAAAAAATGTAACATGCAAAATTCCCAGGAACACCAGCGAGTAGTCTCAGCCGGTGTCTCCGGGGCTTCCGGGGGGACTCACTCGAGGAGATCGTACTCGACTCGGGGTCCGCACCCCGGGGCTCTACCGGACCTCTTCGTCCGGGAGCTCGTCCCCAGACTGCATAGCCTGGAAGCGTACGCGAGCACGTTCTCCTTGGTCGAACTCATACAACAGTCGACCGCAGTTCAGGCGCCCCTGGGGTATCCACTCCGGGGCATCATAACCTTTCCACTTGACCTTGTATTCCTTGATTCGCCTGCTGGCACGAGTCCGAGTGACCCATCGCACATCCAAGATTGCCTCCACTTCGTACTCACCGGGGGATTCGTCCGACTCCCAGCTGTCTTCCCGGAGCAGGGCTGCATCAAAGTCATCGTCTTCGGGGACATCCAGGGTTTCCACAGGTCTCTCCGGGAAGGGAGCCCGGGGCTTCAATCTGCTGACGTGAACCCAGGGTAGAATCTATAGTCTGTGCCTTCGACTTGAAGCTTATACCGGAACTCATCGCTTTTTTCCAGGATCCGAAAGGGGCCATGCGACAGGTGGGCTTGTTTCTTGGTCAACCCCAGGCGTACCCGGGCCAAATAGAGCCACACAGAGTCACCCACCTCGAAACCTTCCTTGAAGCGGTCCGAAAGCTGCTTCCAACGGCGGTTATGTTCCCGGGCCCGTTTGGTCTTGGCCTTCGCCTGGAGGTCCCGGGCCCACGCTCTCGCATATTCAACTTGGCGCTGGACTTTCAGACGCCATTCGTACGCCTCACGGAGTTGGAGGTCCCGGGGCACATCGCCCATCATTGCTTGGACGGTTCCCTGGGCGTCCCACCCGTGGACGAGGTAAAATGGCGTATCCAGCCTCGTGAAGTCGTACGAAGTGTTCAGGGCCCACATGAGTTTCTCGGCGAGTTCATCCCAGTCGCTCTGGTCGACTGTCTGCACATAGGCTCGGATACTCCGAATGACCGTCTGCACAGACCGCTCTTGCTGGCCATTGGCCTGGGGGCGGTACGCTAGAGTTGCGCGTTGCTGACTTCCCAGCATTTCCCGGAAGTGCTTGAATACGCGAGCCATGAACCTAGGGTCCTGGTCGTGACGGATCATCTCACTGGCGCCGAACCGGCGAAACACCTGTTCCTCGTAGGCTTCAGCCACATCCTGGGCAGAGGTGTCCTTCATAGCCTTGCACATGATGAACCTCGAAAAGACGCACTGGAATAGGAGGAAAGCTTCATTTCCCCGGGCCGTCTTGGGCAGCGGTATCACGAAGTCCATGGACACGGCTTGGAACGGCCGTGAGGCGAGTATGTTCCCCGGGGATGGTCCCGGGTTTCGAGTCAGGCCCTTCGCCGTCACACAGTCGACGCACTCCTTGATGAATCTCCGTCGCCTTGAACATTCCGATCCAGTAGAACTCTCGGCGCAAGCGTTCATAGGTCCTGATGATCCCTTGGTGGCCCCTGCATATTCGAATGATAGTGGTGCAGGATGTCCTCTTGGAGATCCCGGGGAACCACAAATCTCAGTCGGTCCGCCTCGTTCCGGGGTCGCTCCGGGGTATTCCTGCTCACGTAGAACAAGGTATCTTGACCACTGTCCAGCACGAACTGATCAGCAATCTTAGCGAGATGAGTCGTCTGCTTCAGAGACAACTTCTCCGTCTCGCCTCGGAGAAAGCTCTTCAGCGGGGCTAGGTCCGGGTCAGCGGCTTGGTGCACGCATATCCGCCTCCAGCGCTCTCGCCTTGCCTCCCCGGGGTCGGTCTCGGCAGGATACCTTCGACGTCCTCGGGACTCCACGGCCGTTTCTTCCTCGCCCCCTGACTCCTGGGTGGCTTCGCCTGGTTCCTGAAGTTCCTCCGGCTGGCGATCTGGTCGTGCCCCCGATCTGGTCGTGACGTACACGCTCTGTCCGGGATCCGAGGAGCCGGGTACACTCGCGCCTCGTGCCGTGGCCATGATGGCTGCATTCACTAACGTCGTGTCACGAGGTTTCGGTTCCTTCATCAACTTCTCGTGTATCCGGTTCAGACCTTGGAGCAATTTCCGCTCCCCGGGGTCCGTCACTTCAACCGAGGCCTGGTTCTGGAGGACACGCTTGGAAATGTAGTCCGCGGCTGCGTTGAAGTCACCTTTCACGTGCACCAGGCGCAGGGATTTGAACTGTTCCCGGAGCTCATCCGCTTCTTGGAGTAGCTTCTGCAGGTGGGGTTGAGTGCACCCGATGACTCCTTGGAGTTGTTGAATAGCCAACCGGGAATCACCAACAACCACCAACTCCTGGATGTTCCGGGACTTCGCAAGCTGCATTCCCCGGATCATTCCAGCGTACTCGGCTTCGTTTACGGTGGCCTTCTCCAAGATGTGTCCTTCAGCTGCCACCACTTCCCAGGACGGTAGTTCCCAGAGGATGCATGCAGCGCCCCCAGACCCGTCCCGTTTGGCCGCTCCGTCGAAACCCAGGAGAAAACCTTCGTGGTCGCTTGACAGCATCTCGAGGCTGACCGGCGGCGTCTTGATCCGGGCGCCCTTAGAGGGGATAAGCTCTTCGGCAATTTCATCTAGCTGTTCCCGGGGGGTGATGCCCGCACCCAGGATCGTAGCAAGTCCGGCTTCGTCCTTCTCCACGCGGCGAATGTCCAGGTCCCAGGGCGAGAGGTTGTCTGCCCATTTCAGGCATCGACCGTCCACCGTCTTCGACGTGAAGAGCCACCCCAGGACAGAGTACCGGGTGTACACTCGAATGGATTTCACCTTGCATCCAGTGACCATCGTGTGGCAGGTATTCAGTACCCGGAGCAGGGCAAGGACTTCCTTTTCCGCAGGGTGGTACCTCAGCTCCGCATCCTGGAGGACTCGCCCCACAAAACGCACAGGTCGGATCACTCCGTCATAGTCCTGCCCCAGGACCGCACTGATCGCCCACTTGTCGGCATGCAGGATGATCACATACTGCCTCTCCGGATCCGGATGTTGCAACAGTGGAGTAGATACCAGACGCTCCTTCAGCAACTTAAATGCATGCTACGCCTTCTCCAGGTCCCGCCCTGCGCGGAGCTGCTCGTCAGACAATTCGTACAGCACGGCCGCGATTACAGGCAGGTCTTCGATGAACTTGCTGTAGTAGTTGAGACTTCCCAGGAAGGATTGAACCCCTTGAGGGTCTCCGGGAACGGCAGGTCCAGGACCTTTTGGGCCAGCTTGGGCGACGTTCGGATGCCATCGGAGCTAATGTCATGCCTCAGGTACTTGCACTTCTTCACGCCAAACTCACTCTTCGGGAGACTAACGGAGATGCTCCAGTAACGGAGTCGGTACAGCAGAGCGTTCAGGGTTTTGCACAGGTCGTCCCAGGACGGAGCTCCGTAGATAATGTCATCTATGTATGAACTCCGGGACAGAACGGGCCCCATTTGTTCCGGGGCCACTCGGTCCTGGTGGAACACCGTGTCCGTACTGTTCCTGGAGACCACCGCCCCCCCCCCCCCCCGGGGCTTCGTACCCTGGGACACTTGGTCTGCGCTGGATGCCTGCACAATAGGGGCTTCATCTCCCGACGTAATTCCCAAGAACTACAGAACTTCCGGATCGACGAGTCGCTCCTCGGCCGGTGACAGCCGCGTGAATCCCCAGAGGCAATTATCCAAGAGACGCTGGTAGATGAGCAGCGCATACTTGAGACCGAAAGGCATACGTTTCCACTGGAAGTGTCCGAGGGGGCAGATGAACGCCGAAATGAGCTTGGCCCGGGTCGTCATGGGGACGGCCCAGAACCCACTCGCCATGTCCAGGGTCATGAACCACATCGTAGCCGCGAACTTACTCATGAGCTCGTCAATGAGCGGTAGCGGGTAAGGCATCAACTTAATCAGCTGGTTCACAGCCCGGTAATCGATACACAGGCGCATGTCGGTGCCGTTCTTCTTCATCACAATGACGATCAGAGAAGCCCATTCCGAGAGCGACCGCTCAATAAGCCCGGTCTCCAGGAGACGTTTGATCAGGTGGTAGACCTTGGACAGAAGTTCCGGGGGAATTCGACGTGCGCGTTGTGCGATCGGCTTGGCGTCTCCGACGTCGAGGTCACAGATGACCCCCCCCGGGCCGGAGGCGGAAGCGCATTTCCTTCATCGAGGAAGATCACCTTATGGTGGCGCAGAATTCCCCGGAGCCTCTGTTCCTCGGCGGACGTTGTCGTATCGGGATCCCCCACAACAGCATCGTCGATCTTCGCCTCGGGTCGGAGGTCACTCAGGTCAGGTAGGTACGCTAATTGGTTCATCAGCATGTCCACGAGGACGAAGTCCTGCCTTTGGTGATAGTAAACCGCAGGGTCTGTCTCGACCGTTTCTCCGGTCGTGGTCAGCATGATGAAAGCTTGGTCCAGGGACGGGAACCTCGGGATTGGAACGGGTTCCGGGAACGCCCGGGACAGTTCCAGAGCTGCGGCCGCCACAGAGGTTGAAGCGCCACCGGACATGTCCGGAGGATCCTCGTTCGAAACACCAGCAACTGGTCCGGCCGTTTCCTCGGCGTCCGGGTCACCGTCACCTGTCAAGTCTGCTGGCTCGGGAGCGGGTTCCGGGCAGCTACCAGAAATGTCTGGGGCCACCTCGGAGGCCGCCGAGTCGAGGACCGTGAGTCACTTCGGGTATCTCCTTCTTCTTGGCGGGGCGCTTTAGAATGGCCTTCGGGGTCGCATACGCTCGTCGTTCAACGGCCAAGGGGGCATTGCGTTCTTGCTCCCAGGTTTCCCGGGACAGCCGGCGTTCCGCGGCCCGGGAACGAGTGTTCTCGTACACCAGAAATTCGCGTTCCTCGTACTGCAGCGACCCAGGTCGAACAAAGTTCGTTCCCAAGGGCAGCCGATCGGTCTCGGCCAGGGTTGCGACGCGCGTATGAGGCAGGATATCTACCACTGCCCGGGACACGTTCACCACCCGGGCGGCCACAGGGAACTTCCGAGTACTGAAAACGATCAGTGCTACCCCGCGGTCCAGACAACGAATTCCCGGGGGTCGTGGTTCCCAAAGGAGATCGGCAGGTAACGACTCTCGCCCGGGGCAAGAGACATGCCTTCGTGCGCGGCCACGCTGACGGTTGTTCCCAGGCGCTCGTGCTGGGGGCCCCCGACAAGAAGCACCCGCTCTTCGTCGGGTAGCAGAACTTCGCCCTCGTTGGCACAGAGCCGTACTCCAGCAGCAACCATGAAATTCATCCCTAAGAGACAATCGATTCCTTGGCGGATGTTGCCAACCCAGATGTCGAAAGTGTACACTACCCGGTGGCCCAGGGTCACCATGACGTTACACTTGTTGGATACCTTGGTCTTGACTCCGTCGATACCGTTGAGCCATAGCTCGCCCCGGGACTCCATCTTCAGCTTCAATCTACGCGCAAGATCTAAGCTGAGGGGCCCCGGAGTCAAGCATCAGCAGGGTACGGTGGTGGAAAACTGACCCCCGGACCAGCGCCACAGAGCTGGTGCTGTCATCCCAGGAGTTTTCTTCCCACCATCTGCGGCGTTGCCCTGGACGCAACTCGTATGAGAGTTCGTCCTCGTCCGGGGCAACTTGACTCGTATAGACGGAACCGGTCTTGGGAGGTGGTGTAGATGCAATTGACATACATTGTGGATCGTTATAGCCTACATACGCGTAGGCGCAGTAGCTTTTACGGGACTTAGGCGCGTCGCGTACTGGTTCCCTACCCAGCGAGCCTAGTTGTTTAACGGTGGCGCATCGTCTTGGCGTAGGCATCGCAGCACATCGTCAGGCACCCCCTGGAGCTTACCTCCCTGAGCCAAGCGCTTGATGGTCGCTAGGACCTCACACTGGCCCGAGGGATGCAGCTTGCCGCACACCTCACACTCGCGGCGGCGGCACAGGTTCGTCGGATGCTTCCCTCCGCAACGATCACACTTCATCAGCTTCCAGCACTCATCCCGAGAGTGTCCCGAACGTCCGCACTTTGGACAGGCGGGTAGTGGCGGCGACGCTCCCGGGGCTCCCCGGGGACGGCCGTCCGATCCGCGTGTACGGTCCCGGGAACGCTCGTCTCGAGTATTGGGTCCTCAGGAAGCTTCCGCCCTGAAGGCATCTTCCTGTTTCAGCGATCGTCATATTGTGAATTCCGCCCAAATTTGCCGATTTCGCGCTATTTGTCAAACCGACAGCAAATAGACCACTCATTCTGATTGGTCAAAATACTTTCAGCGTCTGAGAAAGACTGAGCCCGCCGAAGCTCGGCGTGTTGCTAGCGACAGCAGCGACGACGGGTTCGCGGACGCCACTGCATAGTCATCTCACTAGAGAAGATCTTGCCGGCCAACACTACTTTATTCAAATAACATGACACTATATTAGTTTAGGAAGCAACCCAAGTCAGCTCTGGCGTCGTCGGCGTCAGGCTGCGCTGTACAGTTCTTGGTCAGCCCGGAGCTGGGTCTGTCGATGCCTTCCTGCTGCTTCTCCTCTTCACGGTCCTCTTCTCGGCCTTGTCCTTGCGGACCCTGTCCACGGTAAGCAGCTCCTTCTCGTCTTTGACCTTCTTCTCCTGCTCCGTCTCGTCTTGTTGCGCATGTCTGCGCCTGCTGCACGCGCTGGCGGTTAGAGTTGGCGGGGCCAACATCATCGGCCGTGGAGCACTTCTCCTTGTCCTTGATTTTCACCACGTTGCCCTCCTCGCCGAGCCCCAACATGTCCGTGAAGCCATACGCACCGATCTGCTTGCGCGTCATCTTCTTGAGGCGCTCGACCGCCTTCTACTTCTCGCGGACCGCCGCGTCCTCAGCATCCTGGCGATGCCTCTCGCGATGCTACCGGCCTTGGTTTCCTTCTGGGCTAGTGCTAGCTCCTGCCGCTGCTGATTTTGCCGCTAACCGGCTTACAGCAGCCTCGATACGTCCTGCGTCACGGCTGCGTCATCCAGCGCGCGGTCAAGGGCTTCGTGAGCTACAGACTGCAGAGCACGCGTCGCCACGCAGTCCAAGCTGCTAAGGAATGAATCATTGGTGAGAAGGCATGAGAAGAGGCGATAAGATCGAGGTTATATGACGTTCGATGCATCGCGCACCAGAAGAAACCGAGCCGCGCGATTCGCGCGGCGCGAAGCTGCTTGCGCTTGAGTCCAACTTCACACTGTGAAGCTGTGAAGTTCACAGCTTCCACGATTTGTGGTGTGGCGCACAAAATAACCTTCATGAATACATATATTATGTCTTTATACAGGTTTGCGCGATTGCTGCGTGATTGATTCGAAGAACCGCGCATGGAAATTTTGAGTAAAACGCACAATACTGGTAGCCGTAGTCGCTGTCCATGTCATCGTCCCATTGCAGCTGCCGGGACGAAGTTACTTCTTCTTCCTTGGGAGCAGTGGCCAAGTACGCTGCAGACACCTTCGCCGCGCGCGCCGTCCGGGGCGCGGCCCCGGAACTGACTCCCGGAGGCTTGTAGCGTCCAAATTGCACATCATTCCCGGGCCTGCGGCGTAGTCCCCGCTCCATTTCTTTGACCTGGCGCAGAGTTTCCTCCAACTCGTCCACCGAGGAGTAGATTCTGCCTTGGAGACTGAGCTGGAGCTCCCGATCGCGTAGGTTCTTCAGGAACTGGTTGAGGTGCCGGCGGCATCCCGAGAGCGACTGGTACTCACGTTGGCCTTGACCGCGGCAGCATTCAAACGCCACAGGAAAGTCCTCGGGGTCTCCCGGGAATCCTGTTTTTGACGAAGGTACCTCTCGACCGGAGACTCCGTAGACCGGCAGAATTCGTTGGCAAACTTGTCCGAGAGCGAGTTCCAGTTGTGCCGAATGACAGCCGGGAGCTGCTGAACCCAGGCCTTGGTGCCCTCATTGTGACTCAGTCGGCTATACAGCCCCGTACAGCGCTCTTGTTCGCGCCATCCTCCCATGAGAGCAATATACTGGAACTTGTCCCACCAGAGCCGTCGTTTATCCAGTGGCAAGATGGGGTCGAACGGCTCAACAGCATCGTAGGCGATAAAGGGCCGGAAGCTCATCATGCCGTATCCCGGACCCTGGGCAGACCCCGGGTAGCCCCCGGCCTGTCCACCGGCGGTAGGCATTCCTGCCCCCCAGGAAAAGGTTTCCCCTTGAGAGGAGGGCTGAGCATCAATACTCGCGAAGCTGCTGTTCCAGGTGGTAGCGTCACCCTGAGAAGGGACTCCGGGGAACGAGGCTTGATTGTTCATCGACCACGGATAGGGTCCTCCCGGGGGCAGGGGGCGGGGGTGCTACTCCTGGGCAATGGTGCCGAGGCAACTGAGGGGACGGTTCCGGGCCAAGTGGTAACCTGACTTCCGAGAGCAGGTTGGATTCCGTACCCGGGAGCTCCCGGAACGTTCGAGCTGGTTGACCGAAAGGTGAACGCAGCCTTGACCTCCGTCGGCGGGGCGGCGCCCGCGTTCGTCGTCGAAGCCGGCGCCCCAGCGGTAGCGGCATGCATCTGCGGCGCTTCACTTCGGGTAGCCATGGCTGCGCTCTGAGTCCTTGCATCTTGGGTGAAGGTCCGTCCTGGCGGAGGGAGAGCCGAGGGGATTGTGGCTCCCATCCCAGCCGATCTTCCCGCATCGGTCCTGGCTGTGTCCTGGACACTGCTGCCCGAGGCATTCCCGCCCGCTTGATTATTCCGGTTTCGTCGCAGACGACGAGCCCGGGACCTACTGCATCCTGGAGACGGGCTTCGCCCGCGTGGTCGGTTCGCCGCTGCGAGCAGCTCTCGGAGCTGTCGGATCTCTTCTTGCTGACCGTCGAAGCGTTCTTGGTCCAGCGTCCTTCGGGCGTGCTCCTCTTGAGCACGGTGGTGGAGTTCCTTTTGCGCACGCTCCTCCTCTTGTTTGATGCATTCGGCTGCAGCTTCCGCCCCGGCGATCGCCTCATCACGCAGGCGCTCGGCGTCCCGGGAGATGGCTTCTGCTTCCCGGAACGCAGCGTCTCGCTCCTGAGCGACTGCCTTATCAACTGTTGCTGGATGTCGTCGCGCTCCCGGGCCTGCTGTTCTTTGAGCTGATGGAGCCTGAGCCGGAGCGTGGCGATCTCGGTGTCTGCGGCTTCCTTGTGCCGAGACTCTTCAATCTCCCGCTTGCGCTGAGACGACTTGCTGCTGTTTCCGCTCTGCCCGGTTCATGCCATGTTCCGGCCTCTGCGCCCTCATCGCTTCTTCAAGGTCCCGGAGCCGGGAACGTTCTTGCTCATCTCGGGCTGACATGGCTGCTTGCAGTTCGGCAATCTGATGCTGCACATCCAGCAAAGCTGGATGTGTCATCACCCGGTCGTTCCCCGAGTCCGTCAGACGGGCACTGTGGTGTGCCTCCGCTCCCTGGACTTCCGCTTCGTCTCTTCGTGCAGCACTTGGTCCCGAGGTCCGGCAAGCGGTGGCGCGGTCGACCCAGGCGAGGGCGCCTGGGCGAAGTCCGGCGGGTACGCGGCGACCGGGACGTACACAGTCTGCTGCTCCAGCATCGGGGCTGTGCCCCCATCAGCGGCGGTCGTCGCCACGAACACACTGGCCGTGACTCCGGCGGGTCCGAATCCAGGAGAACCCTGAGAGCTACCGCCCGCCGACGACATGTTCTCGTCAGGGGTCAGCATGGGGGCGTCTCCGGAGGCCACGCTCGAGGAGCACACAACCTCCGGGAGTGGTGCGCCCCAGACCCTGGCGCCTTCGTTGGAGCCCGGCCACGACGGAATCGACATCAGCGCATCCAGGCTCCCGCGACGTCCGGGCGGCTGCTGTCGGTTTCGGACCACTCCCGGGGCCGGACCTGGGCCAGGCGGAGCCTGGTCACCACGGCCATTCCCAGAAGTTCTTGCTCTTCAGAAGTCAGCATCAGCGCGTCGCCATCATCTTCCACCGGGAACGCGCCCGCGGCTTCGGGGTCCAGGGTCTGGGATGGGACATCTTCTCGGCGAACACTGAACTTGCGCCCCCGGGCGATTTGGTCCCAGGCGTCCTGGCTGTTGGCGAGAAGCTGGCGAAGGAACATGGCGTCCGACATGAATCGTACATCGCGAGCCTTGAAGAACTCCGAGCGTAGCGACTGTCCCCAGGACGGGAGCAAGTTGACGAAAGCGAATCCCGCGTCGGAGAGCATGGTCTGCAGGATGGCGATCACTGAGATGTAATCCCGGGAGCCGTCTTCAAGCCAGAGGATGTTGAAGTCGACCTGCCTCGCCTGGTGATCGGACACCACCGGCAGGCACAGGCACTCACCCCGGAAGTTGGCGACCCAAGGCCGTTCAGGATCCCCGGACAGGTTGATCTCCCGCAAGTACCGAATCGTCTCCTTGATCTCCATCAGCCAGTTCCGCATCGGCCAGTGACGCCGCTCCGGGTAGTACGGGTCCGGAGGTGACATTACCCCCAGGCCCCGGGATCTCCATCGCGCGACTTGGGCATCAGCGTACTCGCGTTGCTGCAGCCTAGGCATTTGGGTCTGCGCCACAAGCGCGCCGTCAGTCGGAGCGCCACGCGCCGAACCCATGGCCGCTGCCACTTGTGGATGGAGCTCTTACGTTTGATGTGAAGTCCTTGGAGCTTGATTCCCAGAAGATTCCCAGGGCACCAGCGCGTGTGTGCCCGGCGCGGTCCCAGGGCTGGCTGGCGCTCGTGCGTCAGCGTGGGTGGTGATTTTCCCCACTGGGTTTGTGTCTGCGTTCCCGGGGAAAACAGACAAGGCGACGGGTTGCTCCGCCGCAAAGGCAGCGAGTTGCCCCGCCGCCGGGGTGGTGGGCGTCCCCACCGGTCTTGTGCCTACGTCCCCGGAGGGAGCAGGCGGGGCCGCGGTCCGTGGGCCGGCAACTACCAGCTCGCTCCGTCCCGCGGCATCCAGCGTGACTTGGCTGCCGTCCATCCTGGATCCGGTATCGACGGCACTCCCGGAGCTTGGAACGATCATCAAGCTCGACGGGTCCGAAGTATCTTCGGTCGAGGCGGGTAGAGCCAAACGGCGCGATGGTGAAGCTTCAAGACGAGGGCGTCCCCCGTGTCCGGCTCGGCCCCTCGCACTGCCGCGAGAGGCGGGGCCCCGGGATCCCCGGGGCGATAGCGTATCTGTAGGTTCTGTAGACATAGTGAAAGATTTGATAAGTGGTTAAGCAACACCCTGATCCGGGCACGCGCACCAGTTGTGATGTAGCGCCTTGAGCTTTCGCCCTCGGCACTCCGCCAGTTCCCGGGTTGCGTTCCTAGACTAAGGATCTAGGGAACTAGAGAGAGCGAATCTCCTAGTAGATAGACGGCCCGCCCGGACGAGGGATTTATCCGGGGCCGTGACTTCCCGGGACCTTTACTCGCTATAGGAAAGCAAGGGGTCCTGGGACTCGGTCAGTAACCTCACCTTGTGTACCCCCTTCGAATCGGTTGTTTGGATCAGAGGGAAGGTCAACCACTGAGAATCTCCTGGGAGTCCCGACCTTATCAGTACGCTGGTTTGGTAGCAATACACTCAATCGCCCGGGGACGCTACCTGGTTCCCGGGGCGGAATTAACACGCAACTAAAATCAGGTCTTTCGGAGCAAGACTCCCTCGGCGACGGCCGCAATACTTTTCGGGGCGAGACCCCACAGGCGAGACCCTGAGAATATGGAATGCCCTTACCCGTGCCGGCTAGACCGCACTCCGGGGGGACAAATATGAAATGTCTGGGGCTTCCTGGAGGGAAACCCTGGCAAAGATGTTATCGATTTACCTGGGGATAGCCTACTAGCACGGGTCCCAGTGACCGCGGCCTTCGTATCTTGGAGTTCCTGAAGCGAAAGCGACTTGAGCTCTTTGGGTTAGACTGAATTGTGCACTCCCCCAGGGCCACTGGTCCCGGGGAAGTGCTTAACTATGGGTTTCCTACAGGTATCTGCTTAATCACTTGAGTTCACTATGGGCTGGTCCGGGCGTGCCGGGGGTCGGCTCTGCTGACGTCGTCGCTCGTCCCACGCTGGCTTCCCTGGGCTCTTCTCGTGTGGGGCACACCATGTACCACTCGGGTGGGTACACCTCCCCTGGAACTTCGTCCCCGGGGTCGGTCGACCCCCAGGAGCCCGGGGCACTATGCCACATGCCGTCGTCCAAAGGCTTGGTGTTGGGGTTGGGCTTGATAGTCAGCATGAGACCAACTGAGCAATGGGGCTTTCCGCCGTGAGCTCAACACCAGGCTCACGCCCGGGCGCCGAGAGCACCTCGTTCTCTACGGTGAGTGGGCCGCCAGACTTGTTGGCCTCATTCTCCATGGCCGCAGCACGGAGCTCGGACGGGTCTTCGTCGTCGCTATCGTTGGTGGCCTTGACCCCTTTTCACCGTGCGTGCCTTCTGTCTTGTCAACGGCTGGCTCGAGCTGTCACTGTCGCTGTCGCTCTTGTCCTTGTCGTCCGTGACGCCCGCCACCATCGGGGCCTTGGAACAGCTACTTAACAGGGTGAGCTCGCCACCGCCCTACCTCCTACCTCATTGTAAATTTTGCGGCCTTCAAACTCACGCCGCACTACAAATTCAGTCACCACCGATCCGTTTCGGCCACCAACACCCCACCAACTTGTCTAACGTGGCAACTCCACTACAAAGTCGGAGAAGAGCCCAAGTTCGACCTCGTCTCGCCGTTATGCTCATCCCGCAAGTGGTCTCCTTCTGGCACGGCGGAGACCCAGAACGCGACCATACTTTCTCAGCCAACTTTCTGATAAACTTCGCGTACAATATGCAAACTCTCAATGTTGAGTGATGTAGACTAAATATTGATGGCTTTCAATGTTAGTTTGAGAAAATGGTGAGCGATCCAGACTTCGGAACCTTCTGCTGCAACCCGAAAATTCATGTATCTCTTCATATTGATTGATTTAGACAGTTATTGATGGATTCAAAAGTTCTTTGCGTGTTACGGGGAAATAGAGATATTACACGACCTACCTTTGAGAGTCCGTCCGCTCATCAGTTCAGCTTTTTCGCGCAGCAGCCAACCCCCCCCCCCCCGTACTCACGGTAAAAAACTCCGCTGCTGTGGTGCCGAACTAGCTGGACTCGCCTCGCCGCAGAACCACCGAACGGGCCGACACCCAGACGAAACGCGTCCACCTGCCAGTCGCCGCGCTAGCCCCTACTTGCCGTTGCCGCCCTACATGTAATTACGGAGCTCATGCTATCGTAAGCCTTCAGTACTAGCATTAGCCAGCGTAGCAGCGTATCATAAATGCTCCGCGCTGTCAGATAGAAATGCTGCACCACTTGCATTCAAACTAGAAGAGCACTTGCATTCAAACAAGAACAAGGAAGAGCAGGTGGCTCACTGCCCCCTAGTAAAGACCCTCCCTCCTTCAACCTTCCAGGGCCGCCATCATCGTACTTATCGTTCACCCGCAATCTCTGGAAACGAATATCCTACTCAACTAGTTTGCCACTCCACCGAGAAAACCTCTACTTTTCCGTGAATTTCAAGAAACCATGTGATTTCTCAAATTATCAAATGATTTTACTTGATTTCAGTATACGTTTACTTCATGTGCGCCACATATCCGGTGCATCGAATTAATCCTGGTTGGGCTGTCCATACTTCGTAACCGAAGCACTACCAGGAAAATAATACACTTTGAGAAATCCACGGTAAGGGCTTGGTCGGGGAATGATCGTCTCAGTCTCGCTCGTCTTCGGTAAGCCTACCCCTAAGGTGAACCGAGCCGATGTGGTCGGTTGGCTGGAGACCGTCTTAGTTTTGGTGTGTCAAGCTGCTCGACTCAGCACCATCACACTCGAGAACTCGCAGCCATGGAAGGCACCCTTACTGCTCCACCTGTGGGCGGCGCTGAAGCTGAAGACGCTGCTGAGAGAAGCGTAAGCGACACGGACACCAACGGGAGCGGCGTCGAGAGGGCACCCCCGCAGGGTGGAGGCCGTGGTGGTCGCGGGGCAGGTCGCGGTGGTCGTGGAGGACGAGGAGCTTCGACCAGGCCAGTTGCATCATGGAGCGATGATGATGTGAGCGAGTTCTTTCGCCTCCGTTACGCAGAGTTAGCTGACAACTTCAAGAACACGAAGGACACCAAGCGCATCAAATATGCGTGGGCCGTCTTAGCATCAACACTCTCTGTTAACCACAGCAAAGTGTTCACTGACCAGCAGTGTCAACCTGAGATTCTGTCGAAACCACTCGTCGTAGACCGCGTCGTAAAGCATAGCCTCAAACTCTAGCGTTGTCAGGGTAAGGATGTTCTGCTTCGGGTTCGAAATTGCCCACACAGCGGTGTGGACCGCCGTCGCGAGAGCCCCCGTGGCCGCAGCAACTGCAGCAACGATGCTTTCGCTCTGCACCATCGAAATGCAGTGAAGACGCTCGTCTCCAAAGTGAGACTGGTGATTTAGTCGTCTCAGATTGGTCAGTCTGGAGACGATGAACCTAGCCGATCGAGCTAATAACTGGCCAATCAAAAATAAGAAAAAATGTCGCCACATCGTCTAAGACGATCGAAAGCCGAGACGAGCGTTCCCCGACCAGGCCCTAAGGGGAACGGCCAATTAGGGGCCGCTTGGCGAGCAGTTCACACGAACGAATGCTGCTTGGGATCCAGTACACAAGCGAAACAAATTGTGGTAGTTTTGAAAAGCCCTTGATCTCCGCTTTTTTTTATACTCACCTCATCCAGGAGCCAATTCAATTCGAGCACGGAGACGGCAACGAGTACGACTACCTGAAATTGCGTGCGTGCCAATTAGAGGCCGCAAATAGACTTGGATTCAGTATCAGTAGAGGCTCCAACGACCTGGGGGCGTGTCAACACGGTCAGGTTTGGGTTTACCGTCGAAGGGCATGCTAGCAGCATTTGAGTCTACAAGGTAGGTTATTCTTTGACATAGTTGTAGCCACTTTTGACAACGCCTCATAGCCAAGAGGTCAAGTGGCGCGCGGAAGAAGTCGAAGCACGTGCAGCAGTGTGTACCTACAGGGTGCGGCATCATTGAGTCTGTGTTAGTTTATACTTGCCACTGTGCGAGTCCATCTTAGACAAACGTAGGCTTCTCCAGGCTAAAACAACTTACCAATACAATGCAAATGTAGCCGTCTCTAGACCCGTACACATGACTAGACCTGTGGCCGACGAGGAAGGCTTGACGTCACCCAAATACCAGGCTAGCAGAGAGTGGTGTTCATGAGCGGCTACAGCCTGATCGGAAGTCCTGTGCTCGCGAGCGAGCGAAACAGCAGAGGCTGCGCTGCTTCTCCAGCGCATGTGGCCGATCTATCAAATCGGGCAGCGTGGACCTCGCCCTGCCGGGTAATTGCACCTCACAGGATCGATCTTGGGCGCTGGCGAGGACGAGCCCGCGAGCTGGGACACTTGGTCAGCTACTGGACGTTCTTGCGGGGGCGACAGCGGCCTAGGAGCGCAGGGAGAGCCGGCGCTGCGCAAGCGCCTCCCACGTTAGTGCGCGCTTCCTGCCAGCGTCCACCTCTTGCAGTACGTCGTGTGTCAGCAGGCGGCCGCCTACGGATACACGCTTGCGCTTGGTGCTGCTGTCCTTGCGGGGCGGCGCTGGAAGCGTCAGGACTTCATCTTGGACAATCTCTCGCATCTGTAGCCACGCAGCGAGCTGGACGTGACGAGGGGCTCCGTTGCGGGCGAACGCATCGAGTCGAGAGCCCATCTTGACCAGCGACAGTGGATACAGTCCACAGGCCTTGAAACCCCGCTTGATGTTGCGACTGATCTTGGCCCCTCTCTACGCCATGCCCGCCACGGTGATAGGGATGTCAACGTTGGGACCTTTGGGTCCCTCCAACTCGCTCCAACTCGAACGTTGCAAGTTGGAGTTCGAGTATGGCGCAACTGCCCAACTCTTCGAAATCTTTCTCGATACTCAAAGCAGTATATTTTTCCCTCCAAGCTTGTTGGATTTTCCCGCTGCTTTGTTCCAAAAAAATGGAATTTCCATACTACCAGAAGCATAAGGTCTAGTAATTCAAACAAGACAAAATGGACCAGTGCGGGCGGAGCAGAGGTCGATGAGGCGGTCGCGGGCCATAGCGCAACAAGGCCCCAAGCGCATACTCGGACAAGACTCACGGACACCATGGCCATCTCTGAGGTGCCCTCGTCGCCAAGCGATACATCCCGTCGTCTTTTTCCGGCCAAGAATAAAAAGAAGAGGAAGAAAGCTAAGGGAACCAAGCGGCCACCAGTATAGCTTCGATTCATGCTATCGCCACTGCCGAAGCATTCTTCGGCTAGGGACCAGGGCACAGCATCCAAGGGGCCTCGCGGTGAGGCGTCTCCAACGACAGCACCTGTGGAGACGGTTATCGAGAGTGAGGAGGAGGAGGAGACTGCTGAACCTGAGCTACAAACCTGTCCGGTGCCATCAAAGCTCTACGACATCTCCGGAGCCCACAACCCCTACTGGTACAAGTTCATCAAGTTGGTGCCACGCCCCGAGTTCGAGCATCTACACAAGCCGGGTAATAAACATGCTCGTGCCGCCTACTGTACGAAGTGCAGCGCTGAGGTCCACTTTGAAAAGGGACGAAGCCACGTTAAAATGCATCTGCAGGTTCATCACCCTGCATACTTTCGAGACTGTGAGAAGAAGAAAAAAGCCGCCAAAGACGCCAAGGTTACCATTGCCAGTGGCGCCCCTCACTCGACACCTTCGAAAAAAAAGCGGGTTGTGGCCGTGACTCCAGAATAACAGCGGCGGGCGAACCAGTATCTCGCGTTATGGATCGCAAAAAATATGCGGCCACTCGTGATAGTTGAGGACGAAGGACTCGCATTTTACGTCAGATACATCACTGAAACACTGGGTGGGATCTCGTTGAAAGTTCCTGGGCGAACTCAAGTTCGCGTGAACATCGTTCAGTTAGCGGTCGAGCTCCGTGCCGAGTTGAAGGGAATGATCAAGAAGGCTGCCGCTATTACGCGGTGACAACGGATATTTGGACGAGTCTGACTACGGAGGGCTACGTGTCGCTGACCCTTCACTATCTCGACCTAAAGTTTCGACCCTGTAATTGGACTCTCGAGATTGAGCGATTTCCAGGCCTTCATAGCGGTGAGGCTATTGCGGAAGGATTGACCAAGCTCTTTAAACGCTGGGGACTAGATCCATCTTTCTGCATAAAGTTAGTTCGAGACGGTGCTTCAAACGGGGTGTTGGCTGGCAATCTCATGGGCGTTCCGCACATGTCGTGCATCGCGGATTCACTGCATCTTGTCGTCGGAGGTGCGCTCATCAAGCGTACACCAAAGGCTTCAGGTGTAGCAAACAGTTCAGGGCACGTGACGGAGCGTGCACCGGAAGCTCCACAACGCATGGGTGGAGCTGCAGCAGCTCTAGCAGGAACAACATCTCCAGGCGTTGCAGTAGTTCCTGCCCTTCTAGTCCTTCCAGCACCCCCCGGAGTTGCAGGGGGACCTGTCGGTCCAGTCCTTCCAGCGCCTCCTGCAATTGTGGAGCAAGTGGCAGTGCCCTGCGAGGACGATACGAAGCGTGCTGATACGGAAGCTGAGCCGTGGGAACAAGACCGGTCAATTCAAGAGTTGGCTGATTTTCTACGTCAGTGGCACGTTATGGAACAGCTCTACGCGCTAGACGAAGTCCGGGATCTCGTGCAGCGATTTCGAAGTCTGGCAACTTACTTCCACTCTTCGCAAAAAGCAACCTTCTGCCTCAATGCGATACAGAAGCGTCTAATTGCTGAATATCGGACAGGCGAAGATGAATTGCACGCCCGAGCAAGGCAGCCGTTAAAAGTGGTGACAGACTGCCCTACGCGTTGGAATAGCGCGAGGGATATGTTGGCACGAATGATCGAGCTAAAGCAGCCACTGAAAGGTTTTTTTCGTCATCTCAAGACGGCGAAGGGGAAGAAGGAGTTTCAGCGGATGCCGAAGCTCTTCCGGCCAGACGCCAAGGACTGGTTCACGATTAAGTGCCTGATCGCACTGCTTGACCCCATCGCAGCGACATCCGAGCTGCTAGGTGGGCAGGGCTATCCGACACTTGCACTGGCATTTCCCTGTCTTCGCCAGATTGAGAGGACGCTGAACAGAGATGATTTGTTTGATGAAGAAGCATTTCTGGTGGAGGACGCACCATTCAAGCAGACTGTCCTAGACCTCATGACAACCGTTCGACTTGCTTTCGTGGGCCTTTTTGAAAGGCGTTTTGCAGATCTGCCAACCGATTTGCTTTGGATATCTTATCTGGATCCAAGGTTGACCAATATGGAGGGACCCACCAATGACCAGTGCAAGGAAGCTACCACAGGCCTCATCGATGCTGCAATTGCACTGGCAAAACAGGAGAATTTGAATCAGTCCCAGTCCCCACAACCCGATAAAGACAGCAACGCTTCTCAGGGCTCTTCGATTCCCAAGAAGCAACGGACGACGGCCGTTGAAGGTGTTTTTGGCGAGAGAGTTCGTCGTGACGCTCAAGCTAGTGCAGCTGCTCGCGAAAAGCGTCTCAAAACGCGCTGCAGCGCTGAAGTTTATCGCTATCTCGACGAGGTCGCTGATACAGAGTTTGATGCAGATCCCCTGGAGTGGTGGCGGCTGCATGGTCGCTCGTATCCTTATCTGGCTCCACTGGCAAGACAATGGCTGGCATGTGTCGCTACCTCGGTGCCGTCGGAGCGAGCGTTTTCATCTGCAGGCAACATTGTAAATTGTAAGCGGACCAAGCTGGACCCTTCACTTGTCCGGGATTTACTTTTCATCCACGATAACTTCGAGTTTCCAGAGTGGGAGACGGACGAAAAAGCAACGAGCGACCCGAGTCACGAACAAATCAACCAAAGCAAGTAATTCACCAATACATTTAATGCTGTCAGCAATTCCTCGATTCATTTTTCCTAGATGGCATTCCTTACGCTACATCAGCACCAGTCGGGCCAGCAGTAACGAAACCACCACTCCATCACTAGCGACTTCGCCATCAGCAAAGATCACGCCCCCCGGCAACGAGTAATAGTCCATAGAGTACAACTTCCTCTCCTTTGACAACTTCGCTGACTGCTGCCATCACCGAATTCGCCCCAGGCAACGCCGTCTATGCCGACCACCAGCCGCTGTCTCCGCCGACTAGCACCACGATCTTGAGACCGAGCACGTAGCTCAGCGCCATGAAGGTCACACCCTTAACAGTGCCGTACGTCGACGACACGGCGTGCACCACCTGGGTCTTGGTGTAGTCGACCACGGTGCCGTACATGGCCGACGTGGCCGAGACCACCTTCTCGGTCATGTAGTCCTTGACGTTGATGGCCGTGTGCGCGGTGGCGCATACAGAGGTCGAGACGGGATCGTGCGTCCATTTGACTACCGTCGAGGTCACGCCGACGGCCTCGTCCTTCTTCTTGAGCGGGTTCTGCTGGACCGAGCAGAGCGTAGTGGCCACGGACGCGATGGTGGCGTCCACTCAGCTCCATCATCGCCACTTCGTTGCAGCTCAGTCCGCACCGTGCTACGCGACATGGACTCCAGCAGACGCAGTCCAGCGGCTTCCCTGTAGAGCCCGTGATCAGCTCTCCGTCAAGCAGGCCCAGCACGCAGACACCGTTCTTGTGGTTGCGCAGCAAGGCGAAGCGCTGGTCCTGTGCATCAAGCCGAATGAACTTGTCCATGCTGTCCGTGGTCGCCCAGCGCCACCCTGCCGTGATCCAGTGCTCGTGATCGAAGATGGCCGCGCACTCCAAGCCCACGAAGCCACCGATGGCGGGGACGCACAGCCCCACACGCGCCACGAAGGCCATGACACCGGTCACGAGGAAGTTGGTGGAACCTAGAGGCGGATTACACAGAGCAATGTGTGGGGATGCGCAGCGTCTTGTCAACGCCGCTGCAGCAGCGTCCGCTGGACCAGCATGTAGGGCGACTACGGCGTGCCTTGTCAGCCCTTGAATCTGTAGATACAAACAAGTGGACTCAAGTTATTAGTGTTCTCTTGGATATGAGCGCACTTGTACCGACCATGAGACGGCTTTGATAATGGCGAGTCCTCTGTGGACCACAACTGTTTTAACAAGCTAGAAGGGGATAAAGATGAGTTTGGAGGTAGTTCGCGGTAGTTCGGAGCCCAACTCCAACTCCCCGCGGGATAGCTCGCTGAGTTTCGAGTTGGGACCAAACGTTGACACCCCTACACGGTGATGGCGTCCTCCTTGCTGATACTGTAGAATCCGCTGTCTTCTTCTTCAACCAGCTCGCCTATCAGGTTTCGAATCTTGTTCTTGAGCGTGGAGAACACCGCGACATCCAAAGGCTGCAGGAGGTGCGTGCCGTTTGGTGGTAGGAATACGAGCAGAATCCTAAAGTGCGCAGCTGCATCCACCACCCTTCGCTGAGTAGTGCGAAGCGCATCCGTCCAGGATGAGGACAAGAGGGCGTTGAACTGACTCAGGCACCGCACCAGCAAAAAACTGTAGTCATACCTCGGACAGCTCCGTGTTCATGAAGCCAGAAGGCGATGTCGACACAGCGGCCCCTGGCGCCTCACAGTTCTCTAGCAGCCGTGACGACACTGTCTTCCCTGCCAAAATAAATGCCGGAGACACCACGAATCCAGCTGCGGTTCCGCACGCCACGATGGTGAGGTGAAAATTCGCCGTAGGCTCGGTGCTCCAAACGTTGCTCGGCCCCTTGGCCGCTACGACTTTCTTGCTCTTGAGTTGTTTCTGAAACGCCGTCTCGTCCATATTAAATACACGTGAGCCATCGAGCTTCAACTCAATCACGAGCTTTGCTAGCGTATTGAAAAGCATCGTTAGATCGGCGGGGACGATGCAGTTGCGCTTGAGTGACAGCGCCTGCGCAGTTCGTCCTGTCAGGACGGGAAAGCGCTCTTTAAAGCGCCTGTACCAACCTTCTCCGACGCTTTCATCACAACCGAGGAGAGCCACCTCCTGAGCCTTGGTAATGATCACAGAGCGGCTGACAGGATGGCCGACGAGCTGCCGACCGATGACCCAGTCGCAGAGCTGCTGCTCAGCAACTGGGGGAAGAACCGCTTCGGCCCGGGCCTCGAGGAGGCAAGCGACTTGCCCTCATTTGCTGCCGCCAGCCACTTCCGGATCGGCCTTTCGTGGACGCCGGTCGCCGTAGCGACTGTGGTAACAGCACTGCCTGCTTGGCCTTGACCGATTATCTCTTGATTCCTCTCCTGCGTGTAGGTATTGACCATTGTGCTGTGTTGCTTTCAAAATGAAGAGTGGGAAGTAGATGGCTGGTTCACTGTCGCCGGCCCATCGAGTTCCCGCCTAAATTTCCCCGCCAACCAGTTCCAGTTGTTAGTAGTTTGTATGGGTTTCGTACTTAATGTATTTTCTACGAATAACAAGACTGAAAGAGACAAAATGCGTCCTCACTGGTCAAAACCACGACGGCCCCGAATTGACCAAACGGCCCCACATTGGCCGTTTACCTTAGTATGTAAGGTGGGTTAAACCCACGTTAAAACCCACAGAGTTTCTTCCACACAACGAAGAAATCACCACCGGCAAAAGAACGAGACGATGACCGACGCGGCGCCAATGCAGGTCCATGGAGATCAAGGTGGATGGAAGCAGTGCATCGGACCCGCACCCCCTTCCTGTCAATGCCGCAAAGCTGACGCAGTCGTTGATCGGACTGAGTGACGAGCAGCGCCAAGTTCTTGAACAAGAACTCGATCTAACTGACGATGATCATCTTCTGGTCCTTCGCTTCAATCCGAATTGGCATGGTCGGGTCGAACCCGTTTGTGACGCGATAGCAACGTTTGAAATGAGGAACAACGCACGTCGCGACGCACGTCGCGCCGTCGGAGAAGGTTGCCATGGATGGATTTTCCACTTCGACCATTATCAAGATCTTGGACCATGCAAGACGGCAATCCACGCAGCTCACCCTGAAGCATTTGCACACTCGCCACGTTCAATCGCTGACTATGAAGCTGTCCATGGCGCCGCTGCCATAGCTAATCTTCGTATCGAGCCACTGGCGTATGCAGTCGTCATCAACAAGGTCGCTATTCGACAGGTTGACGCTGGAATTTACGATTTTTTCTACTTGTAGCTTTCGTAGTGACAAGTAATCTAGCTTTTTTTATTCGTGCGCGAGCTTGATGGCTGCTTGGTTCATTTTGATCTGTGGCCAAAGAGGTAACGGCCACCACCAAGTAGATCTCCCGTTGATGCACTTGCATATTAACCACCACTAAATTAACGCAGCAGGATTCTCCTCGCAGAAAACAATGTAGATACGCTTGGACAAAGCTCGTTGGATACGAGCGTCGTGCAGTTTGTCAGCAACGAGGTCTTCCTTCTGGTGCTGGGATAAACTTGGATCTCGATACGCACGCATGAGGCTGTCATAGGTCGGAAAGTGGTCCAGCAGGCACTGCGCCTTGTCCTCACTCACGCCGGGAATCACTTGAAGCATCCGCAGCCACGCGTTGGCACTTGCACTCGCAGTAGCGCCCGAGCGAGTCACTCGAAACGAGTTTTTCCGAGGAACCGACTCCAGGAACTCCTCCAGAGCGGATGCGCGTGAGGCAGCGACAACGAATTCGCGAGTCAACAGCGCCACGTAGTTCGCCGTAGCGTCGACATCGCACGTGAACTTCGTGTGGGCCCCCACGTCCATAAACAACTGGAACGCCACTTCGTGCAAGTCGGCAAACGAGATCATCGGAGTGTTGGCGGAGGTCGAGGACGTACCAGAAGTTGGTCCATTCTTCTTGCTCTTTTGTTTGTGCTGCTTCTTGAGCTCGATGAGAGCACGGTCCATGCCTTCGACGATTACGAAAAACTTGCTCGCTTCTTCCTCGTCCTCGCCGGACTGACACGACCTTCGACTTTGATGCTGAGAAGTTGGCACCAGTGATTGAAGATAGCGCACGGCAGCCACTAGCTCCTTGTAGCTCTTCTGGCGCATCATCTCCAGGAAAGTGTCAGCTTGGTAGTAGATCGCGCACGAGTAGTGCGAGCTCCCATTTTCCCGTCGCTCCCATCGAATAACTCCGAGCATGATGCAGTTCAGCGCAGTCGCCACTGCGAACGCCACCGGCTTGCCATTGTAGACGTGGCTCTTTAACGCCGAACGGATGCTGTCTCCTGCCGCTGACGCATCCAGCGACTGTTCCATCTGCACCACCACCACAACGCTACCAGCAGCTGTGGAACCTCCTCCTCTTCCAGCCGGTGCTTTTCTCGACTTGGATGGAGAAGCTCCAGGTCTAGCCCTTGCAGGTGACGTCGTCGTCTTAGCAGTAGTAACAGCAGCAGCCTCAGTCTCAGTAACAGTCGTGACTGCACTCTCCTTCCTCCTCTTCCCTGCTCCCCCACTGCTCCTGACCGTCTCGCAGTGTAAATCTCTGAGCCTTCCCGACAGTCTCCTCGCCTGCTTCGCCCCTGCTCGCTTCTTCTCGTCCGGGAAAACTCTCCGCCTCACATTCGTCGTCAACTCCGGCGACAAAACTTCCGGCGAATCTGAATCTGAATCGAAATCCAAAGCAGCAGCGGTGGCAGCAGGAGGAGGAGAAGGTTCCGGCGGTAGTGAATACATGAAGGGCGGCGGAGATCCCGATGGAGAATAAGAGAACGAGATCTCTTCTTTCTCCTCCTCTAGATACTGTTCCTGTTCTTGTTCTCGTTCTTGTTCTCGTTCTTGTTCTCGTTCTTGTTCTCGTTCTTGTTCTTGTTCTTGTTCTTGTTCTTGAGCATCCACTGCACGTTGCTCCAACGTCTCGTCTTCGTCTACTATGGTACGAATGTAGCCATTTGTTGTTGCTGGTAATGGTGAAGGAAGAGGTGACGATGGCGACGTGGTCAGGTCCACGAAAGAAGGACCATCGCTCTGATTCTTCTTCTCTTTGGGTGGCGGGCTTCGAGGCGGCGTGAGCAGCTCGATGACCTCCACGGAAGAAGAAGAAGAACTGTTCTCGTTCTTCTTTTTCTTCTTCTTGGAGCCGCTGTCGGGGATGCCCAGCTCCACCAGCATCGCGTCCAGCGCGTGGTCGTCCTCGTCCGTCCCGAGCGAGTCGCGAGGCCGCGTCCGAACGGGGCGCGCAGGCCGCGGCGATGGCGTCGCCGTGTTCATCACACTACTTGGCCAAAAAATAATTTGAAATGTAAAGTTTCATGAAATTTGTAGAAAGAACAGTGACACCTCGCTACAAGGGAATTTCAAAAATAACTAGGGCTACGCAAGGCTGGGATAGCAAATTTACGGGGGCAGCCAGAACTTTCACCACAGCGGGTGCTACTTAATTGCGAGTACACTTCACTGACTTCCGAGTAATTTCACATAAACCTTATTCGTGGCTTAGGAAAGGCGCCACGTCCGGCATTGCCACCCTGGATGAGACCGAGGGAAGACACAGCATGAATGTATCTGGGGAAGTAACGCATCGAACCACTTATGCGGATGTAAGGAAACTAATTGAGGCGTTATCCAGCAGAAAACATCAGACAAGTTGCCCTAAAGGGCTAGTAGCACATTATTTACGTTCGCGAATGCCATACCGACATTCAACGTTCTTAGAGCGGGGTCAGTAGCTGGAAGCTAACGCAACGCACGAGTTCAAAAGAGGTATATGTACTCGAAAGTCCGAGTATATTACTCTTTACTCGAAAGTCCGCGAAATGTACTCGAACAGAAGGTCGACCCCACCACAGCAGTAGTATTACGACGACTATCAAGGCGTGCGAGCGCAACCTCAAAGCTTAACTACTCGTCGCCTCTCTTGCCTAGCAAGTGAGAGGAAGAACTATCAGCTTCATGGGCGACCTTTATGAGAAACCTGGAGCATTGAATATCTTGTATCATAGTTAACGTTGCGTTTTGTTTTCTTTGCATTGTTTGTACCCTGAAAATTATCTGTAGACCACGACTTCTAGCGCCACGATGCGCGCCGTATACACCCTCCCAGCTGCAATATCGCCGCACGTAGCGGTCGTGGGGCCATTAACGTAGTCGTAAGCTTTGAAATTTAAGGATTTCTAAAAAAAAGTCTGCTCAATGTCAAAGTTTGGTATAATTTAGGGCTATACTACAGATATAGAGTAAGTGTCTCCTGCGGTCACACATTCGGTCTTGTAGCTACTGCATTTGTACTTCGTAGTTAAAACTCGTGGTGTCCTTATACCGATCCAAACTTACTAGATAGTATCTACTTTTCAGATCGCATTACCAGGCAGATGCTGCGGCTGCTTCGCAGCTGCAGGAGACGCCAATGGGTAATGATAAAAAGCCTGCTATAAACTAAAAACAAAACAACTACAGATACGGTCAAAAGACCCCTATCCTAGCCATTGCGGGGCCCTAGTGCCGTGGTGGTGGGTGGTGCTCCGGCAATCGTTGTAGAGGCGGGTGGCTAGGTACGTAGACCGGCTGCTTGGTTTACACCTTTTCCAGGCGTAATTCGCGGTGTGCAAATACAGTTCGGCAAGAGCAAAAACAAATTCGTGAAGTGCAAATCGAAATTCATCGAAACCTCCATGAATGAATCATGGAAGGCGACTCTTCAAATATTTATTTTCAGCAGACATAGACGGATGAGCTGGTCGGTCGTAGACCAGCGCCCCTCTGGCTGGGTATTCACGAGCTGTAACGGGACTACCGAGAGTGTACATGTACTACAGACGATGGAGAACCTGTTGTGCCAATTCCTGTCTCCATCAGCACCCTTATTATGCAGATGTAGCGCACGAAGCTCACAGCCATAAAGTTATTTTGTAATCCTATAATGAAAACAATAATGTTTTGGAGCGAATAATATATGATAGTTTATCGGTATTATGGAGGTTTTGATGAATTTCGATTTGCACTTCACGAATTTGTTTTTGCTCTTGCCGAACTGTATTTGCACACCGCGAATTACGCCTGGAAAAGGTGTAGTGGTAGAATGCGAAATTGCACAATAGCTGTAGTCCCATGGCGCCTATCAGCGAGACCAAGGTAGACACGGCCTGCGACGTCAACTACAACAGTCTGCCAAAACCACGTCTCGAATTCAGCGTCGGAGTGAACCTGATAGTGGCGAATTATTTATAGGAAGTCGTTAGCTAGCCTAAGTGACATCAATGTACCTCACTGAGAGACGAAACGAATTATGGCGAAAAACGCGCGACCATGTTAGTGTAGGGAACTTGTGGCTGTACTGAGCAATAGTTCGCGAGATAAAGGAAAAGCAGGGGGATAGATACGTACGTAGGTGCCGGTTGCTTTAGAATGCGAAATGGCTGATGTCAAGTGACTCGAGATCAGACTCAGCTACCAGCTCCAGTTACCGGGTCACCAGGAGAAAGACAGCCAGTGACAAAAGGCCACGATACTGGCCTCAGTTTACTGGCTTCAGTTACCGAGGCGCGAATTAACCCGATTTGGGCTGCCTAGCAGCATGACCTATCGGCCACTGCTATCCCAGTATAAATGTTAGTGGTAATTTAACGCAACACTACGATTCCAACTTCAACTTTCGTGGTGAATGGGGTGCAGCGTCTTCATTGCAACTTCCATCGCAGTGGTCCTCGGAAGCACCTGCGATAGAGGTTCTTGATCTGGGGCATCGCTCTCCCTGTTGTCGAGATCCCACTTCGCGTCTTGGCATCCTGCCAATTAGAGTTGGCGATCACCTGCAGCTGCTTGGTCAGCTCCGCCGACAGGAACGACCACCCACTGGGGTTTTCAGCGCGACTTGGTGCGAACATTCCTCTGATGCACAGTGAGACGTCGAAACCACCCTCCACACCTTCCAGACGTGTGGTTCTAGGCGCACTCGATAGAAGGACGCAACGCGCAGGCCGCTCGTCTGTTGGCTCCGCACACGGGCTCATGCACAGCCGAATCGGTTGATGGTTCAATGAATGTTCTTCGTTCTTCTCCACTTGGCCCCTGACTTGAACCAAGATGAATGAGGCGGCGGTGTCGTTCATTTGCTAGGCGTCATCGTCATTTCCAGCCTTGTAGAATATCGGGATGGTAAGGACGGCACCTCCCGCGTCTCGAGGCGAGATGCCCGCCGCACGGCGATCCAGCATTTTCCACAATACATCCTCAGTCGGTGTCTCCGACATCTCCACAAAGTGGCTGAAACCCACTCGCCAGTTCTTCCACTGCCTCAGCAAGTTGGCGTACCGGACGTTGTCGTCGAAAGGTGGGGTCGACTCGTTCACGCGCACCGCTGGGTTCTCGCCCACGAGCATCGTCACGAAGCTCGAAACTTCGCAAAACTGACCGGAAACACTTAAATCCCTTCCTTGCTACTTCGTTTCCCAACACTTCGTGGCCCATAATCGTCGCGTCCATTGCCAGCAGAAGAAAGATTCGAGCCACGATATCCCGGATATTCGCCGTGTCGACCACGCCCTTGGCCAACATGGCTTGGAACTGCGGGAGAATGTGCGACTCCAACGCTGGTGGTGACAGTTGGTACCACATGTACGACGCACCAAACGTCAGGATCGGGTCCGAGCTGTAGCTGGTGATGAGGGCGTCGTTCTTGTGCGTCACGTAGTGCAGCACGCTCATGAAGTCGGCAACCAGCCGCGTCGCCACCGGATCACTCACGCGTGGACGCAGTCCGACACGACAGAACAGCGATGCCGCACCGTGAAGCGTTGAATCACTGTAGCTCGAGGTCTTCTTCGGATCATGTCTGAGCAGCAGCGTCGACGCAGCAAAAATGTTCAGGAAGCGCTGCTTGGCGTCCAAGGTATCTTCTCCTATCTGCATACTGTACCAGAGAGGCCGGCCCATCGACATAAGTGCTTCACACACTTGATCCTCGTCGGTATTCAAAACCCGACTGCGGCTCGAGACAGTCGAGGTCAGCCTTGCGTCCATTGTCTGTGTCACGATGAACGGCGGGAACAGCGGATCGTTATCCGCCTGAAACGTTATCGGGGCGAGCGCTGGTACCAAGCCCTGAACTTGCGGGTTTGTGTCGCAGAGCACTGCGAAGACCATTCCGTTGGCAGCTCTCACCGTCTCCGTCGTGTTACAAAAGCCCAACGCCTTGCGAAGCAACTGAAGCGCGTTGACACCCCTGTTCGTAATATCGAACAAGGCTCGCGCCTCATCGATTGCCACAGCCAATACGGGCACGACAGCGTCAGCCTCAGCTACGGACTGTGACGGATTGCTCTCCGACGTCCGTTGCTTCCTCTCCTCCGGTTGACTGGAACTCTTCACGCTCTTGAGTTCGTCCACACTAGTAGCGTCAAACATCTTCCCGTTGATCTCCTTATTGTCAAAGAGACCCTTCCAACGCTCTCCAGTGTTGACGTCCCCGACGGCACACTTGAATGCTCTCACTAGCGCATCGGCGATCGAACCCGTCGGAAAGAGTCACTCCATTAGCGCGCTAGTTGCGCGCGGGTACCCGGTCGATCTCTCGATGTTACGCGCGCAGACGTACAAGACCGTCACAGCAAACCGGTCGTTGCCGTGGACCAGGAGCTCGCCCGCCGCGGTGGTCTCCGCCAGTCGCTGCAGGATGCGGCTCTTGCCGAAGCCCGAGCTCTGCGTGACTGCAAGACATGGGGCTCTATAGTCGCCCTTCACATGGCAATACGCGGAGCAGCAGCGCGCGAGGTACGAGCGGAACTCGGTGTCAGCGTCACCGACGTACGGCGCCTTGAAGGCTCTGGCCTTGTGCTCGAGGAGTTCACGGTTAAAGGCATCGCGGGCTTGCTCCAGGCTCCGAATCTGCTTGAGCTTGTCTATCGCGGCCGTGACAGCCACTTCGATGTCAGCAAAAGGGAAAGGGGCCCACCAGTACGCTACACACACGGAACCGCCGATCAAAATCCTGAGCTCGTCCTCCTCTGTCTCTCGCTGGATCAAATCGATATTGGTATCCAATTCACGTCTGGCGACGGCGACGCCCGTCACCACCGATCTTAGAGACTCAAACACCGCAGTCGATAGTTCCACCGCAAGCTCGTTGCTCTTCATCACTGACTTGCAATTCAAAAAGTGAGAGGTTTTGACTATAATTCTCAAGACACCGCTTTCGTGGAAATATATCGTGTAGTTATCAAAATTATCCACCTAGTCTTTCCAGTTGGGCTAGTTGACAGCGTGTTCTACCAGCTTGGCATAGATACCCTTCAAGTTAATCAGCTCCTGGTGCGTGCCCTGCTCCGCGATCTTGCCTCCACTCACCACATAGATCTTGTCCGCCTTGCGGATCGTCGACAACCGATGCGCGATGATGATCGTCGTGCGCCGCTTCAGCGCCACCACCTTGTCCAGAGCCTCCTGCACCACCTTCTCGCTCTCCGAGTCCAAAGCGCTCGTGGCCTCGTCCAGCAGCAAGATGTTGGGGTTCTTCAGGATCGCGCGCGCAATGGCGATGCGCTGCTTCTGGCCGCCAGACAACTGCTCACCCTTCATGCCCACCTGCGTCTCGTAGCCGTCCGGGAACTTGGTGATGAAGCCGTGCGCGTTGGCCATCTTGGCGGCTTCTTCGATGTCCTGCTGCGTGGGTTTGTCCGCGAGTCCGTAGGCGATGTTCTCGGCGATGGTGCCGATGAAGAGCGTGGGCTCCTGTCCGACGAGTCCGATCTGGCTGCGCAGCCAGTTGAGGTTGAGCTCTTTGGTGTCGACGCCATCGAGCAGCACTTGGCCCTCGACGGGGTCGTAGAAGCGCTCAATAAGAGACACACCCGTACTCTTACCACCTCCACTAGGTCCGCAAAAGGCCACAGTTTGTCCAGCCTCGATGGTCAGGTTGTAGTTACGCAGCACGGTGACTTCCGGTCGCGTCGGGTAGCGGAAGAGGATGTTCTTGAACTCAATCTTCCCTTGTAGTTGATCCAGACGGCGGCCTCCTTCCTGGAAGGAGTCAATCGGAGGCTCCCGGTCTCGAAGGTCCACAATCGCCTTGCCCGCCTTCAACGCGTTGTCGGATTCTCCCATGAAGGAGGTCGCGTTGCCGATACCTTGAGCCGACATCATGATGGCCATCAGCGTTCGCATGAGCTCCTTGAAGTTGATTTTGTCGTCCTGTACCAGCTTTCCGCCGTACCAGAACACGAGCGAGTAGGTCGCGAAGAGAATGAACGAGCTGAAGCCCAACGCTAAGCCATTCAGCTGAGCTTCACGCCGTCCACTCACCAAAGGCTCCTCCAACAAATTCGAGAACTTGGTGCAGATCGACTTCTCCAGTCCAAGCGATACCACAGTCCGGATGTTGCTGAGAGCCTCCGATGCATGCGCGCCAACTTCATTGAGCTCATCCGACAAATGTCCAGAGGATTTCATCTGCCGCATGCGGATCATTTGGCCAGCGATCAGGAACGGGAACACGGCGAGCATCACGAGCGTAAGCAGCCAGCTTCCCGTCGTGAAGGAAATGACCAGAGCCGCCACGAACGTGAAGATCGCCTGCACCATGCGACCTTGCGAGTCACCGGAGATCAGAGCGACTTTAGTGGCGTTCGTCGACAGATCGGCAGTGAGCGCTCCCGTGGCGTTCTTCTTCTCGTCGAAGAAGCCGATGTTCTGTCGGCATAGAGCGGTGAAATGGATGTCCCGCAGCCGAGACGTGAGCTTCTCGGCCATGTACTTGAAGCAGTAGTTCTGCAGCGCTGCAGCCACGAACATGACTATGGATCCACCGATATAGCACAAACCATAAACCATGACGTCATGCTTGAGATCATCAAGTGCAGACTCGATGTTGTTCACTTTGAAGAGCGTGTAGTTCTTCGTCATGGTCGCCACCAGTTCACTGATGAGGACAGCGGAACCCGGCATCGCGCACCCCATCACAGCCGCAGCCATGATGCCAACGATGAATGCAGGTCTCTCGGGGCGGGAAAACGCCATGGCGTCGAAAATCGTGAACGTCTTGGTCGGGTTTCCTGCGTTTACTTGATTCTCCACCTTTTCGTCGTCCAAGTGCTCGCTGATCACCGACCGACTACTGCGTTTCTGCAGCGTTTGCGTGTGTGGCTCACCGTCTTCAGCCAACGCTAACGCTTTCGCTGCCGCCTGCGCTTCTTCCTGGGCCTTTTCCTCCTGAATCGTGTAGAGTTTGCGATAAATGCCTTCGTCAATTGCCACCAGCTCGTCGTGAGTCCCCTCTTCCACGACATGGCCGCTGTTCACAACCACGATCTTGTCAGCGCGACGAATTGTGCTCAGCCGATGAGCGATTACCAGCGTCGTCATGCGGGTTTTGTCCATCAGATCGTTCAGCGCAGATTGAACCACGCGCTCGCTCTCCGCATCAAGGGCGCTAGTAGCTTCATCCAGCACCAAGATCTTCGGTTCACGAACGATAGCGCGGGCAATGGCAACGCGCTGCTTCTGACCGCCAGACAGTGACACGCCCTTCTCCCCAACCATCGTATCGTACTGCTGGGGCAGTGTCATGATGAAGTTGTGGGCGTTGGCGAGCTTCGCAGCCTCCACGACTTGGTCACGCGTGATGTTGCTGCCACCGGCTGCGATGTTCTCCAAAATGGTCGTGGCAAATAGCACAGGCTCCTGCGATACGAGTCCGATCTGCGAGCGCAGCCACTTGATGTTGAGCGTCTTCACGTCGCGTCCGTCAAGCAGAATGGAGCCCTCGTTAGGGTCGTAGAACCGCTCAAGCAGTGAGATAAGCGTGCTCTTGCCGCCTCCACTAGCTCCGACGAACGCGACAGTCTGGCCAGGTTCAATGGTGACGTTGTAGTCGTTGAGGATCTGCACATCGGGGCGACTCGGGTACGTGAAGTTAACACCGACAGCTTGAATACGTCCGACACACGACTCCGGTTTCTCCCCAACGTCTTCTCTTGACGCGTCGATAGCGGACGGGGTATCGAGGATCTTGTAGATCTGTGCAGCCGCTCCCTTAGCTTCAGCTACGGCGGAAATGTTCGGCATGATCTGACCGAGTGAGATCGTGCCCATCAACACACCGAAGAAGGACTGAAACACCTCACTCGGAGAGGCTTTACCACGCGCAACCTTCGAGCCTCCGTACCAGAGCCCCGCGGCGTACATGAGCCAGATACTGCACATGAAGAGCCCAAACACACAACCCGAGAACTTGGCCATCTGGATGTTGGTCTCCTCGGCCTTGGCCGCGCGTTCATTGTACTTGTCGATCGCGAGCTTCTCGGCATTGAGAGACGACACAGTGCGGATAGATCCCAGCGTCTCCTCCGCTACGGCGCCAGCCTCCGCGTACATTTGCTGTGAGTGCACTGCGCGCTTACGCAGACTCGTCATGAGGACGCCCAGCGACGCCACCATGAAGGGCATGACGCACGCCATGACGAGACTCATATCCCACCCGCGCACGAAGCCGATCACGTAGCCGGTGACGAATTGGCACGTGTACTTGACCGAGTCACCGAGCTTCTGGCCCATGCCGTCCTTGATCTTGACCGTGTCGCCCGTGAGGCGGCTCGAGAGCGTCAGCGGGTCGCTGCTGTCGTACCAGCCGATGTTCATGTGCAGCATGTGCTTGAACGCGGCGTCGCGCAGCGCCTTCATCTGCCGCTCGGACGAGTTGACGAACACCACGTACGCCACGTAGTCGGTGATGAAGAGCGCCACGGCGATGTAGATGTAGTCGAGGGAGGCCTGGTTCACGGCGTCCATGTCCACGCCCCCGTCCGCCTGGGCGAAGGCCCCGATAGCGTCACCGAACACCAGCGCCATGCACGGGAACAGTGCGCCGTTCACACCGGCCATCAGCACACCTAAGGACAGCAGCAGGTTGTCTCCGGCCGTACCATAGCGATAGAGCTGCCGGAAGGGGATCGTGGGCAGGGGCTTCTTCTTGCTGTCTGTCGCTGTGTCATCAGGCTCGGAGGCGACGCTCTTGTTGGCGTCGGACTTTCGTGAGACTTTGGACACCTCGGCATGAGCGACAGTATCGACAGGCGCGTTGGCACGCGGGGTCATCACCTGTACGTAGTCGTGCTGTGACACAGGATCGGTTCCATCTCCGACAGCCTCGGGGTGGAGCTGCGGAGGCGCCATGGTCGACTGGTTTTGATTGAGAGACGAGCTCTCGGAGACGGAGCCGATTGAAGTATGAGACGAGATCGTGCCTGCCTGTGCAGTGCGGTGTCATCCGCCCGGTAAGATGGTGATGCCCTCTACTATATAAAGGAAACCTTCTGCGAGCTGGAACTGATCAGTTGGTTTCACACTTCATGCTAGTTTACGCCCGATCCGTCCAGAGTAACGAGGTGTCGTACGGAGTTGGCGGCAAAACGCTTGATGCTTCAGAGTTCTGACGGCTAGACATGCACATGCATTCAGCACCAGCACCAGAACCAATGCATTGTGAGCCGTTCACAACTCTCCTCCAACCACTAAATCTACTTGAGTTGCGGTCGTTACTTGGCGTTTTCGCTGTCCGACCGCGCGTAATCGACAATCGGATTGCTAGATGGACCGTTACTAGCGCCGCAACTCGGAGGTTGAACAGTCTGATCCCCTACCTATTACCGGTGGCAATAATACCCGCATCGCTCAGAAGAGTGAAGTTCTCCTCTACAGCTTCCGATGCTTAGTCCATCGATCGTAAGCAACAACGCTTCATGTAGCAAAGAAAAATCTACGGATGTGTATCATTTAGAACTTTGAGTCTGTCCAACCCAGCTACGACGCCTTCTCGACAAGTCTCTCGTAGATACCCTTCAAGTTAATCAGCTCCTGGTGCGTGCCCTGCTCCGCGATCTTGCCTCCACTCACCACATAGATCTTGTCCGCCTTGCGGATCGTCGACAACCGATGCGCGATGATGATCGTCGTGCGCCGCTTCAGCGCCACCACCTTGTCCAGAGCCTCCTGCACCACCTTCTCGCTCTCCGAGTCCAAAGCGCTCGTGGCCTCGTCCAGCAGCAAGATGTTGGGGTTCTTCAGGATCGCGCGCGCAATGGCGATGCGCTGCTTCTGGCCGCCAGACAACTGCTCACCCTTCATGCCCACCTGCGTCTCGTAGCCGTCCGGGAACTTGGTGATGAAGCCGTGCGCGTTGGCCATCTTGGCGGCTTCTTCGATGTCCTGCTGCGTGGGTTTGTCCGCGAGTCCGTAGGCGATGTTCTCGGCGATGGTGCCGATGAAGAGCGTGGGCTCCTGTCCGACGAGTCCGATCTGGCTGCGCAGCCAGTTGAGGTTGAGCTCTTTGGTGTCGACGCCATCGAGCAGCACTTGGCCCTCGACGGGGTCGTAGAAGCGCTCAATAAGAGACACACCCGTACTCTTACCACCTCCACTAGGTCCGCAAAAGGCCACAGTTTGTCCAGCCTCGATGGTCAGGTTGTAGTTACGCAGCACGGTGACTTCCGGTCGCGTCGGGTAGCGGAAGAGGATGTTCTTGAACTCAATCTTCCCTTGTAGTTGATCCAGACGGCGGCCTCCTTCCTGGAAGGAGTCAATCGGAGGCTCCCGGTCTCGAAGGTCCACAATCGCCTTGCCCGCCTTCAACGCGTTGTCGGATTCTCCCATGAAGGAGGTCGCGTTGCCGATGCCCTGCGACGCCATCATGATGGCCATGAGTGTCCGCATGAGTTCCTTGAACGTGATATCGCCGTCGTCTACGAGTTTACCACCGAACCAGAACGCGAGCGCACACGCTGCGAAGAGAATGAAAGACCCAAAGCCCAGAGCGAAGCCGTTGACATGAGCCTCCCGACGACCGCGAGTCAGCGGCTCCTGAAGAAGGTCTGAAAACAGTCCCGATAGCGATTTCTCGAGACCGAGAGATGCCACCGTGCGGATGTTGCTCAAAGCTTCTGAAGCGTGAGCGCCTCCGATAGTTCGTCCGACAACCCACCGGCAGTCTTCATGTGCTTTCCACGCGCGGCTTGACCCATGATCAGGAAGGGGAACACCACCAGCATCACCAGCGTCAAGAGCCAACTACCGAGAGCGAACGAGATCACCAGCGCAGCGACGAACGTGAATAAAACTTGGACGACGCGTCCCTGCGAGTCACCCGAGATCAGAGCAACTTTCGTGGCGTTTGTCGACAGATCGGCAGTGAGCGCTCCCGTGGCGTTCTTTTTCAGCCGATGTTCTGTCGGCATAAAGCGGTGAAATGGATGTCCCGCAGCCGAGACGTGAGCTTCTCGGCCATGTACTTGAAGCAGTAGTTCTGCACGGCAGCACTGAGGAACACAACGATCGCTCCACCGATGTAGCAGAGACCGTAGATCATAACGTCGTGCTTGAGGTCGTCCAGAGGAGATTGGTCGTGGGAAGCTTGGTACTCGGTGTACTTCTCCGTCATCGTCACCACCAGCTCGCTGATTAAGACAGACGAAATGGGCAGTGCAGAGCCCATGATCGCAGATGCAACGATTCCGGATACGAAGGCCTTCGGCTCAACGCAATCGCGTCAAAGATTGAAAACTTCGAGGAACTTGTGTCGTCCGTGGACGCGATGTCGAACGCTTTGAGACCAGCTTCGTCGTCGTAGGCAGAACGACTGCTTGGTCGTCGATTTAGTGTCGGGTGGTTTGGTCCAGAGTGATTTTCGCTGGTCGTTGCAGCTTGAGCCTCGCTGAGGTCTTTTTCCTCTTGGATTTTGGCCAGCTTGCGGTAAACTCCGTCGTCGATCCTGACCAACTCGTCATGAGGTCCTTCTTCCACGACATGGCCACCATTCACCACAACAATCTTGTCCGCGCGACGAACTGTGCTCAGCCGATGAGCGATCACCAACGTCGTCATGTGCGTCTTGTCCATCAAGTCGTTCAGTGCAGCCTGCACCACGCGCTCACTCTCGGCGTCCAAAGCACTCGTCGCCTCATCCAATACCAAGATCTTCGGTTCGCGTACGATAGCACGAGCAATAGCAACGCGCTGCTTCTGACCTCCAGACAGCGACACACCCTTCTCCCCCACCAGCGTGTCGTACTGCTCCGGCAACGACATGATGAACGTGTGCGCGTTGGCCAATTTGGCCGCTTCGATGACCTGCTCGCGCGTGATCCCCTCTCCGCCAGCCGCGATGTTCTCGAAGATACTGGTCGCGAACAGCACGGGCTCCTGCGACACGAGTCCGATCTGCGCGCGCAGCCACTTGACGTTGAGCGTCTTGATGTCGCGTCCGTCAAGCAGAATAGAGCCGCTGCTGGGGTCGTAGAACCGTTCGAGTAGCGAGATCAAAGTGCTCTTGCCTTCTCCACTTGCACCGACAAACGCGACAGTCTGGCCAGGTTCAATGGTGACGTTGTAGTCGTTGAGGATCTGCACGTCGGGGCGACTCGGGTACGTGAAGTTGACGTTGAGGGCTTGAATGCGTCCAGCACAGGACTCGGGTTTATCTCCAAAGTCTTCATTTGACGCGTCGATAGCTGACGGCGTGTCGAGGATCTTGTAGATCTTTCCGGCAGCTCCCTTGGGCTGAAATGTTGGGCTTGATCTGTCCAAGTGACATCGTTCCCAGCAACACTCCGAAGAACGCCTGAAACACGTCGGAAGGTGTAGTCTTGGCGCGCGCAACCTTCGCCCCACCATACCAAAGCCCGATAGCGTACATCAACCAGACGCAGCCGATGAAGAACCCGAAGGCGATCGCTGAGAGCTTCCCGACTTGAATGTTGGTTTCTTCTGCCGCCTGGGCTCGGTCGTTGTACTTGGTGATAGCGCGCTTCTCGGCATTGAGCGACGACACGGTGCGGATGGAGCCGAGCGTCTCCTCCGCCACGGCGCCGGCCTCCGCGTACATCTGCTGGGCGTGCACCGCTCGCTTCTGCATGACATTGAGCAGGACGCCCATGGAACCGACCATGAAGGGCATCAGGCAGGACATGACGAGCGTGATGTCCCAACCGCGCACGAAGCCGATGGTGTATCCGGCGAAAAACTGGCAGGTGAAGCGCACCGCGTCTCCGAGCTTCTGGCCCATGCCGTCCTTGACCTTGACTGTGTCGCCCGTCAGTCGACTCGATAGCTGCAGTGGGTCGGTCTTGTCGTACCAGCTGATGTCGAGGTACAGCAAGTGGCGGAGCACTTCGGCTCGCAGCTCCTTCATCTGCCGCTCGGCCGTGTAGGCGAAGAGCACCCCCGACGAGTAGTCGGTCACGAAGAGCGAGATGGAGATGAGGAAGAAGTCCAGCGCTGCAGTGTTCACGGCGTCTAGGTCCACGCCGCCGTCCGCCTGAGTGAACGAGTTGATGGCATTGCCGAATACAATTGCCATGAACGGGAACAGTGCCCCGCCGATGCCGGCCATGATCACGCCCAGACCAAGCAGGGCCTTGTCCATGGAGGTGGCGTACCGGTAGAGCTGCGAGAGCGAGACGGTCTCAATTGGTTCAGGGTCTGCGGTCTCCGATGCTTGATCATCGCCATCTTTGGCATCGTTGGCGGGGTCCTTCTTGTTGAAGTTGTTGGGCAGTTTGGTAGTCGAAGTGGGGGTCACCACTTGACTGTAGTCGGTGGTCGGTACTTCGACGTCGTCCGTCTTGACTGGGGGCGGTGCCATGGTTGGGCCACTGGTATCGAAAGTTGCGGACGAAGCTTGGAAGTGGTGGGCTTGCGTGTTAGACGGCGAGTTTGGGAATGACCGAGTGACTTGGGGCCGACCGCCAAATTCGTGGTGCCGCCAAGTCGTTGCACGCAATGTTTATCCCGGTTTGGGAACTGAGATAAGATATGATTGTGCCGGGTACAAACACATAGGCATATGTTTTAGCGTGTTATAACAGTACATACAGGGAGCTAACAACTTTACCTCAATATACATGTGGTAATCCTCACCGACTCAGTTGCCATGACCATCGCAATCATTCTGCCAGTCGACGTGGGGTCGTTCAAGTTCCATGTATCGCACCATGATATACAGTACATCGCACCATGATATACTTACTGTACGTGCAGCACAGGGTTCTTGAACGGTGACCCTAAGCATGCCCCTAAAATTGGAGCCCCTTGAGAAATGAAGATTTTGGCTTTAGACATAAACCCACGGAGAGAGTAAGGCTATACCATCATTAGCGCGTTGTCCGAGGAACCCAGTGCTGTGAATAAGGTGTATTTAGGTTACTTACACCACGCTGGTTATTTATTATTCCTACCACGCCGTGCTGAACCTGAACTCCCTTCCGTTCTCTGTATAGCATTTGAGATCGGGGTACAAGACTCGACTAAGTCAGACTCCTAGGAACCCAGTGCTACCCTCCTGCAGCACCGTAGGCGCAGTCGATATCGAGTTATGGATATGGGTATTTTACCGTTCCTGACCGCAACAATATATATTTGGTGTAATTTTTACACGTACTTAGTGTACATTTTCCAGCTGAAGTCGAAGGGTTGCTCGACAATGTACCGTATCCTCGACCCCTCGGGTTCATTAGAGGAATGGACGACGCCCAAAACCACACTATCGGCCTATATGTCAAGCAACTCCCGCGAGAGTTGATAGACCTAGCATATCCCCGCCTCACATCTGGTGAGACCTAAATGTGGTCTCAATAAACTCGGCGGCACTTCAAGGTATGCGGCCTCTGATTTGGCAACTTTAGTAGTTTTAGCTTTGTTTTTGTATGATCTTATCCGGAAGGTACCACATCGACCCTCAACAAGTAACCTTCTTTAAATCCTGGCATATATCACGAACCTTCGACATACAGTACCTGTGCAGCTTTGATATTTAGAGAAAAAAATAGAGATTGATTATGACACCCCCTTAGGGTAGTTTTGGGCGGCGTCCAATGGATCAGCTCTTCTATTCTAATTCATTGTTCGTTTCATTCATCAAACTTTTAAATTACCTTTGTTTTGCACATACATACATACATACATACATACATACATACATACATACATACATACATACATACATACATACATACATACATACATACATACATACATACATACATACATACATACATACATACATACATACATACATACATACATACATACATACATACATACATACATACATACATACATACATACATACATACATACATACATACATACATACATACATACATACATACATACATACATACATACATACATACATACATACATACATACATACATACATACATACATACATACATACATACATACATACATACATACATACATACATACATACATACATACATACATACATACATACATACATACATACATACATACATACATACATACATACATACATACATACATACATACATACATACATACATACATACATACATACATACATACATACATACATACATACATACATACATACATTATCGTGCTTGTAAAGTTCCAGGTCGCACTATGCCGTGCAGCCAAATCGAATTTTATGCGTTTCTTTAAGTCGTACACGGTTACGGCCCGCGCCAAAACGCGGTCTACTTCAAAGTTGTAGAAACCAGAACGTGATCTAACACGGCGCATATATACATGTGCATACAGTAGTTTTCGAGTCTAAATCAATTAAGCAACTCGAAACCACCCCGCACAAACACGTTAGATATCCAGTTACTCATACGTATTCAACTCGCGGATTGCTGAACCAACTTTGCGTAGATACCCTTCATATTAATCAGCTCCTGGTGCGTGCCCTGCTCCGCGATCTTGCCTTCACTCACCACGCAGATCTTGTCCGCCTTGCGGATCGTCGACAACCGGTGCGCGATGATGATCGTCGTGCGCCGCTTCAGCGCCACCACCTTGTCCAGAGCCTCCTGCACCACCTTCTCGCTCTCCGAGTCCAAAGCGCTCGTGGCCTCATCCAGCAGCAAGATGTTGGGGTTCTTCAGGATGGCACGCGCGATGGCGATGCGCTGCTTCTGGCCGCCGGACAACTGCTCGCCCTTCATGCCCACCTGCGTCTCGTAGCCGTCCGGGAACTTGGTGATGAAGCCGTGCGCGTTGGCCATCTTGGCGGCTTCTTCGATGTCCTGCTGCGTGGGTTTGTCCGCGAGTCCGTAGGCGATGTTCTCGGCGATGGTGCCGATGAAGAGCGTGGGCTCCTGTCCGACGAGTCCGATCTGGCTGCGCAGCCAGTTGAGGTTGAGCTCTTTGGTGTCGACGCCATCGAGCAGCACTTGGCCATCAACCGGATCGTAGAAGCGCTCGATGAGCGAGACGCAAGTGCTCTTGCCACCTCCACTTGGTCCACAGAACGCGATGGTCTGACCAGCTTCAATGGTGAGGTTGTAGTTGCGCAGCACGGTGACTTCAGGTCGTGTTGGGTACCGGAAGCTGACGTTCTTGAACTCAATCTTGCCCTCGAGATGAGCAGGGCGAAGACCAGATTCATCGAAGGAGTCAATAGGCGGCTCGAGATTCTTGATGGCAACAATCGCCTTGCCCGCCTTCACAGCGTTATCAGAGTCACCAAGAAAAGAAGCGGCACTACCAACACCTTGCGCTGACATCATGATCGCCATCAGCGTGCGGATGAGCTTCGCGAACGTGATGTCTCCATCGTCGACCAACTTGCCTCCGTACCAAAAGACGAGCGAGTATGTCGCGAAGACGATAAAGGAGCTGAACCCCAACGCAACACCGTTCAGTCGCGCCTCTCGACGTCCACTAGCTAAGGGCTCTTCAAGCAAGTCCATGAACTTATTGGTCATAGACTTCTCCATGCCCATCGAAACAACCGTTCGGATATTGGTCAGTGCCTCTGATGCGTGCGCGCCGACATCTGCCAGTTCATCGGACAGCATATTTCCATGGCGGACATGGCGCATTCTGGTCACTTGCCCAATAATAAGGAGTGGGAAGACAGCCAGCATCACGAGTGTCAGCAGCCAACTGCCCGTCGTAAACGAAATGACAAGCGCGGCGACAAACGTGAACGCTGCCTGTACGACACGGCCTTGAGAATCCCCTGAGATCATCGCAACTTTCGTGGCGTTCGTCGACAAATCAGCTGCAAGAGCCCCTGTAGCATTCTTCTTTTCATCAAAGAAGCCGATGTTCTGCCGGCAGAGGGCTGAGAAATGAATGCCTCGGAGCCTTGAAGTCAACTTTTCGGCCATGTACCGGAAGCAGAAGTTCTGTGTAGCGTTCGTGATGAACAAGAGCACAGCCCCTCCAATGTAGCACAGCCCGTATATCCTGATGTCGCTAGAGAGATGGTCCAGGTACGAGTGAAGGCCGTATGTCTGGTAGTTGGTGTATGCCGTAGTCATAGTTGCAACCATTTCACTGATCAGAATAGCCGAGCAAGGCATCGAGAATCCATTCACGCCTGCAGCAAGTAAACCAGTGACGAAGAACTTTCGCTCCGGCCGACTGAACTCCAAAGCGTCCACAATCGTAAATGTGCCTTCCGGTTCGTTTTCGTTGGCCTCCTTCAACACTGCGCCGTCAACAAATCGGTCACTCCCAACCGACCTGGTACTCAGTTTGCGAGTCATCTTCTCATGAGCATCGATACCAGCTTGAATTAATGCCGTCGCTGCAGCTTCAGCTTCCTCTTGAGCCTTTTCTTCTTGGATCCTGTAAAGATTCTGGTACACTCCATGCTCAATTGTTACCAGCTCATCATGCGGTCCCTCTTCCACAACATGGCCGCCATTCACCACAACAATCTTGTCTGCGCGACGAACTGTGCTCAGCCGATGAGCGATCACCAACGTCGTCATGTGCGTCTTGTCCATCAAGTCGTTCAGTGCAGCCTGCACCACGCGCTCACTCTCGGCGTCCAAAGCACTCGTCGCCTCATCCAATACCAAGATCTTCGGTTCGCGTACGATAGCACGAGCAATAGCAACGCGCTGCTTCTGACCTCCAGACAGCGACACACCCTTCTCCCCCACCAGCGTGTCGTACTGCTCCGGCAACGACATGATGAACGTGTGCGCGTTGGCCAATTTGGCCGCTTCGATGACCTGCTCGCGCGTGATCCCCTCTCCGCCAGCCGCGATGTTCTCGAAGATACTGGTCGCGAACAGCACGGGCTCCTGCGACACGAGTCCGATCTGCGCGCGCAGCCACTTGACGTTGAGCGTCTTGATGTCGCGTCCGTCAAGCAGAATAGAGCCGCTGCTGGGGTCGTAGAACCGTTCGAGTAGCGAGATCAAAGTGCTCTTGCCTTCTCCACTTGCACCGACAAACGCGACAGTCTGGCCAGGTTCGATGGTGACGTTGTAGTCGTTGAGGATCTGCACGTCGGGGCGACTCGGGTACGTGAAGTTGACGTTGAGGGCTTGAATGCGCCCGACGCACGACTCTGGTTTATCTCCAACTTTCTCTTTCGACGCGTCAATGGCGGATGCAGTGTCAAGTATCTTGTAGATTGCCGCCGCAGCTCCCTTTGCTTCAGCTACGGCCGTGATATTGGGCGAGATCTGCGAGAGCGAAATCGTCCCCATCAACACACCGAAGAAGGCCTGGAACACTGTGCCGGGCGACGCCTCCGCTCTCGCCACCTTAGATCCACCGTACCACAGCCCCGCACCATACATGAGCCAGATGCTGCCCATCATGCAGCCGAACACACACGCCGAGCGCTTGGAGATGGCGATGTTGCCCGTCTCCACCAGCACGGCGCGCTCGTTGTACTTGTCGATCGCGCGCTTCTCCCCGTTCAGCGAGGCCACCGTGCGGATGGAGCCGAGCGTCTCCTCCGCCACGGCGCCAGCCTCCGCGTACATCTTCTGAGAGAGCACGGCGCGCTTCCGGAATAGCCGCACCATGTACTTGAGCGAGAGCACCATGAAGGGCATAACGCAGGCCATGACAAGGCTCATCTCCCAGCCGCGTGCAAATCCGATGATGTAGCCGACGAAGAACTGGCACGTGAACTTGATCGAGTCGCTGAGCTTCTGGCCCATGCCGTCCTTGATCTTGACCGTGTCGCCCGTGATGCGGCTGGACAGCTCGAAGGCGTCGCTGCGGTCGTACCAGCTCACGTCCATGTAGAGCATGTGCGCGAAGACCTGGCCGCGCAGCGCCTTCATCTGGCGCTCGGCCGAGTTGCAGAACAGGATGTAGGCCAGGCAGTCGGTGGCGAACAGCGCCACGGCGATGAGGAAGTAGTAGAGCGCGGCGCGGTTCACGGCGTCGCGGTCCACGCCGCTGTCCGCCTGGGCGAAGGCGTTGATTGCCGTGCCGAAGACCAGCGCCATGCACGGGAAGATGGCGCCGTTGACGCCGGCAAACACGGCGCCCAGCACGAGCTGCAGCTTGTCGGCGGGCGTGGCGAAGCGGTAGAGCGCCAGGAACGGCAGCGACTTGTCCTCCGCCAAGAGCGGCGCGCTCTGTGCAGCGGGCGCATAGGAGACGGAGCTGCTTCTGCTGGGGCTCTTGGGGGTGCCCTTCGGCGTCGCGAGGGCTGCGTAGGGCGCGTGGAGCGGGGACTTGGAGCGCGACATCTTGGACGGTAGCAGGTCTTGGACTGGGGTCTCGAGCTGGAGCTTGAGCCGCCTGCGCCCGACGCCGCAATTTGCCGAATGAGCGCGGACGTCCGGCGATCAAAGCATCAAATTGACATGGATCCCACAGTAGGAATGCTGGTCGTTCTGGTGTTAAAAACGGGGCACATGACGGATTTCGCTAGTTTTACGTCGGGATGTTGAACCCCCGATTTGCTTGGGGCTCACGAGATGTGGACGCGCTGTGCTGTCTGGCTGTGGACGCCGGAGGTGAAGGCGCTGGCATCGCGCTTTGGGTGGCGAATGGAGGCGGCAGCACGTCAAGTTTTTTTATCGCTCAACATTCCGTTTGATCCGTGATAGGGGGCGTATGAGTGTTCGCAAGCGATCCCAGTGGGATTCCCACGGTCTTACTTAAGTAGTCGATTACGTATGGACCAAAAACGCAACTATTTAGTCTGGTCTATTTCTGGCGGGACCAATTCGCCCCCGACAGTGCTCGAAAACTCTCATGTATCCCAGCCACATCAGGGAATCTTTAGCTCTCAGCTTGACAGATCGAGCCTCATCTCCGTGTTCTGCTTTGCTATATTATTCACTTTGGAATCCGCAGAAACCAGCTACAATGGCCGACCTCGCCAAAACTGACAGCAGTCGTGCAGCCGTTCCCATCGACGCAACCAATACGTGCGTTGCTGTTCAGCCAGTCACCGAGCTTCGGACGTCTCATTCGGTATCGATGCATGATCCTGACTATTGATGACTACGTGGACATCAGCAACGCTGTCCTAGGGACTGGAGCGTCAGACTAAATCGAAGTACGTCACACACCGCTTTATTGTTGCTTTTGTTCCGGTGTAACAGTGTAGTGGTGCGAGTGAACTCCCAGCAGGCAGCTGTGCCTGGCACGTGAGTGGGGTTGACTCCATACAGCACGTGGCGTGCAAGCGGAGAAGGAAGGGCCCAGGAGAGGTCCGGGATCGGGATTCGTTGGCGTAAATTTGGACCAATCAAAATCGGTGACTTTGACTTGGCCTCAGTATGGAAAAAGCGGCGAGTTGGAAATCGGGCCAAATAGTGTGGAGTTGAGTGACAGCAGTGTCGAGTCAACATTGAAGAAGCGAGAGAGCGACAGAGTGCAGAACAGCGAGCAGTCAGAACAGAATTTGCGGCCAAGGGCGCAGGTCAGGACAAGTGACGAAGCGGGCCACAGGAGGTTTCTCCCCTGTTGGTTGCGGACGAGCAGACGAGCAGCGAGTGCGAGGTGTCGAGGGACGGCTTCGTGCCGCCGCTGATCAACAGACCAGAGCACGGGTGCGGGTGAGGCTGGCGACGGCTACGGGGTCGGCGCCACCCAACAGTCCGGAACGCGCGCGTGTGGGTAAGGTTAGTGACGGACACCGACGGACCGAGGCACGGCGGACAAACTGAACGAGCTGAGCGAGCTGAGCGAGACGGACAAGGCGAACGAGACGGACGAGCTGAGTGAGACGAACGAAGCTGTAGTGACATTAATAAATAGGGACGAGAGTTCCGGCTACTTCGCGGTGGCCTACAGGTGTTGGACTTTGGGCGACGACTGCAAACGACCGACGCAGCGTGGCTATACGATCTGCCTAACAGCCGGGCAAGACATGAGGCCTGTTTCATGGTGGTCATACAGGGGCCTCAATTGAGCAGAGCGAGCGAATTTGAGAGTGCCCCAGCGACGGAGAAAACGAGCATGGCGACTTTGGTGCCTACGCGCGGCAAGAAGTCCGGGAAGTCGAGGCGTGTCACCCGACACTCACCCAAGGAATTGTTGACGCGAACGGATGACGACGACGCGTCGGGCCGAGGCAACGATGACGACGAAGATGAACATGAAACCCAAGACCCTCCGGGCCAGACGAAGCCGCACGAGGACGAATAGACGAAGGCGACCGATCACGAGGAGTCCGAACCGGCGCCAGCGTCCGAATAGCTGCACGAGAGAAGCACGGAGCCTGAGGAGCACACAAGTCAAAGGCCAACGGGTGACATGACGTGCGAGCACGCTATACGAGGCAACGAAGGAACGATACCGGTACCCGCGGAGGAAGTAGCGGCGATCGCCACTACGCTGCACCAGTTGACGACGGTCGTGGCAAGTCTCCACGTCCAGGTTGCGAAAAACACGCGTAGTCGAGGGCAGGCGCGCGCGGAAATGGGTGCTCATCAGTGCGCGGTACGAGAGGTGGTGCTGCAGCCCAACGAGGAGAATATGAGTGGCAGTCAGAGGCGCGTGGAAGTCGTTTCAACGGCGGCGAGCCGTACTCCGGCAGGTCCAGTGACGACGGAGGTGCCGCCGACTACTTCACCAACAACGACAACGACGGCGACAGCGACAGCGACTATAGCACCGGAGATGGCAGCCATGACGGCAGCCATGCAGCAGCTCATACGATGATCACACGTCTGCAGCCACCAACGCCGAGCAATGAGGCGCACGGACAACGATCTGCACCGCGTGAACGAAGGAAACGTGATGAACGTGTGAGTGTGACGCCTGGAGCGCCTGACGACGGCGGAAGCTCTTCTGAGTCAAGCAACAGTTCGAGTGAGAGCAGCTCGGGTGACGACAGCGACGGCGACGGCCAAGGTGATGAGAGCGACGGTGGCAGCGACGAAGGCGGTGATGGCGGCGGTTCGGGCGGTGGCTCGAACGTCGATGCTAACGGACGGCACCGACGGAACGGACGACGAACGCAACGTGCGCGAGAACCACGGCGCAAGCGTGTCAAGGATCTGGAGCTTCCGACCTACACGCCTTCCCCGAAGGTATCTGTTTTGACGTGATCGATCGTGTCGATCTGGTCCTCCAAGGAGCTGAAGAATCCGGACGAGGCAAGTGGTCGGATACGGCGCTCTACTACATCTTAGGCAACAAATTGATGGAGGACGCTGCCAAGTGGTGGGTCAACATGAATCGAAGACTGCCGAAGAAGAAGAGAACTTGGTCGAACATCAAAAATGGCTCTGCTACGCCGCTACGGCGAGCGCAAGGACAAGTCGGCGGCAGAGTGGCGAGTGAACATGCGCCCAATGATGCCCGGAGAAACGTATGCAGACTTTGCGGCTGGGCTGCGCGACGTCATCGGACCTAACAACATGCATGAGCGCGTTCTGCTCGCGCAATTTTATCGGTGTCTGGATAAGACCACGCGGAAGCTCGTCCAGCAGGAACCGAAGCCGAAGACGCTGGAAGAGGCCGTGGAGAAGGCCACGGAGATCGACGACCCGATGGATAACGTCGCCCAAGAAATGTTGAACAGCGGCTTGCCGTGGGCAAAGGCGCCGAGGCCTTACTTGATATCGATGGCTGGAACGACGGGACAGACGATACCTGGTATTGGCGGCATGGGCCTGCCAGCCGGAATGTTGAGCAACGTGGACACGAGTGAAGGCGTCGTGGGCACGAAGGAAATGGAGCACGTGGCGCTCTTTACTAACCCTCAAAGTGTCTATAATAAGGCGACTGGTACGTGGGATCCGCCTCCAGGACATGTCTGGAACGGCAAATACTGGTATGAGCCCCGAAAAACGGAGAGGAAGCGAGCGGCCGCGAAGGCGACAACGAGCGGCAGAGCGGCTACTAAGCGACCGGTCAAGACGCGGCCCAAGCACGAGACGGATGAATCGAGCGGCGACGAGTCGGACGCCAAACCGCGCAAGAAGTTTAAGGCGGCTGTCAAGCAGGCTGGGGGCGACAAGCGACGCGACGCGACGAGGACGACGGCTGCGACGCGGACGAACAGTACGACGAGCGACACGGGTAGCCGAACAGCGGTGTGTGCTTCCATTGTGGGCAGCCAGGTCACTGGGCAACGGCGTGCCCCAACGAGCCGAAGTGCTTCGCGTGTCATCAGACCGGCCACTACGCACGCGCGTGTGTGGTGTAGTACCCCGCGGAAGAAGTGGGCGCGCCGGGCGTCGGAGGAAGAAGGCGCCGGGACGCGAGTGATGGACTTCGACGCGGCTGATGGAACGCGACGCGGATTGATGGGCGTGACGCAGGGCCAAGCTCGACGGGAAAGTCGGCGTGGGTGATGGGCCGTGAGACACGGTGCCAGAATCCAGTGCGACGCGTAATCATCCGACGGGTCGACCAGCGCACCCGGTTCTGCAAAACGCGCCGACCCTAAACCCCGCCGAGCAAAACGCGCCGACCAAGACGCGCCGAGCAAAACGCGCCGACCCTAACCCCCGCCGACCAAAACGCGCCGAGGTAAGATCTTGATTGCGCCACGCAAACCAGGTTGAAGGACGGCAGTGCAAGCACGACAGAAGTAGGGATAGGTAGGCTTAGCAAGCAGTAGTACAGAGTAGCCAGTAGCAAGGACATAGGATAGGGTAAGGACTCAGTCCCGAAATTTCTCTGAACCACAAAGACCTCCCGTCTTCTCCGAGGTTCCAGGGGAACCACCAAACGCCGGCAAGTAGAGCCGCCTCGATATCGCGGCCCCCCGTCGTTTGCTGGTTCGGGTGCTCACCCCCCACAGACCCGTGCTGGAACAAAGGCACGTTAAACGTATACCGTTTAGGTGGGCGCCCGATAACGCGCTGCCTAGGCGAAGGACCGCACCGGCCTGATAACCGCCGTGCACAAGACCCCCCGTGTAGGCCCGATAACGCCACACAAGCCCCAGGAAACGCCGGCCTGATAACGCCGCACGCCCGACGGGAACGCCGAGGAAACGCCGGCCCGATAACGCCGCACGCCCAAGGCTCGACGCCCTACGACAAGGAACAAGCGTCAACACAAGAACCCCCCAACTCCGAAGCCTGCGAAGACTTGGGCCTGTATTTCGAAGATACGCTACTCCAACAACCGGGAATAATTTGCTCAACGCGACCGCTATCCAGACGCGCCGAGTTTGTGCGAGATCGCATTCGCGAGGTTTCTGCGAGGGCGCTACTCCCCAATGGTGCCGCGACCTGGGAGTACTACTTCGAATGACTGGCCAACGATCCAAGAGGCATCGGAGGCAGGTGCGCAGGCGGCTGGAAGGTCGCCGACCGCAAGAGAGCACAGTGAGAGACCTGTCGCGTCGTGGGGCTCTGAGGGAACCTTCACGACAGGCCACGGGGCCAGCGACGACCAGGAGGGCTACGAAGAACAGTTTGCCGTTCCCGATGCGGCTCCCGACGAGGGAGCCGCGAAGGGCCGCGACGCAAGTCGTGGTCCTACCGGTCGGAAGCCTGCAAAGGCCGACGACCAACAACAACCCACCGCCAAGGCAGCCACGAAGCGCAAGTCGCCCAAGAGGATGAAAAAGAAGCTGCGCGCGCCGGACTCGGCGGAGGAGTCGCTGTCCAAGCCGCAAGGCAAGGACACGGGACGTCAGTACACCGTCGAGGAGGTACGGTACGTCGTGGCGCGCATGGAGCTCTTCCGTCTGCTAGAACAAGACCCAATCTTGGTCTTCCTCAAGCCCATGCTGATGAGCAACTTCACGGGCCCCTTCGTCGCGCCGGACTTCGATAGTCTCACCAGCGTTGCCCACACCGCGCCGACTCTCTTCCAGATGCTGCGTGACTCGGGGTTCGTGCTGGGGGCTTTCGAGATGGAGAGGCTGTGCGATTGGGACCTCAAATCTTGGTTACGTGCGATTCGCGTCGTGCACGAGCCCTTGACGATTCTCGCCGGATCCGTCAAACAAGACGCGACGAGTTCCGCGACGGGCCAAGACGCGCCGAGCTCCTCGGCGGGTCCAGCCCAGACTTCGACGACCACGCCCTCGCCTCCACCTCGATACCAATCGAGCGTGGACTCCGACAGCAGTTTCGAGTCGCCCAAGCGCATGCCCATGAACCGGCCGCCGCGCGTCATGCAGCTATCCGCGGCGCCCACACACACAGAGGTGACGAAACCCGCCGAGGAGGTGCTTCCCAAGGCCTTGAGAGAATCTATCATCAGGCTGATGCAGACGACAGTGATGAACACCCCGCGCGCCGACACGGCCGCAATTCCGACGGGGCCGAAGCCGCCCTTGAATCCCACACCCACGGTGGCTCGCCCCCAGGAGGCAGCGGATGTCGCCATGGAGTCGGTCAGTTCGCGTTCTTCGACGAGGTCCATAACTCGATGCGACGCGGACGAGGACCCCGATGACCTGTTCGACTTGGACATCGGAGTGCCAAGAACCGCGGCCGCCGTCTCGACGGCGACAGCCGGCGGCGTAGCCCTCGCCCGCGTACGCCTCTCAGCATCTTCCGAGCTGAAAGAGTTCTCGGGACGGGACGCCAGCGAAGAGAAAGCCAGACTGTGGCTCAACCGTCTGAAGTCCGCCGCGCGGCGTGACGGGATGACGGGCGAAGAAGTGTGCTGGCAGATCAGCGATCTAATGAGCGGCCCTGCGCGCCAATGGTATCTCCAGTTGCCCAGGAAGGTCAAGAAATCATGGACCGAGCTGATGGAGCAATTCCGGGTGCAGTACTGCGGCAAGGGCGTGTCAATGGCCAGTCGCTACTACCATGCGGCTCAACGCCCCGACGAGACCCCTCTGGATTACTTGTACCGGCTCAACGTCGCGGGCATGAGGGCCAACATCCCATACGCCGAGGGCACGACTGAAGAGAAGCGCGAACACGTCGAGCATTTCATCCGGACGCTGAACACGCAGGAGGCCGAACTCGCCTCGCGTCTCACGCTGATGGAGGTCGCCGACTCCGAGGCGCTGGAGAAGAAGCTGCGTGCCCGACAACGTGGATTGGTTCACCAGAAAAAGACTCTCTTCGGCTCGAACAAGTTCCGCCAAAAGGCGCCGACCCCGCCGATTCAGCCGGCGCGCGCCGTGCATGCGATTCACGTCGCGTCGGACGAGTACGACTCGGAACGCGAAAGTCGCGACAGCGACGATCGCCAGTACGACCAAGACGTGGCGAACGAAGATCGCGCCAAGTTGTTCGTCGCGGGACAGGCCCCGCCGGGAGAGCCAGCGCGTCGCAACTTCGATCCCGACGACTCGGGACGCGACCGCCCGCGGTGCCGCCACTGTGGTTCACGTCGCCATGTCGAAGGAGACTGCTGGAAGTTGTTGACGTGTCAGAAGTGTGGTGGCCAGCACCCGACGGAGCGATGCTTGAGGGTGTGCAAGGCCTGCGGTGACGTGCACGAAGCCGGAGAATGCCCGATGGAGGAGTTCTTCAACCAATTGCGCCAGTGGTTTGACCCGAATAAACACGCGGGAATGCTGCCGCCGGCCGCCGAGAAGATGTTAAACTAGGACGCTCGCTGGCTTGGAAACCAGTACGAGACGAGCGACCTGTTTCCGTCTATGCATATGTGACCAAGAAGTCGCGAGAGGTGCTTAGTGAGAGCCCGACTTCCCTGAATGATAATACATGTGAATCCAACCCGGAACGTACCACGCAAGAACGCGCGCCGCGAATCTCGGCGGTCCGACGTACGACGGACGACGAGTTTGCACGTGAACCACCCCTGGACGAGATCGACTTGCAACCAGGAGAGCGACGCGGATACTGGAAACATTACGCGCCGCACATGTGGTACAAGCAGGCCAAGATTCATGGAAAGCTGAACAACTGCCGTGCTGTGTTATTGCTCGACACAGGTGCCGAGGTGTCCATCCTGGACACCACCGTTGCTCGTGAGGTAGGCTGCCTGATTGACACGGAGATCACGCAAGAGTGTGTGGGAATTCGTGATGAGACATATTACACGGTGGGGAGAACCAGAGTCAAGATTACCTTGGCTGGGAACTTGGTGTACTACATGCACCTGTGGGTCGGCGACTTGGTCGGCCAACTCGCAATCCTGGGAATGAACTTCATGGTGCCCGCTGGAGTGCGCATCGACACTGCGGATGGCACGGCGTGCCTCCCCGACGAGGTGCATATCCAGATGATCGGACGAAGACCGCTATACGGCGCACGGATGCACCCGGTCAACGTCAAGACGCCTGTAAGGCTCGAACCAGGAGCCACGCATGAAGTCGCTGAGGCCGGATCGAAATGCGCCGTTCCTGTGGGTGACACGGGCAAAGTCGTGGGTGACTACCTTTGTCCAGGGGAGAGTCGGAAAGAAAACGTACCTGCGTGTCACGAACATCGGAGGCGCAGCGATAACCCTCGACGCGCATGAAACGCTTGGGTGGTGGACGCCGTCTGACGGCCAGCCTCGGAACCGTGGATTCGTCCGACTGGGCTCCACCCGGTACCAGCAGTGGCAGAATCTGGCGTACGGCGCGACGCGCGACGCGGAGGAGAACTGGATCCCAGCCGAGCTCGACAGACCGATGACGGATCGCCCCTCATACCCGACGCCTAAAGCCATCTTGCGGCCGGAGCCGAGACAACTCGGGACGCGACGCGCCGTGACCCCAGTGTTGGCGGCTGTCGCGGAAGCGCCGAAGGGAAGGGGGGTAGACTTGCCACCCGACGACCACAAGCCGGATACGGACGAGGAGGCGGTGGAAAGCGAACCCGATATGCCTCCGACTGTGGCTGGAAGCGCTGCGATGGAAGAATCGCCGGAGTCGGAACTCGCCGAGCCAAAACTCGACGAGCCAAAACTCGACGGACCAAACCCCGCCGAGCCGAATTTCGACGAGGTGAAACCTGATGAGCAGGAGGAAGACGACGCGGTCCTCATCCACGAGGGGTCCGACCTCTTCGTAGAGGATCTCGAGTCTGAGATGGCAATGCTGCCAGACCTCTCGCTGACCGCCGAGGTGAAGATCGAGGACTTGAAGGTCGGCATGCCGACTGGACTCCCGCCCGAGGAAGCCGCGAGACAAGAAACGCGGCTACGCCAAATCATCTTGAAGCGACGGAAGTGGTTGATCGGCAAAGGCAACGCCTTGCCGCCGGCCGCCCTGGGTGTTGTCTGCGACATCGACGTGGGCGACGCAAAACCCGTCGCGCAACGCGTCCGGAAAAGCCCGCCGCAGTTTCGAGAGAAGGTCGCCGACTTGATCAATGGGCTGCTGAGCGCGAGGATGATCCAGAAGTCGAAGTCGCCGTGGGCGTCGCCCATTGTCGTGATCATAAAGAAGAACGGCGTCGATATCCGGCTTTGCATTGACTACAGGCTCATCAACGGGCTGACACAGTTGATGATTTACCCCATGCCGCTCGTCAACGACTTGCTCGAAGACTTGGACAAGTATCTGTGGTACTGCTCCCTCGACATGGCGAGCGGCTTCTGGGTCGTCCCCATGACAGACCGGGCCCGGCTCACCTCAGCCTTCATCACGCCGATGGGACTGTACGAATGGCTGCGTATGCCGTTCGGGCTGTGCAACGCGCCGCAGATTTACCAACGCTTGATCGACAACGCGCTCTACGGGTTCATGATGCTGTCCCCGGATGACAGCACTCGGGACGTCTTTGAAGACGGCGAACCGGTGAAGCCAGGTATTCACTCCGTTCTGGGTCGGAGGTCGTACATCAACGACATCCTCATCGGGGGTACGTCGTGGGACGACCTGTGCGAGAAGGTCGAACGCTTGCTGGATGTCTGCGAGCAGTGGTACTTGTCCATCAGTGTCGAGAAGAGCGAGTGGGGCATGTCCAAGGTCGACTACCTGGGCCACCGAGTCTCAGGACTCGGTCTCGAGGCGAAGCCGAAGAATCTGGAGTCGCTGACGTCGCTCGAGTTCCCGCGCACGCTCAAGGGCCTGCAATCGTTCTCCGGTAGCCTCAATTACTACCACCGGTTCATTGCAGATTTTGCGGTGTACGCAACCGCGCTGTATTCGCTGACGGAGACCGACTTCAGCGACTACGTCACGCATCCAGAAGTCCGCGGACATGAGAAGTGGACGCACGCGACGCGCGCCTTCGACGCGCTCAAGGCAAAACTCGCCGAGACCCCAATGTTGAAGCACTTCGACGCGAACCGAGAATCCGTCGTGATCGTGTACGCCAGTGACTGGGCCATCTCAGGGGTGCTCACGCAGGTCCACGACGAAGTGTACATGCCTGTGAAGTTCACCAATCGTACGTTGAAGCCCAACGAGCTGAACTACGACATCGTCGAAAAGGAGATCTTGGCCCTGTTGCGCGTCTTAAACGAGTGCTACACGATGCTAGCAGGGAGACCGGTCCGCGTCTTGACACGTCACACGACACTCGCCTGGTTGTTCCGGTCCAAAGGACTACAGGGGCGACTGTCACAGTGGGCCGCGATCCTCTCGCCGTGGAAGTTGGAAATCTGCTGATCCATGAAGGGAGAAGAAGAACTCCTCGGCGCGCTGGCCGCGAGCATTACCCCGCGAACCTTCGTCGACGCGGCGCTAGAAGCGATCGCCCCACGGAGATGGTCGTCCAGGATTGTAGTCATTCCAGTCCCCGACGTGGCGCGCGACGAGGTCTTGCACGTTTTGAGCTTTGACGGATCGGCCAAGGCGAAGCGAGAAGGCGGAGCATACAGTGTCGTCATTTGGCAGCTGCCGAACTGGGAGATCGTGCGCGCCGCGTCGGGATATGCGACGGACCTCACGGTCAACGAGGCGGAATACCTCGGGCTGCTGCTCGGATGTTCTCTTCTAGAGGAGCTCGACGACGTCACCCGACTCGTCGTATGCGGAGACTCCAACCTTGTCATCAGGCAGATGCGGGACGAGATGGACTGCAAGTCCCCGGGGCTGAAGCTGCTGCGACAAAAGACTCCAGCCATGGCCGCGCCACGAACTCTTCCACGTACGACGAGACTGAAACGCGAGTGCCGACATGCTGGCTGGACAAGTTCTGCAGCGTCATGGAGGCCGCAACGCGCACAGCCCCGAAGAGATTCAAGATCTGAAGACGCTGAATCGCTTGGAAGAAGTCATCCGACCACGGGCATCGAGTCCCGGCATGGCGTCTCCAGCCAGTCCCGACGCGGATAATCTCGACGCGGAAAACCTCGACTCGGAAAATCGCGACGCGAAAACGCGCGGCGCAAATGACCCCGCCGGGAAGGCCATGGACGCGGGACTCGGGACAGCACAAGTCCTCGCTGTGTCGACGCGCTCGGCTGCCGCACGCACGTCAACACGTAGGGTCCGACCTCCAGAAGTCTTGGAGGAGCTGGTGGTGCAACGACTGCGCCTGGACCGCATCCGCGTCGCCCAGGACGAAGAGGTCTGGATCGTCAACCTCAAGAAGTATCTCCGCGGCGACGTCGGAGACCTATCTCGGCGCGAGGTGAAGAACTGCCAAAAGCTTGCGCCTCAGTACGAAGAGAGCGAAGGCGGGCTGCTCGACTACCAGCCGAGAAACGACGATTCCGCCGAGGATCGCGATGTGATGATGAAGCTGGTGATCCCGGAGACTCTTCGGGAAGATGTACTCCACCACTATCACGCGAGCCTGGTAGGCGGACACCAGGGTATTGGCCGCACGTACCAACGCGTGAGGCGCCACTTCCATTGGCCAGGGATCTTCAGAAGCGTCCAGCGCTACGTCGGCGAATGCACCGACTGCGAAACGGGAAAGGGTCGGCCGACCATCCAGGGCGAGTCGCCGGGCAACATCGTCGCGACGTACCCGTTCCAGGTCATTGCCATGGACCATATTCCGTCGTTGCCGGCATCCTACAAAGGCAACACAGAGCTGTTAGTCTGGGTCGACCTCTTCACGAGGATCGTCATGGTCAAAGCGAATGCGTCACGAACCGCGCAGACGGTGGCCGAGGCGTACGAGGAGGCGGTGTTCAGGCGCTTCGGCGCGAGCGAGGCTATCCGCCACGACCGCGAGCCGGGCTTCATGTCCGACTTCTTCAAGGCGTTCAGCAAACTCATGGGTTAGAGACAACGAGCGACGCTTGCTTATCGTCCCCAAGCCAACGGTGCTGCAGAACGGATGGTGCAGACGGTTACAAGAGCGATCAAGATGTACATCGCAGATGTCGACCAACGCGACTGGGACGAATACGCCGAGCGTCTTACCTGCGCGCTAAACACGTCGCATGACCGGACGAGGAATGAAACCCCGTTCTTCTTAGTGCGCGGCTGGGATCCTCGGTCGACGCTGAAAGCGACGCTGGCCGTCGGGAACACGTCGACCCGGGACGCCGAGGCGAGGCGGTGGAGGCTCCGTATCCAGCGACACTACAAGGTGGCAAGGGCACAAGCGTTGGAGTTAGTCCGAGAGGCCGTCGAAGAGAGAGCGCGTCGATAAACTGAAAACGCGACGAGGTATGAGATCGCGACGGGCTCGCAAGTTTGGCTGTACCTGGATCAGGTGAAGCCGGGGTATGCGCACAAACTCGCGCCCATGTGGCACGGACCCTTCCGCGTAGCCGATCTGGTCAGCGCGTTCGCAGTGCGCCTCGAGACGACAGGTACACCCTATCAGCTGTACCCCGTCGTCCACATCTCCAAGCTGAAGCCCGTCCGGGAATTCCCGTCGCGACCCGCGACGCAGCTGACGGTGCCGGCCGAGGAGCGCTTCGACTTCGACGAGGAGCTCTTGCCGGAGGATAGCTGGGAAGCCACGCGCGAGCTGGAGGATGACGTCTTCGAGGTCGAGAAGATCGTGAATGTGCGCGAGGGGCGGGCTACCCGGTATGGGCGCACGCGACGCGAGTTCGAAGTCAAATGGAAAGGCTACCCGGACACGACGTGGGTCGACGAGCTCGATCTGAATTGCGGCTGGTTGCTGTACGACTTCCTGCGCCAGCGCACGGGACGCAACCGGTTCGAGGCGATGCAGTCGCACGAGCACGCGGAGGCGGTGGAGCCTGGTGGGTGAGCGCCCACGGGTGCGACTAAGTCGGCGGGGGGGGGGGGGGCTGCCGACGGGAGGACTGGTGGGAAGCCTCGACTCTGGGAATGGCCGGAGCGAGGGATTGGATGAGGGAAGTGAGGAGGACCAGCCTGTTGCTGAAGATGGGACGGCGGAGGCCCGTCTCATAAAAGATGTGGAGAAGTGGAAAGAAACAAGGGAAAAGATCAAGGCTACGTGTTGAAGTTACGGCTACAACAACAAAACGCGACGGACTGCAACGATGGGCCAAGACTCAAACCTGCTGGACAAACTTACCTGCAAGACGCGGCACATGGAAGGCTGGGTGATCGCGCGTCACTCGGCAGCGTACGTTGGCGTCCATCTCGGCCACAGTGAGCGGCGTCCGATAGAACCGGCGCCAGGGCTCCTGCGCGTCGATGTCGTCGAGCGCGGCTTGCAACGTCGCGTGCTGGAGGCCTGGATACCACCGTCCGATCGACGTGTGCGCGGGCGGAAACTGAAGCACCATTGGGGCCAGCAAGAGGTCCATGTCTGCGAGCCCTTGCTGGAACAGCCCTACCACCAGCTGCAACAGGCTGTTGAGGTGGTTGCCCGCGTGTGAGCGACGCGAGTTGCGCGCCGTGCGCCACCTTTTCCACGCCGCGCCCTGCACGAAGAGCTCATGGGTGGCCTCCCAGTACGCCTGAGCCCAGTGGTCGATGTGGTGCCGGAGCCGACGTAGGAATGGGCGGAACGCCGCGTCGCCGGACGCGAAGAGAAGCGCCTCAGCGGCTTGAGCGAGGTAGTGCCACGACCGAGTCGCGTATAGCGCGTCCACGTTGGCCAGAGTCACGAGGGCGCGGTTCCAGTTCGAAGGCGCGGGGGGAACACGGCGCGGAATGATCCAGCCGGGCGGCGGCAGGAAGAGCGTTCGCAACTCCTGCACGGTGATGAGATGAAGGCGGAGACGTCGTACCCGCTTGGGCCAAGGAGCGTAGCGAGGCTGCCGCCAGCCAGACGGAGTTCCGGCAGGCGGAATCACAGGGTCGAAGAAGGGCGCCGCCGGAGCACTCCCCGCCGAGCCGCTGGA